ACGAAAGAAATAGAAAAAGAAGGAAATAAAAACGCCTGAGACATTCCGGGCACGCCAGGGATTGACTCCGGCGCTACCTTGGCTCCATACATAGCCTTTTTGTCTTCATGCCTGCTAGCCGTCATTTATACATCAAGTCTTTGCATCCTTGGTTCGGGATATTGGCCGTCTCGAGGACAATCTTTGAGCCCGACTCACTCCCAATTACACTGACATTGACTTCGTCACTTCGTTGTACAATAATATTTTATTGACAGAGGCTATCCTCGACCGGAAGCGATCTCGATATGGGCTACATTCACGTGGCCAGACTGGACGATCGGCTCCAGGGGTTCAAGGGATGCGAACGCCAAAGCATCGTCACTTCACCAGCCACGTAAGAGGGTAAGGGTGTGGTTTCTGGCGGCATGGCCTCCTTGCAGCCTTGCAGGTTGGGGTTGGACGAGTTTCGTGGTGGGGAAGCACAGCAGGCACTGCCAGTCTACCAGGCAGAGACCATTCTCAGACACCTTGCTCCCAGCGGGTGTCTCGTGTCTTTGTGAAGAGGCCGATCAGTTCACATACCGTTATCCATCAAGCGCTGTTTGGCCAATGAACAAGGGAGGCCATGCTGGGTTCCCCATGATGCCCGGCGCGCACCGCCCGACCCTCGCATTCAATCATAACTGCCGCTTGACAGCTGGTTTGTGAACTGATCCAAACCGGAGTGACCAGCCCCCAGGCACAGCGAGCATGCAAATCGCTCCATGTGTCGAGTTTTTGGCTATTGGGGAGGGAATGATCGGCATGACAAGAAGGTTCAGAATGCAGCAGTAAATTTAGTTTAGCCATAAATTTTGACTTTCCACCTTTCCAGCAAACAACACATGGCAGTAGTAGTGGCATCCATGGGTACACTGTGGAATGATCGCCGCTAGGGAACACGTCCCCCGTCGGCTGTTTGCTGTTTGACTTCAATAATGACGCGAGAGTCCGAGACAGCTGCAGCATGCATGTCTTGCTTTCTCAAGGGATTATTCCTGCTGTCGGATGGAAAGCAGAGGCGGAATTTGTTCCCTTGCTTTCTCAAAGCCGGATCGAACGGTATGCGCACGCTCATCTCTTATTGACACCCCCACTGGCTCCCCCATATGCCCCGCGCTCAGGAATGTGACTCGGATGATCCGTCCTCATCCATCGTCTCTTCAATGATGCAGGTGCATGCAACCGTCCACATGCGGAGACCGACGACTTGTCAGCTTATCTCTTGATTCTGTGGCCCAGAGTCACCAGGCGCCTTTCTGCTAGACATCGACTCCGGACACCGATGGGTAATGTTACATGCCCACATCCTTCGAGCCTAATTTTTAATGGCTAGAACCTCACAGCGAAGACTCAGGCGTACTTAGATTCTTCGAAAACCACGGTCAGTTCATGGCCCTCTTTGGCATCAACCTCAAACCACTCCAAGTAGTAGTGCCTCCTTGTCATGCTTCACTGACTCGCGCTTGTCGATCTGTATACGTCCTTACTTGGCCTTTTACTCATGACGAGTTGGAAGCAGCTTCGCCATACGAGTCATGAGTCCAGCAGTAACTTGAGTCGGGAGACGGCTTGGTTTAAGGTTGGGCGATCAGTTGACAAGAGCTTTGAGATAAAGACGAAGATCATGATCTCCGTTTGGCACCTGCAGCGCCTGGCATCATAGAACTTGAAGCCCTTTCCAAAGGACAAGGAACAATAAAGCCTCTCCTTCGGTTGTCCGGTACAACAAAACCTAGCTTCAATAATTCAGCCAGCATGACAAGGACAGGCCACGTTCTCACCCTAACTCCGTTCGCCTCCCTGAAGGCCTAAATCCGAGAGCTTGTCTAATCCAAGGGTCCCGACGAATTCATGCTCTGTAACCACCAGTTGTGAGCGAGGTGACACCAGTTGCAAGGCAAGGCAAGCCAAACTCAACAATCTGAGTGACCTCATCAGTCTCATTCCTCAAACCCACTCATGAATTCATAGTCGCAACGATCAGCAAGGGTTCCTTGCTGGCGCCCGCGTGCTTGGCCACCACAATAATGAGCCCGTGGTCGATACTCCCCTCCGCCCCCATGGAAGTTGTTTATTTTTACCAAGGGCAATGCCAGATGCAACCACGGACTTCGGAGAAGAACACGGAGCACTTGCACCCGCTCAGACGCCCTGCCAACTTGTCCGCTTTTTGTGTATCGTGAGAGCAAGTCCTGAGCATTAAGCAGCCAATACCAGTAGATCCCCCCTTCAAAAACTTGCCGTCGTCCGGTTCACAACCAACCTAAATATTTCCTTCCAGGGGATTTTCGAAAGAAGCGAGCGAATTGACACCGCTTGTTTCTCGCATGGGTAGGCTTCTTACGGTGTAGCACAAAGAGCAATGAGACCTGGCGTGATACAAGCACAGCACTTTCCGCAGCACGGAATGCATACGTTAAGTTAACGGGCACGGTCCTTAGTCTAGCGATGTGACGCATCTGGGAAGGGCCCTGGCGAAATCTGACTCCGAGTCTGACGAGTGAGCACTACTATACAGTTAATGCTGCGGCGTCGCTTCAAATTGTTGCCGAAAGTCGAATAATAATTGCGTATACTATAATGTACGGAGGGCCAAGAATGGCGGGGGCGTTTTGTCGGCAGGGGATCATTTGAGCAAGCACTATCATTGGATCTGAGATTGTGTTTTCACACAAACACACGTTATCACTCATTCTTCTGGAGTGACAAACGGACAGCTGAAATGGGGCCGGATTTAGGCTCCTTCTTGCGAGACAGTCTCTCTTCAGAGCTTTGGTCCCGTCGGGCTGCTCTCGGGGCTGAACATCCTGACCATTTATGTCGCTCTATCCAGCGCAAATAATTTGAGCCATTTAGTGCCCAGCTTCATTTTCAAAGATACGGCTGTTTTGCAGCACGAAAGAACGCGACTGCCTGGAAGTGGCAGTTACACGGCAATGCCCTCCGGTTTCGGCCCAGTTCCGCTTGAAATAAGCTGGCTGGGATCACAACAATATAATCAATCAATCAATCAATCATCCGATTGATTGATTCCCCCACAGATTGCTGCGGTTGGGGGGTGTTCGTGGCTAGCTCAACTTCCCGCCACATTCAGTATCGCATCGCAATCGTGCTGAACGAGATGAGACAGGCCTGAGGTATTTCCTCATCAGTTTGACGTCGAATTTCTCTCGCCAATTATATCAATTATCGACCATGTGGACACCTTTCTCCAGCTTCGGCACTTGGTTGTGCTTGTGGCATCGTGGCCTCGGCGGTACTTTCCTACTGCTATATCGCAACTCGAAATATACAAAGCTAATCTGATAGATCATCTTCAACAAAACAATGCATGTTGGGAACTCGCCACAATCTTCCTCTCCGTGCTCCGCTTAAGCGGTTATATCAGTACAGCCAATAATATGGAAATATCTTCGTACTTTTCTTGGAGGAATCCTGGCGGCTTCCCTAGTTGATACGTGCCTCACCTTTTGTAAGGAGAGTTTGTCGTATATTCCAAGCTCAGAAATAAGCTTACTATCTCGTATAATACCTGTTTCAGGCTAGAGTTATATTGGCATGATGCTCTAACGACTTACGTACTTCCACGGAGGTAACTTCTATCGCTTATTTTAGATATTTCTGTGGAGAAAATAAGGTTGGTGGTATGACGAGAGATTGTAAATCATTTTTATGGAACCTCACGTACTGTCCGGAGTAACTATCATAAGCTATCTGCTTATCTCTCCTTGAATCAAGTAAGGTATTAGATAATTGGGCATTCCCTTTCGATTTGTTGATGGCTTGGTAGTCGACCAACCCGGCTCGCTGATATAAACTTTATAGCGGGCCATTATATATATACTTCATCAGCAATGAACCGTCCAAACGCGTATACAGAAATGGCGTTCATCGTTTTTTGTTTCTGTCGCGACTCTGATAGTGGAAGCATGATATACCAAATACTTAACTATTGCTATTTTAATGGATAGAGATAGCTATTTAATCAGTCATACAAACCTTCATACAACCGTCACCAGGCTAACTACCTATCCCGCTTAGCTATTATAACACGCCGTCGTCAAATTACTTTGGGCCCCCACGATCGACAAAAATCACAAGCTCGCCCCGGCGTACAACCGTCTTGGGGTCAGCCACCGCGCCCACTCGGAGTCACCGACTGTCCCAGCGGCATCCCCGTCTCGCACTTCCTTCGGATTCGAATGCCCCTAGATTCGCGGGTGAGACTAGGATAGGTGTAGACTCAGGGGATAAGCCATGTGCGAGGGAAGAGGGACTCGGGCGGCAACTTCCGCTCGACAGGGGTCTTCAATTGCATGGATCCGGATTTCGATTTCCTAGGCGAAGGATTCGTCGCGCTTGGCCGGTGGTTTGGTTGACTTATAGATATGAAGGCTGAGAGGAGGATGGTTGAGAGATACTTATCTCCCGGGGTGTCAGATAGCCAGATAACACTAAAGCCGGGCCTGCATGGGTAAGGAGAGTGTTGGTATGGAATTTGCTCACCAATGGCTTCAGATTCAACCAAAAATCATTGGATACCTATGAAAAAGCTAGCTAGCTCTATATCAAGCAAAATCGTTATTTTTTTTTTATTCATCCTCTTCCATCTCATCCTCGTCTCCATCTTCTTCATCTTCATCCTCTTCCTCTTCTTCACCACCTTCCTCGTCATCGTCGTCATCATTGTCGTTAAATTCAACACCCATCTCTCCCGTAATATCCCACCGGTCTCCCTTCGCCGCAGCACTGACGTACTTGACGAACTTCAGCGTCCCGCTATCACGGAGCACGATGCTCAGCCGGTTCCACCCAGCAGCTGTACTGAAGAGGATTCCGTCGTCCTCGTCATCCGCCGCAGACTGGTAGACAGCGGCGTCCTTCTCTTCTTCGTCGTCATCGCCGGCCATGTAGATCTCGTATCCGCCAACAGCAATATCCTCATCGGACTCTGGCTTGGGTTTCCCGTTGGTGGGCTTTTTAGAAGAGCTTGAGCTTGAGCCTTCCTCGGGTTTGCCGCTGGCTTCGGCACCGTCGGTGGTTTCCTGCTCCTCTTCTTCGGGGTCCTCCTTCTCCCAGCCTGGAGTCGGGGTTAGACAGAGGGTGAGCTCAAGGCGGGGCTCTTCACCGACGTAAGAGTTGGCGAGGGTGTAGTCCTGGCTGCGGCGGAAACGACGAGCAAGGAAGTTGTAGCTGGTTATGCGGTCCGAGCCAGTGACGAGGGAAAGCCATTTCCGGAACGGCTTTGAGGGGAAGAGATCGTTGATGAGTTCCTGAATAGGGTTTTTCGATTCGCCCTTGGCCTGTGTAGAATGCTCCTGGAAAAGATAGCGGTGCTTGTGGGGTGGTCGGGCGACAGTCCAGTCTGTCGAGGCCTGGATTTCCTCGGCTGACGCTGGGAGACCCTTCTTTTCCTGCTCTTCGATGTAGGCGCGGACCTTGGCTGCGTACTTTTTGGATAGGAAGTGCTCCAGGTTGAGAGAAGATTCGTTGATGAAGGCATCGGACATTTCGTCTGCGATGTCTGGGGTGAGGTATGAAGGAGCGATGTATTGGACGAGGAAGCTAAGGTCCGATTCGGTGAAAGTGGTGCTGGGCTCTTCTTCTACCTTGGCTTTACCCTTGCCCTTTGCGTCTTCTTGTTGTTTTTCTTGTTCCTCGCAGACTACGGTCTTTGGCTGGGGTAGGTCGTAAATATCGGCGCGGCCCTGTAGCTGGGACAGACTGCTTCGCTCGGCGAGTTTCTCCTCCAGCCCTTCTTCATATCCATCTTCGCCCTTCTGAGGAATATGGAACCACCCACTGATGGCCATTCGGACCCGCTTCTTGGACCTGTCCTCGCCTTCCGTGGGATGGTAAACCTCCTCGACGTCGTGGAAACTCTCTCCAGGCTGGACTGTAAAGAAACTAAGCTGGTTGAAGGCCGGGGGAATGCTGAGAGAATAATCGGGACCAGGGACCTTGACGTCCTCACCCTTGGCATCCTTCTTGGTCGTCGTAGGGTACAGGCGGAGTGCACCGCCCCATTCCGCTTGCCAAGGGGTGTCGGGGTCGGTCAAGTACAGAATATAACTAAGGCGTCTGCTTCCGATAACATCGTCGTGACAAAGGAGATGACATCCCTCGTTGTAGACATTAATGGCCATATCGGTCTTCTGCCCACTCAGCTTGCCTGAGCCTGTGACGGAAGACAAGAATTCACGGAAGCGCGCTGAGTACATAGCATCGCGAAGCTTGAGGATCGAAGGTAACCGTGACAATGACCCATCATCTAGACCATCCAAGTTCGCCAGATCTCCGGACTGGAAGATCTTGTAGATGTCTGTCTCTTTCTCGGTAAAGTGTAGATGCTCCTGGATTTCGTTGCGGACGGAGCGCAGGAGAGAGTCCTCGATCAAGGGGTGGATGACACCGTGCAGGTACCTTCAATAAAATTAGCTTTCTAAATATAATTTGACTGTGAAGTTAAAAGAAATACATACGGCTTAGATTGGGTGTATGCCTTGGTATAGTTCTGCTGAACCGATGGCTCGAAAAGGCCGTCGCGGAAGCGCAACGCGACTTCCTCGCTAGACAGAGCCCGTTTCTTGGTGTCGGGCTGGCCATTGGCGTCCACCGACTCTCTGCTGTTGGTCTTGCGCTTCATTTTTGCTCAGTGCGTGGTCAGCTTGTTGGAGGGGAATTCTAGAAATTTTGTCTGTTGGAGCGATTTTTTCCCTGGGCGGTGAGATCGGGACAGTCAGACCATTATTGATCAGGCCATAAATTTCCCTATTCGACGATGCCAGTAGTTCCTAGAGTTATTAAATTATTGCTAGTGTATTAATGGAGCGAATGGTAGCTCCTTGGAGCAATATTTGAAGTCCAGCATCATAAAATGGCTTTCCGAAGCATTGAGGTCCATCTCCAGCTATTCTTAGTTATCGCGGTTCTTCTCCGCGATTGCGCTATCGGAGTCGCGATAAGACAGCCTCCATCCGCCGTCATCGCCACCACGGCTTTCGCACCATCATCTCATCCCACCTCTGCCTGTTAAACTTTGCTCAATATGGCCTAAAATCAATTTTATCCTGTGTCGCCTGAATCAAAGAACGATTTCAGCACCCTTATAACCGCATAGCGCGTCTGGAAACCGTGCGCCAAACAAAAGAGGCCATCGCCGCAGCCTAATCAACAACCTGCGATATACCTACACAATCCAGCCATCTCCACATTATTTATCGCGAGCAATATGAACTCGGAAACAATGCGGCCACCACAAGAAAACCAGAACAATGAACCTTCTCGGCCGGGGACGCCTCCTCAACCGCCTTATTCCCCCGTAACACCAGTGTTCGCCCATCTCACACCGGCCGCCACAAATGGGCCACAGACAATAGTTCCGCCGGCGACGTCGCCATCTCCAACATCGCAAGCCCTTCCTTACAACTCAATATCCTCATCTTTACCTCCTCCAGCGGCTCCCACGTTTGCCCCGGAGCCTCTCCCTGTACCGATATCCGAAAGCGAGAACCCCGATGCCATTGCGCTGCGCTCAGCAATCTCCATATTACAACTCCAGAAGCAACAGAGTCTACGAGATATCAAAACGCTAGAGAAAATGAAAGAAGCCGCCGCTGAGGATCCTGAAAAGTTCGCTCATGAACTTTCTTCAGGGAAGCTGTCAAGGAAAGATCAGGGTGGATTCATCGACTTCAATCATGAAGAGGATGTCGAGGATGAGAACACGGAAATACCCGATGCTGGAGCCCGAAGGAGTTCAGAGCTAGGAACCCTCCCCGAGCCTCAGAATGTCGTCCGCATGCCCCCAATAAATTGGACCAAGTACCAGGTGGTTGGGGAGAGCCTGGATAAAATGCACGAGGAGCAGCTGCGTCGACCCTCTACTGGTGAACCGAGACGGGACGAGATGCCCGCACCGGAGTATACTATAGCATCGCCATATCGACCACTGGTAGATAAACTAGAGAGTCCAACAAAGGCGAAGGGTGTTAGCAAGAGCAAAAAGGGTTGAGGCTTATTTTGATCTCCGAGAGCTAGAATCTATGACACAGTCCTGTGGGGAAAGGCTTTGATCAAGTACATAATCATAGATCTTTATGCAAATCGTCTCACGAAGGCAACAAATATGACAGCCGACGAGCAGCTTCTCGTTACTGGTCAGGGCGTCTATAACACCGTCGAATCTCCGCCCTGAAACGATCAGATATATTCGCAGGGTCCTGATCATCACACGCCACTATCTGCAGTCTCGCGGTGGTTTTAAAGACTTCGAAAATTTGTTTTCCTGGCTCGTCTAAATCAAAAGAAGCCTCAAGATGTTGCATCCTGGCTATCCTCAATTCCCCTTCTGTTGCTTGAATCCTGGTCTGCGTCGCACAACTTTCCTCTTTCATTTCACCGGCTGCTAGGATGCCTTGTTCGCTATTCATCTTATCCTCTTTTGCATCATAACCCTTCTCGATAACCTCTTTGGTCTCCGCCTTACTTACCTTGGTCCACTCGCTCCTGGGACGCAATTGAAGCACGTGTCTTCTGAGTTTATCACGCTCCTTCGAAAGTGCCTTGTTTCTCTCCGCAGCCGCCTTGCTCTCCCTGTGCGCGCTGAGCCATGACTGTGTCGTGGGTGAACTTGGCGTACAGCGAAGCAAAACACCCGCAATCGCTTCGTTTGAAAGAGGCGTGTATTTTTCAGTCACCTGGTACCTGGGTATTCTTTGCATTTGACGCTTCTCAATAACTCGGGTCAGTAGCCGGTCGTTAAGCGGTATTCTGATTCTCCCGGGTAGCCCAGAAGACTCACGTTTCTGTTACCAACTGGAAATAGCACTGATTCTTGAGGTGCCCGGGGTCCCTCACATTTGGAAGGCGCGGAAGCGGTGTTGGGGTCAAACGGCCCCTCCAAGTCTTGGGCTTTGGCAGCCCTGTACTCCTCTAACTTCTCCTGATATCTCTGGACGTAGGTTTCGTCGCTGATTCCGGGTGCATCTCGCTTGGTGGGTTTGTTGTCTGGTGGCGAGGGCGAATACTCTAGCGCGCGCTTGCATTTGGGTTTGCATATGGTTTTGCATACCATAGTGGGACCCTCCATTTCGTCTTCGTATACGGTTTGCTCGTCTTCGAGTGCTGAGGGGAGGAGCCTAATTGTGGAATGTTAAAATGGGGAGTATGGCAGCATCTTTGATGTGGGTAAATGGATTTTGGGGCCAGTCATAATTGTGTTAGTGGGATTTGAGCGTGGTTGCTTCATTCACTAACCTGTACATTTATAGAACTGTGGCCTTTCAGAATTTATGGATCTGTGGTGTTGGGGTAGTATGTGTTTGGTATCACTGATAGAGTGGTGCAAGTGAGAAGGTTAAACCTAGGGTGGTGTTTCTGTATAGACATGATTAATGACAAATAGAACTTAACTTTTCTCTATAAACTTCTCATAGGATTTGATTGTAGACAAAGACATAATAGAAGTTATAAATCTACAATATTACATCTATAACCCTCAAGTTACTTACAAAAAGTGGTCTATATACTGGTTATGACAAAGACCTTGACAGTATCTACTTTCAAAGACTTCCTACTTCTTCCAAGTAGGTGAATATCAAACACCTCACTGAAGCTTCACTCCAACCTCTCAAAGCTTCGCCTTCCCGCTCTCCTTCTCCCACGCCTCAACCTTCTTAGCACCCTCCTTCTCCAAGGCATCTTTCCTATCCTCAACACGATCCCTCCACTCCAAATTCCCAGCATGGTCATCCAATCTGTCAAGCAACCTTCTATACATCTCCTCCTTCATAATCCCATAAATACCAGTCCCGGCCTTCCCATCCAGCTTCCGCTCCTTGACAAACTCCACAGCCTCGTTCAACCCACCAACCCCATCAACAACACCCCTCTTCAGCGCATCCGGACCACCGATCCTCTTCGCCTCTAGGATCAGGTCGCGATAGACAACAGGTGTCAACTTTTCAGTAAAGATGTGCATCATGGGACTCTGCAGCGGGACCCCGAATTCGATTTCGTTGATGCACAGGAAGCCCTTTTGCGGGTTCATGATGCGGTAGTCGTGGTACTGAGCGAGCATGAACCCACCTGCGAATGCGTGTCCGTTTAGGAGCGCAATCGTGGGCATAGGGTATCTATACTTCTGTTAGCTTTTTTTTTTTTTTCACCCTTTTTGACCCTTCTAATTCATCACTACTCTAGAGCACTCTTCAATTTTAAGAGAAAGCCCAGATAGTTCGGGGAGAGGGGGAGAAAGAGAGAGAAACGCACGTAAGTAATCTCCTAAACAATACCCATAAATATTTCTCCAAAAATCCCTCTGTCTCTTGCACAAGGGCCAAATCAAGGCCGTTGCTGTAGAACTTCGGGATCCCTGATGTCGTGATCACGACGCCCTTGGGGTACCGGTGCTCAATGATATCGAGAGCCAGGAGGAAGGCGTTGATGAAGGTGGGTGTGAGGCGGTTGTCAGCCGGGGAGGTGAATGTCAAGACATAAATCTTCTTAGTGTCGAAGTTTGGATCTGAGGACGGTGCTGGTGGATTTGTGACGGTGATGGAGCCGGTGTCCCCGATAGGGACAGTGAAAAGACCTGCCATTTTGTCTTCTAAGGTTTTGTAATACAGATATGTGGGCGACTGGGCGGTGGGTGGGTTGTTATGGTAGAGGGAATGAGAATATTCAGGAGCAAAAGTGAATTTATATTATATTCGATGTTGGTTATTCTGGATTTCCACGTGGAAATCCGGAGACGAGGAGCTATACTGGCGGGGATGGGATTGGCTGAGTGGGTTTCCGGATTGGGATATGCCTCGGTTCATCATGGAGGGTAAGATCTGATGACGTGAACACTTAGAAGCTTCCTAGGATCACAAACACGAGACTTGAGGTATAAGTCGGTTATGTTAGTGCACTCTCAAGGATGGGTTCATCTAAATGTTCTTTAGTGGGGTTGTGGTCTTTTTACATGATATCTCGATAGAGATTCGTGGACCGTGTTTGCAAGCTTTACCGAGCAGCGGTATATATTCAACAAGTCTAAATAAGTCTTACTCTATATATTCTTCATTATAGGTCACCTGCCAGGATACCTGATATAATGTGGCAGCTTAAGAAGGGGTAGCTGAGCGCCTATTCGCCAGAAACCCCTTTGCAGCTTTCCACATCCCCTTTACCCCTTTCTCGATTTCATACCGACCATCATACAGCGGGTAGACAACAACGGCGAAGAAGGCAAAGAATTGCCAAACAATGGCAACAGACACCCAGCCCGAGAAGAATGACTTGGTGAAAATATAGTCGCGGTATAGCGGCATCGGCCATAGAACGAATGTGACCAGGACAAGGACAACAAATATCGCCCATGCGATCTTCATCCAACGGTTTAATTCCTTCAAGGTTTGCTCGTCGAATGGATGACGGATGTCATCTAAGCTAAGCTGTGACGGTGGGGTTAAACGAGCCCTGGACACCGCGATCGGCTTATCATGGGCACCGGTGTGCTCGGGGTCTGCGGTCGATGTATCGGACTGGGGTGTTTGGGTACCGGGCTCTTCTTTGGTCTCTGTGATAGTAGGCGTCTCAGATTCATGGATTTGCGCTTCATCGGCCAGTTCGATGCGAAGGAATATGCGCCAGTCGAACTTGGAGGGCTTGTATATCAGAGAGATCACAACCGAGTAGAGGGCTGGAGAGAAGAATGATCCAATCGCTCCGTATAGTGCAGGCAGGCCCTCCCCTGTTGTAGTCATGTTTACTTCGCCATACAGAGATTTTGCAGTACCCAACCAGATGGCAAGCCCTGTGAAGAATCCCAGCACCGGTGAAAGAATTGCTGCTAGCTTTGTTTGACCATCCCAGAAGAGAGTAAGACCGAGAGGTATAATTCCAGGACAGGAGAGAATTGGCCGGAAGTAGCCAATCCATGTCATGTTGGCGCCGCCATAGTTCAGTGCAATGGAAATCCCAGTGATGAAAATGGCATGGAAGACAACGGTAATATGACTTGCATGGAGCAGCTTCTTGTCTGTTGCCTTGGGATTGAAGTATGTCTTGTAAAGGTCGAAAGACAGGATACTGCTGACTGCGATCATGGAAGAAGAGACTGTGCTGGTTAGGGCCATAAAGAGAAGCACAAAAAATGCAACAATTCCAGAGTTTCCGATGAGGGCTTTGACAATGTATGGCATTACCAACCCTGCCTCAACCTCAGACAGGGTGATATCGGCCGGGTAGGTGGGGAAGATAGCAGTCTGATGAAGTGCCCTAGCAGCCAGTCCAATAACTGTCCCTAAGCCCCATGGGATACCGAAGACAGCAATCGCTGCGAGATTGTATGCGGGCACGGTTGAGTTCACCTCACTGGCGAAAGACTTTTGCCAGAAGGCAGTATCCTGTGGAAGGTTAACCACCAAGCAAAATCCCAGGAACTGCAAAAGTACTCACCATGACGACCAGCGCTAGGTTTCCAAACTTCAAGATTAGCCCCCAGATAATGGCTTCCTTGGACTTCATCGTGAGCAACGATCCCTCAAAGTTACCAGGAATATAGTTTTCGCTGGCTGTAGCTACCACCTTGTCATAGAGACCACTCAGCCCGCCGATATGTTCATTGGTCAAAATTGACAAGGTAAAAAAGATGATGAGGACGAGTGCGACAGCCGTGTGGAGGAAGTCTGTCAGAAAGGTCGCTTTGAGACCCCCAACCGCAGTGTACAAGACAACTAAACCTATTAACTTTGATGCGTCTTGTATTTACCAGAAAATACTCACCTCCCAGAGGGATCAGAATGGTAGCAGCAACGAAGTGCATACCGGAGATGCCATACACCAGTTGCGATCCCGTAAGAATCATGGACGCACAGCCGAAGACGTTGTTTGTCAAGTTCAAGACGATGAAGACAAGATGCCCTACTGTACCGTATCGCATCTTGATAATCTCAAGCGACGTGTGCGCATAAGGGACTCGGATTTTGGCCATGACTCCAAGAGCAGCCATAAGCGCAATCTGAAAACAGAGACCTGATCCCCACCACTGTTCCGGTCAGTCTGGGAGAGTTTCGTATGAAGGAAAACATAAAGACATACCAAAGGCACCGCCAGTCCATATCTGTAACACATAGCAGCCGATAGCACCGTCTCATTAATCCACATCCATGAAGAGAACACTGCCGACGCTGTAAGTCCTGTCCCGACAGATCTATTCGCGACCATAAACATTTCCGAGGTTGCTGAATCCTCGGACAGATAGGCTTTCTGGACCTTGATAGCAATGAGAATCACACCACAAAAGAGAATACCGAGGCCGATGAGGAGTCCATAGGCTGTCCCTTGTGGGACAAGGTCAACCCCATGGATCCCAGTTTGTGCTTGGGTCATGGTGTTGTAGGGAGACTGATAAAGTATCAATCAAATGGATCCGAGGGTGGATTCGTAAGTTCTGGCGAGCATCTGCTGAGCATCAAAGGGTCGCAGAGGATAAGGCTCAGTTTATGTTAAATAGGACCCATTTTGGCTGGAACGTCTTATCGTCCTCTCTGATGCGATTCGAAACGCCTTTGCTTGCAGTTTGACAGCCATCACGCACTAGGAGATTGGTATCGCGTTATGAGGCACCCGGCCGAGAAACAGAGAAATAGGAATAGACCAAGATCAATTCGCTGAGATATTTGTTGAAGTGGATACAATCATGTTCAAGCTTGTTTGAGATTGGGCGCTGAGGTGTGTCGAGGTGAGCAATGGAGGATGTGGATTGCGTGCCTGGAGTTGACTATGGCGAACCACGCCAATCAACGCAACGGCGTTGGAGCCTTTTCAACAGGAAGAGCTTGAATGATAACAATCTTTTAGAGGTTCCCGTGGCTAGGAAGTGGACAACTCGAAGGGATTGACTCGGTGTATGATGGGTGCCATATCTAATCACGGCTAGTATCGTTTTACTGTTCTTCGGCGTTTGTATGCGACTTCAAACTGCTCTCCTTGAAAAGCCTGTGCTGTAAGCCAAGCCAGAACAAATTAACAAGCTCAACCAAGAAATCGGTCTCCAATCCTTGGGAAGCTTCGCTTCAAGCCCAAGACAATAAATGGCCTTGGCTGTTGCAAACGACCTTCTTCTACCTTTAGAGCCCGTGCGACTATCCAATTGCCGGAAGAGGATGGTAAGTAAATCAAATACGAGGGAAAGGGTGATCATGAAGAGCCCATAGAGTAAGAATATGCTCCTGGGCCCCGATAGATGGAGGGATTTCCACTCATGTTGCAATAGGTCACTGCCTGCCGACCTGATTGATACAAACTGCCAGAACCACCTCGTCTCAGACTAGTAATGTTTGACTGCAACAGTCACAAATACGGCTGATGGTGCAATGACACCTGGTCGCATGCATAGTGCTCCGAGGGACTAATTTAAGCTTATTTTAGTTGCATCGAGAAAGATATTGGATTCAATACTTGAGCCCTGGATTGATGAGAGGACATGAAAAAGACATCAGAGAGATCAGTTGATTCAACGGCTTCGCCGTATTAAACAATGTTCCTCATAAACTCTTCTTAAAATTGAATACGCCGAATATTACGGTTGGTCTGTCGAATGCAGCTCTGCCTCAAAGTCTCCGAAAGTCTCCGTCTTACGGGGATGGCAGAGCTTAAATACTCTCAACCGCTACTGTTCAACCTCACAGAAACCCAGGATTTACTATCTTAACACGAAAAAATGGCAAGTGTTGCTTTTCCTCACCTCGCAAAGGGTCATGTTCTTTCAACATCTCATTCCTATAGCTACGCCTACCATCCTCCTACTAATGTTTCACTGCCCACAATCCTCTTCCTCCACGGCTTCCCATCCTCATGCTACGACTGGCGACACCAGATAAATTTCTTCTCCCAAGAGGGATATGGAGTGTTGGTACCGGACCTTCTGGGTTACGGCGACACAGCCAAACCCACAGCCCTGGAAGACTACAAAACCAAGAGAATGGCAGCTGAAGTCATCGAGCTACTCGACCACGAAGGTATCAGTAAGGTTCACGCCGTGGGTCATGATACCGGATGCATCTTATTATCCCGGCTGCCAAACTACTTCCCAGATCGTTTGCTGTCCTGCACATTCTTAGACGTGCCCTACTCCAAGCCAGGAGAGCACTTCGATCTCGCCACGGTGAATGCTCTAACGAAGCAGTTCTTGGGTTACGAAAGGTTCGGGTATCTCGAGTTTTTCACCAGAGCCAAGGCAGGAGATATTATTGATCAACATGTAAGTTCAGCCTGACCTGGTGTCTACAGTGGTCTCGCCTGACGCCTAGCAGTCAGACTCGTTCTTCACCCTCTTCTACCCACAAGACCCCAGTTTATGGGTCGACCACGTTGGCCCAACAGGTGCGATGGAGGCTTGGCTACTTCAGGACCGAAAGGGACCTGAGCCGACATATGTTAACCAGGCTGTAAGCAGAATACTCTACTCCTTTCAGGAGGCGAGCGTCTAATGATATCCAGGAGCGACAAATTCACCAGGACATTCTGCGAAACGGCCATGGCTCAGCACTACAATGGTACCACGCTCTTGTAGAAAACATAAATGAGCAAGATGAGATTCAAGAAAACCTCGACCCAGTACTCCCAATGCCCGTCCTAATGGTCTGTCCGCAGCCAAGTGCGCTTGAGCTACCAGGCGTTGAAGAACAGATGAAGCAGGTTGCCTCTGATTTCACATTCAAAAGAGTGAGTACTTCGGGCCATTGGGTGCAACTGGAAGCACGCGATGAAATCAATACTATTCTGAGGAATTTTTTCGAGCGGTAGAACCGTCTATTGTTGTCATACTTAGAAACCCGCCTATACCAACTATACCCAATCTCACCTCAACGCAAGAAAACAGCCTCCGCTTTAGCATATCATAATAACTAATTAAAGAGGGCTGTGTAATATATATAAATCATCTCACTCCTGCCTCAGCTAAAATCACATAATCCCCCATGCGGCAATCCACGAGGCCATCCACATTTCATACTTCTTGAAGCATCACATCTTGACGTCATACCGGCATCAAACAGATAAACCACCCAGCATAGCACTTAACAATCAAAGCACCTACACTAAACACAATGCTTTTTACCACTGAAATTGAACTTCCGTACTAGTCATCAGACTCTACACAACCCCAACCGACCCAAAATGCCATTAAGAGCGGCGGCACCACAGCCCTCCCAACCCCCCAAAGAATCCGCCTACACCCAATCCGCCAACCCCGTAACCCACAGTCCCTACGAAGTCAAACAAAGCCAAGAGCGTGAACAACGCTCATACGGCACCGCGCCGGGCCTGATAACCCGCGGCGCATCTTCAAAGCCCTCCACAAACGAAACAATACTAGCCGCGAAGCATCGACACGAGGCCTCCCTCAAGGCGATGCAGGACGAGGGTGACGTGGATACGGACTACGGGGTTGAGCAGCAGCCTAACGAGGGCGCGATTGCGCATGCGGTGGAGGACCACTCGCGGCATCGGATGCAGGCGGGTGCGCATGCTGGTGCTGTTGGGACTGCGCAGGGGCCTGGAATGCCGGCGTATGGGGAAGAAGTGGACACGATGGCGCATCTGGATAGGAAGCGGGAGGAGCATCGGCGGATTTTGGGGGAGAGGGTTGGACGGTCGCCACCGGTACCGGATGGGGAGACGGCGGAGAGGGAGAGGCTTAGGGAGAGGAAGTTGAAGGAGAATAGGGAGCTACATGTTGGGGATGCAGTGAGGGAGGCGACGGGGAGCCCGGTTGTCGGGAGGTAGCTTGGTGAAACTTTTTTGTTGTTCCGTTATTGATTATCAGAATTGTGGGTATTATTGTACAGGTTATTGAGATCCACTGAAGTGAAGCTTAGACATAATTCATACTTGGGTATCAAAACAAATCTTCACGCGGTTTTCGGTGATGAACTCAGCTATCTGCATCATCTCCTTCACCGATCGAGACCTTTTTCAGAGAAACTTCCGTCTTTAGGTCCTGGATACGCTTGGCAAGTTTGCCCTTGAGAATTTGGTTCTTCTGCATTTCCCATTTCGCTGTCTCTGTGCGAATGAGGGCCTCCAGTTCTGCGATCTCTTCACGCGATTGTTGTACCAGTCGTTGTTGTTCAAGTTGTTCCTCATCGAGCTCATCCTCGGGTGTTTCATCTTCGCCGTTTGACCCGTCACTTTCGTCGCCCGATGTGTCTGCGCCTGCGCCTGCATCTGGAGCGGGAGTTGAGGGCTTGGTGGCCATAGGTGTACCAGCCTGATACACGCCGGACTCAGCAGCTTCTTCCACTACGCCGGCTTCAAGTGTGGTCCCGTCCTCTCCTGGTTCAGCTGCTAGAGCGGCCTCCATTTCTGCAGCAAGAGTGTCCTCGAGGTCTCCAAACATGTCGTCGACCTCTCCCATAGCCTCATCCACCTCGCCTTCAGCATCTTGCTCATCATCGTACTCGTAATCATCATATTCCCCGCTTTGTACGAGTCCTTCAGCACGATCGAGCGATGTCTTATCCACCAGCTCGTAACGAGGCGGTCCAATAGCAGCATCATCTTGAGCTATCAGATCCTCAACAGCTTTCTCAACCTGCTCGATGGTACGGGTGCTAACTCTGTCCCGGAAACGCCGTTTCCTCACCCATCGAAGCGGAGGGGCCAAACCATGGGGATACTGTAAGGCCATATCATCCGGACGTTGAATTTCAGCAGGAAGTGGGTAGTCCATAGCTTCTGCTTCGGCGGAGATGGGCCCTAGAACTAAGAGCATCTGGCAAATATCTGCCGATTTATACCACCCCCGTTTATCCCAACTTTTCATTCCCTCAATAATACACGGTAAGTCTACCAATACCGCGGCATACTGTTTGTCCCGGACCTTCAGGACAGATCGTCGACCGTCGCGGGTTAAAGGTTTGAAGTTAAACTCGGACTTGTCGAAACGGCGTTCGTCGATGGCGCGACGGAGGTACTCGCAGTCCTCTCCGGGTAGCATACGTAAAATAAACTGTTCTTCAATCGCAGGGTCGATTTCTGTATCGGATGCTTCCGAATCGTAGCCGACACCCGTTGGTCTGTTTGGCACGAGACCCTTGTTTTTAATTCGAATCGACTGAGCTCCAGGCTTCTTCGATGGATTCAATTTGAGTCGCTTTGGTCCGCTTGCTTGCGATGCGCCAGCGGCGGAAGGCTCGTTCGGGGCAGCTTCATCGGCTGGTCGTTTCTTCTTCTTCAAAGTAATCTTTTGCTTTTTCGGCTTCTCTTCTGACGGTGCCTCTTCCTTTGGTTTCCGCGCGATCTTGAGTGTGAGTTTGCGTTGAGGCGCTGGAGGTTGATCTGAAGGGGGAGGAGGAGCAGGTTGGCTCGGCGGTTGCTCAGGCGCCTTTTTCTTGCCGAAAGTGAGCTTCAGCGACGGTCGAGATGCGTCGGACATGTTGATATAAAGACCACTGCGCGTGGTCACTTGATTCTCATATGTGAAAGCTGTCAAGTGGTTGGTGAGGTGTTGCGTTGGAAGGTGTTGGGAAAGTTGGGCAAGGCGGCGAAGGCCAAGAAAGAACAGGAGCTTCCACCGGGGGTTCTGTCCGCCTCTCTTCAACTCAATATCCAACAGTCAACATCCAACACCTTGATCCGTTCTTCCGCTTCTTTCCTCGTTTCGTCGTTAGATAGGTGTATTAAACACAGCTTTTTCTACACGCAACCTCGTTTTAGCTAAATTAAGGGCTGCTGAGCCCATCCTTACGATGTCTGGCGCGAATCTTCACAATGCGCTTCTCCGCCCACCAATTATCCAGATTCTACGCGCAACTGGCTTTCATGCCACGCGTCCATCAGTCCTAGATACACTTGCGGATCTTACTGCTCGATATATCATGCTTCTTGCCTCCTCAACGTCAGACCACGCCGCAAACGCCCACCCAGAGAATCCGATACCCGTGTTAGAAGACGTTTACCAAGCGCTGCAGGACGCTGGCGCACTGCGACCGCAGTTACGAGAGTGGGAAGAATGGTGGGAAGGAGAGGAAGACATGCGGGGACTGGAAGGGTTCCTTTCGTGGTTTACAGGTTCTTCGAACCGCGAGATTCGACGTATCGCTGGTTTCGTTCCGAGTGAAGGTGATGTGGTCGACACCGATTCGCTCGAGAAGGAGGACTATCTTACGGCCTTGAAAAAGAAACATAGTAAAACGGGAGAGGAGTCTCGATATGCTGGTACTATCCTTGGGAAAAACGCCGAAGAACACCCAGTTGTTATCGAGGGTGGTGCGCCCACAATCCAGGAATGGAGCTCACAGATGCGATCACGAGCTCCTTACATGGCGGACAGCGACTCATCGGGCGTCAGCAGTGCGCCGAGCAATCTATCCGATACCGAAGGCATGGATGTATGATTGGGGTGCATATGTGGGTTGTCTCGTGTTTCGAACAGCTCTCAGAACTATACGCGACTCCTATTATGGCGACTTCAGTTATGAATTACGAGAACCAAACGTCGATTTCTCAATTTACACCCATCGAGACTTTATTCGACTCCCTCGTACGCTGAACCACACGACCGGCTGGGTCAGGCTAGGGGCACCCCAGTATGGTCAACCGACAACTGCGCTCAACTAGAGGTATTTGCGACACGTGTGAGGCAGAATATATATACCGGCAGATTCACCGAAAATAATGACATGCCCGGATGGAAGGGAATGATCTTCAGACAGATGGGTGACTACAGGCATGAATATGGCATTAGGGAAATAATGAGCGGGTGCTGTCGGTTTACAAAGGACCGTCTAGACATATTTGTAGGACCTCTACACGCGAAATCCATAGATACGCGTATTTAATTCAAACTGAGACAATGGGGTGTGCTTCTTGGCTGCGGCCTGGCGGTGACATCAATATCCAGCTATCTACGCCCAACGTAAACTGTACTTCCGCTCTCCAACCTACCACCACATCTTTACTGCATCAGTATGGTCTATCCCTTTGACCTTCCGACAACCTCGCACCTCTCCTTCCAGACTATCCTCTCGTCGCGTACGCATCCTTCCCTTCCACAATCTGCAACTACAGCCCGACATGCTCTCCGCCTCGCCCTCAAAGCGCACAACCGCCTACCCCGCGGCCCCCAGCGCGACTCACATTTAACCTCCGTCCTCTCCGCACTTAACGACTACCTCCCATTTCTCGCCGCAATTGCCCAAGGACTCAATGGGAAACCAATCGACCCCACCGGGAACCCCAATATTTCCCAGAGCGAGGAAATTGAAGTGACCCAGCGCACCGAGCTTGAGCCCGAATGGCGCGCGACACTCTCAGCAAGCTCACTGCCTCTAAAAAGCTCTCGAGCCACTACAAATCGCACGCGCGGATCAGGCATCCAGTATGAACTCGCTTTCACCCTCACGACGTTAGGTTACGTTCTATCATCTCTCGCGCGGTCCGGCGTTACCCGCACGCTTTACGCATCCTCTACACCCACCGCTGAACAACGCACCGCAGCTATCCAAACAGCAACAAAGCACCTTCTCCAAGCGAGCGCCATACACTCACTCCTGTCCTCGTCTCAATACTTTACAACAGTATTGGAGGCCGCTGCCGCGCCGGATCTAGCACCCGCGACGCAGGCTGCCCTATCGTCTCTCGCTTTAGCTGAGGCAACCTTGTATGCTGTTTTGAAAGATGACTCGTACGTAGTAGCTTGCATTCAGTCCCGAAACCCCAACGACAAGGACTGGATGGTAAGGGCACCGGAGATTCCCAAGGTCCGCGCACATCTTTTTGCCCGATTGTGTATTCGTGCGGCAGAGTATGCGGAGCAAGCGGCTACAGGACTGGGCTCTGTAGGCGTTGAGGGACGAAGGACGGGAATTGACGCGGACATAATACAGTACGCTCGTGTCCTGGGACTGGTATCTCGGGCTAGAGCTTGCCGATTTTTCGGGGTTGATGCGGAGCTTGCTGGAAAGATCGGGGAAGGCATTGCCTGGCTTCGAGCGGCGAAGGGAGCTCTCGGGTTGAAGAGTACGGGGCCTACAGAAGAGACGGCTACGAAGACTCGGGGGTTTTCCAAGTTGAAGCAAGGCTTCCGGGAGCGCCGCGAGGAGCGCCGGATGGAAAAGGGTGCCGGGGGTGAGCGACTGGAGAAGGGAGAGCTAGGCCCTGGAGATAACGCAGGTCGAGAGGAAGAGGGACGAGTGATTGAGATGTTGGAGACGAAGTGGGTGAGAATGAATGATACCGTAAGTGCGGTCCAACTCTACATCCTACATATGCTCACCTAGAAGCCAGATAAACACGCAATTGATTCCTTCCTCTGCGGACTATCTTGCCAATTTGCCTTCTGGTCGAGACGTCCTGCCACCCCAGCCTCCGTATGCTCTTCCACCTCTAGATGAGGAGCACTTGACCCGGATGCGCGCTCCGCCTACGGAATTGGAGTTGAGCCCTGATAGTGATATTGAGGACAGTGATGTCGAAAGTCCGGCTGCGGCAGATACGCCTGGGGCCTTTCCCGAACGGACCGACAGTGCTTACTATTGATACCCGATCTATATCACCTTGGATATATTGCTTTTAGTCAGGTCTACTTCATTGCTTTTGGCGGTTGGATATACCACCATCTTTTGTATATCGGGATGTGTATACGAACAGACCACATTGATCACAAAACAAGTTTCTCAACCCATTGTTTTCAACCATTTACCAACAATCTAAACGTAGTCTGCGTACCAAATTGGCTCAAAGTAATAAAAGGTATTCGTAAATGAGTCAACGAAAAAAGTACATTGGTAGTACATCAGCTGCTAAAAACACAAGGAAAAAAAATTGTAGTAAGAAACCCCGTCTAAACCCTTGCTCATTCTCCAATTCCTTACGTGGACTTTGAGAAATAGTTCTTCTCCTCGAATAGGTATCCCTTAATCTTCCTCTCGCTCAGCAATTCGAAGTACTTCTCTGCACACAGAAAGCTCACAATTAGCCACCGTTTTCTCGTTATATAAATGACTCCAGGCAGCCCGTATAATGCAGAATAGCAAGATAGGTCAAGTAGACCGGAACGAGAACAGAAGGGGACTGAAAAAAAAAAAGGAAAAGAAAAGAAACCAGGTAGGAAGAAACATACCCCTCAACTTCCCACACTTCTCGAGGTGGTTCACGCCCTCCCGCGCATAGCACTTCCCTAATTCTTCGCCGACAAGTCGCGACATCATGCTGCGGACCCATTGCTCGCGGATAATGGCGTCGCGGGCATTGTGGACGGCGACGTTGTCTTCGTAGTCGACGCCCTCGTAGGTCGGCGGGACGGTAGGCTTTTTAGCGAGAAAGGCGGCGGATTCGGGGGTCGGCATTTTGATCTTTTTGTGCCTTTTGGTTTTGGTCCGGCGAGGATCGCGTAGTCGGCGGAGGTTGGACGGAGTTGGAGGTGTAATGGGCTTGAGCCGATGCTGGTGCAGCTGGAGTTGAGGCTTCTGCCGGAAGTTGGTGATGGGGGTGAATGCAATTGGGGCGTTATGATTGGTTTCTCGGTTGGCGGTCGGAAATACGGTTGCCAGCGCCTAAAGGTAGTGCAATTCTGTATGTGCTCACGTGACCTGTATACAAAGAAGGACAGTTATTGAGACCATGTTATTAGGTTTTTGGAGTTGGTAAGACAAATATAAATCTAAACTCACATATCTATAAAATTATACAGGGGAGCTATAATAAATTATATATGAAATCCAACACCATGCCAAGCGACATTACTCATAGGGCGAACTGTCGAAGTACAGGGTTCCGCCAAAGAACGTATGGTATATTTCAAGCAGACTGCCTCGTATGCGTTCCCATGCTGTGCGATTCAGCCACCTGCTATATTCGCGGTACGAGTACATCTCGTCCCAGCAGTCCCGGCCAAAGTCGCACCCCGCCATATTTACAACAAAATCCCGTCCACCCTCCGTATAGTGGACTTGCTGATCCATTTCATCTCCGCAGGCCCCAGGGGGGAAAGAACTGATATATCGCTGGGGAAGGAATGCGAGATTGTTGCGAATCCACGGTTGATTTTCGTAGAGGTACTCAAGCGCATCCTGTTCCTTATGTTCCCATTGCATATGCCGCTGCTCATAAGTAAGAGGATCCCACCATGTGTCTAATAGCCGCTCGGTCCAAAGAGATCGGTGGACAAAGAACGACCCCAGGTTGAACCCACCGCAATCTTGTGAGAGCAAGAAATGAATTGAAGATGAGTCCCCATCACCATCCGCCGAGCGTGATACCTCATCAAGGTACGGTTGTATGGGAGGATGGGTAATGTTTAGGGGGTTGTATTCGTTTATATCGCGGTAAACAATCTCATCGAGACGGTTGAAAATGTGGTCTTGGAGGGAGTAGGAGGGCTCCATAATATAAGTGGTGAGGTCAAGCCACCAGAACCTATAAAGTGTTAGCAATTGCTACGTGGTTTTGGACTTCATAGGTGGCATACCATTCTGCGTCAGGATGCTTCCGCATGGTATCACGCAGAATGTCGACCTTTTCCCAACCCTCGCGCCATTCATGAGAATAGCGCTTTTTTGCTAACATGTTGACAGTCTCCAGTTCGTACCCCCATCTTTTAGCATAATCTTTCTTATTCTTAATGCTGTTGCGCTCGATGGCCCATTCCCTTGTACTTTTCAATTCCATAACTCCGCCCTCGATATTGGATTCAAGTATTATGACGAATTTTCGTCCACCTCCAAAGGCTGATCGCCTAAAGGTTTCGACAAAGACTGAATAAACGACGTCAATTACCGCCTCAAATCTAATCAAAGGACCCGCATAAGGAATAACTCACATGTCCAAAATAACACGTATCCAACTAGAAAGAGCATCAACGCTAGAAGGAGTCGTGACCTCCTTCGTCGTATGACGGCCCTCCCTAGCCACATCGGGCGCCAACTCCGTCGATGTCCATATGCAGAGCCATCTTTCTCAGAGTATCCCTTCGGCGACCTAGAGCTCACTCGAAACTTCGGAAGAGTGGCAGATATTTGGTTTTTCGAGCGCGAAAAGAACCCGTTATTCTTAGTAGAAAAGGATGGATAGCCCCGGACCTCATCGCTTTTGGCTTTAGCAGCTAGCCACGGGTCGGATTGACTGAGTGGCTGGAGGCTATTCTGAGGTGTTGATCTGCCACTGCCGGATGTCAAACCAGGGCTCGACCACCCTCCTCCCGGACGGGGAGAGGGCGACCGAGTTAGCGACATGGGAAAGCGTTAAAGGCTATGGTAACCAGGGCGGAATGTAAGCGAGGAATTCGAGTCAACTCGCTGTACGCCGGTTGTCTCACGAGGACACGGCAAGGCGACCCAGGGGTTCCTCGCTGCAAGGAGAGGGCTAGGTTGGGTGTCAAGATCGCTGTGGCACCTCGAGCGACAACGATAGAATAGCAGTAAAGCACTGTATCGACCTCGCGATGTGCGGGGGAATTTTCCCCAAGTGATTGTCGCAATTGATAGAGAGTATGCACTAGGTATGCACAGGATGGGCGCAGATCGTCCAGGCGATCTGCAGCGAGCTCTGGCTAATCAAAAAACAACCAGATAGTTATAGCAAGGGGTGATGAGACCGCACAAGGAAAACGAGAGGAGACCAGTAGTTGAAGCAGGAAAAGCCGCTGACCTCAACGTACTTTGGCTTTCTATCTAGAGAGAGCTTGCCGCGAACGGCCTGCCCGCTTTCGTCAGTTGAAGCTTGGAGAGCCACCTCTCAGGGTCCAGGAACCCAGGTTCCACGGAACGAAGTTATAGAATCCACGGCGCTCAGCAGATGTTCCCTATTTAAAGTAACTCACTGTCATTACCTCGACTTTTATTATGAAGGGTGGATGGCGAAATTGCAGACAGACTGAGACAGCGACAATTGAAGCTGAAACGCCGTGGCTCTGGAGGGAGAGCATATCAGGCAGGCCAATCACTAGTTGTTACCTCGCTTGTTCAAACTTGCCTGGGGAATGCAAGGAGGCGGCCATTGAGCTCATAATGTGGGTGGTTCCCTGCGAGGAACGTGGAAGTTGAGGTTGAGGTTGGAAACTTGGAAATGCAACAAGGCTCGGCCCTAGCCAGTGGTCGGGCGAGAACCACAGGCTTCCGTTTTCAGACACATGTAAGTAAGCATGTCAGTACACTACTCTCGAAGGGCACAGTGGCGCACCAATATACATAGTATTGATATTGCTCTAAATAGATTTGATGAGTAAAGGTATAGCTGATTCTTCCTGCGAATTTTTATTTTCTTTCCACTTCCTCTTATTTGCTTTTTTTTGTGAGTTTATCTTGTGTCGAGTCGGAGAACCCCAAAACGCGGTAGCAAGCCAAGGCACCAATACCTACATTCTTGTTCCAAGCCGTTTAGAATAAAGTCCAAATTGAAACCAGTTCACCAAAAACTCCATGATGCCCCACAGTATTACTCTTTCACATTAAGATGTCGTCGTGCCGGTTGTTGATTGGCCGCTGCGTCTTTGGATGTCAATGCTTTGCGCACTGCAAAACCTGTCTCATTCTCCGGTCGTTCGCGCGCGCTATCCCCATGGTAGAACTCGCACTTGAACTTTAAGAATTTGTTGCGATGGCGGTAGATCGTTATGATATCGCCGGTATACAGCTTGCCGAAATGACGGCCTCCTTCTGGGCCTTTGTGGAGTTCGACGTCGTTCACCCAGATCCACTTGCGAGTCTTCGTCGAAAGACAAGCCATTGTCCCGGGAATATCCATCCAGTCTTGTCCAGACGCAACACGCTCCTCGAGCCTTGGAGCCCAAAAGGTCACCTCAATGGCATAGGCAGGAATGCGACTATCCATTGGGTCAGGATAACAGATACTTGCTTTAGGACCACGCCCCCAGGACGTCATTCGGCCCTCTAGCTGGAGAGTGAGATCAATTATTGACCCCGGTAGAGATATAAGTTTTCCTAGTAGAGGCCGTGACTGGTCGGTCGGCGGAAGAGGTCTTGGTATTGCAACAGGGCCGCCGATCTGAGTTGGGTCTTCGGGGGGTTGGAAGCCTCTTGTTTCAGACTGCTCACGGACTGACTGACCGGTTTTGGCGTCCATCGTATTGGCAAGTTCGATATCGAAAATCTCTCCTGGTTCACGCGCTGAGTATCCATTTTGGCCGCCTACATTCTGTATGTTACTATCATCCGAGCTAGAACGTTCACTAGCAGTGTCCGGTAAAGGCAATTCAATCCGCCGACTGAATTTGGCTGCTTTTGGGGTTGTATGAGAATTGGCTTGCGGAATTTCTTCCTGAACTTTATCGTCAACAGCGCCAACGCCCTCATTGAGATGAAGGCTTGCTGTCTCGCTGGAGGGGAGAGGATTTCTGGAAGTGCCAGGGTGCCACGAGTTCATGTTGAGCTGCCGGACGAGATTCTCAGCGCCCAGTAAGCTAAGTGCCGATCCAGAAACGGGGTTTTCCGGGAGGGATATGACGGAGTGGAGGCTGTCGCCGTAACTGATCATCGACTCACCGGTTGAAGAAACGAAGTCATGGATGCTAAAATTGCCATCCTCAAATGGATCCATGTTGGCGCCCAAGGCATGGGAGCTGCGCAGAGCAGATGAAGATATTTCTCCAAAAAGGCGTCTTGGTGTGGACTGGGCCAGTTGTTGATAATCCTGCGAATTTTCAATGTTTGGAAGCGACGGGTAACGGATCTCTGTAGGGGGGGAATCTATCCTGGGTCTTTTCGATTGAGTCAAGTCGCTGTCATTTTCGGCGAACTCTTCATCCAAATTACCGCCTTCTTCGAGGGAGAGTTGAGAAGCATCCAGGTCATCTTCCGCATCTTCACCTATATCAGAGAGTCCATCCGAGTAGTTCGACGTTATATCGTTGTCTTCGTATTCATCCACATCAGGAACATCAACTAGCCAATCATGCTTGAGGCAGTCCCGTTCTTTGGGTCGAAGCTGAGGGTCACGGTTGAGAAGCTTAGATACCAAGTCAATACCCGCTTCCGAGACACCTGCACTGCGGAGTATGTTGTATTCAGGGTCTGTTGTCATGATAGTTCGCAGCATCTGCGCTCCTCGATCATCGCCTCGGCCAGTATACGGCGGAACACCGGCAAGAAGGTGGTAAAGAACGGCACCAAGCGAATACATATCCACAGATTGGTCATAGGGTGAAGTTTTTGGTTGCCTTGTTACCAGTTAAAAAAAGGTTAGTTGGGAGGGATGGGGTCACCTACGGATCTCCAACCCTACGTCTCTTCCTCGCCTCACCACGACGATACATGTCATACTCCGGATAAACCTCCGGTGCGCAGTATAGGAGCGTTCCACAAAATGTTTTCAGGAATGTCTCCTCCTGAACAACCTTTGACAATCCAAAGTCCGAAAGTTTCACTTTCAGCGGCTCCGGGGATGCGATTAGGATATTGTCCGGCTTGATATCACGATGTGTGATTCTCCGTTTATGGAGGTACTTTAGCGCGTGAATTATTTGCCGAGCAATTGTCTTCACCATATCCTCGGGGATCTTGACCATGTTTTGTAGGTATGTAGACAACTCTCCACAAGGAACATATTCCATGATGATATAAATCCAGCGGTCATGTTCATGATGATCGATATACTGAACAATATTGGGCTGTTTAGACATTAGGTTAATAAAAGTGAAAAGGACACTCGTGGTACAATTTCATTCACTCACATGTTTTAGGTCCTTCATAATCTTCAGTTCGTTGTCAACCTTTTGATCAAGTATACCGTTCTTCATGAATCGGCGTTTGTCAAGTTCCTTAGCTGCATACACAGCTCCATGCTGCTTCGTAGCTAGCTTGTAGACCACTGCAAAAGCCCCCTTCCCGATTTGTCCAGTGACATTGTACGTTGGCCCACCCGACCAGTGCATCCCGTGAGTATTCCATGACGGAATCCCATGGGTTGACGGTTGGCGCTTCCCAGGTTGCACAGTGCCCTGGGCTTGTCCAATGTGCTTCTCGAGGTTCTTGGCATATATTTCTGAAAATCCATCCCTATTGGGCATACGGACCACGAACTTCACTTCATTCGGGGGATCATCACCATTGACCACTTGAATGACGGACCCATTGGTTAACATTCGGCTGTTCTCTTTCTCCCGCTTGCGAAGGCGGCAGTTGTCTACAATCGTGCCGTTGGTCGAGACATCCTCAAGCATGAGAATACAGTTATCTGTGAAGTATATCCGAAAGTGCGTGTTGGAGATACGCCTGGAAGTAGTGTCTGCAGCAAGAAGTATATCGGAACGGCCCAGTGTACGCCCAAAGCAAAAGCCCCGGCTAGGGTCATTTACTTTTGAGGACAATCTAAGAGCAATGTCTAGGGCTGGGGCACCGGAAACTCCGTATTCAAGTGCATCCCTTTGTAAAATATGCCAGGGTGCGATGCGAGCTGTTGCGGCTACTGCTTCGAGAGCCCCGGGGGAGCTCGGGTGAAGAATACAGATGACATCCCCCAAGTCCTCTTCGAGTAGTCCAGAATTATTAAGGTTTTCGCGTCGAGGATCCGTGTATGGTTGAGTTGACTCTTGTGTTGCCTCCATGCCGGAAAGGCAAGTGGTCCTGAGAGGACAGTATCACCTAGGATAGAAAACCAAGACGGAAAATGAAGGGCATATGGAAAGGCTTGATATAAGTCTGAGTGTTTTTGCTCCACTAGAGGCGGTCCATATCATACACCTGACCACGCATCAGTGTTCGTGATCTAAATACCAGTACTGACAACGTTTTGGTGTTCGACGGTCAGGCACTTTACCTTATAAGGATGAAACCAAAAGGAAAGTATCTGTGGTATGTTGGTTTGGAAGCTGGAAGTTCCTGATGGGTAGTCGTGGTTTGGACGTACGCCGAGATATATGCCCAGGGTATCTTGAAGGAAGGGTGAGGCACCCAACGGAACGTAAACGGTCGGAAATGCAACAAAATCTAAAATATTCTGAGTTGAATATTGCCCAGGCTTGTTCAAGAAAGCCAAGAGCTTCTGTTTAAGCTGATCGCCTCCAACGATGGCGAAGATCCGTTATGTTCAAACACTATTCCTCGAAGGCAGCAAAATGTCATTGAAAAAAAAAGAGTGGCGGCGAACAGTTTGTACACGAAGATCCACGGGGGAAGCGATTATATCTGCAGCAGTCGTTGGCAGTCAGTTCTATGCAGTTCTTCCTCATTCAACAAAAAGATGGAGCTCGGACGTACACACTTGACAAAATCCGCCTGAGCCATTCAAAACAATCAGCAAGGCTGATTGCAGAGATGGGTTATGTTTGGCAGGCGGAATCAGTTTCGGGACAAGACGAGAGACTTTCTGGTTTGAGTCTTCGAGTCGTCGACTCGTCGTCCGAGGAACGCACAAGAAGACACGGGAGATGGCTCAGCTTTATGAGCCTCCAAGGAAGCCACAGGCAGAAATAAGGCATCAATATTCGTTCCTGAGGCCACAATAATGCACCCCAGCCAATGAAATTTCACTTTGATGGGACTCACGGGAGCCGACCATGGTTGCTTTGTTTAAGCTCAATTAGGCCGCCAGAGGCTTTCCTGCGCCGCCTATCCAACGTTTATTTTGGTAACCAGCAAACTATAGAAGGCTGCGATTGCATTGCTTACTTGGACGATGATATTGTCAGCGTCTTCCCTACGATCTACGATGGGGGGAATTTCTGAATTCTGGAGATTTTTGCTATCTATCTATGTTTGCAGGTCACAGCTATCGGCTGCCGTAAGGCTTACTGCTGTCAGCACTCTGTTTGTGTTGGCCTCCCAGCACCATGTCAAATACTTGCCCCAGGCGGTTGATTGCATCATCTGATACCTCTGCAAGGTGTTAGGACTTGCCGAACGCGACTACATGGGGCTGGGGTCAGGGACGTACGGTAATGGACAACAATTCTGTTCCCCAAGAGCTTTAGTCCTTTCTCTTTCCCGGTCTCGGCCAGATCATTGGGCCCTAGCCCAGATGCCTCAATGTCCAGCCATGCCATGTTAGTATGGACGGGGTAGGCTAGTTTGCCACCACGATTCGTCCACATATCTGCGACACGTTTCGCTTTGATATGGGTCTCTCGGAGCTTTCCTTGCTGTCCGTGAGCGTCTTTTCCAAAGGTTTCATCCAGAGCAACCCTTGCAGCCGAAGCTATCACTCCACTTTGACGGGTGCCGCCTCCCACTGACTTGCGAAACCAGCGGGCCTTTTTGATAAAAGCTTCTGATCCAACTATAATGCTGCCAATAGGTGCACCTAGACCCTTAGAGAAGCACAGACTAATGCTATCAAAGAGGCTGGTGTAGTCCTCCAAGCTCCCTGCTCCCGACACCACAGCCTCCCACAATCTCGCGCCATCCAGGTGTACCTTGATTCCATTTTTGTGCGCCCACTCCGTAATCCTGCGGGCTTCCTCTAGCGGCATTATCATCCCATCCAGTGTATTCTCCAAACTTATCAACTTTGTGGGGCATTTGTGGACATCATCGCTAATTATCACTTTCTTCTGAACATCCTCGAGCGTGATATAGGTTTCATTCTTGGGAATAATGGGTATAACTGTAGCTCCCGTCCAAGCACTGACACCTCCCGCCTCATAGCAAATGATGTGGGACCGATAATCACAAACAACGGAGTATGGCGGTTCGACTAAGTGGGTGCGAATGGCAACTTGGTTCCCCATTGTACCCGACATCACCAATAGCCCCGCCTCGTGACCAGTACGTTTGGCGACATATGTTTGTAAGTCATTTGTCACGGTGTCTTCCTCGAAAACATCGTCTGAAAGGGTCGTCTGGCAGATGGCGTTGAGCATGGAGGGAGTTGGCTTGGTCATAGTGTCACCTGTCCCCGCAGACATTTAGTAAAATAATCAAATAGGCCTGATATGTGTCCAGAGTATCAGAGCCTAACTCACTCCTCAAATCAAATTCAGCGGCGCCGGCGCCCTGCCATGTTGTCCGGCCACCACCGGCGGCATCAGAGGATGTTGCCATGTTCGCGATAGGTCTCGAGCCGTGTCTGGCCTGTAGAATCGACAAGGTAGGTCGAAACAGGCGTGGAGGCTGAAAGATGGGTCTAGCGAAACGTTTCATTCAGGTGTAATTCCGGGTGCATCACTTGTTAGAAGAAAGAGGGGAGATTGTTGTCTTGGAGAAAGAATCCCCTCTCCTTCCCTCGACAGTCGCGACATGTGGGGTTGACTGGCTTAGCTTGTTTTGCGAAAAAAACGACGACTCTCACATGGATTTGCTAAAGCTACTAACGCAATATAGGAGTCCAATCTATTGGTAATTTTCAAAATAGCTGCACTTATACTAGGAATTCGATCTCCGCTGGTTGTCACGAAGCATCTACCAGGCATCAGGGCCAATTTCCACAAGCTGAGAGAAGATACCCCTCGTGCAATTGGCTGGAAATGGCAAACAGTGACGCTAGCCTTAATAGGACTAGCAGTTTTGTCTCCGTTTTTGTCTGGAGGCTGGGGGAAATACGCCAACCTAATTAGACTAGAGTGCCCACTGCCAAGGCGCGTGAGCATTTCTCGACATTCCCAAAGAAGAAAGGCCCCGCCGGCGTGTTCCAATTTGGAGCTGACTCAGCAGTCCAGACTCGCCTCTGGAATCAGGTTTGCGGACATCTTTGCTCTTGACGTGCAGTCCTGGAATGATCTTAGAGTTTCCCCATGACAGGTGGCGCACACCACATCGACAGCATTTTCACGCTTCAGCATGGAGACCAGCACCATGGATCTCTCTAGACTCACCCGCCCGGCAATACTTTGCCAGTGTTCGCGATGCTTAAGCTCTCTAGCAGTTCTTGAGAACGAATGGGTGAAACTGTCGAACTCATATTCGGTTGTTTCTGGCTGGCTTAGCATCCAACTTCACCGTCTCGCAATTTCCAGCGAAAAGAAGCAGATTCCGCAGTCGTCCGAGTTAAGCATACGTGGTCGCATTGTTCAGGAGATAGGATGTAAACTTTGCCAACAGAAACTGGGGGTCCTGTGCGCTCTGGACAATGGGTGAGTTCAATTTCTCAGCAGGTGAAACTTTGCGCAAAGTCTTAAAGCTAATTTTTCAGCCCGAATGTCTTCTGGAAGTTATCGAAAGTCTCGTTACTCGAGATCGTCACGATGCGCACGGTAGAGCCGACATTCAAAGACGGAGATAGAGTGCTCGAGGATCTTTTGTTTCCCAGACCCAAAACACTGGGAGTGGATGGGGCATCCTCTCATGCAGGGGCTTTAGTGGCAATGAACGCCGGTGAAGTCGACAACTACGATGTGTCTGTAGAGCATCAGATCCAGCGGCAAGGTCTAAGCCTCGATCATATTTCCAGCTCTGTTAGCAATCTGCACGATACGATGCACGAGTTGAAAAATGCCTTTACTTCTATGCGTATCGAATTGAATGGCCCGAGTCGTTTTCCGAACGAGCATGATCTTGCGAATTCCGATTTCAACATGGTGACAACAGTGCTGAAAGAACTGAAATCGAAGGCGGATGAGATCGAGAAACTGAAGCTCGAGATTGAGGCCTTGAAATTCCGCAATCGTTATGTGGAGGAACACACGAGACAGGCGCTCCCAACTTTGACCGTTGAAGCACCACTTCCAGAAGTCGCAACTCCGGGACTCCTTAGGGAGGGCAGGAAACGACCCTTCCCCTTTCCAGATCACTACCAGGGTGGCCGTGAAAGGCCTGTTGCGGATTCTTTTGATGATGATGGCGATGAAGAAGACAGCATGATCAATTTCTCTTTGGGGGAGACTGACATGCCCTCTGTTAAAATTCCACTAAAGGGCAATGGAACAACAGCGGAACCAACGCCTGATCCTACGTCTTCAAGGTCTCCCAGGCTTCAGATTGAAGTTAACAACCAAATGAATGAGACCCCGCAGTCTCTCTCGCTAGATCAACCCTCATCGAAACGACCGCGTCTCTCGTCAAGTGGGAACTCGGGCCCCAACAAGAGGGCCAGAGGCCGTCCTCCTCGGAAGTCAATCAGTCAGACCACGCAACCTGCCTCAGTTTCAAATTCGAAGCCGGCCTCGGTGCCCGAGCAAGATAGCAACCCTCAACACTCTACTCCAAGCAGCCACCAGGGGACTCTGGATACCCGCCCAGCGCGGTCTAGCAGTCTGCGCAGCCGCTCGCGAGCCCGATCGCCAAATTCAAGAAACAGATTGTCCACAGACAACCCACAGCAAAACAAAAACACTTCAACGGACAGCAGAAACCAGCCCACGGTCGAACTAGACAAAGAAAACCCTCATGTCGAAGTCCATGAATCACAACATAATGGTGGGAAAGTGTCCAGGGTTGAAATGAACGAGAAACGTAAGACGCAGACCGCAACGCGAGATAACTTGGCAAAGCTAGCCATGCAGCGCGAAGAAGCTATGGATACCGGGGATATCCGATAGCACTTTGGTTTTCGAGAAAATGTACCAATATACCTACCACGTTCACTTCTATTACGATGTATAACTATTTGAAATATGCAGTTCGGCTAGTCTCGGCCATGCTTCGGAATTTGGGTAAAAACTTTTTTAACAAAAAGTCCAGCACGCTGTTTATTAATATTGCGGTGCTTCATTGGGTATCTCTAACATGTATCCAATATAGTAAGGTAGATAGAGCATGTACAACATGAATTAAACCATCCAATGGTTTATTCAACCAACTACTTCACACACATAAACCCACACCCCTCTCTAGCACGTTCACAAGCCTTCTTCAGAGCCTGTTCTTCAGTATCCGTCCATTTGACGGTCAGCTCATCCCACGGCTTTTTCGACTGATACTCGTCACGGAAAAGCTTTTGCATTGCTTGTAAACGGCTCACCTCCCGAGGATCACCAGTTCCGGAGTACACAACAAAAAGCGTGAAAGCTGGAAGAGAGTCATAGACCTCATTGATCCGGGAGACTGTCCGAGAGACGACGCTGGATAGCGTCTTTGACGGGGAGTCTGTTTCCTCGTTGATAGTTGTTGATTCATTGGCATTCTTTGGGTCCGGAATCCGGTTGCACCATCCCCGGTAGATTTCAAGTTCACGCATGCGAGCCCAGGTGAAATCAACCCCATCGCCGGGTATAGACGAGTTATCCTCATCTCCATTTACGGCAGCGGAGATGCCTTTTACCACGGCATCATCATCACCGCATCCAATCGAGGCGGTGGCCTGCGACCCCAGGCCACGCTCGGGGCTGCCCCAATCAACGACCGCGCCTGTGCGACCCGTCGTGGTGGCATCTGCCTTCCCAGAAGGTGTATGCCGACCTAGACGTTTGAAGATACTCTCGTTGGAAGCGTCACTTGTGCCCCACTGTTCACCTTTTTCGCATTTTTGTTTGACGAGCTCGAGGACGGCACGGGCATCTTCGATGGAATCATGGCCTGTTGTGCCCTTTTGGATTTCCTTGCCCAGGTATTTCTGGGTAAGCCATTTCAGACTTGCTCTGAGTGGGGGGCCACGAGGGTGAGGGTATAAGAATGTGGTGTCGACAATGAAGGGATGGGTGAGTTTCAGGGCGTTTAGGTCTGAGTTCAGCGAGTGGCCGACAAGGATCGTGCGAGCAGTGATTATGGAAAGTAGCTTTTGCTGGATGTCCGCGAGCGTGGTAGTGACGGGGTCTAACATCTCCTGAGTGATTCCTGAGAACCGGGTTAAATAGTCAATCACAGGCAATTTTGGTTTTACAAGCTCGTCTAGGACAACATCGCCGTCCCACCGGACCAAGCTGATGCGGGTGAGCTCTGAATTACCGCCTTCAGTGATGCACATCTCACAATCCAAGGCAAGTATGTCGCGTCCTGCCGTCATACTCCCTTGCTGAATCTCAGCTTCAGGAATAATGCCAGCTTCGATGCTTTCTACATGAGTGTCTACCCACCCATCTTCCGTAGACTGGCCGGCTCGTTTCCGAGTCTCGTCCAAAATCAACTTCTCGCTTTCTGATACAGAAAGTGCGGGGTGTAGAGGATAATCATTCTCTCGTAGTTCCCCAACCAGGCTTATGAACGTTGTAATAGCGGTTCGCTTGGGTGTATGGTTTTTGTCGACTCGAGGCGGTTTCGCGCCTTTCCCATTTTTGTCTTTGTTTTTAGGTAGAGGGGTCATAAGAACGGCCTGCAAAGGCGAGTGAACTTTGTTATACTTTGAGTCTCCAGGTGCCCGAATTGGCCAGGCGTGAGAAAAGATGTTGGCTAAAGGCTGTAAAGGTTCAGGGACGGTACTGGTGGATAGAGGACGGGGGCTGAACAAGTGAGACCGGTCCTCAGGTGGCAGACCTTCTTTCCATCTTGCAAACTCAGCCGCCCTTAAATCAGTGCCATCATCGGCCGGCTTATCTTCAGTGCCCTTTTTCACTTGCGATGCATCCAAAGGAACTGTTCCATCAAGCATCCCTAGCTCTAAACCAGGAACCATCAAGAATACTGCCTTCCGGATACGAGTGCTATTCTTAACAGCTATCCATTGTGGTGCAATGCCATCTGCGAAGCAGAACAGCAGCAAATTCTGGAGGTCGGCGATGCGGATAGAGGACTGCAGCTGTCGGCCTTCAACATAAGTGAGGGTGGGATATTTAACCTTCTCGCCGTTCAATCGCTTCTTCTTCGCAGGTCGTTGATTGCCTGATGTAGCCTCAGCATCGTGTGTCTTTTTCTCGCAAACGGCAATTGGCAATTCGGTAGCAGAAGTACTGCTGTTGTCAGGCGAGGATTCCTCCGACTTTTGCAGCAGCGACAGAGTCTGACCTAAACCAAATCCTTGTGAGTCAGGGTTCGCCACGACTGGGACTTCATCATCCGAGTACCCAGGCTCTGTATGCCTGCGTCTCTTTGTATTTGGCATATCTGGCGGCAGGACAGATGAATTGTGCCTGTTGAGGTTTCGTTCCAATCGCAGGACAGGTCTTTAACTCCGAAACGGTCGGTCAACTTCTGAATCTCTCACGTGATGATAGCGGGTATTAATACGGTAACCCATAGTATGCACCGGCTCGTTATCTGATCCCCACGAAACAGCCATCTTGACCGATCAGTGTCACCTTTGGTGCTCAGATGTTTCCCGTCTTTCAGTGCCCCATAAGTGTAGTGGTGGTCTTGAGTCTAAGCAAATCACTCAAGTTGTAGATGTGGCACGGACATAGGATTTCTCGCAGAATTTCCCGCCTGAAGAATAGATGATTCACCAACCCGCAGTTTGGTAAATGTAACAATTGTGTAATCGGAATACATTCAGCGGGAAAAAGAAAAAAGGTTTCGATCCGCGACCGGAGCGCGAATTTGGCCGCTTATCAGATCGAATCGTCATTTCGCCGCCTCTTCTCGTCTTCTTCTACTTCTCCATCGACTCGACACTCAGCTTCATCAATATTTGTGTCGCCTCTCTCGCGTGCGCTTCCCCCTTTTTCTATCGCTCGCTTTCACTCTGACCTCGCAAAGTTAACAGCCAGCCCCAGAGAGTCCCAGCTCTCCCGATCATTCCCGTTTTTCCCCCGCCAGCCCTCTACCTAAGCCCACCCCACATCCCAAAGAAAATCACCTTCCTCACGCGATGTCTACCCTCCTCGAGATAACCTCAGAGGAGAGCTTCACCCCTCAAATTGCCTCTATCCCAGCCTCAACTCTCGTTGTTCTCTACTTCCACGCACCATGGGCAGCCCCGTGCGCGCAAATGCGAGCCGTCCTCTCCGCCCTCGCCTCTCAATACCCCGTCACCTCCCCACCAACTGTCGCCTTCTTCAGCATCAACGCCGAAGAGCTCCCTGATATCTCCGAAGAATACGATGTCACGGCTGTTCCATATGTCGTCCTTCTCAGGGACAGTAAAGTTCTCGAATCTATTAGCGGGAGCGAGGCAACCAAGGCGCGCGATGCTGTCGAGCGATATGCTGGTGCCGGGTCAAGCGCCGGCGCCAATAGTGCCGGTTCCACTACTATCCCACCAGCGTTGACCGCTGTGCCCAGGGAGGACGGCGCGACAACGGCTACACAGGCACCTATGTTGTCTGCCGGTCAGAGTGCAGGTGGCGCACCAGCCCTGACACCTGAACAGTCGAAGGAGGCGTTGTTTGCTCGTCTTGCGGAACTGGTTAAAGCTGCGCCAGTTATGCTGTTTATGAAGGGGACGCCTAGCGCGCCTCAGTGTGGATTCAGCCGGCAACTGGTTGGTATCTTGCGTGAGCGGAGTGTCAAGTATGGATTCTTCAACATCCTTGCCGACGAGGATGTAAGACAGGGCTTGAAGGAATTCGCGGACTGGCCCACTTTCCCACAGCTTTGGGTTGGTGGGGAGTTAGTCGGAGGATTAGATATTGTATGTCCCCTTTCAGTTTTGGTGGGTTTCTTCTTCGTGGCTTAACTGACATCTGGTTCTCGATACAGGTCAAGGAGGAACTTGAGAATGACCCTGATTTCCTTGACAGCTTCTCTGTTAACAAGGCCACTGCTGCCGCCTAATGTAGAGAAATAAATAAAAGATATACGGGTCAACTTGTGGTCTTAGTTCACGCCAATCTTCTAAATTACCTATTAGATTTACGCAAACATGAATCAGAATACCTTAGTTAACTATGGTGTCTTACCTTCTGTAGCAAGTGCTGACAAGCGTGCTATCTATATATTTATACGAAATTGAGGCTAGGGTATGTAAGAATGTTTTTAATGGAAAGAAAAAAAAGAAACCCAGGTGTAATTACATTCTAAAGTAATGTATTCTATCTTTGCAGAGACGGCGGCTGATATTACGCATAAATACTTTTACAAGTTCCTTCGTCCAATTCTATCAAGTTCAAACTTTCGAACAGCCGGGTTCTCTTGACTTCTAGGATACTATACACAGCCTCAAGAAGCAGTCCAGTTCTATTTGTCTTTGTTTTTAACCGAGATCAGCATGGAATCACTCCAAAACTAACCCTTTCTGTTCTTGACCATTCCGACATATTCGGGGTTTCCGGCAGTTTGAGTCCTGATATCCCATAAAACTGCAGCTAGTCCTCGCCAGTCCCCCCAGGGGTCGTCCATGCACCAGGGTCAGCCTCCTTTTGCACACGGAATCGAGACTGAACTACATCGGTGTCGAGATAAGCTCCCGCAAGCCACCGCTCACCCTTAGCAGTATTGAACTGGCGACGAGCATGAACCACGCGACGATTTTCAAATATAACGCATTCGCCAGGATTAAGTTTCAATTCGAATATAGAGGTTTCCGATTCGAGACGTTTGGCGAAAGCCTGCAGGGCTTCGATCTCCATTTTCTGCCACCCTACCGATCCATAGGCCTTGTCCATGCTTTCAATTTTAGGACCTTGGAAGGGAGGTGAGTAGTTGACAAATTCAAGGAGTGACCCTTTCGATCTGTCGGCCCCCACGTCAAAGACCGGCCGTACTTGACAGTATTTACTATCCTCATGTAGATAGCTGTACGATAGATTTGTCTTTGTTAGCGCGTCAAAGTATTCCCGTTCGTAATTATGCATTTTGGCGGCAGCATGGAATGCATCTGCAAACAGCGACTCTCCACCATCACATGAATTCCGAAGACAGTGCAGAAATTGGTATCCTGGTGGATCCCGCATGTACATGAGGTCCATGTGAAATCCCAGAAATTGGCTGGTGTAAGCAACATTCTTAGCCTGGGGGACTGTGCGGACATCCCATGTCGGTCCGTAGAATGTGTTTCGGAGCGGTCCAATGCGCGTGGCAAGCTTCTCGACCATTTCCCGCGAATCTGGGACATCTTTCACGAATATCAGACCTAGTACAGATAGATTTCGCATGGCGCGTGTAAACTCGGGTCCGTTGTTCATGTAATCCTCGTATGAAACCCAATGTTGTAGTTCTTCCATAAGCGGTCCGTCCCAGTTAACGCGATGTCTTTTAAGGCCAGTATCAGAGGTAACACCGTAGCGCGTAATACCGTCCAGCTCACTCATTGCATATCTTGAAGTGTGAGAAGAATCAAATCCAGGAATATCATTTTCCCAGGTTACTTCCAGTGAACTCTGATCCCATTTGATAGAATTAGGTTTGATATCCACGGGGATGTCAGAAGTCCGGAAGTTTCGTTGCTTGGAATGGATGTCCACGCAAATTGGACATGTACACCAGTCACGCAGTCGGATATATGACAGTGATTTCCGGAAGCCATCTTGTTGAGCTATAAGATGATCCTTGCGTGGATAAATCCCTACAGCTGATCTATCTTGGCCGTGTCCGCGTGAAGGCGTGAAGCATCGTTGGCTGGCAGGGTTGAATTGAAGGGTGATAGGGGGTCGACAATAAAGCGCAGAAGTTGTTGGTATAGATACTCTGTGGAAGCGCCGAGGAGCACGTAGTAGAGACCGGAACATGACGGCTGAATTGCAATGGCAGAATCTAGTTTCAAAGAAGAAATAGGGAGCTGAATGGCCCCAAACGAACGTTGGAGGTCAATGTCAACATTGGTCGATCGACGAAACGCGGGGAGACTGCCCCATCATCCCTTTCAGCCGAGGCAGGGCAGGGCATGGCCTGAAACTAGCGTACCGTATGGTAACATTAATACCACTATGTATTTAATTTAGCTCTCGTGCTTCTTTTTTCGGACAGTGGACTTCAGCAACAATCACCTATTAAACGAGAGCAACCAACACTTAACCCATCTCTATATCGCGTCACGAGCAAAATAAGCAGAAGAGATAAACTTAGTCATCTCCCGATGACCGTGGCAGCTGTGGGCACCATCTAGCGACGGTCTTTCCCCGATAACCTCCGATCCCAAACCGCTTTTCATTCTGTCACATGCATGTCGGCTGGTGGCGAGCATCTAAAAGATGAAGTACGCATTAGCCATATTCATATATATATAAATACAAATTTCCCAGGAGGAACAATATTAACAATGACTAGGGCACACGGCGACAAGTCGTGCTCGCGGGCGGGATAGCCGGCCTCATCTCACGGTACGCACCTCCTTTTCTCAAGCTCAAAAAAATTAAGCCAGGCTAAGGCTAACATCGCGACCCTTTTCCGGTAATAGATTCTGTATAGCCCCGCTAGATGTTGTCAAAATCCGTCTTCAGCTCCAAATACACTCCCTCTCTGACCCAACCTCCCACGCCCACATATCCGGCCCTGTTTACAAAGGCACACTTTCCACCATCAAGACCATACTCCGCGAAGAAGGAATAACGGGACTATGGAAGGGCAACATCCCAGCAGAAGTGATGTACGTTTGCTATGGCGCGATACAATTCACGACCTACCGAACTACAACGCAACTTCTATCCCAATTGGATCCACACCGTCTCCCACAACCTGCCGAGTCGTTTATATCCGGTGCTCTGGCTGGCGGGGTTGCGACGGCGTCGACATACCCTCTTGATTTACTAAGGACACGGTTTGCGGCCCAGGGGTCTGGCGAGCACCGCGTTTACGGTTCCCTCCTTTCGTCGGTAAGGGATATCGCAAGATATGAAGGGCCAGCTGGTTTTTTCCGCGGCTGCAGCGCCGCAGTTGGCCAGATTGTGCCTTACATGGGCTTATTCTTCGCCACATATGAGACGCTTCGCCCAGTGATGGCAACCGCACCCGATGTCTTACCCATCCCCTTACCACCTGGGTCTGGGGATGCCGCCGCAGGGGTGGTTGCGAGTGTTCTTGCCAAAACGGGTGTGTTCCCGCTTGATCTCGTGCGAAAACGGTTACAAGTACAGGGCCCAACACGCGCGCTGTACGTGCACCGAAATATCCCTGAATATCGCGGGGTCTTCAATACCATGGGGTTGATATTGAGGACGCAAGGCGTGCGCGGCCTATACCGCGGTTTGACCGTGAGCTTATTCAAGGCTGCTCCGGCTAGCGCGGTGACCATGTGGACGTACGAGAGGACTTTGAAGCTTCTTCAAGAGTATGGGGTAGCTGCTGGTCATAATGTGTAGGGCAAGTTGCATAGACTTTAATAGATTTCCTTATCATACATAGACCAGTGGGTGCATGAATACTACCAGTCGGCGTTTGGTGTTTTGTTCAAATAAACTGGGAGTAATTATATTCATTTGTATTTCACGGTTGGCCGTCGATAATCTAGCGTTTTGGCTATCGGGGGAAATTAAAAACGCACAAGTAAATGAACGAACGCTGGATACGAAAGAAAGGGGTTGTCGCGAGTAAAATAACGAAAATGGACACTGAACTTTGACAATGAGACATCAGGGATACCAAGATTTGAACCAGCAAAGGTAAAGCGAGAAGTGCCTGCCGCTTAGTACTCGACTTCTTCTTCAAGTTCTGCGTCGAAGTTGTCGCCGGCGACCTCCTCGTAATCCTTCTCCAAAGCTGCCAAGTCCTCACGGGCCTCAGAGAATTCACCTTCTTCCATACCCTCACCCACGTACCAATGCACGAAGGCACGCTTGGAGTACATGAGATCGAACTTGTGGTCAAGACGACCCCAGGCTTCAGAAATGGCGGTCGTGTTGGAGAGCATGCTGACGGAACGATCGACAGGGGCGAGTTCGCTTCCGGGTACGCGGGCAGGCTTCTGGTAGTTGATGCCCAACTTGAACCCAGTGGGACACCATTCGACCAGGTTGAATGAAGCCTTAGCCTTGAGAGACGCAATGGCCTGGGTGCAGTCGCGAGGCACGCAGTCACCACGGTACAGGAGTGCAACGGCCATGTATTTACCGTTGCGGGGATCGCAAACGACCATCTGGTTGTTAGGCTCAGCACCTGCAGGCATTCGTTAGTTATCGCTCAGGTCTAAGATTATTCTCACACGTCAAACATAGGAGGTCAATGAGCACGTACATTGGAGGGTGAGATCCTGGACCCTGAAGCTTTCGTGGGAACTGCGGTTGCTCGAGATGACTGGGGCATACGAGATCAACGGGTAGTGAATGCGAGGGAATGGCACCAGGTTGGTCTGAAATTCATTCAGGTCCACATTAAGGGCACCATCGAACCGAAGACTGGAAGTGATAGAGCTAACAACTTGGGCAATCAGGCGGTTAAGATGTTCGTAGCCCGGGCGGGGAATATCCAGGTTGCGGCGGCAAATATCGTAAACAGCTTCGTTGTCCACCAAGAAAGTGCAGTCGGAGTTCTCAATGGTACTGTGGGTGGATAGGACGGCGTTATAGGGCTCGACAACCGCAGTCGACACACGGGGGGAGGGGTACACGGAGAATTCCAGCTTGGACTTCTTGCCATATTCGGTGGAAAGACGTTCAAGAAGAAGAGCCCCGAAACCAGAACCAGTGCCACCGCCAAAAGAGTGGAAAATCAAGAATCCCTGGAGTGAGCTGCAGTTGTCTGGTCGGTGTTAGCCTTAAGTGACCAGATAACTACCATATGAAAACGCGGAGACCTACCGACAAGCCGGCGAACTCGGTCAACAACAGTGTCAACAAGTTCCTTTCCAATCGTGTAGTGACCACGGGCATCTGTAGTAGGTTCATTAGTTACCTGGGCTTATATGCAGTCCGGCTTCCAAGACATACAGTTGTTAGCGGCATCTTCCTTCCCGCTAATTAGCTGTTCCGGGTGGAAGAGTTGGCGGTAGGCTCCGGTGCGGATTTCATCAATTGGCTACCAATATATCAGCCCAGTCAACATTACTCATGGTTTGGGCATATCCATACCGATGGATCCAAATCGACAAAGATGGATCGGGGAACATATTTGCCGCTGCCAGTTTCGGTGAAGAAGGTCTCGAAAGAACCGCCCTGGTTTATCTCCTCGCCCTTCTCGGGGTCTAGACGGCCATCTGCACTGAGACCGTGCTCAAGGAGATACCTAAATAATTGACACAGAGGTGATGAGTATTTGTTGTTGTGATACCCAAATAAAAAAAGCGGTGTGGACTTACAGCTCCCAAGCACTGTTACCCAGTTGAGTACCAGCCTGGCCGATGTGAATGTGGCAAATCTAATTCGGGGTCAGAAACAGTCAATAAAGCAATTGTATTCAATTTCGCAAAGGCGCGACCGGTAGCAATGGGGTGGGCATTGGGCAAAAAGCGTTTATCCATCGATTCAATACTCAGGGGAGGGGCTGCCAACGCGTAGTGCGGGGAAAACAAAAGGTAAATAAAGCAAGCGGCAGGATGTTTCGTACCTCGCCTCTCATTTTGAATGATGAGTCTGACGGTGTTGGTGAATCTCAGGTAGACGATGGTTTCCCTTGCAGTCTTCAATGAGACAAGTGGGAAAGGTCGGGGGTGAAGGTGTTGGTGGATTGGGAGGTGGGAAGGAGAGAGGAAGAGGCCGAAAAGGGACGGATCATCCTGGTAGGGGTTCGTCACTAGCCTCATAGAGCAGTGATTGCACCGCCAATCATCACGCTAATTGTGGCTGTTGCCCTTCCGTTGCACTCAGCGTTCTTTCATATAGTATTTATTTTACGGAGTACAGTCCCCTTCTTTCTTTGTATATCCATGCTTTGTCTAACTTCACCACGTGCGATTTTCCGAGGAATGCGGGACTTTATCCAGGTACCCATTGTCGCAGTTTATGTATCCGTGCAGGCGGACCGCATGGAGTAGGACATTCAATGATAGGCGGGTCATCCGAGACATTCGGACAGTTTAACCTTCAGAGACATTATAAGTATATTTGTACCTACGGATAGGAACGAACTGAATTATTCAAGGTTGACAGAAGTTGGGTTTGCAGGAGAGTAGACGTAATCACGTGCGAAAGCGCAGGCGGCATGGACTGGAGACAACTTTACTCCGTAACGAGCGAATAAATATTGCTTAAACCCTTGTTGGTTAATTTTGACTGTGCTGTCTTTCTAGTTTATACACGTCCTGCCGGATCTAAGAGCCCAGCAAATAATAGAATGCGGAATAAGCTCAACATTTGGGTGTTGAGACCAATACCACGGGCCACTCCTGAGACAGGGTAGAGATGTGGATCATCGGAGAGCGTTAGGGTTGCACTGTATCGTGCATGTGTGGAATTATGCAGATTACTGTGCTGGCGAGCTCCTGTATTATTTATGCAATGACGCGAGATGACATTTCGGGCCGAGCTTAGCATCCATGCTTCTGGCACTCTGGTTCTTCGGCCACCCCCGACCATAACAACATACGGGGAAACGACCCGGTTAGTCGAGCCAGCGTTTTATTATCCCAGCACTACCCATGTTAAATATCATGTTCGTCTCAACAAGCCAAAAAAAAAAATACCACAGACGTCGCAAAGAGCCGGGAGTCCCTGATGTGGCGTTCCTTGGCAGTCGCCACTCAAGCCCGCGCCGCGTCCGTTGCGAGAGATAGACTGTTCGATTGGTTCCAGATCGAAGCACGGTCACGTCGATGAGCAAGAGATCCCACTCATCCGCGTATCGCCGGGTCTGGATAATCGACAATGACATTGGGCAAGCCAGCAAAGTGAAAGTCCTTGAAGGCGAGACCAATCGAAACTGCCAATCCATGGAAACTTGGCCCAAGCTACTTTTAGCAAAGGCCATCAAATCATCTCAAACGTTCTGGAACTGAAAATCTCGGCCTCGAGCCTTTGACTCCAGTGGCTCCACCGGCCTCAAATGGACCAATGCTTCACTCCTGAAGGTGATCGGCCCGACTCCTCACCTCGATCTTCGCTGTGTTGCACTTGCTCGCAGTGAGTCTGTTATTATAGGAACATTTCCTCTCTTTGAAACGCAACTCATCTCTGTCTTGATTGTTCAGGTGCGTCGTTGCGAGAGGCGGGAATCCTTCGGCCCCAGACCAAGAAGTCGAGACCGCAGGCTTGTGAAGTCTTTGAGTAAGTATGGGAGCCACTCTTTCCGCTGCTTCCCCACTCCTCATCTCCGTTTGTTTCGCCTCAGGCTTTGCTGCTGTCAATATTTTCTCCTGCATCTCTCCCTGTAACGTCCTCTGAGTTCTCTGTATCTCTGTGTCTCCTTTCTTATCCTCAGTCTTTAATCATTTTCTCTCCATTTTATTTTTTTTAACTTCACTTCTCTCGCTTTTTATCCACTTTCCTATACTTCCTATTTTCACCATTATTGACTATCCGTCCAGTCTCGCTCCTTCTGTATCCATATACAACTCTCCACTACCTTGAGTCGGCTCACTCGGCCTGGTGCCACCATGTCGACTCCTATAAAGGAGATACCTGCCCCGGCATACCCGGAGCCAGAAGGCAGAGGTAGATCGAGATCGGGAAGCGATTCTTCTCCGACTACCGACGAGGGCACTTACGTCCATGACAGCTCGCGGCCGCCGCGCAATGAGGACCATCCCCAACACCTTGAAGTTGATACCACGTTCCAAGATTTCAACAAACAGTCTCGCTCGCCGTCAGCAGCTCGTGAGCAACGCAAGCGACTCGAAGATGATTTGGCGGTTCTCGAGGCGGAAAGAATGGTCTCACGCTCGACCCATGAAGGCGAGAGGGATAATCGAAGTGGCAGTGGTCACTCTTTGGCCCGCTCGCGCTCGCGTAGAGCTGAAGACATTGACGAATTTGACGAGGCCACAAATCCATTACATGAGAAGGCCGCTGTCTACAATCCACCGGAGAACCCCGCCACCGGTGTTGCCAGATTCATTAAGAAACTGCACGAATCAAGCTTCATCGTTCGCTATTTTACCTACATTGTCCCTGTCGTGTTACTTTTGCTCATTCCGTTGCTCGTTGGTGCACTAGCGTTCCCGAACGCAAGTGTTGGTGGTGTCGAACTACTGTGGTTCTCGGTCTGGTTGGAAATTGTTTGGTTGACGCTCTGGGCGGGTAGAGTATGTTTTACAGATCTCACGATTGAGATAACCACCGGTTATATTCGTTTTCATAAGCTAATGTCTAATGGCAGATTGTTGCTAAGCTCTTGCCCAGCCCTATCAACTTGTTTGCGAGTATTTTCACCAACAGCTCAAAGAAATGGCGCGATGTGGCAATACAGTTAGAGCTGCCTGTCACCCTCTTCCTCTGGTGGTTAGGTATAGAAATCTCTTTTCTGCCTACCATGAAAAACCACCACGTCGATGGCAATTCTAGCACGCGAAGTTGGGAAAATACCCTTAATAAAATTATCATTTCCATCTTCGTTTGGGTGATCCTGAACCTTGTCGAAAAGTTCATTCTCCAGCTCATCGCCATGAACTTTCACAAACGCACATATTCGGATCGCATCGAGATCAACAAGTTCCAGATCGGCAGTCTGACGAAATTGTACGCGTTCTCTCGCGACAAGATCACCGAAACAGACGAGGCTTTTGAAGAAAAAACGGAAAACTCTGGAAGTGGCAGCAAGACTCCATTACGCTATGCGGGAAAGGCCAAAGGGCTTGCTGTAGGCGCTCTGAACAAGGTCGGGGACGTTGCAGGGGCAGTTGCAGCAGACTTTACTGGTCGAAAAGTTAACAACAGCAGCCATCCTTCTCAAGTTGTCATTACTCTTTTGAGAACAACGCCCGGTTGTCAAACCCTAGCGCGTCGGCTGTACCGGACCTTTGTCCGCGAGGGATTTGACACCGTGTTTCCCGGTGATCTAAAGGAGGCTTTCGACGATAACGATGAGGCTGATGCCGCGTTTACCATGTTTGACAAGGATATGAACGGTGACATCTCCATGGAGGAACTGGAGGCGGTCTGCGTGGAGATTGGTCGAGAACGCAAGGCCATTACCGCATCTTTGAAGGATCTTGACTCGGTCGTCTCTAGACTGGGCAATGTTTTTGAATTCTTTGTTGCTGTAGTCGCTATCATCGTTTTTCTGACCCTTATTTCGACCTCTGCTGCTGGTGTACTTACATCAGCCGGATCTAGTGTCCTCGCCCTGTCCTGGCTCTTCTCTGCTACGGCTCAGGAATTTCTTCAGTCTGTGGTCTTTGTATTTGTCAAACACCCGTTCGATGTTGGTGACCGCGTAACTATTTACGGTAACGCTGGTGATGCCGGTCTTGGTGATGATTACTACGTGAAGCAGATTTCTCTTCTCTACACGGAATTCAAGAAAATGCAGGGCCACATTGTCCAAGCTCCGAACAGCTATCTGAATACACTATTCGTTCTTAACCAGCGACGATCTGGGGCACTTGCGGAGGCCATTCCTGTCGTTATTAAATACGGCACAACTCTGGAACAAATGGACTCGCTTCGCCAGCGTCTGATTGAATTTGTTCGCAGCGAACGGCGTGAATTTCAAAGTAATATTCTGACGGAGCTTCGTTCAGTGACCGAAAACTTCTCCGTGACACTCAATGTTGTTTTCTTCTACAAATCGAATTGGCAGAATGAGGGTCTACGCCTACAGCGCCGCAACAAGTTCATTTGTATGCTCATGGTTGCGTTGCAAGAAATCGGCATTGAGGGCCCACGCATGAACCTCCAGGGTGCGAGCATCGATATTCCGTATCACGTCGCAGGTTATCCCCCACCATACCAGGCCCAGGCTCAAGGTCACTCAGCCAACGACGACGGCCAACATCCACCATCTACCCCGTTGACCGACGAGCATCACTCTCACCCTGGCTCCAGTCCTGCCGCCCGTCGCACATCCATTCTCCGCAAGGGTATGGCTACCGCCAACGCCCGGGCTCGCGGCCAGTCTATATCCTCGCGAAAGCACGTGGACTTTTCGCTTGGTATGCGAGATGTGTCCGCAGAAGATGTTATGGGTGATGTGTTTGAAGCACGTAGCCCCACTGCTGAAACTGCAGTCCGGCAGGTGATCGCCGAGCGCCGAATCCAGGAGGAAGAGGCTGAGCGACGAAGCACGGATTCTGCTCGCCAAAATGCGTCAGCCTCTCGGTCTAACCTCAACGTCCCGTCGCAGGCTAACGAAGGCCGTCGCTCAACTGAGTCCCAGTTGTCCTCTATGAGTCGCAACCGATTCTTCCGCCATCGCTCCCACAGCACCCGCCAGGAAGATTTAATGGAACAAGGTCGTTCTCCAGAACAAGGCTCTTCCTCGGCAGCCAATATTCGCCCTGTTCCATCTTCTGATGATCACCCAGAAGAGAAGAAACTATGAATTGATGCCCTACGGTCTTTGACATAGATTGCATGTGGCTTACTGCTCTTTCCTTTTTTTTCTTCGCATCTCTACTTTTTTCTTTATATATATTCAGATATACCCGTCCTTTAACTCATATCTCCTCAGCCATGCATTTATTGCACTTGCGTTGTCGATTCCCTCACTTCTTAGCCTCTAGCGTTCCTTGATATACCATACTATGGCGGCTATTTGAACATTTCTTGTTATTTATCTACCATTTTACATCTCGAACTCTGTGTAGGGTTTTTCTTATACGCAAATATTTTGAATTCAACTATTTGAACCCCCAGCACTTGGATTCTGGCAATTCGAATGTGCTGTAAATACTTACTTGTCAAGTTCAGTCAAAAAGCCTGTTCCATTACATGTATCTAATTGACATGTGTACGCACGCTCTTTGTTAATACATGCATTTCTGACGGACTTGTACGGATTGACTTGGTCACTTTTTGTTAATCAACACTCTTTTCCTTAATCGGTGTCATGAACAGTTCTTCCTACTGAATGACTGGGAAGCAAGTTAGCTGGAGGCATACCAAACTCCAAAGGTCTATATGACTGGTCTACTTTAAGATGTCTAGTCGCTGCCCGCAACCAGAAGCCACCAAGAAAAACGTCAAAAATTGAAACGAGGTCGGCGGTTGAAATCTGGATTGTAGGATAATGCAACTCAATTTCCCACTGCTTTACGCGGTTTAAAATTTGTATCTGATAACATACATACAGTCTTGAAACAAACTCGGGGTTGCCAAAGTAGATAGATAGATACAAGCAAAAAGGAAAAAGAAAAGGACGGGCGAGTTTCTGTACAAAGAAAAATTGTAAAAGAACACTCGATCGCAAGTCTGGGAGAGCGATGAATAGGAGAGGAAGAAAAGAGAAATCCCCTTGAAGGGAAGAAAAATAATGCAACTCAAACGACCTGGTTTGAGTAAGATAAATGGACGAACATAGCATAGCGCCCCAAACTCCCGCTCAAGCCGAAACAAGACAGAAAGGAAAATATTTTGACAAGATGATAATGGGACAAAAAACATAAGAGAATAGGGTCGTAAGGATGGTGCACGTAAGGAGGCGTGTATAATGGAATAAAGGGAATAGAAATCATGTTGGCTATAGCGAGGTATTTTCTCGCCTTGAATAACCGGAGGGACGTGTAGCACCGCAGGACGTTCAGCTCTAAAGACGCAGAGAAAGACGTAGATACAGGTTCTATCCTCTCCTTTATCTCCCGGGTCGAGGAGTATTATCTGCATCCGGATTCGGACAGGGTGTATGCATGGGTCGAGGCGTAGCGTCAGAATCTTGAATGCTTGACTGGTCCGACCTAGTGTCGCCGCTGATACCAGACAAGACAATTGGCGGAGTGGTTGGATAGGAGTCGCTAGAATTCTGGGAACGGCCAGGGAAAACAATGGGGGGAGTTATTTGCCCCCTTTTCGGAGACTCAGAGCCAGCTCGACTGTCCGCTCTTTTGTAGATTTCCGTGATGTATCGAGAGAAGGGTGGTTTAGCGTCGGGGCTCAATAACATTGATCTTGAGGCTAAAGCAAGAGGAGACGGGGGTTGCTTAGGACTTAAATCGTCTTCAATGGATGGCAGAATAGCCTCCTCGGGAATACTAAGCTCCTCAAATTTGCTCTCCAACGAGTTCCGGCCAGACTTGGTTGCGTCGTCTCCGAGTTCATCTCCATTGTCGGAGCCACTCCTGCGTCTCTCACCAACGTCTTTATCCTTCTTGAGGATTTCCTCGCCGGTGCTAATCACACTACCTCGGCTGTTTGTTCTCATCATCTCGATACCTAGCTTGGAACCAGGGCGATTCGGGCGATTCCGCGGGCTGTGCGCTCTAGGCGGCAAGTTTCCCAGTTCTTCATCTTCGTCATCGCCGGATTCTTCGCACTCGTAGCGTTTTCTTTCGAGGGACTCTCTCTTTGCTTGGATCGCTTCACTGGAGCGCTGCTTTCGGGGAGTAAGCATACCGGAAGGACTTAGTGTTGGTGGGCTTGAAGCCGCGTGAGGCAAGCTCGGGAACGGTACTGTGTTCTGAGTCTCGTGGTTGTTATGCGCGGTTTCCTGAGCATCATTCGAGTCGTCAGATATGCCCAGGCCTCCCGCGTTTTGGCCCCAGTCATCTGTTTGCCGACTTACGATGACGGGAACGTCCTCAGCCTTGATCGAATCCAAGTCGCCGAAATAGCTACTCCCAACTGAATCTTCACGGCTGGAGCCCCGGTATGAGCTAGAGGGCACAAGTGCAAAATTAGATGACACGGTTGAGCTTGGGCTATTCTCGGCTTGAGTAGGAGGTGTGCGGCGAGCAGCTGTATACGTTGATGGATTGTAGTCCTTTGGAGGCGGTTTCCACTGACAAAACTTACATAGAACTTCAGTTAGCTTTGTCAGTGTCGGCGGCTTTTCAATAAGCGCATCGAAATGATGCGTTTCTGGGAGATCCTTCAAATAACTAGTGACAGCGATTATGGGCGTGTGACGATTGGCACTGCGCGTTTCCCTGACCATTCGCGCAATATCGGTACCGTTGACTTGTGGGAGTTTGAATTCAGTCATAATAATATCGAATTGCACTTCACTAAGCGCGTAGCGAACTGCTTCTCCCCCGTTTGCAACAGTGATAGTACGGCAGCGGAGTTTCTCAAAAAGACGCTCCATGACCAAGCGCGAGATTGGGTGATCTTCGCAAATAAGTATGTCTAGCGGTCGGAAATAGGGGCCTTCAGGGAAATTAATCTGCGAAAGTCGCCTTGAGCTCTGACGGCGCCGCTGCACTTTTAGCAGAGCCTTTGCACGTGGATCCTCATTGTCGGATGAAGAAGGTGAGATGTCAAATAGTTGACTCCGACGTTTATGGTGGCCACCGACGTAGGTTTCTCTGGCCAGAGACGAGGACAGTTCACCTCCATCTTGAGATCCAATTGTTTGAGATCGTGCCCTCGTTGCTGGCGCACTGCCCTGTCGATGTTGACTGGGGGTCTTATCAGGTGAAAGCGTTCCACCTCTTGATTTGATCGGAGATGATGCCGCAGAGCCAAATTTGTTATTATGATTGTTTGCTGGTCGAGTTTGATCGGCAGGAGGAGGCTGGAAAGATCCACTGGACTGATGAGAGGTTGTTGTTGAGGACGACCCCGAGGTCTTTCTCCGCTCGTGGTTATGGCCGGTGCTGAATTGAACTAGAAGCGGGGATGAAGGCTGCGATGGCCGACTTGGAGACGAGTTAGCCTGGCTGAGAGCAGATGGAGACGCAGGTCTGTTGTTTCCTTTGGACTGAGACATAGTCCGCTGAAGTGGCATCGGCAATGGACTTCCTTCCAGTGACGGCCCCGAAGAGGGCGGACTGGGCCCTTGGGGTTGAGCTGGAGTCTGGCTTTGGTTTGGGTTGTGAGTCTGGCCTTGAGTTTGTGGGGGTTGCTGAGCCCCCGGGTTGTTTGCCTGGCGTTGTTGCGCTTGCAAGGCCTCCTGTCGTAGCTTTTGGATCACATCTTTGTTGGCTTTCTCAAGCATAGGTAGGTTCTTGAACGCGAAGTTTCCAAAGTCATCCGCCAATGAAGGTTCACTTAATCTCCTGCTCCTAGATTCTCGGACATGCGGGGGGATATGCAAAGGCATCAATGGTCGTTTGATCGAGTTGACTTGCGAGCGAACCTTATAAAGTGCATCATGTGGTCGGTCTATATATGAGCCAGTTGTAACTGGGGGCTGAGGGGAGCTCTCATCTTCTTCAGTGAAAGCCTGAAGAGTAGCACCGCGAGCATCGAAGTATTCTGTATCTTCAGGGTTCTCTAGGTTCGGAACAAACTGGGCTTTATCCTCTAAGAGAGTATCCCAGTTGATATCCGCAAACCAAGGGTGGTTCCGAATTTCTGTTCCTCCGTTGGGGTATTTTTCCTCCAAGTTTGCGCCTATTCGCTCACGAGGGTTCATGGCCATGAGCTTGTTCATGAGATTAATAGATTCAGGCGATGCAAACTCTTCAATTTCGTCGGGCCAATTGATCCTTCTATGGAGGATGTTCTCAAACACTTCGTCTGGAGTGCCAGCGTTGAAAGGTGGGTAGCCAAAAAGAAATTCGAACATGATGCAGCCTAAAGACCACCAGTCACTCATTTCATCCTGACCAATACCATTGACCGTCTCTGGCGCCAAATAATCTGGTGTACCAACGAAGCGTCTATTATGGTCCTCGGGATCAAACAATGCCATTAACGGAGGCATCATGCTTTGCTGAGGTGGCGTGCCAGTTGACAAATTGCTTTGCGATGGTTGAAGTGGTTGCAGATAGGGAGATTCCCCTGTCTCGCTCTGTCCCTCTTCCTCGTGTGCACTATCAGACGGGGGAGGTGGAGGGATAGACAATGCGCCCGGCGTTTCACCCTCGTGTAGTGATAGTGTTCGAAAAATAGAATTTAGATTCTCACTGCCCCCACTATCACTGCGGTGTCCAGATGCTCGACGAGAAGTCTGTCTACTGAGCCCGCCTTGATTTAAGCTGAAGTAGGACGGTTGGGGCATGCTACCTGCCGCGTCCGGCGTGATCAATGGGGTGGATCCTGGGGAGTTGCTGCCCTGGAAATCGAATGAGGCGGATCGAGACGAAGCGATTGAGGTAGCTCGAGGAAAAGCGCCTTGCTTCAGGATATCCACTCCTTGTTCGTTCATAGTCTTCAGAACACGCTTTTGACGCCCAACAAGGCCCATTCGGGACAATCCAAAATCGGTCAACTTGAGATGACCCTTTTGATCAATGAGTAGGTTGTCTGGTTTGAGGTCACGGTGCACAATCCCTCGATTGTGGAGGTGCTCCACGCCTAGAACAACTTCAGCGATATACTTTTTGGCCCAATCCTCAGGCAAGCCACCCAAGATCTTGACAAGCGAGGCACAGTCCCCTCCATTCAAATACTCCATTACCAGATAGAGATAGTCTTTGCTGGAAAAGGTCCAGTATAGTTTCGCGACAAAATCACTTTCCCCTTGCCACATCATGATCGCTCGTTCGGCTTTGACGTTTGTCACCTGATTTTTGGCAACCATGTCTGCCTTCTTCAGCACCTTTATTGCATAATACTCCCCAGTCGTTTTCTTCTTGGTCAAGTAGACACTGCCAAATGCACCCTTACTAATAGGTTTGATAATTTCAAAGTCTTTGATGGATGGAGGCATAGGTCGAGGTTGCGGTTGACTGGCAGTGGTTAAATGAGGTGAAACGGGTGGTCTGGGCACGTCAGAAGAAGTTGTGGACGACTGGCGACGGTGGTGCCGATAGTGGTGCAGAGATAGCTCGCCTAGATTGGCCGACGGCGATACGATTGGGGATGATAGACTCTCAGCTCCAGTAGAAAGACGTGGTTTAGGCATGCGCAGTGGTGAATGAGGACCAGACGCCCTAGCTGGAGAATGCTGCCGTCGGGGTGAGCCGGAGAGACCTGGAAGGACCAGGCTCCTGCGTTTACGGTCCATACTCCGGTCGGACGAGGGCGAGTCAGTCCGCATGGCTCCCGGAAAGTTGGACGAAACGATACTGCTATCACTTTGGTCACCTGAATCGATGTCTGCCAGGGATAAACCCCGTCGCGACGTCTGGGAGGTCCCGAGTAATCCAGCAGCACTCTTGTGCGAGCGGGGGGTTGGACATTCCATGGGACTAGATGGCCCGGTTGAAACAGCAACGGATGATGTTTTCCCCTCAGAAGAGTGACCTGATTGGACTGGTTGACCCCGGTCGGCTGCGTTACGCATCGACATTGTCAAAGCCGAAACCGGTGGAGGCAGCTCAGACTCATGGCCTGCATTTTGTGTGAGAATAGAAGCCGAGGAAGCCGATGTGTCGGGGATAGTATCCTCCTGCGGTAAATCATCTTCCGAGGAAGAGCTTGAATCACTTAGTTGGCCTGCGGCAATACGTTCAGCCTTTCTCAGAGCTGCGGCAATACACTCTTCTACCAGCACAGTGTACTCAATCCGGATCCTTTCTGCGTATTCGACGATTCTGCGGTGACGGATAATTGCATCAACTTTTGATTTGGCAACCTGCTCTGTATCCATACACAACGCAGCAAGGCCTTGCTCCTGCTCCAGAGTATTAGAGCTTGGTGACTGCCACTGGAGTACCTGGGAAATACGAGATTCCGATTGTGGCGACATGGTTCGAAAGTCATCACCGTTATCGCCACGGGACTCTCTGAGAACTGGAATATTGATCTCTAAAGAGGTATCACAGAGGTCGAGAATCAACTCAACAACACGAGCTAGAGGTCGCCGCACTGCGAATGATCGTGCACGCGAATGGCCGGTGCCAGAGACCGACTGGTCCCTGGACCTTGGAGGGGTAGCAGGGGCAGAGCTAGACGTTGATGCCGAGCCTGAGGACGGCGCCGAAGCGATGGGAGAGGGCCCAATTGGCAACCCTTTATACTCTGGTTGGGGCAACGGCGGGGAGCTGCCGTCACGGAGAGTCACTGGTCTACCTTGCCTTGCTTCCAAAGCATCTAGTACCCTAACAATAGCATGACGGTGTTCATTGAGGTTCTCCTGAGCGATTTGAACGTCCATCTCTGCTTGATGCTCTTGAAGACAAAGGTCTGAATGTTTCTCAAACCACCAAGGAGTTATCTGGCGCTCACAAATGCGACACAATATAGGCTCCGGGGCAGGATGTTTAGATTGGTCCGGTTCATTGGCAGCGGCTTCTGCTAGAACTGTTAAGTAGTTCGCGAGTACCTCAGCTCCAATCCCCAAGGACTCTACCAACGAAGATGGCAGGTCGATTGTGACCTCTCGCGGCTTGGAAAATGGTCGTAACATCCACATAGTCTATTCACGGTTCACATTAGCCTAACATGTCCAGTCAAAATCACCAAGTAGGAACTTACATGTGCAACCCCTTCTGCCGTACGGTCATAAACCATAATACCCTGCCCTTCCAAGTTCAAGATATGCGAGGCATGCTCCTCCAACTCAGGCGACGGTTCTTCCACGTCATTCGTGCCATCTCCCTGCTCCGGTTTTGGTTCAGGTGAATATTTCAGCACGGAATCGGGTCCCAACTGCACTGAAACGCGAATAAAACGACTACGAGAGTCATCTTCTTTCAGAGATTCTATTGCGTCGCAAAAAGCACTTTTGTTGTCCACCATAACATCCGAAATCATTTGTCCCTCTATGGTATCCGGAGCCGTCCCCACAACCTGCTTCCAGGAAGGACTAACCCATTTGACGCGACCATCCAGGTCGAGGTCGACGATAACATTCAGGGTTTGCTCCGCCGCTTCCCTCAAGTCTTCCCGTTCTTCCCGCATATTATCACTGCTCGAGGTACGCATTATAGGGTGCTTTTTCGGATCGACACTCCGGGCCTCCTGCCGCAAGGCAGTCACGGCCGGAGGAGTAAGGTATTGTACATTTTCCGTGCCATTGCCTGCCATATTGGCGAGACAACACCGCCGAGAGGAGAGGATAGGTGCCCGTCGGAGAACAAGTCAAGGATGTGGACCGTTGGTCGAGATATATAGAGGAATTGAGCAGAACCGTCTGCCGGGCAGAGCGGGTGCCCTTGTTTGTTGGCTACGGATTCATTCGTCGCATTAACCGGCCATGGCGGAATCGCGGGGGTGGTAAAGAGCACGAACAGCCCTACCGCGAGGAAAAACGATCGAAATTGTGGGATGCAGTATCCGATAATGTACACTCTTTGACGAGACACGAACTGTAGAGGCGAAAAAGTGCGAGGGATCACAGAAAAAGCAAGAGGTCGAAATTCGAAACGCCGAGTGAGAAAGCGGCTATGCGGGGGGTATTGAATGGCGCGACGGTCAACGCGAAAGCCAGGATGATCCACACCAGTTAACCTCCGATCGAGGATGGGTGGAATAAGGGTTGTTCGAGTGGTTGAAGAAATTATCGAGGCAGGAGAGAAGGGGTCAAAAAAAGCAAACGAGGACGATGAATAGGGTGTGCAGGAGAATGGGCAACTGAAGAGCAGCGACGAGAGCGAGTTAGGTACTAGAAAGCGTGGGAGCGTCAATAATACCAAAGTTGGGACAGCAGCATGTACTGCTGCCGAAAGTACGGCGAAAAGAGTGCCTATTGCTGCAAATTCTGAGTGGAACCAGTGGTATGGTACGGTAAAAATGGACTTTGGAAGTGAGCAGCCAATCCGAGATGGCAACCTGACTAAGATCAGACACGCGGATAAACGGCCAACGCTTCGGGAGGATCACGTGGAGAATGCGTCGCTCTTTTTGGATCCAATTCACGCTCCTTCTGCTTTTTGACTTCCTGGTGCCGATCTGGTTGCTGCTTTCCTCAGTGCTGCTGAAACTGATTCTGTTAAAACAATTGGAGAACAGCAATGAGGAAGACTGGATTTCCTTCACACAAGGATGGGTCCGATCTGGCTCAACCGTATGATCGTCTGGTCAGCTCCACTCTGAGCGGGAGAGTCAAGGACGCCACAAACGGACTCGTTCATTCTTCTCGAGTCTCAGGCCTCAGACGATGTCAATATCCCCTGCAGAAAATACCGCCGACTATTTACGTTTACAATTCCAGCAGCACGAGGGACAAAACAAATCCTCACGGATGTTTACTAGGCCAATTCCCGTGTTTCTTCGCCCTTGGATAGAAGACTACTGTCATTCGTCAGCATCCCGGCCCTCCCAGCATTAGCGTCAACTATACTTTATGGTGCTGGGGGTCGAGACGGCTCGTCATTCGGGGTATCTACCGTTAAGTGCTAACTATTTTATTATTATTATGGAAGGAAGCCGTGGATGGCCCCCAAACATTGCGCCTCTGATATCAATGCCATCATGGTCCAGGATGGAGGGGTATATATATCCATGCATATAACAACAATCAGTATATCCGTCTTCGTACGGTGAACACAGAAGGTCTGACGCGAATAACATCACGTAGAAAGGCATCTGAAGAGCGTTGAACAGTCTATCGTTGATCATTCCATCGACGTTGGCACGCTATTTGACCTTGATTCTTGTCGGCAGTCGATGAAGCATCCTGTCCCACCCAGCCGTCCAACATGTTTGGCTGTCTCCATCTTGCTTCCAAAAGGGATCACTGAGATTGCACACGCGCGTGCAGTGCGTTTTACTCCCTTATTTCATTGGGTTATCAAGGGCGCCACTTTATGGGAGGAGCTTTCAACAGCATCAGGTGTGAAGTTGTCCCATGGGTGGCTGCGTCCAGACCCAAAGAGAAGTCTCCTCACTTGACTTCTTATTTTTGGCCATGTCATCATCGGGAGGAGCCACTGGACGGATTTGAAACCCCCAGGTCGTTCAGAGAGACCTGGCCAGTATGTTTCTAGACAATTTTTTCACGCTCAAGGGCTAGACTAGATATTTGGTACCCCCTATCCCAAAACCCCCCTGGTAGTATTACCTGAACAATCGACAGATGAGGTATATTACCCCTTTGAACTGTGAATACCACAACGGAGGGCCCCAAGACCATCAATACTATATCTGGTATGTTTATCACTTCCTCAAGGGCTGTCCCCAGACAGCTATGATTCCATGATGAGCCGCGCCTGCATACTGGACGCAGGTGGGGTACTTTTGCACCTACACCTTCAAAGGATGCGTTCGGAAAACATTGTTTCATATTGCCGATAGAGAACATCTTAGTCAAGGGCAGTTGTAACTGCCAATGTTCTGGAAACTCAATTTAACTACAAATGGTTTGGACTCTGGAGATGTCGGGCTGCGGGGTCGAAATGGTGGGGAGGATCGCCGACTGGACGACCGCAACCAGCTATTTTTTGAGACCGCTCGACCACCACCGACCATCCGAATTGTGCTCCTCCACACTGCGTTGGAAAGCTCGGCCAAGATGCGACAGACTCGTGCCTTCTTTTTTTCGATATATTCTCCGAAAACTCTCAATCCCGTGGATTGCCGCTAGAGGCCGACCCCGGCGCTCCGGGCACGGAGTTTCGTCTTGCAATGTAGGTAGCCCATTCAACATTCCTGCCTTGGAACGTGAACCGTAGAAATAATAAGAGAAGAAACATCTACTGCTGCTCACCCAGCCTGGATGCTCCACGGGATATAACATAAAACCGATCCCCAGAACAAGGTCAAGCATTGATCATCAAGTCCTTGCGGGGTTTGCGGAGGAGAGCCAATTCACCCACACAGCCTCCACACTCAAACAATGAGAACCAGACAAGAAGCTCGTTCATTCGAGTCGTGCGGTGCTCGACGTGCCTGCCTCTCCCTGTTACATAATTCCGCCAAATGATCATCTGACCCTGGCCGAAGGAGCTGTAGTGAGATAGCTGGAACTTGGAAGGGATGCGGCATTTCCGAAAGCCAAAGGTGAATTGCATACCCCCATATTACAGGAGACCTGTTACCACACAATGCCTCGTGAATGAGGTAGCCTGGACTGACTCCGTCCATGAATCCTGCTTCTTCGAGTTTGCTCGGAATCAAATTTGGCCCGCGCCATGTCTCCACCTGCGTCCGAGAAGTCACATCCGAGACCTACTGGATGTACGGTGTAGTAGACTAACAACCTGGAGTGGCTGTTTCTCCAGCCTCCATCATCCGGGACTGACGTCGTTCTTCCCCTTTAGTACAAATGGGATAACCAAATCTGGCTGGCTTATCATTTCCCTTTCCCGGAAACCTGGAGCTTGTTCCACTGGGCTGGACGCGGAGCGGCTTTCCATGGGTTGGGTCCCCCAACCTCACCCCCAGAGTAGACTGCAACAATATCCCTTGATGTGGAACCTGCAAAACTACATCATATTAAATCATTGTGCTTGGAGTCTACACCGAATGCATCTTCTATTGAAAAAAGTAAGGTTGTGTCACTCATTACCTATTGTGTCAATTGGCCCGATTTTCAAGGTTCCGGGATGGGGCGTCTGATCGGCTGCGCGTGGATGGAGCTGAGGGTTTGATATCTTTGTGGACAGTGCGCGCAATGCCAGGGTCGGTGGAAAATAGCAGACAGAAAGCTGGAGGCCATCCATATCTATATGCTCCATACTCCAGTTTCTTAAAAAGGCGACCGGGAGTAAGGAAGGATGGAATGCCTAAGTAAGAAAGCAGATTCTCTTCCAATCAGCACAATTAGGTATTTACGTAAGGCTAAATAACGAAGGTAGCCTCGGGTAGCATGGATATATAGTACATAACGAAGATATTAATCCATCTAGTCTCATAAATCACAGCCCCTTCTTCTCGCCTTCTAGTCGCCAGCGTTCCAGGAAGTATCCGACAGCACGGGCAACACCCTCGTCAAGAGGGACAATAGGGGTATATCCGAGTCTGTGCTTAGCTTTGGTGCAAGAGTAATACCGCGTCATGCACGAGTACCGGACAGCCCGCCTAGTCAACTTCGGTGTCCTGCCTAGAAGGCCCAAGACCATTTCTGCGAGGCCACCGATGGGACCGAGAAGCGACTCGGGAAGCGCCCACACCTGGTTTGGCTCGACGACTTTGCCGGCTAAGGCCCAGATGTAATGGGTGAAATCCCAGAAGTAGACGGGTTGGTCGTTGGTGATGAGGAATGCTTCGCCGTCGACGCGCTCGTAGTCTAGGAGGTCGCCTTGACCCGAGTCGATGCGTTTGTGGACTGCGAGAAGGCGGAAGGCGGCCAACAGGTGGGAGTATGCTACATTTCCGACGTATGTGAAGTCGAACAGGTTGTCGTTGTCGCCTAACTGCATCTTCAGGACGAGCGAGGATGCATTTACACCGTGGTTGAGCATATTGATAATGACCTGACCATCCTTTTCACCGTAGATGCCGGATGGGCGAAGCGCGCAGGTCAACATTGAGGAGGGTGATGAGCGGTTGTATTTCAAGACAGCCTCTTCGGCTTCCGCCTACAGTTCAATTCACTGTTAGCACTTCTCAAGGGGTGAGCCAGGAACGGATGATCATCGCACTTTGGTATCCGAGTAGTACTCCTGCTGCAGCTTTCCTCTGACCAGGGGCCAATCTTCGTTCACATGTTTCAGGTCACTCTGTGTGTCATGGATAACAGAGGCTGAACTCGTATAAACGAATGCCTTGCACTTTCCACCCCAGTCTCCACAGGCACCACCCGCAACCTCTAGCAAGTTCTTTGTTCCCTCGACGTTAAGTTGGTGGAGTAGTTTCTTGTCCGTCAACATCGCGCTCGCAGTATGAATAACCACGTCAGGCTTGGCCGCGCGGAAGACTTCCAGCATCGATTCGGTCGAGGTCAGGTCGGCTTCGTAGTATTGAGCGCCAGGCAATCGGTTATTCGTAGTTTTCAGGTCGGCCACGGAGACTTTGGAAACGCATCGCGGGTAGCGATCTCCAAGCTTGGGATAGTCAAATCGACTATCTCCCTCGGGCTTCGGAAGGGCAGCGCTGGGATCGGTCTCGGAAGGAAAGTTCAGCAACTGATCAACAATGTGAGATCCTAGAAAGCCGCATCCTCCAACTACCAGGACGGAGCCCAGCTCCATAGTCGGTCTCTTGCCAGACATTATGGGATTCGGATGGTCGGTTCAATTATCGCGAAGGGCTGGAGGTGGTGGCTGGTGAGAGAGTGACAGCGGCAGCCCAAGAGTTTGTGACTTGGATGGACGCTGAAATCTGTCTTAATCTCGGAGCAGTCAGTCGATCTGGGGCCGAGCGACAACCTGGGGCTAGCTCCATCAGTATGCCGCACGTGACCTGGAACACACAAGAAACCGTTGCTTGTCCTTTTTTGCGATTACTGTTTAATTGCTCGACCTGTTTTGACTGGGTTATTTAATTGGCTGCCGTCTTTAAGCACCTTTAGGGAACTCGGTTTAGAAGTGGGGCAGCATGGGCGGGTTGTGATACATTCAGTGATATACTGGCGGTCATTTATGACAACTACCAGGGATGAGACAATCACATGGCTTTTAGCGGTATATTTTTTGGGGGACATCTCAGTGCTCAAACTTAAGAGTAAGTGACGAAAACTGAGTAGAAAGATGTGTTTCCGCTTTACCAGTAGGCCATTCTAAAAGTGCCATCCCACGAATGAAGCATATATAGTGAACCAACCCTAGACCGATACAGGGAAAGTAAAGATGGAGGATCTCTTGATATTCGGTTTCAATTGCCCTCTGGCGGAGGTTAGGGATATTTTATATGTTTTACCAGCTTTACCAGCTTTTCCTAGACCAAAGCAAATGTTCCGCCTGTGTCCAATTGGGTAGTGTAGGCCACAAGTTCAGCATATCTGCATGTTAAATGTTCTGTTTACCAGCAATTGGTGGCCTCTACCATATTTTCCTGCCTCGATAGATCGGCCCACAAAAGACCAGAGGACCAGCATGATTCTAAGCACCTGAAAGAAAGGCACGGCTGAATGTTCTCATGGAAGCCTATTAGGACTTGCCACAAACCAAGAGACAGATCTGCGGCCTGCAAATAAAAAAATTGCTATCCTCGTTACACGAGGTATCTAGCCAATTTGAATGGAATTCTGAGTTTTTGTCTCCGGTTCTCTACGCCCCAATCTTGTTTAGATATGGGTAAGGGTCACGTTGAGCATAATTTCTGCATTAATGTGAGGTTTGAAATGGCTGCCATGAACGGAAAAGGGCGTTATAGATGGAAAATGGATGCCAATCTAGGGCTAGGGCATTATACGACATCGTATTAATGCGGTGCATCATGGAAGAACCATATCTGAGCGGCCCCATTACAATCTAGAGATTTCGAATAATTTCAGACTTTGAAAAAAGGTATGATCCCCCCCCGAACGTACCTCATCCCCAAGCATAGACGGACTATACGTCCATACTATGAATGTATAGAGTGTACAAGGCAAACCTGAGATTGCATTAGGATATTAATTTTGAGCGAAATGACGTTGGGTATCATCGAGGTTTATTCAAAGGCGGCCCTGTACAGTTGAAATGCCGGAGTTGTTAGCCTGGGGAATTTTGTTACTAGGGGGGTAGGACTCGGACTCACTCAACAGATCTCTCCACGTCCCTCCTTAACGCCCTTTTGTATTTCTTGCGGTCATCTGGAGTGCCCCAGAATAGCGTCGATGCTTCCGCGTTTACTGTGGTGCGTGGGTCATAAGGTGGCTCCTCTTCTTCCAGCGAGGCCACAATTGCTTCCACGTGGGTACGCATGTCCTCGGTCTTTCGCGGAAAGTAACATAGTACGCCGTCTTTGGACACACGAATATGAGACAGGGGCGTCTCTAAGAAAACTCGGGGCTGCTCCTCTGGGAATCGAGGACTCAAATGGATCCTCAGTTTGATGATACCACCTTCGAGAGGTGTTGTAGGCCGGCCAAAGTAGGTAAATTTCCAGAGGAAAGGGTTGTTATCGGCAAGAGTCAAATCGATCGAGTAATTCTTGTTGCTTTTCAGACTCTCGACAATTTGTTCGTATTGGCGCAGGAGGTTTACGGAGATTCCCAATTCGTCCCTTTTTGCCTGTAGTCCCTGTGCCTGCCAACTATTTGTTTCTTCCATGATCTGGCCTTTCACAAAATTCAATCGCCGTTTCAGCTCAGGGTAATCGAAATGCCCATCCATAGTATTGCCGCTACTCTCGAAAGGCATTCTTTGAAACTTACGGTTGGGCGTGGACTCTCCCGACTCTTTGTCGATTAATTGCGCATACGATTCGTAATACCAGAGGAAGCGTCGTTTCCGAAGGTCGTTGAAGGGATTATCAGAAATAGGGTTGCCGTCGTCTGAGATATAATCATCATCCTCCATCATTGCGATCAAGGTTTTCTTGGTCCCGTCCGGCAAGATATTCAGGGCCACCTCCAAGGGCTGAATAACGGCTATGCGTATCGTTTCGTGACGAATCTAGATGTTATGAATGTTACTGTTCCGTCTTGCTTAATGCTGGGAAGGCATATAATTACCTTGGACTTATAGTGAGCCATATGCTCCTGATCTGAGCTCGAGTTGGCATTTTCATATCCAGGTTCGTACTCGTAAGGGTTTGACGACATAAGGCTTTGAATAGAAATTAGGATAGACTCAAGTCCCTGTGCGGATGACCACTGTTCCCCTCGTTCCCCAGTCCATGTACTGTATAGGATTAGCAGGTGCGGCTCAGCATAAAACGCAGGAGATATTATCTCTTACCCAAGAATCGACCTTTTTGCGCGCTGTACGTTAGTAGGCCAACCACCAACCTGATACCAATCAGGTAAACTTACAAGCAAACTTTTCCGCCAGCATACAGATTTGGACTGAACCTACAGGAACCAGAATTGGTGGTTACAGCCTTTACGCTCGGAGGCCGCGCAGGGTAGTCTAGAAAGTCCTTAATTAGTTTTTGCTGCAAATACGCCCGATATGGACGACCGGTTTAGCGAACCTTTTCCGAACTTGATGGTGAACTGTTATCCCAAGGTCAGCGGAATACCTACCATAACAAGCGTAGTAGTAGTTCACCTCAAATAGACCAAACTGGTAGGGCGTGTCCGGTGGCCCTAAGATAATTGCTCGCACATTTCGAATATCGGATTCTTCGTAGTCGACCGCAAAAGCTATGAAGATAGTTAGCCGGGACTATTTAACACTGTAATCCCTGCTGTTACAGTGGAAAACACAATTATTCGGATTATGGCACTTACAGAGATCTGCACTCTGCTCTATCTGGTTCAGTTCCTAGGTAACGGAACTCGTGTTAGTCCAGCAAAGCTTTAGAAAGAGAGCCAGATACAACTAGGCAGCTAGTACTCTTGTAATGCGAATAATTGCCTGATCAGACATCTTGGCAGATAGGTCGGAGACTAAGCCTCTCAATAAGGTGTAAATCTTCTAGTGTTGTCTGCGAGATGGTGATGTTCTCCGGGTCGCTACCAAAGAAGGCTCGCATCAGGTGGACGGTGAAAAGTTCCGAGAAGAGGGGCACGTTTTCTATCAGAAGCAAGACCCAAATGGAAAGTGAATAGGAGCTATAAGAAAAAGGGAGAGATTATAAGAAATAATTAAACGTAATGTGAGTCAGTGGATAGCTAGGTAGTTGTGGAAGAGAAAGAGGAGGTCAAACGAGCTGATTGATACATACATGCCACCACCCACAGCAGTCAGCTGTGCCGCATCGCCTACAGGACGACGCAGTTAATTGTGCATAAGGTTTGAGATGCAAACAACTGCCCCGGGAAGAAAACAATTTTTTTACAATATTGCCTTAAACCACCATAGTTACTACTTTTATCTTTTGTTAAAATGCACTATCCGCGCTTTGGAGGCTCCCACTATTCAAAGAAAGGAGGTTCTTTTCAAGACTGTAATTTTTGGATGAAATTTGTACTGAAGAATACGATAAATGGCCCTGCAAGGCATCTTCAACAAACCAGAATTCTGCCTTCCGATATCTCCGCTGCTCCTTCAAGGAATGTATCCTGAAGACAGGCTGTCTTGGTAGTGTAGCCGGTGCCTACTTTAGGCAGCGTGAGCCTTGTGATGTAACACAATGAGGGTGGCTGGAAAGGTCTTAGACCCAATCCAGGTTTCGAAGATGCATAAGTACAAGTGATGAACAACTTAGCAATCGGATAAGAGATTCACTGATATATGAAAGCCACAGGAACTGCCCAGTGACTGCGGCGCATCGTCAACCTCCCCCGGCTTACTATTTAGAAGTCAGACTCTGGAGCCGCCCAAGGGCCCACGCCAGCTCGTAGACTCCAGCTGAAGTGGCCATGCCAGACATGGTCCTCATAGAAGCTAACATCCCTGATGAATTCTGGAGGTGGATAATGGAGACCCTTCCCGTCGAATTCACAGTCGAACCCCTCAGGGGGGCACTTGAGGCCTGAGGCCTAAACCGAAGCCTCAGGCCGCAAGGCATTTACGTATAAGGTGTAGGAGGCTCGAGTTTTCTGCCTCTTATATTAATTAAGCCTTCTTAAAAATTCCAACCAACTTATTCCGAGCGCAATGTCATTGTTTTCTTCCAGCCAACATGTCTCGTTTTCCGTGCCTGCTTTGTGTTCAGGTACAGTTCCAGCCACCCAAATAATGAAGGTGCAAAACAAACATATGCCTCTTCTCTTCAAGCGGTGTGACAAGCGGTGACCAATACACGTGATTGCCATTCACCAAGATGGAAGCATAGGGGGGCAGAGCAACAACTGACAGCAGCACCCGCACTGCCCCAAACATACTCTTTGCTTGTTGAGTCAGTCTGCTGCAGGCTTTAGTTGATCCAGCATTCACTGCAGATAACTGCCTTCTTATTGCGATCTCTTTCATGAGTCGTTAGGCCTAGGCCGTGGAAAGATACCCTTTATTGAAAGGGATCAGGTATGGTGGTGATCTTGGCTTTCGACCTCCGCCGCTTGTTGGTCTCACTTTGAGCTCCGACCCTTTCAGTCCAATTCGTTCTCCACGGGCGGCTGCGCTCTCCCGCTGAATTATATTAACGTCTCCCTATCGCTCAAATACCTTCTTTTGCCCGTTACTTTGGTCCTCTGACGGTCACGCGCTGTGTTCCTTGTTCCTCGAGTTTCCCCGCAAGTCGTACCTGAATGGCTTGAGGTGAGTACGCTCTGAAACGACCCTAAATATGCTTCCTCCCAGCCCCGCGCGAAGCTGCGAGAATGCCGTCTAACATAACTTTGCATTCTCGACTAGTAGGGGACATACTGCCAACATAGTTTTCATTGTTTCTCTCTCGAGTTGTCCGTTAAGCACTTTCGAATTATCGTTCCCGAATCTCAAATCTCCCTGGTCCCGGCGGCAACCCGACCAAACGCTCTCAACCTCGAAACCCTTTTCATTCAGCCACAATCGAAGCAAGGTCGAGGGATCGTCGCATTATTTTTGGGGGACAAATCGTTGGATTCCTATCACAAAGGCATAGTTCTTTACGGACATGCCTCCCGGCGACGTTTCATTGCCGGACAGCCTCGTGCCGGGCAACGGGGCTGTCCGTCCGTCCCTGAACACGAGCGGCTATGGTGGTAGCAATGGCGGGGGAAGTTTACACACACAAACCCCCACATCGCCCGCCGATAGCACTGTCCCTTTCGATTCTCCTCGCACAAGGCCGTGGAACGCATCTGCTGGATATGATGCAGGTCCAAGCCCATCGGATGGTCGGCCCGCCCGGCGTTTAGACTCGAACCCAGCTGATTCTAGAGACCCGACAACGCCTCAGGACCGGACCAATTATTGGGAGGGCTCTGGACCGCTGGACAGACCCCGACCGAATGGCCGATCGCACGCTAAGTCACCAGGAGGTGCTTCATCAAGGATATGCAAGAAATGCAGCGAACCTCTCACTGGTCAATTCGTTCGAGCCCTAATGGCGACATACCATCTCGAATGTTTTAAATGTGAAGTGAGTTTTCTACATCGCAACTATTGATTGCTTTTCAGCTCTAACAAAATTAATAGGACTGCGGTCAAATAGTGGCGTCGAAATTCTTTCCTATTGATGCAGAAGATGGAAGCGGGCAATATCCGCTTTGTGAGATCGATTACTTTCGAAGACTAGACCTTCTATGTCACGATTGCGGCGGCGCCTTACGAGGCTCGTATATTACTGCACTGGATCGCAAGTATCACATTGAGCATTTTACTTGCTCAGTCTGCCCTACAGTTTTCGGGGCACAAGACTCATACTATGAGCATGAGGGTAAAGTATATTGTCATTACCATTACTCTACGCAATTCGCCCAGCGCTGCCATGGCTGTCACACCGCGATCTTGAAACAATTCGTGGAGATCTTCCGCAATGGACAGAATCAACATTGGCACCCTGAGTGCTACATGATTCATAAGTTTTGGAATGTTCGCCTTGCTCCGACCGGTCAACCCCTAGAATATCCTCAGATGAAAGAAGATGCCACCGATGAAGAACGCACTCAAATACGCGAGGAAGAGGATCTGATGGAGGAGAAAGTCTACAAAATTTGGAGCACTCTCTCCACATTTGAAGAGTCTTCTGCGGCCTGCATCTCGGATATGCTTCTGCATGTCAGCAATGGTGCGTATTTGGACGGTGTTCTTGTCGCCAAAAAATTCATTGGCCATGTCGAGATCCTTTTCTCGGCTATCGATCAACTTGCAGGATTCATCAAGGCTCAAGGGATGAAGGGTAAGTTTTGATACCATCATAATCATATACACATCTATCTAACCGAATCTAGACCTTGCCTTTGGCCGGGAAGCCAAATTACTTTGCAAAAAAATTGTTGCGTTTTTTGCATTGCTGTCTAAGACGCAAGAAACGGGTGTTCGAAAACTCGGTGTGACTCAGGAACTTCTATCGCTCGTCACAGGGCTCGCCCATTACCTCAAACTTCTCATCCGCATCGGGCTGCAAGGGGCGCTCAAGCTGGAGAGAGAACAACGTAGCCCTGAAGGCTTGCATCATCTCCTCGACCGTCTTGGCGATCTCGAGTCGTTGCGGCCACTAGAGGAAGAGGAGACGCCTGCAGATCTGCTGACTGGCGTGGAAACTTTAGCTGATCAACTCTCCGATTGCTGCGCAGCATGCAAAGAGCCGATTGATGACGAGTGTGTCATGTTGGGCGACAACAGATGGCATATAAAGCCCCCTCACCTTGTTTGTGCCTCGTGTCAGACCGATTTGACTATCAATATTCAGAACGCTTTCCTAAGTACTAAAGATAGGCAAGCTTTATGCGCCAACTGTGTCACTCACAAGGGAATTGCAAACGATATGCAAAAGGGGTTCAAACATATTTCAAAACTTCAGCAATTCGTCTTCTTGCTTAGGGTTGCTCTGGCCCGCCTTTTGGCCGTTTTACGAGCTGGAGGGACCCTTTTCCCGTCTGGTAGGTTTTTAGGATCCCACACTCCTATTCCTGCGATACTTCTCGTGAATGCTAATTCTTCGGTCCAATTCTTTTTTCAGATGACCCCTCCGGTTCGCAAACTGATAATAGCCAAGTGCCCCCGGGTGGTGAAGTGCGCCGCCGGAAAGATGCCGACAGATCTTCCCTTGAGCAGACTGTTGGTGAGATGCGACGCCTACGGTCGATCAGGAATGAGCGCACTTTATCTACAACTTACAAAAAGGCGCGAGCGTCAAGAATTATTGACGGACCAGAAGGACGGAGTGTCAGACCCGGCTCCTCAGGTGGCGAGGGTTCAGATCCCAGGGGACCGGGCTTTCAAATCGTGGAAGAGAAAGATGCCAACGGGGACCCAGTCACTGAGTTGGCGTTTGGCAACCAGGATGCCTTGACTCTGGATGATATTCCAAGAATTGTTGCAGCTGAGCAAGCCAAAGAACAGCGCCCGAATGCATACAAGCACGCTGGCACCAAGCTTATAAACACTACCGAACCGCTTCCCAGATATAACCACGGACATCAACGTGGCATGTCTACCCCTGGCCTGGAAGCACCTTTCCCCACCGCAACTGGGAGAGGCAAACGGTACTTCTCAGAGCTTTCAGCCTTGGAGTATTTCATCGTCCGACATGTTGCCGTCTTATCTATGGAGCCTTTACTGGATGGTGCCTTCACGTTGGAGGAACTCCTTTCATTGATCGAGTCACGAAAACCGACGATCTGGAATATATTTGGGAGAGCTTTCGCCAAGGACGCGAAGAAAGGCGGAAAGAAGAAAGGAGTGTTCGGCGTCAGCCTTGATCTTCTTGTCGAGAAGGAAGGGACTGAATCAAGTCATGGTGTTGGTCCGGGAGCCCTTCGTGTTCCAGCTCTTGTTGACGACTCTGTGTCCGCTATGCGTCAAATGGACATGTCGGTGGAAGGTGTCTTCCGAAAGAATGGCAACATCAGACGGCTGAAGGATGTTTCAGAGCTGATCGACAACAAATATGAGCAAGTGGACCTGACCAAGGAGACGCCCGTCCAAATCGCTGCTCTTCTTAAGAAATTCCTCCGCGAAATGCCCGACCCTCTTCTGACGTTTAAATTGCATCGCTTATTTGTTGCTTCTCAGAGTATGTGCCAATCCTTACCTTACCCGCCACATTCAATATATTGACAAAGGATTTAGAAATTTCGGACCCCGAGAAGCAGAAGCGGGTTCTCCATCTCACATGCTGCTTGCTTCCTAAAGCCCATCGCGACACCATGGAAGTCTTATTCGCGTTCTTGAATTGGACATCATCCTTCTCTCATGTCGATGAAGACACCGGAAGCAAGATGGACATCCACAATCTCGCCACCGTTATGACACCCAACATTCTATATCCAAATGCCAAGACCAGCGCTGTCGACGAGAGCTTCCTCGCAATTGAAGCCGTTAACGCGCTTATCACGTATAATGACACCATGTGCGAGGTATGTTGACTGACACTTCTTTAGAAGATTTATATACTGATTAGAATGTATAGATTCCCGAGGACCTTCAATCGGTCCTAAGCGACAGTACCCTCTTCAAGGGAGACTCGGAAGTTACAACAAAAGAAATATTAAAGAGATACGGTGATATTGCAAGGGGAGGCTTTTCCCAGAAAGCAAGCAATGGCGGTGAAACGTTTACCATTACCAACCAAAGCCGTGGAGCCAATGTGCCTACTTCGGCTCGTATCGAAACAGACCCGTCCCAAGATGCTGCTTCCCAAATGCAAAGCTCTGTCCGGCATGTGGCCGGACCGGCTGGACACTCACATTCAAGTAGTGCCATTGCTCCACCCAGCGGCCAGGATTTTGATGGCCGTAACCGCAGCACCAGCACCGGGAGTCAACCCGAGGGCCAGTCTCAACAAGTGCCATACAGAGCTCGTCCGAACGCGGGACCCATGGGCGTTGCTAGTTGATTGCCTTTCCGCTTTCCGTTCGATAGTCAGGGTTTGCTCATTTACACACTCTTGAGGCGTGTGTCGGAATTTTTCTGTGGTTTCACTTTCGACGACAGGAACGTTGTTGACGTATCTCTGGCGCTGCCAGCATTTCCCCCTTGGAGATTGGCATGCCGTCATTTTATTTCCGCTTAATGTCAACTCATCACTTATTCGGACTCTGGCCTGAGTTTCTGAAACGACCTCATCTCGTCCCTTTTCATCTTAAAAAAAATGCATTGCATCCGGCCTCAAGGTTTCGTCTCTTGTCTTTTCTCTCTCGTTGACTGGTCAATAGCCACCACTAAGAACCAACGTTTTGGGCCTTCCTTACTGTTTAGCCATGGCTCACCATCCGCATTCCAGGACCTTGGGTGTCATTTTCTACCATTCATTTTGCGCCCTTTCATTGCATTGCATCTGACAACCAGCTGTGTCAATATGAATATTGCACTGTAATCCAGCGGTGTTCTCTTCTGTCTCCATCATTTCCATTTCCCTTCTTCTATTCCAAAATTTCGCCTCTCCGTTGATCTGCGAGAGCTTTGCAGAATCCCGAACTCCATGAATTGGTTTTCTCTTCTCTTTTCTTCTTCTCTTTACTTTCCTGCCGGTCGATTAAGACTGTTAAGATACCTAACTCTGGCGAGTGCTGTTTTCTCTTTCTACCTCTCACTACTACCCATTTTCCTTCTTATTCCCTTTTGCTTCAACATCTCTTTTCTATTTCCCCCTTGAAGCGGTGTCTTACCTTGTCGTTGAGTCCATTGTAAGTGTTCGGTGGTTCCATTTCTCAAATCCGGTTTTTTTTTTTCTCTCTTCCTTTTCTAGTCTCCCTCCAATGCATCCATACCTGTCACCTTCCATATGATGTTCTTTTTCCTCCATAGGTGATGTAGCTTATTTACAGTCAGTTGTGAATGGAAATGCCTCTGGCCCAAGTCAATTTATCGCTGTAGGCATAGAGTATGGCATTTCGCTAGATAAAAACGGAAGGGTTCAGGTAAATTAAGGAATAGAAATCCACTAGGTATTGAAGATATTGAATTAGAATATGAAGCAAGATGCATTTTCACTGAGCCTTTGCGAAAAGTTAATGAAGTACTACTTCAGAACCACGAAGTAATGGTACTCTAGACACTTCTAACCAGTCCATACTCAATAAATAAATAAAAAAAGACCTAGAACTCCAATACCAAATAACCAGTAGTAACATCCGAACACCACCGAATGAAAGACCAACTCTTCGACTCCTCGCTGTCGAGCTGTTTGTAAATTGACATGCAACGAAAATCCAGATGTCAAACACTAATATGAGATAAAAGGCTAAATATGCAAGTAGCTTATGCACGCTTCCGTAGAGTGCGACGCCCGCCTGTTGTAGTCTCACCTCCCACCGATGACGTCGTAGCCTTCCTAGTTCCCGAGGCTGCAGTCTTTTTCGAAGTCGCAGAAGGCGCTTGTGATCTTGCTGCGGTCGCCTTCCTTGCTGCTGAGCTTGCAGTTGTTGCCTTTCGCGATGGGGCGGCCTTGGTGTTTGTGACCGTTGTACCAGATGATGTGGTGGATGAGACGCTACCCCTGCGGTCGGTTTGCCGGGTACCAGGCCGCGAAAGAGGAGAACGAACAGATCTAGGGCCCGCGGTGGCAGCTCTGCTTGCAGGTCTCATTGTTTGGGAAGATGGTGGGCGCGCAGGAGCAGCGCCTCGTGATGAGCCAGGACGAGCGCTTCCAAGATTACCGGTGGTAGATTTGAGAGGGCTGGAGGGCTTCAGTGGTGACATGGGCCGAGATAGGTATGAAGACGATTGGCCCTTCTCGGGTGAAGCGCGCAGAGGGGACTGTGGATACGTCCTAGAATTTGAGGACTTGGGCGAGAGGATCCTGTAGTCTGCCCCTCGGACTTCTTGTGAAACAACGCGAGACGTTCCTGGCGTTGCACCGGTCTTTCCACGCCTCTTGGGGTTCTTAAGAACGTCGAGCTGCTCGCCTGACGCGGGTGCGTTTTCTTTGTCAGAGTAGATACCGGCGGGACTGGACACGTTAGTCAAGCGCGTGGTTTCAGAGTACCTCGCTACATACCTTTGTTTCCTAACTCTGCGAGGGCTTGGGCTTACTGTCGCAGCCTTCTTTCTGCCGGAAGCAGAAATCGCCGTGAAATTACGCGATCCTTTAGCTGGGCTACGGTATTTCCTTGGCGAAGGGTGCTCTGATTGAGCTCGGAGGGAGGCGTTGTGCTTCTCGAGCAATTCGCCCATGTTCGCTTTGCGAAGAGCCACGGGAATTCGGTTGACGCGTCGTTCGAGCCTAGCTCGGAGGTCTTGTGCTTGGAGGGCGTACTGTGCCCGCAGTTTGCGAGCTCTTTCCGTGACTGCAATAGTCAGTGTAAAACTTAGGAGGTCGGGACTAGAAGAACATACTTTCCAGCTGCAAATTGTCCATTAGGGACTGTTTCTGGCTTCGCGTGATTCGCATGCGCTTTCTGGGTGGTGTAGTGTTTGTGGGTGTTGCGTCCTCAATGCTGGGATACGCGTCTTCCATCTCGCCAGACTTTCGCTTTGTCGCTGTGGCCATTGTGGAAAAAAAAAAAGTCGAATACTTTTAAATAATGTCGAAAACCAAGGATTTAATCCAAGCAGTCGGAGAAATTCGTGCGGCAGTTGGCGTTGTGTTGTCGAGGAACGAAGGGATAAGGAAGAGAGGCGGCGGTTGTTGTTGCGGGAGTGGTTGATGGGGAATAAACAAGCGCTGACTTAATTCGTCGTTAGCTTAGGTTAGCTCAACCTCAACTCTCCTCACGGCGGGTGTGACATCTCTGTGTCCGCCTCTCTCCAGCTTCATCCTCCCGCCATCATCAAACCTCTATCTCTTCCGCTTATCTAGCCGGACAGCTCTTCTCATACTCTATTTTATCGCTCCTTCTTTTCACCGCATATCCCGCACCGCCGATTGACCCGCCAGGATGTCGCTTGAAGCTACGATGATCATGTTCGTCAGCCCCATCCGCCGAGCTCAGTCGGTAGTCTAGCTAGCTAACCCATCCCAGCGTCGACAACAGCGAAAGCAGCAGAAACGGCGACTATACGTGAGCCACACCTCTGTCATTTTTACCTTATCCGATCACTCTCGACTAATAGTCACAGCTCGACACGATGGCAAGCCCAGATCGATGCCGTCAGCGTCGTCCACACAGCCAAGATGCGCTCACACCCCCAGTCGGCTGTCGGGCTGATGAGCATGGGAGGAAAGGGCCCCGAGGTGCTCTCTACATTTACTACTGATTTCGGTGGCATTCTGGCCGGACTACACCGCACGAAGATCCACGGGACCGCTCACTTCTGCTCGAGTATACAAGTTGCGGGTGTATGTGTTCCGCAGTCTTCCCCGTTTTGACTTAGGTGTGTCCAAGCTAACAAGGGGCATGAATCTGAATAGCTGGCTCTCAAACACCGCTCTGAGAAATCGCAGCGCCAACGCATCGTCGTATTCTCCTGCTCCCCGATCGAAGAAGACGAAAAGACCCTCGTGAAGCTCGCAAAGAAAATGAAGAAGAACAACGTTTCCATAGACGTCATCGCGTTCGGCGATCTCGAGTCCGACCAGACGAAGAAGCTGGAGGCCTTCATTGAAAACGTCAGGGGTGGTGACGGCTCCAACCTCGCTATCATCCCACCCGGCCCGAACCTACTCAGCGAAGAGCTCCAGACATCGCCTATCCTCGGTGGCGAAGGCGCTGATGGCTCAGGTGGAATGGGTGCTGAGGGCGGTGACGCCGGCGGTTTTGACTTGGATGCTGCAGCTGAGAACGACCCCGAGCTGGCCTTTGCTCTCCGCCTTTCGCTGGAGGAGGAAAAGAACCGACAGGAGAAGGAGAAGCGGGATCGCGAAGAGCAGGAGCAGAAGGCGAACCTAGAAGGGATTGCTGAGGAGGGACAATCTTCTGGGAAGAAAGATAATGACGATAAAGACAAGATGGATACTGCGTAGAATGTATTCTATTTACTTATGTTAATGCATACCCGGCGTTGCCACCTCCCTCTTAGGTAACAATTTCATACGCAAACCAAATCGGCCATCAGTAGTTCTAGCAATAAACGCCAAACAAAATCCCAAACAGTTATCATCATTTCCAGCATCCCATTAACAGAAGCAAGAAAGACCGTAGGTCAAGAAAATATACAGGCCGACCACCCAACAGCAGCGGGTATATCAATATGTATTGTTCATTACCCCCTCGCTCTCAGATAGCCTCCAACCCCCCTATCAAACCTCTCACACCGAACCGGCATTTCAATCTGATAAAACGGATTCTTCATCACATAGTCCGCATAAATTTCATAAACACCCTTCATTACAACATCCACATTCTCCATCAGCGGGTCCGTAAACAGCAAGAACTTCGTCCCCGTCAGCGTTTGGAAACACGTCAGCCGGAATTTCTCCGTTTCCAGCATCTCTAGCCCGCTTATTGGGATGGAAGGAATGGGGTATGTCGAATTGGCGTTTGAAGTGGAGGATGCTTGTGGTAGTGGGAGGCCGGATGAGGAGTTTGGGGTTGTCCCTGCGCCCGGCGTTGGTGTTGAGGGATTCGATGGCGTAGAGGTTTGCTGGCTGTTGGATGTTGGGGTCGGTGTCGCGGATGGGTTGGGGATTTTGGGTGTTATGGAGCGTGTGATTGCATGGACGCTGTAATTGTAGAATAGAGTATTAGCTTCAGATCTCTTCTCTTTTTGAAATCCCTGCCTTGGAAACCTCCAGAGTATTGGGACGTTGGAAGAGACATACCCATGAAATGTCCCCGCAAGAACAAGGTAGTCGTTCGTCGAGAGCTTGAGCAGGCCGGGGTGGAATTCCCGTTGGTAGATGAGCCCACCGGCTTTGTTGATAATTATGAGGGAATAGACGGGCCTATTTTATAACGTCAGATACAATCATGAGAAGAAGGAAGGGAAACAAACATTGTGAATGGGAGGTGAGGCGAGGGGAGGGGAGAATGAGGGAGAGGACTCCGAGCGTGCGCGCCCGGTTGCGGCTGGTCTGGCGGTGGGTGGCCTGGTTTGGTTTTGCTTAACGGAGGAAGCGTAGTTAGTCGTTATTGGGGTATCATTTGCGAGGTATCATGCGAGAGTATCGAGTTCAAAATGGAAGAGCTGGGCTGGTTGAATATCACGGAGAAGCTGCGCAAATGAATGCGGAGGTGGATTGATTTCCTGGGCATTTATTCTGCACCCGCCAGGGGAATTTTGGGTGTGGTATAGAGACCCACCACTGTATACATACAGATCCAGTGCTTCAGGAGATATTTGGGGTCGGCTTACTCAAGAAGACCTTAAACAATACATATTTATCTTCTTATTTCGTTTTGCTTTGCACCATCTACGTCTTCCTCTCGAGACTTCGAGATTTCGGGTTGTAGTATGTATTTACTCGTTGTAGATATGAAAAATATATAATTACCAGAAGGTCTGTCTCTTAACTTCAACTTCTGTTATCAAAAAGTCAACCCGCAAGTTATTAACTTATTGCACCTATTACGTAGTCGTCTTACTCAGAATATGTACCACATCCAGGGAACTCCCGAAGAAGGAAGAGGGATCTGAGGTGAGATCTTAGTTGAGGTACATGGATCGCTGAGGTACCCTTATAGCGTTTCACCAGGGTGGTCCAGTATGAAGGTTTTGAGTTCAATGTTATAATCATTATCACTAGACAGAATAAGAGTCCTAAATAGCTACATATATTAAGTACAGGATATCATCTCGCATCGTGAATCATGACGCTATGTTATGCCAGCCCAAATCCTAACCCAAACCCAAACCCGTACCGGGGTCTGCACAGACAATCGACAATAGCCCGTCCAAACGATCGCAAAATGACAGATAGACCAAGACAAACTATAGAAAATATGTAGTAGGCCGTGATATGAAAACAAGGAAACAAGATAAACCTTCGCTACGGGAGAATCACTCCCGAAGAAGCGATGCCAACTTCCACTCCCCCTTCACATGGACAATAACTCCATTCTCATGCGCCCACTCCCTAAGAGGGAGGTCCTCTTTCTCAGGGCCTGGGTCTGCCTGCTCATAGTGTCTCGCAACATGCTCCATGCGCTCTTTCCAGGCGTTCGTGCCCCGGAACTCCGCATCGCAGAAGCCGCAGTGGCTCAGTGTCGGTGGGGTACGGAGCTGCTGCCAGCACCTCTTCCAGACGCCGCTAAGACTCATTTCGAAGGCTTCTTTCTCGGCCTGTGGGACCGACTGCTTGCGGGCCTTTGTATTTGCGACCCAGGGCGCGTGCATACGGCGCTGGTGTTGGATGAAGAGGTCTTTGCGGTTGAAGTCATTGACAAGGGTGGGTGTTGTTGGCGTGGCGGAGTGTTGGGAGTTCGACGAGGTTGGCGGCGGGGAAGACTGCATCTGGCAGTTGGGGGGCGTAGTGAGATTTTTGGTGTTATTTAGGCTGCACCGGCCGACGTCGCATCTGTAGAAGCCGGGCTGGATATGCTGAGAGCTGACATGCCGTTTCCATTCGTTCTTGGAGGGGAAGGTGCTTGTGCAGCCATAACGGGCAAAGGTGCATTCGAAGCGTCGGTCGGCAGTCTTCTTGAGAGGCTTCTTGGAAGTTGTGACTGGTTCAGCGCGACTGGGATTGGCTGGCGTCTTCTTAGGCGATTTGCCATTGCGCTTTTGAACCCGGTTGCGGGTGTTTCCCTTGCGAGCGGAGGGTGCTTTTGGGGGGCACTTGGTAGGTTCACTGGGGGAAGAGGTCGGGGGTGCGCTATATTCGCTAGGCTGGTGGCCGGCGTACACTGGGAGAAACATAGGCTTGCCATGTTGTGGCATTGGCTGAACGTGCTCAATGAGAGGGCTCATTGATTCTTGTTTGTAGGAAGTTATCGTGATGGGTTCGGGGTATGAAGGGGAGGGCGAGCTTTCGAAGCCAGATCTGCTTGACATGGCGTCGTCGTAGATGAGAGTAGGTGCGCGGCCGCTGCTCTGGCAGTCCGTCTGCGGCGACAAACTACGCAAACTTTCGTCAAACGGGGACGGCGGACCCCAATATGCAATGGCTGAATTTTGATGCGAAGGAGTGTATTGCAGTGGTTCGAAGGGCGGGAAATGGTGGCCCTTGATCGCAGCGTTCGAGGCCATGGGAATACCACCATTCATCGCGTCCGACATGGAGGTCGCCAACATATGGGCATCGGAGTGAGCGTAGTATGGGATATCCTGCGCAATTGGCACATGGTCTTGCACATGATAGTGTTGTTGGAAGTCATGGTAAGGGTAGTGGTCATCCATTGTTGCACAGACAAGATGTATGAAGAACTTATATCAACAAAGGATAAGAGGAACGCCTCTGTATAGAGAACAAAGCTTGAGTGAAAACAATTGAGACCGCCGTAATTGCAGCGGACCCATGGGGCCATTTATCCTCTCGTCTGTTTCCTGGTCAATTGGGAGAAACAAACGGGCGATGACGGAACCACGAATTGGGTAGCGCAGATTGAGCCTCATGCTCTTAATGCGTACCCTCCATCACGGACGAACATTCGACACATGGGGTGAGTGCCTTGCGCCTGCCGCCGATACTCTCGACCAGCGCGACGGGACGAGTCAGGGCCGTTGCGCTGGATCCATCCATTACTTTTCCCTCTCCACCCGTCTCCTTATTTTTGCTGCATTACCGGGATATTATTTATTCTGCAGCCCGAACCGGTTAAGACAGATGGACGGCCAAATACTGACCGGGGTACAGGCGAAACAGGTGGCTGGTCGCTGGAGTGTCGGGGTCTGCGCCCTTGTGGAGCGCATATCTTCGGGGATCACAGCGCGAGGGCGGAGCACGCTACAAGACGAATACAGGACGAGAACCGCGAGGGGACCTCAGTTGAGCCTCACGTACCCTCCATAATGTGCCTTATCCGGGCTTTGATATAGGTGGGGATGCAGGGTGTCGTCACCGACCCATCAGCCACTGCCATCTCACAAGTCGCCATGCGTTGGTTGGCTGGTTAATTTCTTTTCTTTTTCTTTGCGCTCTCAATCCCAGGTGTGAGGTCTGACGGAAGCGAACGTGGCCAGCGAATCCCGTGAGGGATGGAATGGGCCAGGAGGTCGTGGGCAGAGGGCAGTGTGGGCCGAAGGCGTTTGCCCTGGCGTCGACAAAGACCCCGGCCAGGCGCGAGGCGTAGATTATCATGTCAAATCGAAGAACAGGGACAGACTGATGCCAGAAAGATCGGCAATGCCATTGGAGCGGAGTGGTTGCCCTGGAGGGAAAGGCACAGGCGAGATGGTGAGTCTGACTGACACGAAGATCCGGCCCCAATCTCGACGTGAAATAGCGGCACTAAATTGGGAGCTGTTCTTTGTGGACAGACAAACGGCCCCGAAAGGAAGGCCTCTGCTCTGCATGGAATTAAGCGATAGTATCGGGGATCACGAAATCAGAGGGAAGGAAGCGGAGTTGTTTTCCAGGAAGAGTCTGGGCTGTAGGCTCAGTGTTTGCCAGTTTGGGGCATCCCCACTTGGCATCGCCCTGACTCGTCGATATTGAAGATTCCCGTCCTCATCGAGATCCACCTCCATTCTCTCCGGCATGTCTCTCTCGCTGTTGACTTTGGACTCTCGAAGTTCGAACACTCAGCCCGGATCCCAGAAAACGCAGACGAGCTTTGCCAGACAAGCAAGCCAAGCCACAGTCAGTCAAATTTTGAAACCCAGACCAATCGCCAACGACAACTCTTGTCCACAATCCGACGATCGCTATACTTCTCCCATCGTATAATTATTCATATTGTCCTATCTCATCTCACTGCAGCCCAAATCCAAATCTCATAAAATTCCAAACTCGGCCGGAGCCCAGGATCCCGTTCCTGGCCTGCAGCACCAAGAAAAACCCGGGCTTCACAGACTCAGACTGCAATCTGCACCGAACTCGCACCTGGACCTTAACTTAATTCGGCCTGAACCCATGGACCATCACCCTGATATGGAGAGATTTGCCTTGGGCGCAAATTCGCAAGCGCTGCGTTGTTGCACAGCATCTTTAGTGCGTCAGCTGAAGAGTGAGCCCGGAGCCGGTCGACATCCGTCCACCACTGAACCTTGCCGAATTGATTTCGGTTCTCAGGGACACACACAAGGTTTGCATGAAGTCTAACTCCTGCCCATCACTCCTCGTGGTCGCCGATGGGTCTAAAACGGGCGAAGGGTAAGACGTGCGCACGCCCCGTCTGCAGGAGTCAGGAGGCAGGGCGCAGGCAATCTAAAACCCAAGCCCAAAAAGCAATTCCGAGACACTTGGTATGGGGCCGGCACGCTGCATACTTGCAGTCTTGCAGAGTGTGCAGCGGAAACACACTGACAATCCACAGAAAGAGCCACAATTTCAGTCGCAGTCCAACCAGACCAGACAGATGATCTCGTCCTCGAAGGGTGACCCCCTGCAGAGTGCAGAACCAGACCAGACTGCAGAGACAGGCGGCTATGCTCGGGCAAACTTAGGGTCCACTGAGATGCAAAGTGACTGTGCCACACCTCCATCTCCTTCTATCTTCCAGATCCAGGTAACTCCAGGGTGACGGACGGGATGAGCCCGAGCCGGGGCCAGTGAGCCCTGCCTCGGTGTGAAAATGGAAGAAACGTCAGTGGTCACCAGACAAGCCATTATCGCGTGGCCTGTGGGCCAACTCCACGAATTACACTTTGCTGGCCAATCCGTCCGCCAAACGCTCTGATACAAATTGACAGGTTCGATTCTCAAGGCTTAACCAGGCGATCTTTGCTCTCACTAGTAATTCCGCCGGGGGCTCGGGATGTGACCCTTCCTTGCGCCTTGGCTGTCTATCTCTACTCTAAATATCTACACCGTATGTATTGTAAGGCCTTTTCCCGCTCGACGCGAGCTTGCAAGGTTTCCAACTGGCGCTTGAATCTCAGCTTGGATCCTGATCGCCCTGATCATCTACTTGTTGGCACATTAGACTGCTATTCTAGCCTACCATTACTACGATTCCCACTCCGGGTGACTTGGCAACTGGAGCGCTGTGGCGTTTTTTTTGCTGTCCAAGCACACCCCCGGGGATTCCTGGCGCTTAACGGGGAGGGAGACGTCGCACGGCACGGCACGGCATGGTGGTGGCTTGGAACGACTTGTGGGGGCGATCGCTTTGACATTTATTTTATGCCGGTAGCTAGCTGCATAAGTTTCAACAATGATGCTATTATTATGATTATACTTCGATGGCAGAAAGGAACGGATGATACCCGACGACCTGGCTGAATCCATAATCAGGTCCACGTATCCGTTTGGATATCTCAATCATTAACTGTGACACTAGTATAATGAACTAGTAACTAAGCCTGCTCTATCACGATAACAAAAAGTAGCCCACCAAGTGTACTCTACATCGATCCATGTGGCTTAGACTTTCCTGTCAGCCTTCCTCTGACTATTCGCCACCGTCTTTCCACTAGCTAGCCTTTCTTCACCTGCTGAGACTTCTTCTTCGGCACCCTAACCAACCAATAGAGGAAAACGGCTGCAAATGCATTAAACACAATGTACACGAACAGTAAGCCCACGTTTCGCCAGGTGTCATTGGGGTTGATACTGAGCTGTGCCAGGAATTGATCCGACGAAGAGATACTGCAGAGCCGACAGTCGCCATTGGGGGCTGGGTCCAGGATAGTCCCCATGGTTGCGTTGGCGTAGGGGCCGAGGTATGAAGTACAATTCTGACCATCGGGTGGAGGGACAGCGAGTACCTCGATGTCAGAACAGTGTGCTTCGGTTCCTGATAAGCCAGTTGATAGCACTGATGACACGAGATAGGTGAACGGCGAGACTCGGTACATGAATATCCAGAACCGGGGAAGCTGAGTTGGAGATGCAAGTACACTGATGCTTGTTAGTAAATCGTTGTGGTTTTAACATGGAGATAGATATCCGAACTTACCCGTTGAATATGAGACACAGCGAGAACAACAACTGTGCGATATTGCTACCGGTATCTGGATGTTCAATGCCAGCAATGATCATGGAGCTAAAAGTTGACGTGAATAGCATGAAGATTAAGATCAGCAGGAACATGGTGCCGCCACGCTCGACCGTTTCTCCAGGGCCCGCGTTGCGATACAGCCCGATCGGATAATACCAGCAGAAGTAAGCAGGAACAGCCATCAAGACGTTCCAAGGAAGCTCTACGCAGATACTGGCCATCATAAAAGCCTTCCATGAATACGCCTTTGAGGGTCGCTCTCGGACTTCATATAGGGCACGCTGCGTCACAAAGTACGGCATCATTTGTTGGACCAAGTTCGGGAAGATAACCAGGAGCATGAAGATGGCGAACATCTGATTTTGCATGCCTTGCAAGGTAAGTGGCGCTCTCCAAAACGTAAACCCAATGAAGAGAGGCTGCTTTAAGTTAGTTTGACTCCTATAGTAAGATATTGATACGTAGAACTTACCGGAATCACACACATGGTGGCCTTGGAATAAATGTAGGACGGACTGCGCCAGTATTGCTCAAACATGCGCTGGAGGCATATGAGAAACTGAGCCCAGAGCGGCATCGCAAATTCTCCATACTCGGGCGTCTTGGGGGGCTCTGGTTTCTGCGATAGCTCTGCTTTCAACTGTGCCAATTCCTGACGTACATGATCACGTTCAGGGCTCTGCTTCCAGATTTCAGACCAGTCTCGATCTGCATGAGATCCTGGGGCTGCACCGATAATTTCCAACATCCATTCAGCGGGGTTTGCGGTCTTGGGGCACGGAGCGGAGCCCTTCTTTTCAAAATACTTGATCAGAGTCTCCATATTTTCACCAAGATCGCCGAAGTAGATAGTCTTTCCGCCCTTGGCCAAGAATAGAAGTCGATCAAACTGCTGCATCAGAATCGCAGATGGTTGGTGAATCGTACATAAAATCGCCTGACCATGGTCTGCTAGTTTCCGCATCAGAGAACAGATAGACCAGGCTGTTTGGCTGTCCAGGCCAGATGTCGGCTCATCGAAGAAAAGAAGAAGATCTGGTTTTGCTGCAAGCTCCACTCCAATAGTGAGGCGTTTCCTCTGCTCGACATTCAATCCTTCACCCAGAATACCTACTACAGCCTCAGCATATTCCTCCATGCCAAGCATCTTGATGACCTCCTCCACGTAAGCAATTTTCTCTTTCCGCGACACTGTAGCAGGCTGGCGAAGCATTGCACTGAATATTAACGCTTCGCGTACAGTGCTGGTTTCAAGATGCAGATCCTGCTGCTGGACGTAACCTGTTTTGCGTTGAAAGGAGTCATCCCGCAAGCGTCCATCCACAAGCATCTCGCCAGTCACCACACCCATAGTAACGCGGTCAGCTAGAACATCCAGTAGAGAGGTCTTGCCGGCGCCAGTAACCCCCATTAAAGCTGTTAGGGTGCCCGGCTTTACCCAACCATCAACGTTATCGAGGATGCGACGGTTTTCGCCCTTTATTTTGATGTCGTAGCACACATCCTGCCAGTGAAAGATTGCTGTTTGTTTCGAGATAGCCCCAACATGATCGTCTACATTTTCCTGACCAACTGGGACGGCCTTTTCAGCTGGAGAAGCTTCCTCCGCATCCTGTCGGATTTCCTTTGCAAAAGCCGGAATTTTGCCTCTTGGGAAGACCAGAATCTCTCCCTTGGAGGGCTTCGCCCGGACAAACTCACTACAGACGATATAGAGTCCCAAAAAGACGAACATGAACGCCAAAAGGATGCCGTAGTTTCTCCACAGGTGAGACCTGTAATATTCGAACGAGGTATTCAGGTATTTGTCACCATCGATAAAATCTTCACCGGCCACAGCTCCACGGTTGGAGCAAATCTTTGACGACAAAGGAGCGTCGGGATAGCTGGGTACATAGCCTCTGCATTCAAACGTCCTGCCGCTGAATTCGTTGACCATGAGTGATTCGAATGCGTACTAAATAGACGATGAGCAGGTAATTAACATGAATTGGAAAAGCACTTACACCAATAGGGTTAAGATAGTTCAGCCATTTGAACCACGGATGCATATTGCGTACAGGAATAGTGAATCCAGTGTAAATGACGAGGATCATCATGAAGATCGACGAGGGAACCATTGCTTGTGCCATAGACCGGGATATTGCGCCGATCCAGCGGAAAATATTGGACATAGTCAGTGTGGTCGTAAATGAAAACAGGTAAAAGATGAAAAAGTGTCCTGGTGTGCGGCGGAGGTTTGTCATGAAGTAGAGGATGACATTAAACACAATCGATACGAGCACCTTGGCCGGCAAATCGACAATCATTGAACTGATTGCCTCTGCGGAGGGATGGTACAGCGCATATTTGAAGTGTTTTTCCACAATTGGCCTTTGCTGCCAGAGTGTCAGGATTTCCAGCGCGCTCGAGAAAGCGTTGAGTAGAATGGAGAAGAAAAGCAGGGCTCCACGGGAGAAGAATTCGTCGGTCGTGGGTGACATATTATAGAAGATACTTGAGATAATTAGGGACATGATGCTGTTGCCGATAGTAGTAGCGAGAGTCATGGACATATCTCCCTTTAGACGAAGGAAACCTCTGGACAAGCATAGGCGGATTTGCATTAGGTAGGAGAGAGTATACGGCGAACCAGCGCGAGTACCCTTGGACTTTTCTGCCGCTCGAGAACGATTGAATTCCTCGAGCTTGTTCCCGCCAGTAGGGAATTCGCTCTGGAAGGCCTCGATGTCAGTAAGCAATTGCTTGCGCTCCACGCTTTGCTTCCATCGGGCTGCAAACTCATCAGGGGTTCGGGGGACGGTATTTTCATATCCAGGTCGCACGAGCCGTTCAGTAGGACTTGTCAAGGATGTGAGGAAGTCGGCAGTAGTTTGTCTATCGGGGCATTCAAAGCCCATCTCGATGAAGAAGCGTCTGGCATCGGTAGCGCTCCCAAAGTATATTTGTCGGCCTTCATAGAGGACGATGGCTTTATCAAACACATCGTAGATCGCCTGACTCGCCTGATAGATGGCAACGACGGCTGTAGAACCGGTGTATTCAGTGGAAAGGCGGATATTTTTTACAAATTCCTGTATTGTGAAATGGCCATCAGCAAGTGCCAGAAGGGACGTGTGCTATACATCCACTTACCAGCGCAGTTGAACTATCGAGACCTCTGGTTGAATTATCCCAGCATTGCAAAGGACAACCGCAGAGGATTGTTTCTGCAATACTGACCCGCTTCCGTTCTCCACCAGACACACCGCGAATAAACTCGTTCCCCACCATCGTGTTCATCGTGTGGCTGAGCCCCAACATGGCCATCGTAACATCGCGCATGTGAGTCGCATATTGCTCTCGAGTTACACCAGGGAATCGATTGGCCGGGGTTCGCGCATGAGCTGCAAAGGAAAGCGTCTCACCAGCAGTAAGGTTGGGAAAATGGATCTCAGTTTCAGCCTGGTAAATAACTTCGCCGCGGAAACGGCTATGCATTTCATCCCAGGAGATGCCTTGATATTGTATGTCAGCTCCATCATCAAGCCATAGACCGTGAGTCTCGCCGGCTATGGATTTCAGAAACGTGGAACATCCACTAGAAGAAAAAGTAAACGCAAGGGGTAAGCGCAGTTCGGAAAATTAAGTGATAAGGCTGTGTTACCTTCCAGGACGCCCTAGAACCACCAACATCTCACCACTCCGAACAAAACCCTCGAAGTCGCGTAAGATGTCAATGCGGACTTTGTCCCCGAATCCAAACAGGCGGCGAAACCACCCATAGCCCTTAAGCCACATATTGGCAACATCTGTCTGGTAATCGACGGCGGTTCCATAGCCAAACGCGCTGAGGTTGCGAAATGAAACACCGGCGGTGCGACGCGGGTATCGATCCGGGTCGCGATTGGCAACGGAGAGAAAATTCTTGGTCCATTTGCGGGCGTTGAACTTGTCGGAATTGGGATCCAGCTGGGGGTCGCTGGGCGCATCGAGGAAAGTGTTTGTACCGTCTACCGCGCTGCTTTTCTGGGACAAACGGGACAAGTTCCGCGCTAGGGCCGTGATCTTCTGTTCGCTCTCCTGGTCGATATCCTTCTCAGAGTTGGCACACGTAATGTCGGAGCTGTCTGCCTTCTCCCTGGAGCTTGAGGCTCCGTTATCACCTGTTATCCTGCTGATGATGTCGAATGCGTGGTGCTGCCCCTCACCGTCAGGGGCGCCACCCCCAGAAGGCGGGGGAGGCTGTGATTGAGAAGACATCGGTCGCTGGGGGATGCTCAACCTGAGATAGACATGCTTGAGCGGAACAGAAGCAAAAAAGGTCAAGGAGGTGAAAGGATCGCTTAGGGGGGAAAGGACCGATCTGTTAAATAGCAAGTGTATGCGGAGATAGGAAGAGTAAGTCGGCCCACTTAGCTAACTCCAGAAGGAACGGGGATAAAGCAAAGAAAAGCCCGGCGAAGAAAAGCTCGACATTGGACGGATCACGGAAAGGCAGCATCCGACAGAGGTGTGAATCGCGGCGTGACTCTCACAAGAAGGGAACCAAGACTACCCGGCCCGATGGTTGCTTGAAGTCAATCATATCGCCTGTGTTTCCACAGTCATCTGCCCTTGGCGTGTCAGCAGCAAAGGAATTACGGAGTTATGGTCCTTATGGAGACTCTGATATCAGCGATTGGTAAGTATAAGCATAGGGCTGTTAAGTTCTTACTCTGGGGCATACTTCGGGCTGTCCCCATCTGACAGCAGAGTGGAATCTCAGTGGGGACCTGACCACAGGGCCATACATACAGCTGCTTTCTTGCCTCTACAACGCTGCTTACAGTCGCAAGGACGCAACCCAGGTAGCGATAAAGTGCTCGGAAAGACAGGACTCCCGAGGAACAAAGGCAATGCTCACACTGCCCGACCGGAGTCCGAGCCATGCCATCCATCGTGTTTCGTATTTCGTATCCAGTCGACGATCAAACGGGTGGTTAGTGGCTCCACCGGCTCTAAAACCCCCGGATCTAACCGTGTTGGGTTAATGCTTGGGTTTGTGCAAGCCATGCCCAGATAACTGCGTCTGTCAGCATTTCATAACGCGTTCCAGCTTCCGGTCCAATATGATCGCTGGATCACTGCGAGACGGCTACCTGGCGTCGTCTTGGTATTCATCTAGATATTCGACAAATTTAACGAGCGCTGGCAATGGACAGGTTTGACGAAGCTGACGTGAGGTGGGAGCTGAGATTGCATATTGGACATTCCCCGCATCGCTAAGAGAAGTCTGTCCAATCAAACAGACGCCTGTAAGCGAACAACCTAAATAACTTGATGGCGAGTTGGCGACTGTACGCGAAATTTACCCGACTCCAGCTGGATACGGTGTAGGAGGAGAGTTCATGCACTTGTTGCAATTCAGAAAGTTTCTTAGATAAATCGGGCGGGCCCACCAGAAACACATGAGAAACACTGCCTGTGACATGACTGAGATTGTTCTTGTCGCACGAATGCTTTCCACCACTACATCTAAATTTCCAACCTAGGTCCATGATAATGTTTCCTCGCGTACGCAAACCAATTCGCTACCCCGATCACAAGCATGACAACCAGTACGACTGAGGCGTAATCTTTTCCGAATTTGATTAGCTCTTTTGACCCAAGGAATGGTTTGATCGCAGTATATATGGAAGATGGCACAAGGGATAAAACTCACTCATATTGCCGCCAGTGACTGGAAGCTCAGCAGGGAAGCAGAAGAAGACAGTCAATATGACTGCCCAAATAATGCAGACCACATTTGAGATGTATCCCACCACATTTGGCACCTTGAATGGCCGGTTCGATGGGAGATAGTCGGTTGATCGACGACGAAGGATCAGGAGGGCAGCAGGGATAGCGAACGATATTTGCGCGACGACCACGGTTGTGTTGATGAATGAGTTGAAGGCTGGAACGTTAGGCTAATGTTTGACCTGACGTAAGAGGAGGAATATACCTGTTGACGAGCATACGTAGATGATCCCGACAAGAAAGACGAGGACGCCATTGAGAACGAGAGCGTATATTGGAACCCCAAGGGAAGAATGTACAGATGATATCTTTCGAGAGAAGAAGAGGGCATCGTCGCGCGCGAAAGACCAGGTAAGCCGGGACGCTGTTTGGTGGACGGCGTTGATTGCGACACAGGAGATAATGAATAGGGAGGCCATGAACACTGTTGCGGCCGCAGGCGAGTGCGTGGCCTTTTCCCAGATGAAATAAATAGGGAACCTGCGTGGAACATTAGATCAGATCTGGGTTTATGCTATTAATAGGACTCACCCAGTTGAGGTGGACAACGACTCCCCGACGTTGCGGTTGCTGTAAATGATACCGATAGAGAAGGGAAATGCAGTCAAGAACCCTACAAGGACAGTAACCAGCACTGCCTTGGGTACAACTCGCTCCGGATCAAGACATTCTTCTGCCAGATGAAGGGTTGCGTCGAGACCGGATAGCATGAATTGTGGTGTTGTGAGGCCTGTCAAAAATGATATACCGTCCGGCCAGCCACCAGACCCGTTGACAAATGTACCCCAGATCTCTCGTGAGTCGACCTGCACGCCAGACCGAGCTGGGCACGTAATTGTAATAACGACAAAGGTTAAGATGGAAAGGAGAACTAGATATTGTTAGAGGGACCAAGTGGATGGGGAGCAGTCACATACATCCAACGTTGTACACCCAGAGAGTCTTGTTGGTCAGGAACGAATTGTAAAGAACGATCACTATATTGAATAACTGATAGACAAGGAAGTAATGCCATGTCTGCGGCTGGTATTCCGGTCGCCAGCGAATTATTATTGCCATGAGTACGTTTGTCGAAGACAAACTAATCGAAGCACCCAGACAAATCCACGAGAATATCGCCGCGAGGCCGCTGAAGTATGATAGCCCGCGACTCCAACGCCGGGAGGCTAATATTGAAGTGAAATGGTATTGTCCCCCAGCGGTAGGGTAAACACTGGCCAGTTCGGCCAGAGTCACACCTGTGCAGAGCATGGCAAAGGTGACGAGGATGATACCATAGAGCAGAGACACGGCACCCCCTGACTGAATAGCGATGGCGAAACTAGCAGCGATAGCCACCCAGCTGTTTGAAATATTGTATCCAACAGCGATGATGCTCAAAATATTGAACTTGCGCTTCATGGGCATGTCTAGCTGGCCCGCGATGCCAACCTCGCCCTTTGCCAGTTCGGCATCGGGAATGGGAGCAGCATCATGGTCGGCTTTGGATGTTGAGCATTTGGATTCCTGAACGGTATCCATAATTTTGATGCTCTTTCCGGATCTCAAGGCGACGAAGAGATACAGGATTACCCGCGGTGAGGGCTATGGTTCCGCATTGACAGAACCCCACCCAGGCTGAAGAAACCTGGGGCCGCTGGATATTAAAACCAGAAGCAAAGAATAAAGCTAAGCTTCGGAAATAGCCAAAGTGGTTACATAATGATTGGCGTTCCTTGTAAGTTATGCTGATAGAGAGATACAGCTCGATAGGTGATATCGGAAAGGCCCTTGAATTCCGAGCCCGTCCCCATAGCCCTATCTCAAATCAAGCAAGTGTTATCGGACGCCAGCACCGCACGGATTCATTTATAGCGGAAATTGGCCCGTAATGCTTGTTCTTTTCGGCTGAAGATCGACCTGATAGTGCGGGGAACAGCACAAGGCCCTTTGACAATGGTCTGGAGGCAAGAGAGCGGATTGCGGGGGCGGCAACTGCGGAGTGAATCCGCGCCTGGTGAGATATAGGTTTAGGCATCCTTATTCAAGGTTGGAACCGCCTATTTGCTGATTTGTTGGTGAATTGGGATATTGTGGGGAGGTTCAAGGGCGTTCCAAGGTTGACCGAGGTGAGGAAATTGTCGAGTTGATGCTCTCTTGGTAGTTCCATTTCCTCAACACCTGAGCCTGGACTCTGATCTTGCACTTCTAGTCTTGGTGCAAAAAGTATTCGTCCCTGCTCATGATGAAGCTTGTATTCGGGTTCAATGCGTAAATAGTCCATGTTGTCGTTTTAGACCAGAGGCGTTTGCTGAATTGGTCATCGAACGGCACTCAAGGAGCCTCAGAACACTAGGGCCAAATGTTCGTTAATGTGAGGCGTTTCGGCACTGAAGTGTCAACGATTGGGGTGACCTGACAATGGGGCCGTTGTTATTGGAAATATACTCGACGCTGAGAATGAGATCAAGTGGTGGACTCTGGATGCAAGGGACATGAACGAGGTAGAAAGATGGACCTGGAAGAGAGCACGCAATTTCGGCGCTAAACCAAACTCCATATCTCATCCATCCGTCCACGTATCTGATAAATAAAACCGCGCTTCTTTGTAATTTGGAATCCGCAACATGACGGCTAAAGATACAGCTTCTTTCCAAAACCTCCTTCAAGCCAAAGAATGGTTCGGCTTCGATCTGGACGACACACTCCACGAGTTCCGCAAATCATCCGCCGCCGCATCACTTAGTGTATTCAATAAAATCCACAACGACTACTCCGTCCCCATTTCAGCCCTTCAATCATCATACAATGCAATTCTCGCTTCAAAGACAGCGGGAGCCTTCTCCGACGGTAAATCATCAACCGAGTACCGGAGAGAGAGATTCACCGCGCTACTGCAGAGCCAGGGAATCCATATTCCCGGCCTAGAGGAATACATGGACTCTATTTTGGAATTGTATAAGATGTCTCTTGCTACTTCGCTGACTTTGAAACACGGTGCTTTGGACTTACTTGCGAAGCTGAAGGAGCTCGGGAAGAGGGTTATTGTCATCACTGAGGGTCCACGGGATGCGCAGGAATGGACAATCGAGCAACTTGGGCTGAAGACGTTTGTAGATGTTCTTGTTACGTCGAATGAACTGGGGTCCTCGAAGACGGATGGGCTGTTTCGAGAGGTATTGCGGCGGCAGCGAATTCGGGCTGACGAGATGGTTTATATTGGGGATAATGAAGTTCGAGATGTCTTATCGGCGCGGGAAGAAAGGATCTTGGCTGTTCATTTTGATGAGAAGTCTACGATATCCATCGATTTTGCGGGTTCTTTTCCGAAGGTGAATAGTTTAGTTGAGTTGTACTCTATGCTTGGAACATCTTGATGGGTGCGGTTTTGCGATTTGTAAAACATCAAAAGGTGCCTAGATACCGATAGAGGCGATCCAATACTAGCCATTTATCTTTTCGTGCCTGGTGTATGAACGAGTTTTAGAGATGCTATTCAAGGCACTGGAATCACCAATATCATCTGCTCTATTACTGACAGCCTCATCTAGGTGCAGTTAGTGGATTGGTCTCGGTTATCGGTAGATGTGCATTGAATAGGTAGCGGTCATAAAGAAAGTATACAGTCCCCCAATATCCATGCGCGGCGTTAGAAAGTACAAACCAAAGACAAAGCGACGCGAGAAAGGGATAACAGTCGTAGTAAAAAGCAAAAGCATTTTCAACCAAAGTATCCCAGTGCAGAGTTATTATGGCCACCGTAAATCTAGAAAAGTTGGATCCTAGATTTTCCATTCCATTCCTCGAGATCATAACAACGGAGCCGGTTTTCCATGCATGCGCATAGCGTATATAAAGACAGAACAACGCTGTAGGGATATCAGAAACATCGCATCCAGCTCCGAGCAATCCGTCAGCGTATAGATAGCAGCTAGCTTGGAATGGTGTGGCGGAACGGTATCTTCTTATTTGTATCGTATCGATCGTTTTAACACATTTCGCAGCATTCAATGCAGTCAAAGCAACATTCGCAGGTTTCCTCACAGAGGAAGCAGCAGCACAGGGTTGCAAGACTAGAGGGGTAAAAAATATGTTAGCGATAAAGGCTACGACTACAAGCAGGCGCAACAAGGCAAGAGAATTAAAGCTTACCAAGCTCCGAGACAGCCGCGATCCTTCTTCTGTTTGGGGGGCTGCTGCTGATACACCATCTGTTGCTGTGCGCAGAAAATACCGTCAGCTATGTCCACCCGACTTCTCTGTTTCGGGGTTACCGTACCGGTGGTGGTCCTTGGGGATAGGGCTGTTGAGGATATGGCTGCTGAGGATAACCTTGTGGAGGGTAGTAAGGCTGTTGGGGCTGTTGATAGTGACCCTGCGGGGGGTAGCCGCCGCCGTGGTATCTAAACCAGAAAGGGTCAGTCAGCTTTGTTGCGAAAAAAAAGACTAAGGAGCTGCCGTTGAATGCTGCAAAGAACGCTCACGATCGGAAATCGAGGGTTGGCAGCGACAGTGGGTTCTTTCTAGTTCCCACTTTGAAGCTCGTGCGATCGCGTAACAACGATAAGATGCGAGCGGAGCTGGAGAAAGGGGACTGCTTACCCTCCCGGAGGACCCTGATTGTAAAACTCGTTGGCGGCCATGGTTGCGCGAACGAACGGAGTGGTCGTGTGAAGCGTGAAAAGCTGTCTGAGGAATGTCAGTCGGTGCGCAAAAGCTGATTCGGGATCGACAGAGGATGAGAAAGCGAAGATGACGACGGCGAAGCCCAAGAACGCTTCTCGACCTCTGGGGCGAGCAACAAGGGCCAATAATCAGAGGGAGGAGCCTGTACCCAAGAAAATGCCAAGTTTTAGAACCAACGCAGGGCAAAGCGATCAGAGGGGTTGCCGAAGAGAAATAGGGAGAGATGAAGGCAAAGGCCGAAAAATTGGGCGCGATCAGGAGGTATTAATAACAAGCCTTCGGTATTCTCTTCTGGTTCGCTGTCACCTTCAATTCACTAGGAGGCAATCCAGGGTTCCTTCAAGTTCCTCCTGAAAGCCGTTCTTCCGCCCACGAGCTGATCACTGGACTAGTAATACCAATACGCCTGGGCCTCGTGCAGCCTATCACGTGGTATTTATGCAGATTACTAATTATTCAAACATAACTAACTAACTGCTCTTGTTTTCTCGCTGGACAAAGCCACTGTTGGCTTTAGGAACATCCAGTCGAAGTTGACTAGCTATAGGGCTAGCTTCGTTATTAACATTCCAATTCTGCCGTACTGTGTCAAATATCTCATCAGCAGTGCTTTGCAGGGCGCTGTAGACGCAACCCAGGGCGCCCGCCTGAGGCCGGTCCCTACTCCAACTCTTCTATACTCGGAAAAAAGTTGATCATAGAGGAAGGAAGTTGAGATTGAATTACGTTGTATAAAACAAGTGTAATAATTACAATCAATACGGTGACATCGCTGGTACAGTCTCGGCTCAGCCACAACATTCCGGCCCAGCCAGCCCAGTCAGCCCTACTAGTATATTCGTCCAGCTCAATTGGGGCTGTGCACTGCCACCAGCCATGCACGTCAATTATATAAACTGATTTGACGGTTTTAGATTGGCTGCTCAAAGCACCGTTGCCCGACTGCTTGCGTGGCCCAAAGAGTCGAAGTGGTGAGAGACGAGCCAACAGGAGCCTTTTCTGCTAGGCACCATGAAACCAGTTGGCGCTAAGAGTTCCTGGTTCAGTGCAAGACTGATGTCCGTCATAGGGATGCAGTTTTCTTTTCCCATTTGCCATAGCAGCAAAATCACCGACTCCGATGGCTCGCTTCTCACCCTTCATCTATCGTTTCCTGCGCACTTAGTAACAAGGATAATACAGGAGGAGCCTGAAGGTAGCAGAGAAGTAGTGGATAATGGAAGTTACCGCCAAAGACCCTAAAGGTGAAACTTTGGGAAACTAGCTCATCTTGCTTCCCACTCTTGGAGCGACCAAGGTGACGTGGTTGTTCTCAGGCATGTCTGCCGAATCACTATATTCAGGATAGTTGTCTCGTAGACTGTTCCGCTGCTCATCATCACACATTATGTCGTATCCCTCCTCGAGGATTACGAAGTCGTGAAAGCCGACCTGTAGGTCCTCAATGAGGTGAAAAGGGAAAAAAAAGAAGTTCGAAAAAAGAGTAGCGGGTCAAAAGGCAGAAAAGAATATCAAGAGAAAGAGAGAATTAAAATGAGAAAAGAGATGGTAAAACGAGCCCCAATAAAAGGGAACAAAATAAGAAAGAAAAAAGGTAAAGAGAAGAAAAAAAAAAGAAATCAAAATAGCCCAAAATGTGCAAGCAAAAAGTTCAAGCAAAAAGCTCAGAATGTATGTAAAATGTATACAAGAATAGCAGCCCCCCAAGTCATCAAAAATGTTCAAAGACTGTAAGTAAATCACACGTACGAACTGATCTCGGGAGTCAGATGCTGGGACTCGAGATAACAGGTATTGTCGAACGACGGATATGAACTCGTAGCGAAGCTGGCGAAGGTATCATAACCGTTCAGGCCGGCTGATTCTATCCCTTGCAGGGATAAATCTTCGGCGGTGACAACCGACTCAAAGGAGGAACCGTCTAGCGAGTTCATCGGTGAGGTTACCATGTCATCAGCTTTTTGATCTTGGTCAATAGTGATGTTCTGAGCATTCTCAAAGACAACTTCTTCTCTCTGGACCATCCAGTGTTTCAACACGTCCATGGAAGGGTGAGTACCACCTCCTTTTCCGCCACGCTTTTCACTGTCTTTACCGCGTCCACCGCGACCGCGTTGGCATGGGTTGAAGTGCGTACGACGAAGGTGGGCAGCAGCATTGTAGTTGGCGCCGTACCTCTTTCCATTCCGACAAGCCTTGCAGTTTGCAAGGAATTTCTTGTCAGGGGAAATATCGATACACACCCACACTTTACGAACCATGGCATGAACGCGCTCAATGTGGCGACGGAGCTCGTGCTCTCCGTGGAAACCATCGGGCTGGTCATTGCACAAAGTACAATATGTTTTTTGCCGTGGAGGTCGCTGGACAGAAGCTTTGGGAATAGCTGCAACCTCTTTTGAGGTGCCGTCAGATGATGAAATGCGAATCATCTTGGGCTCTGTCGCTCTAGGCGGGGAAACACTCTGAGACTCTGTTTTTGGAGCGATAGGCCTTGCGCTGTGAACAATTTGTTCTTGGGTTCTCCGCGCGGCCCTGGATGGCGCTGTACTTGATGTAGCATCGCCTTCTCCGGACATAGAGAGTTTCATTTCTGTGGGGGTAGAGGGGGGGATAATGGGCATTGAAGATGTAGAAGGGGCAGAGCAGGAATAGGGCATGGATATTGATGGATCTACTAGGCCGAATTGGCTCTGGCTGTCCATATGGGGTGTTGGAGTGATATTGGTGTTGGAGAAGGGTATATTGAGAGGTGGATTGGAGGAGGGCAAGGAGGATGGGAAGAAGGGATAATCTGGCTCAATACTTGGACCTGAAGAGTCGAAACGCATCATTCCCATATTCCCGCACAAGGACTCTGTTGTCGTGCTGCGGCTCATTTCGACAGCTCCCAGAGTAGACTGGGCAGGTGCCACAGTCAGGGAGTTCTCGCCGCCCATATGGCCTTGGGGGACCTGGATGGGCAAAGAGTTCCGTTGTTGTGATCCAACTTGAACGGGATTCGTTGGAAATGCCAAAGTATTTGGGGACGCGCTTGTCTGGTCCTCGAACTCGCCCAAATATTGCTTGGTGTATTCGGATGGCGAGTACTCGTTAACGTTCTGGAGGCGCCGTTGGTGTCCAGGAAGATGTCGGTAATGGCCCATGGACGTCGTCGAATGTTGGTACGACACGGGGACCTGTTGACTCTGCGAGCGAACCATAGCTGATGGTCGGGGCGCGGATCCAGAACCGGAGGAGTGGGGCAAGTGGTCCGCCTGCGATGTTGTTCTCGATAGTTGCCAAGTCGTTTCCGGTGCCGCCGGGGAGGACGCATGGGAGAGATCACGTTTCAGCTCAACGTTCTCTGGGAGATCCGGAGTCTGCCAATTGTCAATCCAGGGACTGCTGGCGCGAGAGTAGAGAGGGAAGAAATGAGGGAGGTAGCGCAGTAGGAACAATTATGGGTGGGGACGAGACGTGCAGAAAAGGCGGGACGGGAGGAGAAGGCCAGAGTAGATCACGTACGGTGACTCGCCGTTTCGTCGGAGGAAGTCCAGAACCAGGTAGTGTCCGAGGAGTATCCTGTCGTGTCCGTTTCCCAGATTTCTCAGATGAGATGTCTTGGCCAAGGATGTTGGAACCCGCTACTGGTCGGTATGCGGGTGTGGTCGGTGGAACAGTCGTTGGCGGCAAGAACTGACTCAAGCGCTGACTCCATAGTTGTAGGCGCTCAGATTCCGGAAGATGGGAGTGTTGGTCCAAAAAAGCGTCCCGATACCCAGATATGGCCCGCGTAAAGAGGTCGTCGTCGTCGACCATGTTGACAGGCATGCTGGGATGTTCTCCTGGGTTGTCGTCTCTTTGGGTGGAAGAGCTGCTGTCAGTGCGAGAGACTATTGGGACTGGGAATAGGGTCTGAGAGCCTGAATCAGTATATATTTGTTACGGAAGTCTCTAACTGAGGCGGGCGTTGCAGATTTCAACAGCGCAAGAGACGAGGGTGGGGAGACAGACTGTGTGAGAGAGAGAGGCAGATAGAGGCAACAGAGATAAAGACCCGATAAGATAGAGGTGAGAGTATGAGGGAGGAGGGAAGAGGTGGTACGAGAGTGGCAGTGAACAGGGGGGGCGAGGAGGAGATTCAAATAAGAGGCTGAGAGATGGAACGCAAAGATGTAACAGAGGGAGGAAATAATATTAGAACAGGACTGGAGACGATTGGAATGAAGATGGGGATGATCGAGGGAGGAAGAGGGAACGCGAGATAGATATCATGGGCGCAGAAAGCACTACGGCCAAATCTAGGTTAGTCCAGACAGTCGACGGCGTCAGAATGCAAACGCAATGAACCAGGACAAAAAAGGTACAGTTTGAGCCTGAAAACTTGGGTGTGATGTGCGCAGAGGTACGAGCCTACGAGGCTACGAGCAGACGAGCAGTTCATGGAATCGCAAAGCTGGCGGGATTGGATGACGTGAAAGAGGTCTGGACCCAGGAGCCCGAAAGGATGGGCAGGCCGGTTGCTGGAACAGGCAAAAAAGAAATAATTGAGATCCCATTTGGCGATGGACAGATGGGACTTTTCGCGATGATCGGAGCGCTAGCTGAGGCGCCAAAAACAGCCTGGGGCAAAGGCGGCCAGGACCAAAAGCTCAGAAAGGAGCGGCGGGCGACCAGAAGAGAAGGGAAGGGGACAGTGACCGCTGACGAGTTAACTATAGCGGGTTACAACGGGACTGGCTCTCTTCGCCCTTAAAGTGAGGCGCCCAAACGGATCGCGCGAAAAACACCCCGACCACCCGCTGCAGATGCTGCGCTGCCCGGCTCAGTCATCTGAAGACTCTCAGACTCCCTCGTTTGATCGCGCTGCTGCTCGTGTCGTTTCATTCGACAACGTATGCTGCTGTTCTTTGGGGTGGGCTGCTGCTCAGCCATGGGGCGCCAACCGCGGGATTTGGCCGTGCTTCGAGAGAAAGACCAAGGCCTTGCGATGTATGCCAGCCCAAGAACAGCCCGTGTGAGTGGTGCTCAACTGACCGTCTCTGCCAGCTTACAGACCACTCGGGTTGGATGCAAATCTCCCCCCTCGACTCGCCGGGCGCCACGTTGTTCTGGGCTACACCCGTTCGGGTCCTGTTTTACCCATCACGCCGAGAACAGCAAAGTACCTGTTCGCCCAACACCCTCCATTACGATTTGACGATGGGCTATACTTCCTGGGGTTTCGCGGTTCAGTCGGTTATCGTGCTGCAGAGAACGAGCCAGCCGAAGCCCATCTCATCGATGATTGTTCGGTTGTCGCCTGAATGCAGTTTGCTCGCGACAAACGGGCATTTCTGGCAAATTTGCACGCAGAATTCTCTTTTCTGGAAAACCGTGCATGAGGAGAAACTCCGAAGAGGTCACCTCAAAGATCTCCGCCCGTTGGAACGCTGCGGGTACCGGACGGAAGGTTTCCAAGGTTCAGTCACTCTCGATTCAGGTCCCGAACGCCGCGTAGTTTCCAGAGTACGTAGAGTAAAACGCATGTTCCAAGTTCTATCACTAACCTTCCCATTACGGAGCACTTTCCCCCCCTTTGAGGGATCTGCACCCGTGCTCGAGTCCCTCAAGTTCATCAATAATGGAAACTTCGAAGTTCGAACCCGTGTACACCGTAGATTAGGTGGTGTGGACCGTCGGGAAAGGATCGGAGATTGGCCTCACGTGGGTACAGTCACGTGAGACCCGTTGTGCTTGCTTGAAACACCGAATTCTACCAGACTCCCACTCTCCCAGCGGCCCACATGGGATCCCAAATTACATCTTCATTCCATCCCCGGGGCATGGCCGGAAGACGTTCGGAAGACGGCACCGTTATTAGCCTCCAGTCTTTAGACTTTATCGAATAATCGAAACTCATCAATCTTGGTGCTAGCGGATTCTTGTGTCGATCAGCTCATGTGACTAAATGGGACCCTGACTAATCGACAGCGACTGTCGGCGAAACACCGGCAGCGCCAATTGTCGTCATATATTGTCGACTCCCTGTCAGATCTATTAGAGGCTTGGTGTGCTGTCAGCACAACATGATATAGGGGCCATCAGTTTCCTAGGCGCTACGTCAGCAAGCACATCCGGACATGGACTTTTGACACAATGCGTGTACCCTATGGATAGGACTGTATGAAGGTGTTAAGTCAACACGTCAGCGCTGCGTGTATCAGGATGCCTCGAAATTCCTGCACCGGATGCCGGTGAGTAGAGTCCTTCTGCATAAATACCGTTGCTAAGATAGGGCAAAGAAGCCGGAAGGTGAGGTGCGTCCTTTCAGAGACGGGCAGTAAGTGTAAACGAAGCCAGGCTCGCAACCTGATCTGCTCGTATGTCCAACCCACGACTGTTTCCAGCTGCCAGAGAAGCAGTAGGGATCACGCTCCTCGGGGCTCTACTACTTCAGACCGCGACACGAACACTCATCTGGGGGCTTCAGCTATCAAGCAGCAATTCAGGTCTTGATGTTGGCACTGGCACGCCCTCTGAACTGCTACGTGAAGCAGAACTAACACGAACATTACTACTACTGTATTTTCAAAATTTCAGCGATGTCCATTTCATGTTTGACCAAACTATATTTCTACGCCGCTATGTGCTTGGAGCTATTCCCAAAGTGCTACTCTTCGCCATGATGGCCTTGGGTATTCGGTGGGTGGTCATATATATAGTTCCTGATAGTGTACTAGAATAACTAATTTGCAGATATTCCTATGCGCCTTTTCAAAGTGTTCGTATGCGTCCACACTGGGGTGAACCCTTATATCATCAAGCCCGGTAACTGTTGAAAGAGGATTTTGATCACCCTGTCCTATGCCCCGGTTATACTGCGAGGAAGAATTTGATATAATAAAGAATACGGCCATGGCCTCTCCCCGCCTCCAGTCAATTCCATGTATTGCGCAGGAGGTCCTTACACTCTCAGCTCTATTACGAAGCATGCCAACTTTTTGGAACGTCCAACATTGAAAGACAAAACACCCTCGAGAACAAGTTCGCCGTATGGCAAGCGAATCCCCACGAATCCGTTGTATTTAACCAAGAGAACTTCGAGGCCCACCAAAAGTTCTCTACTCGCCAATTTGCATACATGAATTTACTTTATACCCATATTTGGCAAATAATTCTTTTTTACTCCATGGACTGGACTTCAGATTCATTATCTCCCTCACCAGACACCCATAAAAATATACTGGCTATCTACGAGCATGCCTCAACCATTGCCAACATAGTTCATCAACTTTGGATCATACCCAGATGCATCGCCACATCCGTGTCCGCGACGCTGTAACACCGTACTGTGTTTCTATAGAGCGCCAATTCCCACCTATTTTAGCACAACCATTTCGACGCCTTCAACACCTAGTCCTTGGTCTCACACAGGACGAATGGGATACCCTTAGCACGTACTTTGTGCACTTCGAGGATCTAGGTGTGACGGTGCAACTAGAGACCTGGCTAGAAAGGGAATTCCAGCGGCTAAAGACATCTTAATAGATGAAGTCGGTCGAGGAGAGCCGCCCGCGCCGGACCTTGTCCACCAATAAGCTGATATCATACACCAGAGGGTAATGAATAAACAAGCTTCCAGACTCGCCTTGGATAGGTGGAAGGCAACGGCAGACGGTCTCATGGGTACTGCGATATCTCGTGGTCTCAGATCAAATCGTGGATTGTCATATTGGTGGTACTCGCGTTGGCTAAACGAGCAGTGCGCACAGGCTGGAGGGTGCTGTGGAAGGGGTTACAAGTGTTGTACTAGCAGGGAGGTACGAGACCTTGACTTCAGAACTTGGGGTGGTCACTGCACGCCGGCTTGTTCTTGTTGTCTCCAGCATCTCGGCGTCGACGGGGCGATTGAGCAGCTGGCGTGCGGCAGAGAACCACGCTTCGACTCGAAGGAGGTGCGGAGAAACCGATTTAATCGTAAGATGTTGAATGCCTATGCGTTTGGCTTGTGGGAGATTACTGTTCTGTATTCTCTGGGAGATCTCTTTTAGTCTATTATACCATTTCTATCTGGTCGGAAGCTGTCGAATATATTGCCACAGACCGAACTCACAACGCAGGGGCCTGATATCTAAAGGTTCTCCACTTTCCTACGTAGCTTACTACAAAGAGTTCAATATTCAGTCAACGAGTTATCAGAGGTGAATTAAGTGGTCATATTCTATGCTTGGGATTACCAATCCTAATGACCAAGAACGTGTCCTCGTCGAGCATCTTTCAAATGGGGTGGCATTGGAACTTCCAGTGCGTATAATTGGAAGGAGTTACCTGCCCCAGGCTGCCCCATACCTGCCGTAATGGGTATTTCTTGTCCTGGATCGTACCCTCCATTTTGGCTGCCCTCTGGATTGTGCCTTCCCTGATTACTCGGCCCGGACCGTGTAAAACTGTTTTGGGAAGGCACCTACTAAGCCGGGATTTCAACTTAGGAAGCTACGGCCCTAGGACAGGGGAACGACTGAGGTTACCACCTAGGTAGGTAGTTTTGGCAAGACGTTCGAGGGATGAGAAGAATGGAGAGGGAAAATAATCAAGACACTTTCAGTTGCGATCCTTGATTATGCCCTGTTCCAGCAATCAGGGAGATGATCCATTCTGTCCAGCCTGGTCCGCGATTCTCAGCCCGAAGCCGAGTTTCTGTCTGTATTCTTTCCAGCGTCATCATTTGATGTGGGTGGAATATACTGGCAAGAAGCTCCCTCGCAGGGGCATGGCTTTTTTCGACCTCCACCTGGGTTTTATATCTCGCAGTTGTACCCAAGTGTGTTTGCACTGAAGGAAAATGCACTGTTTGATCCAAGTCGGCATTATATTCGAGAAGAAGGCAGACAACCTCAAAGAAAGAGCTATCCTGAAGGGCTTGATGCCTGCTTCGCTCATAAGTAAAGAGTATGAATAACTCCCATGTTGTTTGTCCGCCATATATATGAATACGCTCGTTGGGATCGGCGCCTCGGGAGAGTAGGGCAGCGACAAGATCGGTTTCGATCCCTGCAACGTCTCGCTCCCGGTAATACGGAAGATCACTGGGAGTGACACGGGTCGGCCGAAGAGCATAATCTAGCAGGGGTCGGCCCTTTTTGGTTATTTGGGATGGCTCTCTGTCTAGTGCATATTCAACATAATGCCGTAGTCGGGCCTGGGTGGCCAGCCCTAGATAGGAGCAATGGCCTCGTTCAATCCATCGCACATAGGTGGTGTTTGATGGTGAATCCCTCCCATGAGTCCAGTGTACACGTTCTTCTTTGGCATGTATAGACATGACTCTGTCAATCTCGTCCAAAAGAGGGAATTGGGAAGTCGATTGACCTAATTGTTCCAAGTCGTGGGCGTAGTAAAGGATTTCATCCACGAGTGTAAAAAGTCCGTTTGACGAGCGGCGGAAACTTTCTACTGGGTAGCACTTCAGCAAGGACAATAGCATCCTACACAATGTCTTTTTGCTGCAGAAATCTTTGGATACCTGACTGTGTAGTGCAGTGTGATGATTGTCCCGAAGGAAGTCGCGCACAGTTCGGTGGAGAAAATCCACAGACTGGTTGAAAAAAGCATCCTCAGAATCATTTGTACGGACAAGAAGCAGGTCTCCGCATCGGGCCTGTAGCTGCAGTCGCCAGTTTGCATGGGTGCCCAATATATCGCCGGTAGTCAAAGCCTTCACGTCTGCATTAAGAGCGTAATGCTCGTCCATCAACTCACTCTCTAGGAAAGAGAGTGCAAATAATGGGAGTGGGCTTGCGGACTCAACAGTGATAAGGAATATGCGCGCCGTGTCTTTGCGGAAGAAAGGATCGATTCTATTCAGAATTCGGGTGAAATATTGGTTCAGCTCCTGTGGCAAACTTCTAAGGCGTGCCTCCAGCGTGCTGTACGTTTCCCCAGTATTGATATCTCTCAACAGATCCCGGACAACGAGGAATACCCAAAGCCACACGCCGTTTGCGCGCTCCGCAATTTCCACGACAAGATGATGGCATCGGCTATCCCTTTGCACGAGATCGTGAAAAGTGCAATTGTTGGTAAGCATACCGTCGACGTAAACCTCCATGTCCTTTCTAGTGAAATCCTGCAGCATAAACATGCGCTCCGGGTGGCTCAACTCCTTTTCGAATGCTGGCCATGGCCGACTAGAGGCACAAATTTTGACGTTTGGGGACTGAGCCAAGCTTTTCAGGACATTGATAATTTCCCACTCACTGCCATCATATTCATCAAGGCCGTCAATGAAGAAGCAGAATTTAGCGGACGACCCTGCGTTGACTAAGTTATTGAAGGCGCCTTTCAACTCTGCTATATCCCATGGTTCCGAGCCCTGGTGGTTGGGACAGATTTGAGAGACCAGCAATGGATCGAAACGGAGGATCTGGTATAGTATACTTTGCAGGAGGCCCAGCTGAGACTTTTGCATATCCACTCCGGCATTCCAGAAATAGAAGTTCGCAATAAACAACCGCTCGTCCCCGGCCCAGCTTTTGAGCGCGAGCTTTGTCCTCTCGTGGTCGACAATGTACTTCATTAGTGTGGATTTGCCGCTGCCCGCCTAAGGCAAATATTAGCATATAGATGTTAGTTTAGAGGTAATGGTTACCCTACCAGACCGTTTACCCAGTATATCCCGCTGCACCTTTCAAGCCATTGACCGAGTGTAGTTGTCGATCCATCTAGAGCCCAGCCCAGTGTATTGAAGTGTGCAGTGTCAATCTGACTATGGCGTTTTGTCATGGCTTTGAACGTCAGGCTTTCAATTACCCTTTGTCGGTACTCAACGGATCTACCCTCCTGGACAAGATCGATGAGAGTTGAGTGTAGGTCAATCAGCTTTAGGGTATACCCTTTTCCCGTGGGCAGCATGGTGGATTGTGCTGCGAGAGCAATCGACTCCTTGAGATCAGTGAGCTTGTTTAAGGTCTGATGCTCTGCAATTTCGAGTTCACGGCGGAGATCCTCCAATACTAGCACAATGCTCGAGTACTGCTCTTTCTGAGTCGTCCGCGCGACTCTTTCCCGTAGCTGCCTTTCTATTAGGCACAGCCTATCCCAGAGCCTTTGGATATCTTTACGTCGTGTAAATACGGATATAGAAACTCTAACACTTTCCAGCATGCGGTATTTCGTTTCTTTGCGCACCTCTAGCGGCGTTAGCTCTGCTAGAAGGCTGTCTGCAATCGCGTTGCATTGGCCAGCGAGAGCACAGATTGCGATGTCGTCCTTGGACAGTGGCCGAGAAAGCGAACTGGGTCCAATATTTTCGTTGAGAAGCTTGATATCTTCCACAATCATCCGGAGCTCAGTCAGATCTTGTTTAGCCCCAGCGCTAGACTCGTAGGTCTCTTTAGCATCGTGCAATAGCCGAAAGCCAATGTCTAGGAACTGAGCAATGGCCGCAGCCAAACCCACGATGGAAAATGGATCAGGCATGGTATATGAGAAAGGAGAAGAAACAGGTAAAGTGGAAGAGGTCAAGGCAAGGCTGCCTGATGATGATCGTTTACCATTACACGTGACGAAGCAGGATCCCTGTCGTGCCGGACGAGGCTGAAGCAGTCTCTCTTCCCTCAGCCTCTTCTCCCCTTCTTATCCTTGCCTACTTCACTGCGAACCTGGTTTCCAGATGAACCAGCATATCAATTTTGAGGGAAACGAACACCGGCCATTGCTGGGCAGTAACCTGGACGGGTCTGTACCATGGTCAGAGGACGACCGCTGGTGGATTCGTATCCCCGTGCGACAGGGGCTCTTCCTAGGACGCATCGGGCAGAGGTTGATTCAGTCCTTCAAAAGGGACTATACACAAGCACTTTTCATCTTCGTGCCTATCGGTCTCTTTGCAGACTCGCTGTGTGTAGGGGATTTCTGGAAATTTTGGCTCAATTGCATTGCGCTGTTTGCTCTTCAGTCCACCTTCATTTCCACAGCAGAGTCGATCTGGCTCTTCTCGAGCCAGACAGTCGCAAATATTCTTACAGAGCTGCTTCCCAATGTGTTTCCCATATTAGTAGGATGCCCAAATCTGCCAAAGTAAAGCTACCTATGGGCCTGGGCTAACTAACTGTGTCTAGGTTGGCGTAGTGTGCATAAACGAGTCACTGATCTTGATTGCGAAATACTTCATAATTGGAGTCCTGATAAATCACCTACTTGTGGTAATTGTACCGTCTTCCAATCGACTTAGCGTCAGTATCTGATTATCTGAATTAGGGCCCAGGCTGCTGCTTTCTTGTTGGTGGTATCCACTCGGAGCATCGTATTAATTTTTCTGCGGCGAATACTATGTCGCAGCTAACCTTGATGATATCAGCCCCGTTTATTGTATTGTCTGCGTTGTCTTTCTCGGCATCTGCATCTCGTTATGTTTACTATGACTATATGCATGTCTTCCTCGCATACGCCTCCGCAGCCATGCTCCTGGCCTTCCAACTAACCTGGCTTATCTTCAAATATAAAACGCATACTTACCTCTTTCGACCATTCACAGAGACTGAAGATGGTGCATCCAGCGATCGTTCGGCGATATTCGAGAACGTAGAGATGTCCCTACTGTCTCGTGCAGCTTATATTCTCTGGCTCGCGATGGTCCTTATTCTTGCTATCCAATGCACAGATAACCTCCTCACCGTTGGTGTCTCGCTTTATGGGAACCCATTTGGCGGCGGCGTACTTCTTCCATTGTCAATCAGCTCTCCGGGAATTATCAAAACATACCATCTCGCGAAAGCTGGGCGGATGGACACAGTGATCCATCTCACGGTTGATACGGCCATTGGACTCTCCTTTTTTACGCTACCAATTTTGGTTTTCGTCAGCACCAGGGCCAAGACGATTATTTCGAATTCTTCCATATTCATGAATGTTATCCTATTCATGGCTGTGTTTACAGTTACCAGGATCATCAAAGATGGAACTATAAACTATTTAAAGGGTTGCATGTGCTTAGCTCTGTATGTTAGCTCCCCCTAACAGCTTGCATGCTGCGAGTTCTAACTTGCGTACAGCTATTTGATAATCGCATGCTCTCTTTATATTCTACCTGATAGCGCAGATGACGGAGGATGGGTGTTGTAATCACCGCAGCACATTCCAGTGTAATGGTCAATTCATACCCGGGTCAAGAGAGAAAATGCTTTTGACTTTTGAGAAATTATGTTCTGATGAATTATTCGGGAATACATTGAGCTCTCAGCTAAGCATATAATAACCTGTAACATAACTAGTTAATGTTAGAAAAGGACAACTCTGGATGGTGAACTCTATTTCTCACGCCTGAGCCGGTCAAACCTCTCCGCAATAGCCTCCAAACTGGGTCCCTTTGTCTCGACAAAAAACATTCAAACACAGAACAACTCGACACAAAGCCAACCTACATAAACAAAGTAATACTGCCATCCAATCGCCTCCAATCCTATTGGGTTAACTAGGGCGTTGACAGAACTCGACGCCTTGCCGCTTCTCGTTTGCTCTCTCCGAGTCTCAATACGACCAAATACTCGCAGTAGCGTCAAAGAATCCAAACCCAATTGTCGCAAATTTCAGCAACAGTCTAGTCGACCTTACGCCATTCGTTTCCACAGTCCCAGCCCTCGTCCAAGCCTGGTTCCCCGGTCAGGAAGCCGGCCATTCTCTGGCCCTTGTTCTATCCGGAGCCGTCAACCCCAGCGGCCGACTCCCCTTTTCATGGCCGGCACGGGACGAGGATAACCCTACTTTCGGCAATTTCCCCTGCGAACAGGATAACATCGTTCGGTATACCGAAGGGCTGGACGTGGGGTATAGATACTACGATCGGCAGAATACACCTCCACCATTGTTCCCATTTGGATTCGGACTAGGATATGAGACGGACTTTAGAGTCTCCAACTTGCGTCTCTTGGGTCCTACCAGCTTGAGTCTGGGTTCTGATCCCGAAGGACTGATAAGATTCACCTGTTCAGTTAAGAATCACGGCACCAGAAGCGGCGCAACTGTACTCCAGTATTATATCAGTATCCCTCAGTCAAGCACTAATAGTGGCCGTGACAGGCCGCTGAAAGAACTCAAGGAGTTCCAGAAACTAGTTCTCCAGCCGGGCGAGGAAAAAGAGGTAGTTGTGTCACTTGACAAGTATGCAGTAAGCCACTATAATGGGCGGAAGAGGTGCTGGCAGGTGGATGCAGCTAGATATATTCTCTCTGTTGGGCTCTCAGCTGAGCATATTTTCCAGGTCATGAAATTTGAGCTTGAAAAAGGATATCAGTGGACTGGGGTTTAATTTAGAGAATGTTTTGATTCCTACTCCATATCAAATCTCACAATATATTTCATCAACAACACTTCTGTTGCTAAAAACTGAATTAATCAATCATCAAAGGTATGCGTTTATACTCTTGAAAACTGATAGCTGCTAACCATGGTTCACATCAGCTTATCAGCCTATCACTGCCTACCTAACACGCAAACATAGGCTCCCTAGCTTCTAACAGGTCTCTAACACATCCTCGAAAGGCTCCACCATGTATCTCGGCTTCACACTTCCTACCGGCACGCCGACAGCAATCGGATCGACTGCGGTCGGAATCCGTAAATTCGTCGAGCTGCAGATGAACTCTCCCAGACCTCCGTCCGCAATAAATTTCACGAACGTTCTCCCCCATATTGTCAATGAGTCCAACGACCGACCAACCCAGGTCCTTGGCACGAAAAGTGCCAGGATTCTCTATGACGGAGGACTTCGACAGCTCATCATCAAACTCACTAGCAGCCCTCATGAGGTAGCACACAGAATTCTGTCAAGACAAATAGAGAAACAAGCCATGAACATGGGCATTCTCAGCGATCTGTTGCCACTCGGAAATACCAGAGTCACCTCTGGCGACATCTCGAAGGAGCCCGACTCTGCGTTCAGGCCCGTGACCATTCCTGCAGGGCGTGACCGGCGGTGGCCAACTGTGGTCATCGAGAGCGGCTACTCCGAGAGTACCATTCATCTGCGGCAGATGGCGGATTTATGGATAAGCGAGTCAAACGGACAGGTTAACGTTGTTGTCATCATCTCTATTGAGAGAGCAAGAGGGAGGATATTGGATGAGAAATGGATCCCAAATCCAACACCCCTGAGTACTGGCCCTGCTCTCCGGAGTCGCGGCCGCTCCGCGTTGCGGGAGCAAAGCATCACTCTCACCAAAGCTCACAATGGCCCAGCAGCAGTGACCGGGGCGCCCTTGGTCATTACGTTCCAGGAAATGTTCCTACGTAATCCTACGACGGACACGGAGAAGGATTTTAGGATATCAGAACATGACCTCCAAGAAATCGCCAAGATGGTTTGGGATGAAATGGAGTAGGTGAATATGGGGCCAGGTAGGTAGTCGCACGACATGCAGTGTATACGTTACCCATGACGTTTTGTTGCCTCTAGTTGCTTCTCATTGAGACTTTTCACAAGAAATGCCAATTCCAGGCGAGGAGCAGGCCATTGCATGCAAGACAGACTTTACCATTGCGCCGTAGACATCATAACCGCCATACTACGCAATATATAGCAGCCACCCTTCCCAGACGCAAGGTGGCAGCTGCAGACAGCCACTTTGGGTATACGTTATACGGATCTACAGTAGACCCGGGAGCTATCATCCAATCGCGGGACCACCACCCAGCAATGGGAAAGCTTTCCGAAACCGTTCGTGTGTAACTAAGGCGATTAGGCATACTCTGGAGTACAGGTGTGGCGACGGTGACCTCATTGGATTCATAACCGCGGAAACCAGCTCCACAGAGTTTGGCGTAACTTTGCATCATCTTGGGTAAAGGACAGAATTGAGGGACTTGGTCTCCGATCTAGAAATCGCGCATACCGTCGGTGCTGGTCCGCGAATCATGAAGGCACTCTAATAACAGGGGCGTTAAGGTTGACTCCGGTAGTTGAAGTTTGGGTGTCCTGCTTTGGGGCATTGATGGGTCAGGATACTGTGATTGTCGCTATTCACATTGTCTGATTAGAGGAGCCGCCGCAGCGAAAATATGGGACGCTTGGACAATGATATGATGCAGCGCAGTGATTAACACTGATGACATCGGTGGGCAGCTTTGTTATCCATCCTGCAGCAAGGGAAAAACAGAGGGTTATCGCCACGTGACCTGGGCAGCCACGTCATGGTACGGGGGGAACGAAGAAGCGGGCGGAGAAAAGAAAAGGGCATTGGAGAACAGGCACAACGATCCTGAAGAAACCGTTGTTTGACCATCTCTGCTATTATTTCTCTCCTGCATCATCCATCCCATTCGCTGTCTACCGGGGCTACCATATACTCTGTGGGATCCGAAAAATAACCAAGTAACAATGTCAGATTCCACGCTCTACCTCTACACCTCGCTCACTGCGGGGTCCTCCCATATCATCACCGCCACCTCGCGCTTGGAGACAATTCTCAAGGCGAACAAGATCCCATTCCGCGCAATTGATGTCGCCACCGACGATGCGGCGAGGAAACTTTGGGGTCGCCGGTCCAAGGGCAAGAAATTGCCTGGGTTGGTAAAATATGGAACTGTTGTTGGCGTATGTTCTTAACCCGTCGCTCTCTCCTGACACAGAGCGGGGGAGCCACGGGGTTTTAGCCTCACAAGCATTGACGAACATAATATAGCTGACACCATGCCACCTGTAGGACCTTGAGGAAATCGAAGAATGGAACGAATTTGGCGAACTGAGGATGCAAATCAACAGTGTGCAAGACGACTTTGATGGTATGGCTGCTACTAGCAACCCCCTGCCGCCGCCCGCGGAATCAACCAGCACAACTGCTACTGCGCCCGCTCCCAAGGCCGAAGCGTCTGCCCCCAAGACAAGCACAATAAAGATTCAGGACCCTCCCGAGAAGGAAACCCAGAAAGATGATTCCATCACCGTGGCGCTGCGTCAAGCTGGCGAAGAAGCCGCTGCCAAGGCCAAGGAAACTTCCTCTACTACTAAATCTACCGCACCAGCAGCCGCTGCTGCAGAATCCCAATCCTCGAAACCTAATGCTGACGCAGAACCCAAGGAAGGAGATGGCGAGCATACTGTACGTCGCAAGTCGGTCGCTCCTGAAATCGCAGAGACTGGGTCAAAACGGCCGCCTTTGGTGCCCGAGATTGCTGCGGTGTCCTCTGCCAACTTTCGTGCTGATAACGCTGAAGCTTTAGGCCTGATCAACCACCATCGTAACTCAAACATCGCCGCCGAGTCGAAGGAGGAGGCAGAGAACTTGGCCAAGGATTTGCGCAAATCTATCTCTGGGGATCAGCACGGAGTCCTTGAGTCGCTGCGCGAGCAAAGGGCAGCACTTCCAGTTGCAGACGCCACGGTTGAAGATGCGTTGGAGGGCTGAGGTGATAGCCAGCACAACGGTTTGGGCTTTTCTGCAAACGCTCGTTATTATGGCGGCCCTAGCGCTTTGATGGTTTTCGGCTGACTTTAATGATTAATGGATGTTTGAATGACCCGGCATTGCATGTTTGTTTTACATATGTATGGATACCACGGTGGATGCATTTTGTTTGAGCTTGTTATCTTTCGGCTCTTCATGTTGATAAGTGTACAATCAATGGATTGCTTCTCGATTATTATCCGGGGCGCTAGTTCCCACTGCCCTAACTCTGTAAGCCTCCCAAAAAAAAAAGTAATTGCCACATGCAGGAAAGAAAATTCGCAATTCGAAATTAAAAGATCTCGTTCCGTCATAACCGTCCCTTTTTTAAAGCTCTAATTATACCAACTCCGCTCAGTCGTTTCAGTCATTCCTTTCTGTATTGATCAACCGCTTCGCGCAGCTTCTGGATGACATCGCCAGGGTCCTGGGCGCCGAAGACAGCCGACCCAGCGACAATGACGTTGGCGCCGGCTTCAGCCGCCTGGTCGACCGTGCCGACACCTAACCCTCCATCAACCTCGATGTTCAAGTCCGGGTATCGCTCACGCAGCGCGCGCACTTTGGGAAGCTCCGAAGCCATGAACTTCTGCCCGCCAAATCCGGGGTACACGGTCATGACGAGAACCATCTAATCAGAAATAAATGTTAGCGCCATTGTTCACACGTCCAAAACAGTGAAACGGGAGTATATCGGATCGGGGGCGGGCTGGTAGCCACTCACGTCTGGCCGCTCCTTGTCATCCTCCGTTGCGAGAATATCCCATAGCACGTCGACGGGTGTATCCGGCTTAATTGCAATACCGGCTTGCATGCCTTCGTCGTGGATATACCGGATGAGTTCCTTGGGGCTGGTTTTGCGGGTTGTCTTGTAGTCGGCAGGGTCCTCAGCCGCTACTGAGGCGACGGCGGCTTCGTAGTGGAAGCAGTACAGATCGCAGCCGGCCTTCTTGAAGTCCTTGACCCATTTATGGGGCTATTACGGGGGCAATCTAGTTAGCATCGTTGTGATCTGGGCTGCGCTGTTTGCGCCAACTGCGCCGGCCGGGATGGACGGATCATCTCGGAGAGCAAGGGAAACAGGGTTTCTGGGCACTGACCTCCATAATCATCATGTGGCAGTCGAATGTCCCCTTTCCGTGGGGTTGGGTTGGACGGTGGACATGTGAGCGAATCTTCGTCACCACGGGAGCCCCAAAAGTGATGTTTGGGACGAAATGGCCATCCATGATGTCGACATGGAGCCAGTCTGCTCCTTGTTCAATCTTGGCTGAGCATTCGCTACCCAATGTCGCGAAGTCTGCGCTGAGGATGGAGGGGGCTATAATTGCTGGGGGAGACATGGTGGTGGTGGTGTAAGTGGGTACGTAGGAGGGATGATGGAAGTTGTTCAAGTCAACGGAATTGTCTATGTAAAGGGTATATGTACAAATAGAAGAAGACAAAAGCAACAAAAAAAAGGAGCGGCGAGCTGTGGTCCGGTATTAAGTAAGGGATTGTTTCATGGGGGGGTTGTGATTGTTAATTGTTTGTCCGGAGGAGGAGCTCATGACGGCCAGAGCAAATAAGAATTACCAGCGATTGATATCACCGACTTTTTTGCCTCGACGTCACTCCGGAGAGCCCAATTAGGAAATCAGCATAGCTGGATAAGGGCTAGGGTCAAGCATTACACGTGGGTGCTGGGTGGGGCGACAGGGCCTGGATGCCTGACTTGCAAGTCACGGGAACCAGCTTCCGCCGGTTTGGTGATGGTTGGGCGATTAGCGTCAGCCCAGCTGTTCCTGTTTCGATGCCGATTTGATTGGGATCTCCAAATCGATGGTCGGGTGACCGACACACTTTGACCACGGACGGAATATCCTTTTCGGTCTTTTCCGCTGATCTGACTGGAGCGTGGCTGCAGAAAAGGTGCCTAATTAGCGATGTTTACTGACGAGGCTGCATAGAAATCTGCCATAATTAGCAACACTCAACAACTCGCGCCCAAGTGGCACCGTGGCATCATATTGAGCCCAAGCAAAAAGGTTGCCTGTTGACCACCGTCCGGCAGTGGCTGCAAGTTCCATTGTCGCGAGACTCGCCCTCTGACAGCAAACAGGAGCAGAAATGGATGGTTTCTAAAGATAGCCTGCCCGGCGCTTGCAGTTCGTCCATCACGCCAATCAGCGATGTCTATTTTAAGTGACTGGGGAAACAATTTGGGTCAGCGGTTCGTTGCAGTCACAGTCAGGGTTTGCTCATTATGATTGGTGTGACGACCTTTTTAGGTGCTTCTTTGGCTCTCAACGCCTGCCTGTCAGCGCCCAGCGAGGCCCTCCTGTTCGAAGCGCCTCCCTGGAGACAGCCAATAATTGTTGCCCTAAGACTTTTGAACCTGGATTCTTGGGCCAAGTGTGCGCAGTGTTGCATTAGGTTCTGCACTGAGGATGGCGGGTGCAAAAGCGCCTTCTTGAGATCTCCACTCCTCCCCGCGCTGGAGATCTATTTATCATAAGCCCTGCGCTACTTCTGGCGGCAAGTCTTTTTGTTTCTTCTGTTGTGGAGTTGTCCTTTGTTTTGCGTGCCTTTCTCGGTTTGTTCGATCGTGCCTTCAGCTCTGGTAGCGAGGCCATCTTTCTCTATATTCCTTTTCTTAACATTTTCCGTGAAGTCCCGTTGATCGGGTCGAACGCATTGAGATACCCCTAGAAGTACCGTTTGCTGAGTTGACCCGGTTCGCCGATCACGTACTATAATTTATCTAGCATACTACGAGGCACGACATGGCTGCGCCGAATCGTCCTACAGCTAGATGCCCTCCCTCCCGGCAGGTCCGAGGAACGAGGCTTAATACAATAATCGAGGATTCACGCGAGACGCAATTTTCAGACAAGCCTGGGCATAGTCCAACCGATAATGGTCAAAGGAGTCCGGCGCCGCAATTGAAACTTAGGACCACTGGTCTGTCGTCACAGGCGGCCCCGCGGCAAAGGTTCCTGTCGCCGCTCTCTGGGAGCTCGGTCTCATGTTGTTCGGATGAAGATTGGCAAGAGCAGATGAACAAATTTGATGATCTCTATGATGCCACGGACGATGACTCGGATTTCAGTGACGAGTGTGGGTCGTATTCTAGCACTCGGCCCACGAGCATGGCAACGCCCACAACAGCGAGGGATTCGGTGGGATCTCAAGGCTCCCGAAGACGGTACCCATCTATTGATATTCCCTCGTCGAACTTATGGCCATCACTCAACGGTGCTCCGAAGAGCTCACCAGTTCCACCGACTCCGCCGCAAAAGATTCCTGTTTCGCCAGCCGCTCTCTCGCTGCTTTCACGCTCAGTGCCGGCAATGCACGCGACGCCGTCGTTAGATGGTAGTGTGTCGTCAGACCAAGTGTCCAACCTTAGCACTCCATCCACACCGTCCTTACAGTCTCTCCCAGACACCGACTGGAACTCGCGTGGGATTCACGTTCTTCCAGATCTCGAGGCAGATGTGCATCACTCGGATCTCGACAACTCAGAGGCTGCCGAGGAGGTACCGCGTATTGAGGTACCAATCGAAAGTGCTGACGACGATTGGCGGCGGTTTATTGGAGATTTCCCACAGATAACCGGTCAAACCACGCCGACTGCCGGTTACTTTGCAGAAGCTGAGCCTCCACGGGGGGATACACCTTCCGATCAAGGGGTTGCTCTCCCCGAGGGCGCTCTCGCGACACTGCAGTTCATTCCTCTGGAGGGAACGCCAGAACCCTGGTCCGAGACTTCTGATAACGAGGAGATGTCAGAGATCCCACGAGCCACTCGGAGACGCTCACTTGATGATGAGACTCCAGTCTCACAGCTGTCAGAGTACAGCTTCACCGGTCTTGACATTCCATCACCGGGGGGCTTCTTTGACTCGCTGGGTCCTCGAGCTCGTCACACCTGGTCTCTACCAAATTTCAGCCAAGCACCCACGTCGGCCACAGCCGAGACGTTCTACAATATTCCATTTTCGCGAGGCGAAGGAGAGATCGTGGAACAAGTTATCAATCTTCCGGATAGGTCGAACGACGAGCAATTGACTGCTGTATACGCGCCGCCGACTGCAGTCAGAATCCCAGAGAGCCCTGCGCATCCGCCAACGGAAGGCTCAATAAGCCCAGTCTCCGAAGGCGTCCATGAGCTCTCGAGACCCGCTACCACGTATGATCCAGATGAACAGGATGAGACTTATGCCGCGGAACTGCAAAAGAAAGCAATGTCAAGCTTGGATAGGACCAGCGTTTGGCTGGCAGCCCAGGCCTCGTATCTTGCAGCACTCAGCGAAACGAACCCAGTGAATAGCATTGCGGAAGAAGACGACCAGATTTCCGATGTGGATGAGCAGAGTAGTCAAAAGGCCTCTTCGCCCCAACTTAGGCGGAAGAGTTCTGTGCATTTGAACTCCGAGCCGTTACCGGAACCTCCCAGCTCTCTTCCTGCCATCCATGCGAGCAAAGATTCGATCTACTGGCGTGGTTTCAAGTTTTTGTTGGATCAGTCTCAACGTCGGGATACCTTCGTGCACCGCGCGACTCGGTTTGATGCCGTGCAATCTACCCGCCAGGGTCTGTCCGGTGTGCACAACAAGTGCCTTCGTGGAAGCTACGAACTGGTCCTTCCTGAGCGACCATCCTACAGCGGTCCGTTCTCGCAGTCTCCCCGCAAATCTGTCCTGGGTTCAGTCCTGCAAGAGAAAGCCCAGTTTTCCATGGTTGAGAAGGAACAATTGGTTCTTTCGCAATTAAGCCAACCGATGTGGGCCATGGAAGCCTTGAGGTTTTTGAATGCCGGCAGGCTTGTTGCGAGCCCTGCTCAAAAGCGTCTTTCGCGGAGTAATCCAGGCACAGCCGGACGAAAGAATCCCAAGCGCCGTCAGCTTAGGGTTCTCGATCTGGGTGGCCATGCTACGGCGGAGTGGGCTTGGCATCTCGCGCACGAGTATCCTAATGTCAAGATTTACACAGTCTACACTGAGTACCAGCAAGTCAACAAGGCCATCAAGGGTCCTGAAAACCATCGCCATATCCAAGTGTCCCAGCTATGGAAGCTTCCGTTCTCTGACAACAAGTTCGACATCATCTCGGCTCGCTCCCTCCCTGCTTTCCTTAAGACCGAACGCCCGGCGGGAGAAAGCATTGACGAGTACGATCTTTGTCTTAAGGAGTGCTATCGCTGCCTGAAGCCTGGAGGCTACTTGGAATACCTCGTCATGGACGCTGAGGTTTCCCGCGCGGGACCTTATGCCTCTGCCACATCCATCGAATTCGCCTTCAACCTCAAAATTCGAGGTTATGACCCGTTGCCCACAAAAAGCTTCACTGGTCGTCTACGGAAGCAAGACTTCGTAAACATCAAGCGAGGCTGGATGTACCTCCCCATGGGCACTGAACCGCAGAAGCCCCAGGCCCCGAGAGAGACTCCTGACCCCAGGGTCAAGAGCCTTATCGAGGACACTGAAGCCGTTCAAGGACCATTGGGGAGTACAGCGGACATCGCGCCAATCACTGGCTTACTCGGCGGATGGGTATGGGAGCAGTGGCTTCTGAAACTGCAAGTTGAGATGGGTCGCGGTGACACAAAGTTGCTCGAAGGTATTGGAAGTGTGTTTGATGAGGGTCGCAAGAATGGCTCCGGCTGGACATGCTTGTCCGGCTGGGCTATGAAGCCCTTGTCTAACCATAGGCTCTGAACCTGCTCTGGGTTGGTTGGAATCTGTTTTCCATATTTGCGCTTTTGCCATTCCTTAATTGTTTAATACTGCGCCCTGGTGGCACATTCTTTTCTGTCGATCGTCCTGGAGGCGATCAATCACTATCGTTAATCTGATCTAATAATGTGGATTTTGGGTGGGTTTTTGGTGTGCATGTTTTGATGAGTGAGGATTGGAGGGGACGATGATATGAAGTTTGATACCAATAACAAGTAGAAGAAACAATGAAACTTTACTATTCAAATCTGTTGACATATAAGCATTAACGAAGGATGGCTAATGGCTAATAATTAGTCAATCTATGCCGGGTAAGTGTAATGTTATATATATTCACTATCGATACTTTGCTCAAAACCCGAAACACTTAGCAACGAGACCTACACTAGCCATTTAGACCTAGGTTACAATAAATTATTAAAATATGAATATTTATGATTCTATGGCGTCCTGCAGCCCAACTGTTGCCGTGGGTATTCACTGTTGGGAGGTGAGATAGTCACGTGACCCGATTTTCTGAGGCCATCCAGAGCTTCCTCCGCCTTCCCATCCGCAATAGACTACCCCTCTATAGCCCTGCACAACCGGAATCATGCTCTTCTTCAGGTATGTAATATGTATATACCTTTAATTACGCCATGCATAGTACTTCCTCTAATTGATAACCCCGTCCAGCTTCTTCAAGACCCTCACGAACCAAGTCGTCACGATAGAGCTCAAGAATGACATCCGTATCCGGGGGACTTTGAAATCAGTCGACCAATACCTCAACATCAAGCTCGACGATATCGATGTTTTAGACCTGGACAAATACCCTCATCTATCGTCGGTCAAGAACATGTTCATTCGTGGTAGCGTGGTGCGGTATGTGATGCTGCCGCGGTCGGAGGTTGATGTTGGGCTTTTGGAGGATGCGACACGGAGAGGTACGGCTATAGCTCTTAGTCCCCTTACTTTTTAGGTTTCATTAAGCTAACGCTGATTGATTTTGCAGAGGCCGCGAACCAGGCGGGTAAAGCTCGGTGATTTGGGTTTGAGTCGACACATATTTATACGAAGACCTATCTACTTTAATGAATGCGCTTTTACGATGAGATGTGATATCGCTACTGTGTTGTCTGAGGCAAACACAATGAGGTCGAGAATTTAGACGGACTATGGTGGTGATACGGCCTGTGCTGAGGAAGGGCTTTCCGGTTGGAAACACCGAAGGATACTCGAGGAACAGTCACACTCTCTCGAGGTTATCTTCCTCGGGCTATAAGTGCCTTTGCATAATAACGAACCCTGGGCACATTACGCATATTTCTTGCGCTAAAATAGCGAATCCCACTACAGCTTTTCGCGAGCCTTTCTTGATATTTCCCAATTCGTAGGTCGAGACTGGCACGTGATTTCGTGTCGCGAAAATCGAGACCGCCGCGACCCCCAAGATAAGACACTTCCCTCCTAATAACCGCGCCATCGTCTCTCTTTTTTTTTTTGTATGCCTCGAAAAAAGATTTTTGCCATAGAACTCAGCATATTAGACGAGTAACAACTCTTCTACAATCCGATACAATGCAACTCGACTGAACCGGACCTGTCTCTTCTCTTGATCAACCAGCAATCCCCGCACCTTGACCGTAATCCCCTATTCCTTTACTCTCCTTCAGCCTAAGCCCTGCGCGAAGTTATGGCAGGATCATCCCGAAGGGTTTCAACGCCGTCAAAACCTGCAAAGTCCTCTGGCGGGAAGCCCCAGTCCGCGAAACGAAACAACACGCTCTTGAACTTCTTCCAGAAAGCGGACGGGCCGCCACAATCGACCTCGAGACAGGCCCGCATTACACAGTTTACTGCGCAGGGAGAAAGGCCGGGTAGCCGCGTTACGACTCCGCGGCCTCGATTGTTAAAGAGGGAAACTAGTTCGACAAATGGTGGTGGCGAGGAGGGATTGTTCTTGGGGGATAGCAAAAGAGCCAAGAACGCTGTGGATAATGGGAGTCCGAGAGGGAAGGAGAGGTCTCGCACACCGGATGATATTTGGGGAGAGGAGGATGTTGATAATGGGAAATCATTAGAGGACGAGGACAGATATAATGAAAATGGATCTGCCGTGAAACGACAGAAGATGGATTCAACCCAGACGGATTCTTCCTCGGCGGAGAAAACGGCAAAGAAGGCGCAGAAAGCCAGCGGCCCCTTTATTGATGAGTCGGACAGTGAGGATGAAGGACTGGAGGCATTTAGAGATCTAGGGGATGGAGACAACCAAGAGCAGATTTTGGAGAAGAAAGATGTGGAGGAATCAGCGACGCCCTCAGACGGAGATCAAACGGCAAGGAAACGGACTTTCGCCGCCGACGTACCACCGCTGGTAAGAGAAGCCACGAGCCATATGCAAGATGATGAATACCCGGATTTTGACGATATAGAAGGCGATGAAGTCGAAGGGGAAGAGCTTTGTTTAGGTGCTACAGATGGAGATGAAGTTAGAGAGTGCGAGGCCGCCTTTGATTTCGATGAAAATGATCTGTCCACGGATACTCCCAACATAGATGAAACGTCTACCTGTCCAGTATGCCAGGGAAGCTTAGAAGGCGTTGACGAAACAGTAAGTTGGGTCATCATGAATAGGGTGTTGAAGAAACTAAGGCAATATTCAATAGAACGCCATGGCGCATGTCAATGATTGTCTCGATGGCAAACCTAGCACGGTCCTGCCGAAGACACCAAGTACAGATGTTGGGCCGTCTGCGCAGAAAGTATCCTTAGCGGATCGTGCTGCCGTGGCCAGGCCAGCACAACGAGATCCTGTCCAGTCCAAGCCACCGAGAGCTTCTTCCGCATTCTCGAAAATAATGACGGCTAATGCTGAAGACACCGCATGGGCGGAGGCAGCAGCAAGCGATGTTGCATCACGAGGCAAACAAGCTTACCAAAGAACTTGCCCGTTCTATAAGATCATCACAGGATTCTCAATATCAGTGGACGCTTTTCGTTACGGCGCAGTGGAAGCATGTAACGCATACTTTCTAAGCCACTTCCACAGCGATCATTACATGGGTCTTTCGAAATCCTGGCGCCACGGGCCGATATATTGCAGCAGACCGACGGGTAATTTAGTCCGTCAGCAACTCAAGGTCGATCCAAAGTGGATAGTTGACCTTGAGTTTGAAAAGAAGACTGAAGTTCCCGGAACCGGGGGAGTGCAAGTAACTATGATTGAGGCCAACCATTGCCCTGGAAGCGCCATCTTTGTTTTTGAGAAGGCCGTGAGCTCTGGACCCTCCACAAGAATCCAAAGGGTTTTGCATTGTGGTGATTTCCGAGCATCTCCACAACAAGTGAACCATCCTCTTCTTCGTCCAGATGTTATTGACCCGAAGACGGGTAAGAGTTGGCAGCAGAGAATTGATGCTTGCTATCTTGACACAACCTATCTAAGCCCAAAGTACGCGTTTCCGAGGCAGTCAGATGTTGTGAGCGCATGTGCTGAGCTCTGTGAGCACATTGATCAGGGCCAATATGACAGCGTTGGCCACTTGCCGTTTCAGACTGGGAATAGTAAACCCATATCAAAAAATCCAATCAGCCAATTTCTCTCGTCCGCCGCTACTGTTGTCAAGGCTCCTTCCAAAACCGAATCAAAGCCTAAAGACCGAGTACTCGTCGTGATTGGCACCTACAGTATCGGCAAAGAGCGGATATGTCTCGCTATAGCACGCGCACTAAAGAGTAAAATCTACGCAACGCCCGCCAAACAGCGTGTATGCGCCTGTTTGGAGGATCCGGAGTTATCTTCGTTGCTTACAGATGATCCCCTCAAAGCTCAGGTACACATGCAAACTCTCTTCGAGATTCGGGCAGAGACGCTCTGCGACTATCTGGACTCAATGAAGCCGCATTTTACTCGGGTAGTCGGCTTTCGACCAACCGGATGGACATACCGACCGCCGGCCGGCAGGACGCTGGAGAACCCGCCCGTCTCAACCGTGCTCCACTCTGCACACTGGCAGACTCCGTTCTCGGTGCGTGATCTTACACCGCAACGGGGGAGCACACGAGAGAGTGCTTGTTTTGGTGTCCCTTATAGTGAGCATAGCTCGTTCCGGGAATTGACCATGTTCTGCTGTGCTTTGCGTATAGGCCGGATTATTCCAACAGTCAATGTCGGCAACCAGAAGAGCCGGGAGCGCATGAAAGCTTGGTTTGACAAGTGGGAAGCAGAGAAGCGCAAGAGTGGGCTGTTTCGAGTGAAGGGTGATGATTGGTAGCATTGTACATAGAGTGATACACCGGTGCATATAGCCGCATAGTATGATGAACAAATGTGTCTCGCTTCTGCCTGAGGCTGAAGTGCCGCCTGACCTCCAATCACGGGGCCGGCTAAGGCATCATAATGATGACGGGACCCAAAATGGCAAAAGAGAGCACGGACGGATGGACGGAGCGGTAGCAATTCAGCATCGCCAAACTTCATCATCTTCCTCTCCATAATTCCATCTCCGGGCGGGGTAGCCACAGCCGTCGAATTGCTTCATTGGCTCCAAGAGCGCCTCTCTTGGCTGGTTGGCTCAGTTTGCCTTCCCACAGAGTGCTTCCTGATGGTCCTCCAGTCACAGGCGAAGGATTACTGCAAGGAGGGGCCGTGAGGATCTCCAGCGCCAAATGGGGTCTAACGTCGTTGAAGAACAACCGACGAAAGTGGGCGGGGGAGCAGCGTCGGGGATGTGAGTCGGCTGGCACTCACTGTGAGCGAAACCCCAGACTCCCGACCACGACTTCCGTGCAGTTGCTTTGCCTCGGGGACCCCCTCGCCGATTGCCTTCCATAAATATCCCCATGGAGAATGCTATGTTGCTTGTCTTTGCTTGAGTTTTTGAGCATAATGGACTGAAGCGAAGTCGATTTCTTTGAATTACCTCTTTCCATCTTTTTTTCCCGGTCGATAAGAGCCTCCGTTGAAAAACGACGCGTTGCCTGCCGCGAGATTCTCCGCTCTCTTGTCTCAACTACCACCAACTGGGTTAGTGCCTTTGCTTTATTGTTCTGCGTTCTAACTGGGATCTTCATTCCACGTTTTTCTTAATCGTCCTGGTTTAGTCGGATGGTAACTGACCTACTTGCAGGTTCGCCCACCATGATTACTGATATTCTCAAACCAGACCTCATCTCTCCAGAGAACTTGGCCTATGCCCTCTTAGGCCTCCTGGCCACTTACTACGTCCTCCCATACCTTGCGACATGGAGATTGAGTGATATCCCAGCCCCAGGTCTGGCTGCGTGGACCAACTTTTGGTTGTTACTTCAGACTCGCAAGGGTCATCGGTTCCTCAGCGTCGATGCTGCCCACAAGAAGCATGGGAAGCTCGTTCGCATTGCCCCTCGTCACGTCTCAATCGCCGATGACGCAGCTATCCAGGCTGTCTATGGACACGGAAACGGGTTTTTGAAGGCTGATTTCTATGACGCTTTCGTTTCCATCCGCCGTGGTTTGTTCAACACCCGCGATCGTGCGGAACACACCCGGAAGCGCAAGACCGTCTCCCACACCTTCTCTGCGAAGTCGATCGGTCAGTTCGAGCAATACATTCACGGTAACATCGAGAACCTCGTCAAGCAGCTGAGCCGCACCTCCGAGCTACAGCGAAACCCTAAGAACGGCTATGCTACCGTTGATGCTCTGAACTGGTTCAACTTTGTGGCTTTCGATATCATTGGTGACCTTGCTTTCGGTGCCCCATTCGGCATGCTTGACAAGGGCCAGGATATTGCTGAGATGCGCAAGAACCCTGACGACCCTCCTTCTTACGTCCGCGCTGTTGAGGTTCTCAACCGCCGTGGTGAGGTCTCGGCAACCATTGGCTGCTACCCTGCTATCAAGCCGTTTGCGAAATACCTACCCGATCGCTTCTTCCGTGACGGTATTGAGGCCGTTGAGAACCTGGCTGGTATCGCTGTTGCCTGTGTCAATGAACGTCTCAAGCCCGAGGTCATGGCCAACAACACTCGTGTGGATCTTCTTGCTCGCTTGATGGAAGGCAAGGACGCCAACGGCAATAAGCTTGGCCGTGCTGAACTTACCGCCGAGGCCTTGACCCAATTGATCGCTGGCTCTGACACTACCTCAAACACCTCTTGCGCCATCCTTTACTGGTGTCTTCGCACTCCAGGTGTCATTGACAAGCTCCACAAGTGCTTGGATGAGACCATCCCTAAGGATATCGATGTTCCTACGCACGCAATGGTTAAGGACATTCCATAGTAAGTTAAATAGCACCTGTTTCAGTATTCAATAAGGCTAACCGCTTTGCCAGCCTGCAATGGGTCATCTGGGAAACCATGCGCATTCACAGTACCTCCGCTATGGGTCTCCCCCGTCAGATTCCCGAAGGAAATGCACCCGTCGAAATTAGTGGCCACGTCTTCAAGGGTGGCGATGTCCTCTCCGTCCCCAGTTATACAATCCACCATTCCAAGGAAATCTGGGGCCCCGATGCCGACGACTTTGTTCCCGAGCGCTGGGACCCCGCGCGCCTCACCCCCCGCCAGAAGGCTGCCTTCATTCCTTTCAGCACCGGTCCTCGCGCCTGTGTTGGCCGTAACGTCGCTGAGATGGAACTCCTTGTTATTTGCGCTACTGTATTCCGCATGTTTGACTGGCAGTTGCAGCAGGAAGGGCCCATGGAGACCAGTGAAGGTTTCCTACGGAAGCCTCTGGGCTTGAATGTTGGTGTTAAGAAGAGAGCAATTGTTTAAACGGAAATTATTTCTTTTTTACATTCGCTCTGAAATTCAGCGAAATTGGGTTTATGGAATATGTGAGAACCTTGGGGGAAATATACCTTGGACCAGTGCAGTGTATTGGACAATTTGCGATGGCCCGTGACGACTATTGTATGGAATCTTGATGAAACAATTTACTTGTATATATTTCAAATATTCATCTTTTTAACCATGAAATCGGAAACACCCAGCTGGAACTGTTTCGAGAACCAGGTAGATTTCATGCCTGAGATTATGCTGCTCGTCAAATCGTAGTATTTAGTTTCATTTCAGCAGAATAATGGAGTTTAGTTCTCTTCCATTTGTTAAGTCAAGGAAATAAATTCATTACAATTTGCATTCATTTAGTCATATATCCTCATTTCCACCGTAACACCTTACCCAACCAAGCTCCGATTGAATTGTATATAAACACAGCGTTTACCGCACAGTGTATCCACCGTCAATGACAATGTCCGCACCAGTTGTGTAAGTGCTGGCATCACTGACCAAGTAGACATAGGCACCCTTCAACTCCTTTGCATCGCCATTTCGGCCCATAGGGATCATGCTGAGCCAGAGGTCCTGAACCTTCTGGTCGACAAAGTCACTCAACCCGGTATCAATGTAACCAGGCGAGATGGAGTTGACACGCGCAAAGTCCCTCCACTCGTTCGCCAACGACCTCGCCATGTGGATACACCCAGCCTTCGCAACGTTATAGCTCGTCTGCTCCTGCGGGAAGTTCGCAATGTGGCCGCTCATACTCGCGGTGATAACCAGACTGCCCGACCCGCGCTGCTTAAAGTGCGGCCCCACAGCCTTCGCGCAGTGGAACGTTCCCGTCAAATCCGTCTGCAGCACCTCCTCCCAGTCCTTGACTGAGCCGTCCAGGATACCCGAGTTGGCGGTCCGTCCGGCATTCGCGATGAATGCGTCGATTTGTCCGAACTCGGCGATGACGTCCTTCACTAGCTTCTCCACGCTTGCGTAGTCGCCGATGTCGAGCTTGTAGGCCTTGGCCTTGACGCCGTAGTCGCGGGCTAGCTCTTGGGCGTTCTTCTCGCCACCTTCGGGGCGCGAGGAGTAGGTGATTGCGACGTTGGCGCCCATTTCGGCGCAGCCACGGGCGGCTTCGATGCCCATGCCGCGGGGGCCGGAGGCGCCGGTGATCACGACGACCTTGCCCTTTAGGCTGAAGAGGTCTTGGAGGTGAGAGGCCTTGGGGACTTGCTGAGGCATGGTGGGTGGTTGTATTTGCGTAGGGAGGTAAATATAAAGTAAGGTAAGGTAGGGTAGTAAAGTATTGACTGGTTACGGTAGGTTAGGCAAATGCTTAATGTAGGGAATTAAGCAGGTTTATATGAAAGAAAGAAGCTTGCGATGATGTCGATGTGATTTCACTCGAAAACAAGATAAATGGGGCTGCTATTTATGTGTTCATTTCTAGACTGCCAGTCGCCAGCGAGCTCGGTGGAGGGGTCTCAGGCTGTTTCTTGTTCTGCGCTTGGTGAGGGGCCTGGCTGGGTCTATGACGCCACGAAGAGGGGTGTGGGGACCTTGCCTGCCTTGTAACTGCACAGCTACCGTAGTAAACGAGCGAGGTCAGCATTAGAGAAAATATGCTAAGCAAGGGGCGAATCTTGAAGTGCAGGGTTTGATAGGGATGAACTGACTATTTGAGTTTCTCGGACCGCCCATGGCTGAGTTGGTCATGGATGATTGAAGCATCTGGTGAGGGGTTGGGAGAGCGGCGGCTGACGGAGAGGTGACTGATGATAACACATCACTCGCGTGTCCGACCTCAATCTTCACCGTTCGACGTGTCGATCTTTTTTTTTTGATCTACGAATTAATGCGAGCTGGGATATTACGTCAATTGCTCTAGTGTCATATCGCATTCAGTCATCTATAATTCTACCCTCGTATACATAATGCTGTCTAGCGCAGCAACCCCTCTCCCTCCTCGCCAGGCGCATGCTTTGCCATTGCCACGGCGTCTCGTCGGCCACGCTCTGCATTGACCATCCACACTAGTGGCATTGGCAGAACGATCAGTATTCCAATGAAAATGAAACCGGTCCGGACAGAGCCGGTTGCATCGACGAGGGCGCCGACGATCGCCGGTCCCACAAATGAACTTCCTTTGTCGGTGGCCGCATACAGTGCGTAAAACGCAGCCTCACTACCTGGTGGGATCAGCTCTCCAAACAAGGAACGACAGTAGGATGCGAGCCCCCCAGAGACGACCCCATGTACGACACCAAGAGGAAAGATTTCCCACGGCTGCTGGAGTCCAAACACACCCCAATTTTGGATGAAAGGTATGTAGGCCAGCATTCCGTACAGTGGAATAATCTCAAACAACGCTATGCATAGAAGAATGGTGTGGTTTGACGCTAGCCGGAACCGCCGGGCCACGACAGGCCACAGGAACGCTCCCGCCATTCCCGAAGTTGTGGCCGTGACTGACAAGCAACCAACAGCAACGGTACTGAGATGCAACTCCGTCCGCGCAAAAAGGATCGCCGTCCCAGAAACGGTTGCTATGGCGTCTGAGATCAAGAACCACGCGGCGAGGAATATTACAACCTCACGCAGACGCAGGGCAACCTTGATTGTCCTCCAGAGAGACTTCCATGCGAACCCCACGAGACGTAGCCAGGCGCGCCATTTCTGTCGGTAGCCTAAACCCGGAGTGATGTCGTCCAACGGTGGGCCAGGACGGTTACGTAACCACCGATTGCAGACGATAGTAAAAGAAGCCCACCATATTCCAACCAAGAGTAGAACAAGTCGCATTGGGAGCGTGGGAACTGATTTGGCCATGGACGTCTTGGACAATGTGAACAAGAGCAAGATGCTCAGGATTTGTACGAAGACCGCAGCACAATAGCCAAGCCCAACACCTCGGGAGGAGATACGCGTGGAGAGCTGAAGCTCAGGAGACGTGGAGCTAGAAGTCTTCCCGGATTCCACCCGGGGTTCCGCTGGGGAAGCACGGATGCCGCCATCCTCATCATCCGTCCATGACCGTAGAGAGAATTCATCCGGGTCCGTATGAAGGTCATGCAGCTCATCTCCATTCTTATCTGACGCATTCTGAATCGAGGGATCATTGGCAACGAGGATGGGCAGGAACGAATTCAAAACGACAAACGACGAGCCGAGGCAGGTGACACCGATAACCACGAGGAGGGCCCCGAGTACGAATACTGGCGGCGCAATGAGCATGAAGAGCATGGACGTTGCAGACCCAATAAATCCGAATGCCAGAAGAAGGGTCTTTCGGTTATTTTCTGCAACGAAATCAGCATAATGCATCTTGTAACGGGATATTTACTGCTGTCTTACCGTAGTCTGCCAGTGCGCTAAAGGATACAAGCGTCAAAGCTTGGACAAGGACCGCCAGCGAGAAGGTATACATAGCAAAACTCGCCGTGTTGACATTAAATCCCATTAATGGGACCACGCATACATCGTCCGTCGATGCGGTCCCGTTACCGGCCGCAGAAGGCGCGTTTGGACCGACACATGGGAGGTTACTGGAGCGGAAGTGGCCCTGTTCACGGGCTAATTGCTCCAAGGTAAGGGGGAGAAACGAGCCTGAAAACTTCAGCTTCGAATATCAAATAGCCCGGTCTTGAAGTGCATACCAACACCGCATACCGCGAATACCTCGGCAGCGATTCCGTAGGCGTACCACCCCCAAATCTCGCGGCGAGATGTGGGGGTGGTATCCTCGCCGGGATAGCGCGGAGATCGGTGTCGATCGGAGTCCGCGTCCGCTTCTTCGGGCGACGAGGCGAGCTGGGAGAAAAACGCCATGGGAGCTGGTGAGATGAGAACTCAGGAGAACAACATTGGACGGGCACGAAAGTTTGAAGAGAGCAGCATGGCTGGAGGAACCAGCACCCAGCAGTGCTGCGGTGGAGCCAGCAGCAGTGCTTCGTCTGGTCGTCCAACAATCTTGCGTTCTTGTGCTGATGACGAAGATCGGGACTGGCGGCAGCGGAAGGCTCGGATAGGCCTCACCGCCAGGGATATCCGGCAGTATTATGTTGATTTAAGCAGGCGGTGCGAGCTTTGTCTCCTACACTGTGATTGGTCGATAGATTGTATACTGCAGTGAACAGGACTGTTTTGGTTATAACTGCACCTGCTGTGCTGACCATTATTTTGCACACATGGGACTGTCAGTATTGCATAGATGGCCTCAGATTCCGGTATCTACGCAGTATGGAATTATTTTTTTTGTGCTCCCTCAAAATTATCCGGGCCTCCCTACACAAGCAACTGTCGCCGGTCCCGGCCCGATTGTGCTCTTGCTGCTTGGAGTCCGGTCACTTCTCTCCATTCTCCCTTCACCTCTTCTTTCGTGCATCTTTTCCTCTTCCTCCCCCCTGACTCCCTAGACAATCCATTCCTGTCTGACCATATCTTATAGTACGCCACCACGTCCCACTGTCGCTACCTCCATTCCTGTCCCTATGCACTAGTCTTGCCTCACCCTCGTTTCTGGCACCAAGCGCCGGTTGGCCCGCAGACTGCGCCACAAGAATCAATACTCGCTAAACTTACGGCTTTCACAATGTGGATTGTCTTTCATTGGCTTATTTTCGCTTTGAGCCGGTTGCTGTATCGCATCCGCGGCCACGACTCTCGACAGATTATCAAGCATCACGCGTTCAAAGATCAATCTGAGCCCAACATGATTCTAGAAGCTCCCGAGTGTGGCCACTCTGGATCACCGCTGCTCCCAGATCACACCTGTCTTGCTGAAGGTAGTGGTGGAAAAGTGCCAGAGTTGCATTGGAGGGCGCCCTCCGATCTCAACATCAAACAATACGTTCTGACTTGCGAAGACGTTGACGCGCCTATGCCTTTCTCTATTATTACTCACGGACTCTTTTTTGGTATTCCACCTACAACCACCAAGGCCTACCACGATGATATTGAGCAGGACATGAACTGTGCCGGGCGTTTCACCCTGGCGGGGTGGGGATTTGTCCCGACCATGAAAGGGACACCCTACATCGGGGCTGCTGCGCCCCTGGGCCACGGAGTCCATCGTTATATCTATACCATAATCGCACTAGATGAGCCTCTCCACTTTGATCGCCCCGATAAAGTGACTAAAAGTCAAGTCAAAAGGGCCCTGATTGGCAAAGTTCTCGGTTGGGGTCAATGGACGGGTTACTTCGAACGTCCCTGGCCCCGCTGACCCGATATTCTGCATTGGCTTGATGTCGACGAGTTTGATATTCGTCATATGGCGTTGGGTCTAGAGAGTGATCTTTGGAGGGAGTTCATGAATTTCAGACATGTGCAGCCTATTATTACTAATTTCCCATATCCTAAGGGTTCTAATCGTTGTGACCTACAACTTCGCTTGCTGTTATCCCAACCGGCTCGTTTCACGACTATCTATTATTTCGTCTCGCCACTGTCCACGCACTTAGCTCCCTAAAGTTTGGTCAGACCCTGCACTAAACAAATATCGGCACTGATCTGCTCACCTGAATCTCCTTCGATTTGCTCCATAAACAATACAAGACGACGGATCGCAGGCTCGACGGATGGCTCACATGCTCTTGATGTCCCAACACCAGCTCTGTGCAACTGACCAATATCCTTAGATAGTGACCGCAGCCCCTTCAGCAGCTCCAACAGCTTCATCGACCACTTGCCAAGCAACATGCGCACTAGAACTCCAGTCTCTTCGTCTTCCAGCTCCATCTGACCCAGTTGCGACTTGCTTGGTATGCATACCGGCAATGACGAGTCGAATAAAACGTCCTTTCGGGTGACGTTGTAGGTCAGACATGCTGCTTCAAAGAGAGCAAGAGACTGGTCGGTAAGGGCTGGAAGAGTCATGAGAGAGGGACCTGGGTTGGCTCTACAATCCCTACATCTTAGCATCGCTTGGCCTAGGCCATGTATACGATCGACTAAGCTTAGGATTGTTTCCAATTCCACCACTGCGTGCACGCCCTGAAGCTCGTTCATGATATGCAAAGCTCCAATCGAACATTGACATCCGGTATCAGATTCCATCGAGGCAAGAATAAGCTGATAAATTATGCGGTCGGATACTTCCTTTGACAAATAGGTATTGCCAGGCTTCGATGTGTTGGGACTGGGGTATGTCGGCATTGTTGAACTCTGATGTATTCACAAGTTCTACCCCCGAATGATTCACACCTAGTATACCGGTACTGGGTGGAACAGAAGAAGCTAATATAAATGGAAGTATCGAGGTTCAAAACCCAGTTCTTCACGTGCATATGATGCTCTGGTATTCACGGATGAGAGATACAACCTCGGGTTCGTGGGAAGCGTCATTTCATCAGCCTCACAGTACTCATCACACCAGTGCGAAAGTCTTGCTAGCCTGTCCCTTCATGTCGCCAAATCATCGTGGAACCACACACTCACTCCGACCCGTCGAGGGTCGCACAGTTATCTAGGGTAAACCATAACTAGGGTATGGTTACCGGAACCTTTAACCCAGTATGGGCCACATTGATCTTTGATGCTCTCCAGGTGCCCGAAATAGCTTTTAGTCTTCAGCGGCGATGGCGTTGGGAAGGAAGTAATTCCTAATACAGGCGATAGAGCTACGTTCACCCCCATGATACTTGAGTGCAACGCTGGCTTCTGACTATCAAATAAAGATGGTACGCTTGAATAATGATTTGAATCACGCATCTGAAAGAAATTATTACATCACGGCCTCGTTAACATATTCAGTTTCACCATAATCAACCGCAGCCTTTGATAGATTTCTTTCATCATCGTCACTTTACCTGCCGACGGTGCCAGATATTCCTGCGTGTAGACTTGGATTCGATGGACTGTCCGTTGCAAGCATGCCAAGCGACGATGCAAAATTCGCTTCACGAATGCAAACTTCTCCTCAGACGGCACACAGAAACCACCAATTATTAACGGGCACGCGTCGAGCTGCGCCCTAAGTGGCACACTACTCACGTTGAATCGTCGATTGTGGTTTGTGACCCCAGTGTCAGCTCTGTAGCCCTGAGATAGCGTCCCGAAGTACTCGGGAAACAGCCTTTCTACCACATCGTTCTCGGCTGACGTGATTGTGTCAAGGGCGACAAGCAGGTTATCAATACTGAACATTATCACCATGAGGAAGTTCATCCTTGTCTGAGAGCATCCTCGGCATTGAAGTATTGTTTCAGTCAACTGCTGCAGTACCTTTTGACATGTTAGGATTGAGTCGATAGCAATCGTAGGGCCCGTCTGCAAAGCGCAGGCGTTTACTCTGATCAGGTCCCGAACGGTATGATCATGGCTTTGACACGGGCAGATGCTCGAAATGCTGCTGGCATTTGTCACTAATCCTTCATCGGAGAAACTGTAGTCATGTGCTCGTTTCGAAGGGTTGACCTGAGGAAAGAAACTTGATGGCTCCGGCCCACTTAGAGAGGGAAGTTGCTGTGACCAAAGAGAAGTCTCGTGCTTAGGATTTTCAGGGTAAACAGAGTTGCCTTGAGGACAGCTCTGAGAAGCATTAGCCACGGACTCGCTGTGAGTTAAGCAGCCATTGAAAGCGGGGTGGTAGCTTGAAGGTGAGGCTAAATCGAGTGCGTCTGGTGTTGAGTCTGAAAGCCGTTCCGATTGAACTGGCAGGCTATCCTGATCCGTCGATGTTCTCGTTGTCGTGTCGTCAATGCCAATATTGTTCTCGAACGGATCGACAAACGAGCAACCTTGAGTAGGGTCGGTGAACGGATTCGACATGAACTCGTGCAGCCAACTATCGGAGGCCATATCGATATCGCTGGACACTATATGACGCTCACAAGTCAGTCTAACCGTTAGTATGAAACTATTTTGAGTGGACGAACTTGAAAAGGGTGCGGCCGTGACGATGTCCATGAAAGTTGGGGTGCGCAAGCTGGCATCTCCATTCGATACGTCGTCAATGTGTCCATGGTCGAAAGTAAGGCTGTCGAATAGAGGTTTGCTCTCACCATCGACAGACTGTTCGCTAGTATCGAAGTCTGCAAGGGGTTCTTCTTTAGCCTTCTTCTTTTTCTGGCCGCGTAACCTTTTATTCGATGGCCCATCACTCCCTGCCTGACCCATAGAGGGATCAAGATTCGGGTCTCTCTTTTTAGCCGGCCTCCCCAAACGCCTCGATATGCTGTAAACACAGTCTATGTTATGTTTCTGACATCGTTTACAGGAAGGTCTTTCATGGCTGCAACGGATCTTTGCTTGTTGACACGCATTGCACGTTGAGCGAACCTTGACGCTCTTGGGCAGCTTATCAGGAGATAATTCGCTTTCCATGGATGAATTTTGAAAAGTGTCTTTTGTCGCTGGTTTATGGCACTAGCGCGAGCTTCAAACACCAACATTCACCATTTCGGCGTGGTATATATGGAAACACGCGGTCTACCGCATGGCGTATCCTTCCGTCTCAACCCCACAAGCATTCAACGCTTCTCCTAATAAGATTGCAACAAGTGCAGGTGGAGTCTGGGTAGCAATGACACTGCATTCCTTTTCCGGCTGTCCTCTCATGTTACACGAACCACGTACCACATGGTGTGCCAACAAGCCCTTAGACGTCTTTGGTGTTCGACCTGTTGCTGTTGGGAAACATGCAAGGTTTGTGCCATATTAGGTAAGGAGGCAAATGCTTATCACGGGAATTGTATCACCATTAGTGGTGCATTCTGGTGAGGTTCCTGCAGGTTCATCACCACTAGTTAGACTCAGTCTTGTACCCCATCTAGGGAGAGCAGAAGTGATCGAGGAATCAGCGCACCTGCTTCTCTACCAATCCAATACCTAAGTTAACGGCTTTGAACCATGTGGGTTACACCATGCATTGGAGTTAAATAACCCCCGGAACAACGGGACCAACGCCGTCCACCAAACTGCCAGCGGATACTAACCCCGCCTGTGCTCGCATGCACCTGTCCTACATGACAGTCTGCCGACCTCGCAGCCATCTCACATGCTGCTTCTGAGCTCCTGAAAGAGTTGTAGCCGTTGAAATTACCGGCTGAGTACAGGGCGCCGATCTCACCCACGTTGTTGTTGGGCTCGGGGTGGACACAGTGCTTGTAAACGTCCCCGTTACAGCGTCGTCATTTTCGACAAAGAAGTAATTCCCAGCCACCGGGTGTTTGAGGCCAGTAACCTTTACAAATTGCCGGAGATCGAATCCAGCCCTTGCTTCCATAGTTTTTGGGAGAATGTGCCTGAAACACCGGGGGAATATGTATTCTTCATGCTGCTCAAACATGAGATAGACATATCGATGATGCGAGCCCTGTGGAGGTTGAGGGGAAATATACTTCGCTATGTGCTCCTCGTGCTGACCCTTCCCAGGCCCACTGGGTTCTAGCCAGGGATCATCAGGATGGTGCATTCTCATGCCGGGCTGGTACCAATGGAGAATAACGGTCAGGTATTCACCATACAGAACGTCTAGATCAACAAAGACAAGCAGATAAGTTGAATTTGCTTGGAGTCCCCAACTGCTGATACGCGGCAGAGGATGCGTAGCTGGTTAAGGCTGAGTGCTGTACCCATCAATGAAGGTGGAAGCGATCCATACCTGACATTAAAATGGTATCTCCCGGGGATATCCATGGCCCATGGGGATATCGAAGTTCAAGGATTGGTAGACTGGGTGGGAGGGGGTTCAGCAGCGCGGCGAAGGCAGAACCCAGTAACAGGGACGTAAGATATATGACTTTCTGCGGGTACATGTTTACAGCTATCTTTTAAATTATGATGCTATTTGGGCCCTTCCTTGAGAGAGAAACCCATCTATATCCTGAAAAGGCGCTTGCTTTATAGGAATAGCCTATCTGCACAGTCTTTATGTGTAACTTGTGGCCTTTTTCTGTCTATCTCGGTGATTATTGGGATCTCGGCGAGTTAGGAGAGCCGATCATCCCAATCGGCAAACAAAACTAGTAACTTTAATAGAGGCCTATTTCATCTTGGTTCTGAGATTATGGTTCCTCTACAAGACCTCCATTTGACAGCGTTACTATAGACGATGCCTAGAATCGGGCAGCAAATACCTCCAATTATACCCGAAACAAAAGCATAAGTTTTGCCATTGTTGAATCTCTCAATCATTGGAGCCACCAACGCTGTACTCGCCGCGCCTAAAAAGCACCGAACGAAGTTGTTTGCTGCCATAACCGTCGCGGGCGTGCTGTAGTACAGGTCCACAAGCAACACATTCATGACATTGTATGAGGCCGTTACCGAGAATGATATTAGAATTATTAAGATGAGGGAGACGAACAATGGTGGATGAAGGTCTAGCGTAAAGCCGTAGGCTAGAATGGCAAGAGAGCAGAGGAACTGTTACTCCTGTTAGCGATTTCCATCAGAAGGATGTATATATAACACGCAATGATTAAGGGAGGAAGATAATACTGTCATTGGGGCCCCAATCTGCAACCTCGCCCGCTCAGTGGGAAATTCTTGCCTATTTGTATCTGTATCCGAGTTGTCGCTCATATTCGTAACCCGTTGGAGAAACTGATTCGCTTTCCGTCTATAATTCCAATCAACAACCACCCCGTTAAAGACGGCAGATAGCAACGACCCCAGTCCCGCCGGTAGAAAGACAAGCCCAATCCCCATATCTGAAAGACCGTAGATTCGCTTGGACTGTGTAGGAATGCCTGCTGTCACGGCATAGTAGCTCGCAAAGACGAGTCCATTTGAAAGGAGAATCAACCCCGTGGGGAGGTGGAATAGCATCCGTAGGGAGTTGAAAGGGTTGGGGAAGGCGAGGATGTGTCGCCATTTCTTTCCTCCTGCTCCTCCTTCCTGTTCTTCTTCTGCTATTGCTTCTGCACGTTGTCTCGTTGCATCCGCCTTCGTCTCAGGAAACCAACCCACCAGCCCCAGAAGGACCACACCCCCGCTCAACGCCAAAAACCAGAAGATCCCCCTCCATCCAAATCGACTTTCGCTTAAAGCCCCACCAAGAATGGGCCCAAGAGACGGCGCAAGAATATTCCCTAGCGAGGTAAATCCCATATACTTGCCCCTCTCGTCGGGCGTGATGATATCAGCCGCGACGGCAGCCGAGAGCGCAACGGTACCGCTTATTCCAGTGCTTTGCAGGGCGCGGAGAGCCAGCAGGGATGGATAAGTTTTGCAAAATGCAAGTGAGATGTTGGAGACAATGTAGAGCGTGAAGCAAAGGATGTAGGCGGGGCGGCGGCCGGAGGTGTCGGAGAGGGTGGCGGTTAGGGTTGGGGATAGGGATTGGCAGATCTTTAGGAGATTTGGTGTTTCAAGTCAGCCATATTTTGTTGGTTGGATTGGGCTGGGTGGGGCAGACCATGTAAGTCGTAATAGTGAGGTTGATTTGGGAGGGCGTGACGTTGAGATCGGAGGCCAGGCTATTCAGAGCTGGATAGTAGATGTTTGAGGAGAGAGGAGAGAAGGCTGACGCTAGGGAGGCGGCTAGGATGATGAGGCGTTTTTGGGAGGGTGTGAATGTTAGGTTGGATTTTGAAGGGGGAGATGGACGTTGTAACAAGGCTGCTGTTTCTGTCGGATGATCATCCATGGCGTCTTTGGTGGCTGGCACGAATGACGGTAATGATATTAGAGGGTGGTAGGTGTTGGTGTGTACGAGACTGGGAATATACGGGACACATTGGAGACGAGAGACTTCTATTGAATCGAACCAGTACTATGTAGCCATATGTCCGATCTATCCAATGCTTCAAACAACTAACAGTTGACCTCTGGTTTGTGACCAAGTACGTAGCCGGTCTCAGATTTTCGGGCGACTAGTGGCGTCCTCTCGCGCATCGCCCGTGTAGAGATGCGTTGGGCGAAACAATTTGCCGGATGTCACTAGTTGTCAAGCAACGAGCACATCAGAATCAACCGAGATAGCACCGTTGTATCGGGAGCGGGAACTGGGGCCGCTTGAACTCACGCATGTACTCGCGCCAGTGCGCCATGATACCAATGATTCGCTGCGCTATCATGGCTGCCGGGATCATCTCGAGCTCGATTCCACTAACGAGAAATACGGGAGTCAGTAACATGAGCCTATCTGTGTTTTGCAGACATGCAACTTGCGCAGGGAAGGGAGGGAGGGTTACCTACATGCCAGTGAAAACAAAGTTCCCATAGAAGTCCGCATTTGGGTATAGACCCCTGTTGCGGAAGTAGTCATCTGCGGATGCAGCCTGTTCAATTGCCTCGGCCAATTTGAGGAGACGTGTGGATGGTAGGTCTTGCAAAATTGATCGGATTGGGCGAACTCGTGGATCAACACCCTTATAGCAGCGGTGACCGTAGCCGAATAATTTCTTTCGTCTGTGTTTGACTTGCTCTAGAAAGGCAGGAATCCTGTCCACCGTTCCAATCTCCGCCAGGGAACGCTGACTCGACTCGGTTGCGCCGAAGTGGAGTGGTCCCCAGGCTGATGTTACAGCTGTGATGAGGCATGAAATAGGGTCTGTTAGAGAGGACGCCGTTACGAGTGCAGAGAATACAGTCAGCGCCATTCCATGATCAGCATTGAGCATGGAAAACCGACGGAAGCATGACACCTTGACAGCATCAGGGACTCCCGTTGCAGGATCCACGAGACCGGCCATGGTAAACAGATTCTCACAGTACTTTTTTTCTAATGACGGCAGGGTAAATTCAGTCTTCCGTCGGTGACTGGCGACGATTCCAAACACGACCGCGTACCCGGCAACAGTACGTAGGACAGCATGGTCGACGTTGTCCCGGTTACCCTGATACAGGTGCGCGGATGTTGACGCGGGGATTGAACGTGGTAGACAGGCTAAATACGCAGAGAGGCCCGTCAACATGAGTGCCAGTGGAGGAGTAGTGCTTCTATAGACGAGTTAGTTAGGTGCCACGTGTAGCGGAAAAGCACGTACGACATAGATTGTATTGTCTTCCGAACGCTGTCGGGCACGGCTAGCATATATTTCGCTAACTGGAAACGAATATCCTCTCTTTGGGATGCTGTCGGATATGACCCCCATACTAGCAGATATAACATGTCCTCAAAGTCGCTGTTCCATAGCTCCTCCAAACTATATCCACGGAAGAGAAGGAGTCCTCGATCATGGTCTCTAGAGCACGTTAGTCCCATTAGATGCCATATTGGTGGGTTGTAGTCATACGAGAAGCTAACAGCAGATTCGATCACCGTAGTGTTCAGCAACCCTGGGTCATGCACCCTGAGTCCGCTTGAAGCCTGATCAGCTCGGTTCGTACCTACTGCAGGCGCCTTTATTTTCTTGAGTTCGGTGGCTGCAACAGCGTTCCGTCGTATTGGTATCTCATATTTTATGTCAGTTCGCGAGTCCCTGACATATAGGGTCCCCGAAGACATTGTTCTGTGATGGTCAGATCAGGGTTTCTGGTGGGAAGCTGGTTGAGCCGGGAGATGCTAATCTCTTGTATGTATACGCTGCCATCGAAAATAGTCTCGGTGAGTACGAATCGAGGCTGAGTCCGCAAAACTCTGTTTTACTCTAAGGAATGGAATCGTAAGCTTCCCTTACACAGATAAGGGGCTGAGCTCATAATATCGTGTTTGTATCTCTCCGACAGCAGGCGGTGGTTTTCGTCTTGTCTCACCGAACACCCATGTGCGAATATAGTTGCGAGAATCACTCCGCATCGTGTCATTGGAACCTTGGCGGGCGAAATAAGGTGCCTGGATAGATCTCCGGGAAGCGATGCGATGTCCGAGCCCCGATCTCAGTATGGAATATTCAGGTAACCACTCCATTATCGTATTTCATGGGGGATGTACATATCGAGGATAAGCGATCCACTCGATTCTGCTAGCAAAATGCGGGTGAACATTCGTAGAGTTTCCTCCTGCCCGAATTGCTCCTCACATGAGCACTTTCCTATTTCGTCCGGGAGCCCTTCGTGCCTTCCGCTGTCATCCATGATGCCTGTAGGTTCGCAAGGCAAGAGTAACCGACCTCAATGGCTCCTTCCTTCTCTAGTAGGCGATAGTCGCGCTTTCCCGCTGAGTAGGCGTTCGTTGTTGGAAAGAGCTATTGGAGTCGTGCCTTCCTATATCACCGTAGTCTACTATGGTAGGAGCGGCTAGCCTCAACGATGGCTCTTTCCTTCATGGAATCCATGGGGCCGAAATTTTCCAGATCGGGGGAGTCATTGGACCTTCCAATGTGTAGGTCGGGTATAATGTTCGTAGCCCGTTTGGGCCGTTTCTAAGCCAAGACTAATTCAAGAGACGGGTATTTTATGGATGTTGATAGGTGCCCTCAGTATTACAGGGAAATGGGAGGGATGAGAAATGGAAATCCAGGATCCATTGTACTTGCGGAGGCTTAGTTCCAGAGGACGAGGCCAGATGATAGGGTCAAGAAAGGGACCAAAGGAGTATCCATTCGTATTTTGCTATACTATCGTGTCAAATACTTTGCGTGTCGTTCCATTCATAACTCGTCTCCAAATTTTCGTCACGCCCTGTCGCTTACTGGGGCATGTGCTCGAAGGGCTTGGCCAGGTGCTCCGCACAGAAGGGGAGCTTGCTGACGGTCCAGATCTCCGTGTCCTATTTGTATGCGGATTAGTGGTGCTATTTTGGCGGCGATTCGGGGATTGTTTGGTAGACAACATACAGGCTTCAGGTTCTTCTTGATCTCAGTGTCCAAGGTACCAGCCTTGAGAGCAATAATTGGGGGAGCAGCTTCGGGGTCGTGGGCAATGGGAGAACCGCACTCAGAGCAGAAGATGCGGTGGACAGGCTGGCCAGAGGAACCGTTCTTTGCGAAGCTCTTGGTTGGGCCCTTAATGGTCAAGGAATCCTTGGGGACGACGGTGACAAGGGCTGCAAGAAGTTAGAATTTATCCTCCAGCTATTAGATGTTTATTAGTGGATTTGCATCGCATACAGTAGGTTGAACCGCTCTGGCGCTGGCAGTCATCGCAGTGATCGTAGGCCGTGATGAGGGGCTGGTCAACCGCGGCGGAGTAGGTGACAGCACCACAAAGACAGTGACCAGTCAAAGGCATTATGACGTTCTAAAAATGGATAAACTCGTTGATTTTCTGTGAAGAAATTCGAGACGGGATGGGCGTCTGATTGGACGAGAGGCAGAGGATAGCGATCAAGGTGCTCACGGATTGGGGACCCTTGAGAAGACGCGCTGAGGGAAGTGGTATTTATAACCGCCGGTGAGCGACATTCTGAGTTCTTTGAGTGATCCAGTATTCCACGGTCCAGCGACTGCTGTCCGCCGTCCGAGCGACCGGGGAGCACAGAGCTAAGCACAGAATTTGTCATGACGGAGGAGTGCGAAGTGGGTGGAACAAGGTGAGGGGTTGGCAGCAGTTGCGTCACAGTCAATCACAGCAACACTAGGAGTCTCCTACCATCTTCATGGATTCTTATCAATTCTCACATCAATTGCACTTCTGAATAGCCTTACGCCCTATGAAATACTCTACATCATCTCAATTCGACTTCTTCTTTCTCAGGTTGCGACGCCTTCTTCTGACGAGCTCCCGCGATGCGAGCATGCTATGGAGGGGCAGAGGGGCAACCCCAGCCCCCATGAACGAACCTATTCTCCATCAAGCCCAGACGCTCGGTGCAGTCCATCCTCAATTCGAACCAATCAGCCCTGGCACCGAATACATCCGGTGCAGCTGCCAGCTGCTATCTCAAATCATGCCCCCGCTGCAAGTATTTGTCACCGTCAGGGCCAACGAATCGTCGAATACCGCATACAGGACTGGAGGGATTTCTTGATAATCACCAGCGGTGGGTCCGCAGATCTGCTTTTTATGCGAACGACCCACGTCAACACTGGAGGGAATAAATATACGAGGCCTTTTACGTTTCTCGAAGATTTGCACCAAAAGGTATAGCATGCAACTCGCGACTGTCAGCCCACCTGCTCAACCACGAAAACCTCAAACCATGTGGCCCTCAACGACTCTGGCATCGCCCAAACCTTAATGCAGCGTGATAAGGTGCCGCTGTCGTTCAAAGGGAGAATTTCAAATCAGATATTTCGGGAATGCCGATGGCACAGTCTGATTGGATATTTATTTTGCCAGACACCGGCCTTTGAATACCGAAGTCATTTATAGGAAACAACATGCACCTCCAAAGAATGACTGTGCAGCCTCCCAATCATGGTCGGCCGAGTGGTCCGTCTTAGACAGCCACTAAACCATTGATTTATCCCGGGCAAGTCGATCCCGGCATTTCCCCGGCTGCAAACAATGTCAATTGTTACCAATCTGACAGCTTTCGTGGCACGGACTGCGGACGGATAAGCTACGCGTATGCGTATTCGCATCTCTCAAGTACCGACAGACCGCGAATGAGCTAGCTATCACGTCTTGCATGCCCCAGCTTGTCCGCCGCACTCTTTTCACAGTTAGCACAATCCATATCGGTGAACAGGGTGACTGGGGCTCGATGACACCCCACCGTTCTACCCACCTGCATCTGGGCCGCCATCCCACCTCTCGGATTTTGTCCGCCGTAGATCATCGACTCTTCGTGCTGGGCGTCCCTCGCATCATCTTTTGTCACAAATGCTTCTGGTGCATTCGCCGATACTGGAGGAAGTCCGAGTGCTTCATTTCTATCTGCAATTGACCTAACCTGCGCGGCAACGGATCCCGCGGTTGGAGGCTTGTTGAAAGCGCGACCCTGTAGAGATTAATCAATGCCATTGCTACCAGCCCCGACAACCTGGAAACACAAACCTCGAGCTCCTGAAGCTCCCGAGCGTCTTCCTGCGTAATCTGATTTTGGGGTTTGTGGGCGAGTTCATCAAGCTTCTCATCAAAGTTCATCTGTCGCATCGCCATACGTTGGGCGGTCGCAGCAGGCCCTCCCTGGATCGGACCACCGCCAGTCAATTCGCTTTCTATCTGGCCGATCACCGAAACATCTTCCGGGGTGATGCGCTGGCCGCTTTCAACGGCGCGCTTGAGCTCGTCGATGGAAGGTAGATCAGAGGACATAATGGGGTAGAAACTTTTATATTTTTGTGGATGTTAGGTGAGGGTTAGTTTGGGGGTTCTACGTAGCTTTCTATATATCTGGCTCGCCACGGTGATGTCAGTATAGCCTAAGATGGGATGTAGATGACATCGCCCTCAGCCAACCATGACACTGGTTCGATTGTAGGGATTATACATCGAAAGTCGAATACGGGATCGATGGATTACTAGAATTGGTAAAACATGAAGAGTGTTTGCATATTTTCACAGCTGAGTGATGGAATGTCGTTTTAGGTACGGCTACAGAATGTCAGCAACCCGTCTTCCGCTGCACTGTCCACAACACAACAGCACGTTCAGTACCCAGGTACTACCTTAGCACAAACCACCTGAATGTACGTACGTTGATCAAGACTTCGAGCCATCGTGTGCCTGAGTCGCAGGAAAGCAACGAACCCACGCCCCTTTACGGGCTAGCCTGGACCGCTGTGCGTCGACTCCTAGAGTTATCCATGTAACACAAACAATATGCGAACCCAACAACCATGGATTCATTTAGGATGCGTATGAGCGGATACAGACGGCCCAAGTAGTGCAGACGCCCTGCAACCCTAAACAAGGCGAGATGGGTTGTCTCCTAGGTCTTTCGCTTCTCCTCGGGTACTGGTCACAGCAGAAGGTACCAGAACGGCCTATCGAAGAAACCTTCCAATGTCACTGTCGGCATCATGTCACCAGAGGTAAAGTAACTTTGGATGCCGGCTGTCATACTGTAGCATCAGTGGGAGCTTTGGGGTCAGGATAGAACAGGTTTTTGCATGTATATCCTCGTCGTTTTGGGCTCGCCTTGCTTCGTCATCGTGCGAGGCCAGATCGACGCGTGCAAGCCTGCCTATCTGTGTTACATATCTCGGCCGCATATGAGTCTGGCCAGCGGAAGGCGTGGGTCCTCGTGCTAAGTTGATAGGGAGGGAGGTGAACCTGATAAACAAGGCCGACATGCTTTGCTGGGATAGGTTGAGCACAAGAGAGGTATGCTGTCACGTAGGAGACATGCCGTCATATCGCCAGTCTGGTCACGATTTCCAGACGTACTTGCACACTCCATCAGTAGAGTATCTGCGAGGCGAACGTCTGCATATATAGTGTGCCCACGAGCAGAGCTATACCCAGGTATGGTCGTCGCGGCGTATTCGGCTTATTCGAGACGAGGAGTAACGGCCTCGCAGCCTGCCCAAGACTGAATACCCCCTTCAGACTTATAAGTTAGGAATACTAGCGAAAGAAAAAGGCCCCGGTGACAAACAGGCCCGGTCCATACCGGTCAATTCTCCAGAGTCCCTGTATAGCAGCCGGTACCGCCCCGGCTATCCCAACCCGCAGGGAAATGCTTCACCTTGGCCTCATGTCATCAATTTGTGGAGCTGAGGTATTGCCCTTCCTTGGGCTGGGCCTTTGACGAGGTATGATGTTGGACTGTAGTAGGTAACGATCGGTGTGGTTGTACCGGGAGAGGATGGACTCCAATGCGCACTGTACAGGGACTTCTCGTCCAAAGTACCTGTGGTTATTGGGTAATCACCAACACTATATGAGATTAGAGCAAGGCGATCAATTACCCATCCTCTAGACCGTGAGAAAAAAACTTGACGAATCATTCAAGGAGCCATGAAGCCATTGTGAGTGAGCTGCCGACGACGGCCATATTCGGGGTGATGGCGGCATCTGCAAGGCAGTTAGCCGCGACGTTACAGTTTCCAGTTTAACAGGCAAATCACAAAAGACGGAAAATTAAACGAACAGTGTGGTCGGACCTGCTGGTGTTGCTCGTGGCTATCAAAAGCTTAGGTTGTTGTTGACAGGTCTTTAATTTCAGCTCAAGCTGATGTCGTCCACACGTATTCACTCACGCACCAGCTCTACCTTTTGCTAGTGAATTAACACAGCAACTGAAACTGCCAGTATTCACAAACAGGTTATGTCCCGGAGATACAATTAACCCATATCTCCGGACCAGTGAGAGTACTATCTGTGCCTGAAGCTTCTGGGTCTTCGAGATGGAGGAGCCTGAGAGTCCTCATTCGTAAGCTCTACCTTAAGAATCGCCGTTCACTGCACACACTGGAGGGTTTATTCACCAGGATGCTTACCATTCGGGGCCTCTTAAATGCTAATGACTCGCAACCGAGCAGATCCACTTCGCGGAGAAACAAGAGAGCTTGTACTGAGTGCCGCCAGCAGAAGGTATGAATTGACCCTCATCACTCCGATGACGAACGCTCTTGTGGGGATGTCCTTCTCATTGCTATGCTAATATTGGCTTTGAGTTAGGCCCGGTGCGATGCCTTCAAGAAACAGCCCTGTAGTCGATGTGAGAAACTCGAGTTACGATGCGTCATGTCAGAAGGATTTCGCAGGGAACACAAACGGCAGTGCGTATATATAACTCGAAACAAGGGCTTGACAGACCATAACATTGAAATAGGAAGTACGAGGAGCTGGAGAAAGAAACCGACAAGCTAAGAAAGCAGCTGTCCGCACAAGCATCGACCAGTCTACGCCACCAAATCCAGGAAATCCCTGCAATGATGTTACCCAATCCCGCGGACGGTGGCTCCAGGCGTCTCGGAGCGGTACCAGGCCTGGGGGATGACGATAATAGCCTTGGATATGCTACCTATGCAGCGGCCAACGGCTCGCAGTTTTTGCTTTCCGACGCTGGCCCTGATGTGCTTCCTCATCTTGCCGCTGCCACGCTGGATAACTCTGCCGGCCATAGTTCAAAGCTCGCTGACTTGGTACCGGGGTCTATGTATAAGAACACTGTTACTGGACAGGCTAGACTACAGCCTCTGCAGCCCCCTGTCGGGATGGGCCCGGTGGTGTCAACCAAGAAGCATCTTGCTCTGGCTGGGGTTGACCCGAACCGTACGTTGCCTCGTACTATTTCAGGCGTGAGCTTGAGCGGAGATGAAGTGGATGAGATATTCGATCTGTGAGGTATCCCTTCAGTTGATGGCTGAGCACCCATTGACAATTTCCAGTTTCTACCGCCAGTATGCACATTTCATACCGGTGCTGGACACAAAAAGAACACCGAACCACACATACGAACAATCAGACTTCCTATTCTGGGCTATAATCGGAACTGGCTCGAGAACATGCGCTAAGAACCCGACTATCTTCCCTGCCCTTGCCAAGCCTATCATAGACCTGGCCTTTCGTTCACCCTTGTCAGACTGTGGACCATGGAATATCGTACAGGGCCTACTTATCGTTCTGAACTGGCCGTTTCCCAAGGACGATAATGGAATTGACGTTATATTCCCCTTGGCTGGGCTGCTTTTGCACGTGGCCATGCAGTATGGTATGCACAATCCAGTCTCTTGCCACGAGTTTTACAAGACAAGGCATCAGCTTCCATCGGCGGTTGACATTACCCATCGTTCGGAACTATGGGCATACACCATAATAACATATCAGCGGTAAGTAATACCGGCCGTACAATGATTTCGGCTTTGCTAAGTAGAGCAGTGCATGCCTGATGAAAGGACAGCCCCCTCGCTCTCTACCAGACCTCACCCAAGACATTAGCCAACGCAAGGTCCTATACCAGAACATGTCTCCCCACGTTCGGATCCGCCTAAAGGCCCAGGAAATCGTCACGCAATGCGGTACAGCCGTAAACGAATACGGAGTTCTTAATCTAGCTGCAGCAGAAGAGCGCGGACTCGATCTTCTTCTGAAGGCGTACGAACAGCGTGTTTGTGATCTGCACATTGATGCACCGACGTGTAAGCCACCCACCAGGACTTGTTGCTCGCTATTAGCCCCGGCACTGACGGCTCAGCAATGGTCCGGTTTGACGTCCTCGTGGCTAGTCTTAGCGTCCAGGGAATGCACTTCTTGAAAAACATTACGCTATACGCCGACAACTGTCTAAGAAAACTCCAGACCGCGGCCTGTGCGGTAATCGACGCCATCCAAATAATGGCTCACGAGCTCGAGTCTCTAGCCGTTTGCCCCTCTCAAGTCTGGTTTGGCCTCCTCCTCGCTGGCTCGATTCTGCTTCGCATGATTAAGGGTCACGATACCGACATCGTGGACTTTGGGAAAGCGAGGGAGTACTTCATGAAGTCGTTGAACTTGACGAAACTCATGATCGTATCCAACAGCGACATGCCAACGAGGATAGTTAGCTGTTTAAGCCAGCTATACAACAGCAACAAGGCCTTTCGAAAACCGGATGGGAGTATTATGGTTGGGCTAAGGATTCGCAGTCGGCTTGCTCTGGATCCGATTATCGATACGATGTGGTGGTGGAAGGAGGAATATGAGCCGGCCATGGCCAGTGCGTCTCACTACTACCGTTGCGTTGCATCGATTTTATTATTAACATGTTTATAGTCCCCGAGGAAAGCAGCGAAACTGTTTCCGCTGGCATTGAGTCTGTGGACCTCTACAATGACCAGTTCTGGACAGACCTTGAGTGGGCACTTAACATCCCTGATTAGCGGATACTATCCCGACTCCAACCGCGCGCTATGCTATGGCTACAGATTATTTGCGATTGGGGATTTTTGACTATCTTTGTCGATATCCGTTGGTGTTGGGGTTGGTGCCATCATCTTCGGTTTGCGAATCTGTTCTAATTTTAGGACGAATGTTCGATTTCCTGCTTTTGAGGGTTGGGTCTTTGGCTAATTTGGATTGAGCTAACCGTTCTGATTCAGTTCAATTGGTTCGTCCATGTCTGGGAGATAGGATACGTGGACGGTGTTGGACGGAATTTACCGCGCGAAGGTAGAGCTAGAATTGGCCCGGCCCATCCGTTTTGTACAGACGATAGATGAAAGCACCGACAATACTATTTCTTCTTCCACCTTGACCGAGACAAGAGGATGGAATTGCTGGAGAAATCACTGCCGCAACAACCGAGACCATGTAACGTTGCTATCTCGCCAGCGCCAACTGATATCAACCAACCAGCTAGTGCTACTACTAACACCAACACCAGTAGGCCAGTGCTTAGCCGGGGTAAGCACCTAGTTTTCACTAGGGCCATTATCAGTGCCCGGGCACGCAGATATTCATTCGCTAATGACTCGGATTTCCCGCTAAGGTACTGGCTAGATTGGCACCAAACCTCTTCTTGGTTGACACGGGATACAAACACCCTGGTTGCCTCCACTATAGTCGGTTAAGAGTGTCTTGGGGGATTGGCATGAGCTTCGCATCTAGCTTATCGAGGACAAGCACGTGGACCCATCGAATATAGTACTGTTTCAACGATTTGATCGTCTGTGCTCGCGCCTGATAAACAACCAACGAATTAGAGTCTATCCCCTCGCCACAGCGTGCCACAATACCCCCATCCTTACCGCTTGAAGCTGGTATGTTTTGCGGGGTTGCGGATATTGTCGGAGACGGAGGTTTGTACGTGGTCTTCTTAGGTCAAGAGGAACTGGATCTGTCCTGTGCTACTGTGACTAACCAGTGGGCCGCGTTGTTGGTTTCACTTTGGCCATGGTCTGTTGGTTCGTGGTTGGGCGCGATTGGGGCAGAGAGGTTTCTAGCGATGGACTAGGTATTAGGTCTAGACGGTGGCGCGCGTGATGTTATCAGAGAGCTAGACGGAGTGGTATCGGTTGTTTCAGTGCTCTGGCCATGATAAAGGCGCAAGCGAATGCTACCCCAGTAAGGCCGATATGAAGTGTTGCTGGATTAGGAAGGTGAGGACATTTACTTCATCAGTTCACTTATAACACCCCCTGTCTTCTCTCCTTCATCAATTCCCCATCCTCCATCTTGAATCTGCACTGCATCCATTGAGCTATCTAGGATTGATCTATTGCTACAATGGAGGAGAAATATCCACCCTCTGTCCGCGTTACTTCGACTGAAGACTCACTGAAGGACTCTGGTGCTGTCTCTGGAGACGGTGCTACCCTCAGCAACACCGTCCATCAACTAAGACTCATCAAGAAGCATCACCATTGGGACCCCAATCTCCCCGATGACCTTGCTGATGAGATTGACGATGCCTTACACACCAATAACGAGGGCACTCGCCAGGAAATAGCTCACAGTCTGCTCGAGAACTCCCCCTACCCTGAAGTGCGCGCTGCTGTTCCGAACACCGATGAAGGCGGACACTCCAATACTTTTCGTGCCTGGGCCATCGGTCTCTTGCTCGCAACAATTGGATCGGCCCTCAACAGCCTGTTTTCTATGCGCCAGCCCTATATTATTATCCCATCCTACGTTGCTCAGGTCGTTGCCTATCCTATTGGCTTGGCTTGGGCAAAGGTCATGCCGAACAGAACTTACAACTTATTCGGAGTCAAGTTCAGTCTCAACCCGGGACCTTATACTAAGAAGGAACATGCTATCTCCGTTATCATGGCCAATGCCACGTTTGGCGGCGGTGCGGCCTATGCTACCGATATCCTGCTTGCGCAGCGCGCCTTCTACAAGCAACGCTTTGACTGGGTCTTTGAGATCTTCATGTGCATATCGACTCAGATGTTGGGCTTTGGCATGGCCGGGTTCTTCCATCGGTTCCTAGTCACCCCTGCAGCAATGATCTGGCCGTCGACACTCATCAACACTTCCCTTTTCACGGCCCTCCACGACCGCAGCAGACCCGACCCTGCCAAAGTATCGGGCTGGAGGATTGGCAAGTACAGAATGTTTCTGTACTGCATGATCGGATCGTTTGTGTGGTACTGGTTTCCTGGGTATATCGCACCATTCCTTAGCGTCTTCGCTTGGGTAACTTGGATCAAGCCGCAGAACGTGGTCATTAATCAATTGTTCGGAGGTTGGACTGGGCTATCACTGATTCCAATGACTTTTGACTGGACCCAGGTTTCGGGGTTCAATTTCAGCCCTCTGATCGTGCCCTGGCATGGTATTGCGAATACACTAATTTCGTTGGTGATATTCTTTTGGATTGTCACTCCTGCTATGCATTACACCGGTATCAACTATTACAAGTACCTGCCTATTAGCGATTCCAGCAGCTACGACAACACTGGTCAGGTCTACAATGTTTCTCGAATCCTTACTCCAGATATGACTCTGGATCTGGCTAAATATGAAAATTACTCTCCCCTCTTCCTGTCCACCACCTTCACCCTCTGCTATGGTCTGTCCTTTGCCACAATCATTGCCGTTATTGTGCATGCCGTGCTGTTCCACGGAAAGGATATTTGGGCCCGGTTTCGCCGAATTGGCCAGGAAGAGGAAGACGTGCATGGACGCTTGATGGCTAGGTTCAAGCCGGTTCCATTGTGGTGGTATGGTGTTATAACACTTATCATGATCGGAATTGCACTCGGGGTCAGCCAGGGATATCCAACGCATCTTACCTGGTGGGCCTTTTTCATCTCACTGATCATGGCGGCAATCTGGTTTATACCCTGTGGGATTATCCAGGCGTCAACAAATATCCAAATTGGACTCAATGTGATTACCGAGTTTGTGATCGGCTACATGCAACCCGGCAGACCAATGGCAATGATGCTGTTCAAGACATACGGCTACATCAGCATGTACCAAGGACTTTTCTTCTGTCAGGACATGAAGCTCGGGCATTATATGAAGATCCCGCCCCGGGTGACATTTGCTGCTCAAATGGTATCCTGCTTATGGTCCTCCATTGTGCAGATTTGCGTTATGAACTGGGCACTAGGCTCTATTTCGAATGTCTGCGAGTTAGATCAAGCGAACCGCTACACCTGCCCCAATGGCCGCGTTTTCTTCAACGCGTCTATAATCTGGGGCACAATCGGACCTGCCCGCATGTTCTCCCCTGGCCAGATGTACTCGGGTCTCATGTGGTTCTGGCTCGCAGGGTTTGCGCTACCGGTTGTCATTTACGTTGCCGCGCACCTTTCAAGGAACACCAGATATGGAAGCTACGTACGTCTTCTTAATGCTCCTATTATCTTCGGTGGAACAGCACTCCTTCCCCCTGCTACCCCACTGAACTACCTTTCTTGGGGCATTGTAGGGTTCATTTTCAACAAGTATATTCGCGACCGCTGGCGGGGGTGGTGGATGCAGTACAACTATGTTTTATCGGCAGGGCTAGACGTTGGATTGGCACTGTGCACGATCCTCATTTTCCTCACGCTCAACCTGACCAAAACGGAATTTCCCAGTTGGTGGGGGACCAACATCGCCGCTGATACCATGGACGCTGCGGGCACGGCGGTGCAAGTTACGGGTGTGAAGTTTGGGCCTGAGAAGTGGTAGCCATTTACTCATGTACTTACTTTTATGATGCTTGAATTGAGGGGGATATGGCTATGATGGAATTAATCTGGGCGTACTAATCAATTGATCAAACCCAACCCGCGAAGAGTAACCTCATTACATCTATTAAGAAACCCCAACACATCCTCTTTACCATGCCAGACATCATTATACGCCGCACTAAGAGTGACCCTGCCCTTCCAGGTCCCCAAGAATAGACCCAGCCCAGTCCCCAATTCCTCACCCGTAACCCACGGATCCTCAACTTCAAGCTCCCCATACCTGTGCCTAATCACCTTGTCAAGAACACCAAGACTGGATATAGACACAGAGGGTGTCTCATTCCGGGCCGGGACAGACTGAGTCTTCCCATCATCCGGGTACGGAATCGTTCCCATTTTCCAATATGACGGGACGAGGAAGATATGATCCTTATCATCGCGGATATCGAGGTAGAAGGTCCGGATTATAGAAGCGACATCTGTGTACTCTTTCCTCTCTCTGCCGTTGGAATTAGAATTAGAATCAGAATCATCCATGGCAGTCCTTGCTCCTACTGCTGGGACAGTTAAATCCACAGCCAACCCCTTCCCCGAGACAGAATGATATACCGAAGCCGGATGAGATGAAGTGCTATACGGCTCAACGCAGCTCCCCCGCTCATTGATAAGACTATAGTTGAGATACCGCACTTGGCGCTCCTTGTCACTTTTCTCCTGCATATCCCGCACAACGAGTGGGATAGAAGCGTGGTATGCGTGTGTAATACTGAGCCCTAACCCGCGACAGGCGGCGAGGACCTGTGTCGATTGTTCCTGTGACAGTGTGATTGCGACGCGCTGGTGCTTTCCCGGGCCATGATTTTGCCTTTTGAATGGAACACTGGCGAGTTCGATGTTTTGCTGCTGGAGACTGGTGTTGTATGACTGGACGTCGGCCAGCCTTTGCTTATGTGCTGGATCTGGCGATGGCGGGATTTGGGCTGCGGTGCGGAGGGGCGGACTTAGGTTTTTATGTTCGTTGCCGAACTGGGGAGGCTTGTATCGAGATCCAGGTGTGTCCTGGTCTTGGTATGCTTGGGCTGCATGGGCTAAGAGGTTATGGAAGAGGAGCAGTGTGCCCATTCCATCGATGATGTCGTGGTGGGAGCGAAGGACTAGATCTCCCCCAATCTTCCCATCCGGAAGGCCAGTTCTGATGAAGAATAGTGTTGGAAAGGCCGGAACAGGAGGGTCTGAGTTACACCATTCCAGCCCTGAAATCCCGCCATCAACGATAACGAATGTCTCGTCTAGCCAGTCTTGGAGTGTATACGATGGAGAGAAAGTCTCGTAGACCTTTTTGCATTTCCCCTGGTGCTCGTCGTGCACTACACGAGAGGCAATTGTGGGGTGGTCGTAGCGCAGCTGCGTCCAGGCTTTTTGAAGGGCTGATTCGAGGTTCTTCTCTGCTGTGTCTCTGGGTGTGGATGCGTGGATGGGAATAGATAGTGAGATGAAGCCCGTCATGGCGAAGAAAGTCCGGCCTGTCCCTTCGTAGGCTTTGGCTAGGGAGGTATAAAATTGCTCGGCTTCATCGATGTCTCGTTCCCAGCGGCCAGGGAAGGTTGATGTCCAGGTGAAGTTGAGGGTGTGTGCCATTTTGTCTTTTTCTTGTGAATTGGGATGGGCATTTACTGGGATTTAGAGTCTTTAAGTATCTCTTCACGGTGGTCGGTCCGCACAGCCGGTCTATGGCAATGCTGTTGATGTTCGTCGGGGAAACCTCGGCAGTGGGCTCCTTGCCCTCATTGGGAAGGTCGTTACACCGGGTTTCTGTGGGATGATGTCAGGATACTGTTTAAAGGTAGGACAGGGATCTATTCTGTTTGTTATAGTTTGCATAACTCTGGGGTAGTTCATATATCGATCATAAAAAAACACGAGCAGTATTAGGCCGTTTGAATTACGTATAACAATATGTATTGCCACACATGCACCAACATCCCAACAATACACTAAATTTACAAGGGGCCACTCAGGGAAGCTTCAAGCCTTTGCAAGGCAGGTACGAATAGCACATATTTGATGGCATCTATCTAATGTGCTGGTGCTGGTGCTGGTATAGACGAGTTCGTACCTCGCTTGGGGCCCGAAACGCTGGTGCTGGTGGTTGATTGACATAGAAAGCTTGGTTTGAGCTTCAGTATTAGCCTATGCTGTCGGAGTCCGGGAACTGGTGCCGACATTTATCAGGAAGAATACGAATTAAAGGCCATCGATGGCGAGATTCATGTAGCTGATCCTGATGTCGATTGCTATTCCGACTGCTTGTACCCATTCGGCACGGAGCACAATGGGCTTGACGGTGTCATCTTGCGGTGAAACGGCCACCATTATTCCCAATTCCACTGCAATGAAATAAATTGAAAGAGCGCTGATCGTCTTCAGCCAAGCCAGCCGTGCCTGTCTGAGATAGAGTCTGCCGCCAATTGATCCGTGACGCTTCCGGAAAGGAAGAAATTAACATGAAACAGCGTGAAACAGCGACATTTCCCACCAGCCCACTCCCTCTATATAACAGCCCAGCTTCTCACCACCTGTTCCTGGATGCGAGGAAAACCAAGAAACCCAAGAAAAAGCTAAGCCATGAGATCCATCGCGTACCTCCCCCTTCTCTCCGCCTCGGCCTCGGCCGGCACTGTTCTCTGGAGCGGCCTGTTGAACGAGAGTTACACCGTCGCGGATTTCGATAAATGTACTTCTCTTTCTCCTTGATATTCAACATCTGCAATACTAACCAAACCAGGGTCCTGGGCCTCCCAACTCCCCCCATACCAATGGTACATCCACGGCTCGGGCGAGACCGCGGACTACCTCGACGTCTCGCCAGACTACCAGAACCCCAATTCAACCCTTGAGCAGGCCCAGGGTGTGAAGATCACCATCGACGATACATCCAGCTGGAACGGCCAGACGATGATGCGCTCGGAGCTGATCCCGCAGGTCGAAAGCGGCACGGATCTCGGCTCTGGAAAGCTGTTCTACCACTTTTCCCTGAGCGTCAAGGAGGAGAACTTCCCCGTCAAGGGCCTGGAGCACCAGGTGGCATTTTTCGAGGTATTCCCTTCTCCTTTAAACTTCCCTTTCCCCGCCTAAGTTACAGAGCACACTAATAATCGAATAGAGCCACTTCACCGAACTCAAGTACGGAAACTCAGACTCCGAGCTCGCCTGGTACGCCGGCGGCTCCTCGCAGTGGACGACACCCCTCGAGGCCGGTGTGTGGTACAACTTTGCGTACGGGATTGACTTTGACGCCGGCACGGTTTCCCTGTACACTTCGACTGGCGCGGAGGACTTGAAGCAGGTTGGCGAGGCTGTCAGCGCGAGCACGGAGACGAACTCCCAGGACTGGCACGTTGGGCAGTTGAGGCTGGATAACGGGGAGTCGGGGGGTGCCGAGGACTGGTTCTGGAGTGGAGTTTATGTTGAGGAGGGGGATATTACGCTTGCTGTTTAGATCTAGGATGGGGATGTATATATTCAGTTGCTGTGCGATTGTAAATATAAATGGCTTCCTTATACCATCCATTGCCCGATGCCTCGCGAAGTGCACCTCATTCTCAATATCCTCAATAGCCATATCCCTGGTCTCCGGAATCCACAACGTCGTCAGCGCATTGAGGACCATGATCCCCGCAGCCCCATCATTTCCGTTGCAGTGCCGATGGCGGTGTTACGAAGGGTAACCCATGGTGTTGGGCCATCAGCATAGCCGATCTGCTCTAGGATGACGCTTTAGTTGAGGTTAATGCCATAGTAGGCAATGCCACTACACAGAGAGATGCCATGGTTAGCTTCAACAGGGCCTCCAACATCTCAGGCTATACTAACAAGAGGAACCAAGACGCCGAGGTCGCAAACAGGACCTTTGCATGTCTCCATTCACTGAAGTAGACAGCAAAGTCCTTGATCTGCTCCCTCAGGCCTCGTTTGTCCGCGCTTTCGACATTCGTCTCCGAGAATACGTCTGGAATGGTTAGATTCACGCATGCGCTTCTCCGAATAGCGATAGATGGTTGCGGAGGAAGGTCTGGACACGCTGGGTCCAGCTCCGTGTCGCGGCGACAAGATCAATATCATCATCCTCCTGGATTTCAGGTCAGCAGTGGTGGTCCAGCAGGCAGGGTATTAGAATAAAAGGGACGAAAGGTGCTTACATCAATCAGTCTCACGCTGATAGCTTCTGGTGCTCTGGCGTCCCTTCCCTTTTCCACGGCCTGGGGCGGGCAATACAGACTGTTTAACTCCGGGCAGGGACTTCTCTTCCACCTTGTGACGGACTGGTGGTGGATATGGTGGGGATGGCTCATCATAATCTTCGGGTGACACTTCGCGGCTCTGGCGGGCTGATAGTGTATCTGTAGTATCCACGCCGGGAGCCCCCATATCAGACTACTGGTTCTCGTCCGTGGGCTGCTCCATGTGTTCAGTCTCCTTGGCCTGTTGGCGTTGTTTCTTCTCCCGTTCAAGCCGCTTCTTGCGCTTGCGCGGACTTTCGCTGGGGCCGGACCTCCAGGCTGTCGGGCGTGGGGAGATCGGTCGATGGACTCATGACTACTCCAGGACAACACCGCAGATTAGCATGGACAGCACTGGCTCGGCGCCGGGCTGGGGGGAGACAGGTCAAGCAGGCTTACTGGTGTTCAAGATATCGTGGCAGCTGGATGAGGTCGGTGGCGGTTTCGCAGGCAAGCAGGGTACGGCAGGATCGATACTGATGCTGATGGGCCCTAGCAGTCTATATAATAGTGCCGTTGTCTGTGAGGTGTTTAGCCCTTCCTCGCTTATACCAACGACATTCTCAATGTTGGATGATAGGGGTTGGCCCGGGACTGTACCGTAGTATCTGGGTTGGGTGAAGTTTCTTCCTAAGAGTCCTGGCACGCTTTTCCTCGTTGGCTTCCATATTCCTTTACTGAGGTTGTACTGGGGAAGAGGGTCGGTTTACCCAGGTCCGTGAATGCGTGGAATACCGTGCTGAGTGTGCTGGGGACTATTTGAGGGTGAAGACTATCGCCAGTGCCATACGCTTCAGAGAGTAACCTCAGTCGCCGAATGGCAAGATCCCTTCGCCATCACCAATACTTTCGATGTGCGTAGGTTATTTGGTTGAGCGCGTTGATATGCTCGCTGATCGAGAGATTGGGCTCAATGGAAGTAGCAAGGGACAATTTGCAATCCTTTGGTGATTTAGGCCAGTCTCAGCTCCCATAATACCGCAAGCTATTGGCAAATCCTGGATTCTAGACAGAGCTCTTTAGGCGTATAATGGGTTTCTGCATGTGTCAGAGCACCGGGGAATCGTTGAAGGTAGGGCTTTGGATATGCGTAAGGAAAGCAGTGCCACATATATGTGCCTAGACTGCTATTTAAAGCATTATCGCTAATCAAGTTGTACCTAGCTATGGCTTCTGCAAGGTTTTGCGATGCCAATTGATAAGAGATTGGGTGACGACGGACTGATTTGTGAAGAACCGGCCTTCTAAAGAGGACGGCAAGCCAGAACAGAATGTTTCCATATCCGGTCATCGTGGATGCCAGTAGGTCAAAGTTTCAAGAGTACCATTAAAGGGGCTTAGGAATGTCGATTTGAAGGCCGAGACTATCATGCCGGCCAGTCTGCTTCTTTGGTTGTTTTGATGCCATTGGTATAGACTTGAACTTTTCGTCGTAGAAGCAGTCACAACGGCGTGATGGCGAGATCTTGGAGATGTTCCCGAGTTTCTGCTTCTTTCGTCTCTTGCTCAGCTATGAGAGAATGTCCAGGCGGGAGGGGAGTGGAGGGAGCAAATTAAATCCACACGAAGTACAGCAGGTGCTGGGACACTACAGACTATTCACATCTCAGTACACATCCACATATGTTCGTTCTCCATGCATGCAGGTAAGAAAGGCATGTCCACCCGATTGAAAGTAATGACGGTAGTGATTCCAGGGTGAAGTGGCCGCAGACAATCAGCAGGGGCAGCACAGCGAGGAGATAACTATAGCCAAACAATAAGGCACTCTGTCTGATTCCGACAGGATGTAGATTGCCGAGTCTGCGTTCTCGGGAGCAGAGCAGGAGAGAGGTAGTCAGGATACCAATATATATCGCAGGCGGTCGGCCTTTCGAAAAGCCGTAGGCATTGAGAGATGCTTAGTAGCTGGTCTGGATCATTCATGTAGACCGTGGGATGCGAAATGGAGCACTCTATCAAACCTCTGGGTTTCATATATAAAGAGAGATAGGGACCGCAAATGTATGCCATTAACGCTTCCTCGTGCCGCAGACCTGGTAGGGTACTTGAGCACTTTCACAGTTTGGGTAGGATTCGTACTGGTATCCGATTTATCTCCCCAGTGTGCTATCCCCTTCATCCAGCAAACCTTCCTGACTGGTGGTACAAAATTAGCCAGTGTGACTGTGGATTAGAGGGTTGACCGACTCGAAACATTCCCAACTGGGTCCAAGACACGGTAGAGTGCATGCTTACAACCCAGGTACAGACAGGCCGCATTCAATATACTGGGTATTGGAAGGAGCCCTTGCGTCTGGGCGGGAATTCAGGGAGGGTGATGTTGTTGAAGACTAGAGTATACCGAGGAAGGTTGGTGTCTTGTCCCTAGGGCTGAGGACTTGGGCAGGTGATTATAAGGTAACAGCAGTGCTGAATGGTTGCTGGAATTGCATTGCTATAATACGGAATGTTCAGACATGTTCGCTGGTGATACGAAACCCTTATTGGAATAGCCCGCTGCTTTACGGGACAGCAGAGACATGATGGACCGCGCATGGCGTGATGCACTGCATATATCCCTAAGGGAGAAGTTGGCACATAACGGGTCGATTTGTGCTGCCATATCCCCCTTTTCGGACGTTCTCCTGAGTGTTGGCCAAGTTCTTCAGTTCTTCCCACTCTGCTTGGGCCCCGGCCATCAATTTCTCAGCTTGTTCAGCTCGCTTTTGTCGGCTGGATAATTCCTTTTGTAACTGCCGTTCGGAGGGAGTCAGCGCTCTGCTTATGATCTATATGAAATTTTCCAACTGTCATACCTGTTCCCAGCTCAGTCAATATTACCGCTCGTTTGCTGCCTTTGATTATTCCAACTCTGTATGGTCCAATCCATTTCGGAGATAACTTCTTGCCTTTTACTCGTTCTCGCCTGGAATCCCATAGTTTTCGGCCGTCGCTGCTGTATCTTGTCGACTGGCATACTCATTTGGTTCCTCAACCCGTTCTTTGTGGTTACCGATCCGTTCCAATATCGCTCGCTACCTGTAGCCCTATAAAAGAACCGTGTTTATCTCGTGGCAGGTATGCCCTCGCCGCCACAGCTCAAAGCACAAACAGCAACGGTATAATGCCCAAGATGGGTCCGGTATGCTGCCCAAAGACTCGGAGATAGAGCATTCCTGCAAAGGGTCGTCTCCAGATAGCAGCAGAAGACTGATATTGTCGGCGGCGTCTGGCTGTATTTTGCACAGCTGTACTCTGGCTCACTAATCTGGTTAGTAGCTGAATTGGTTTATGGGGATTCTATTAAGCCTATCATCCAACTTCTCAAGACCTGTAGGTTTTCCAGTACGATATTGCTCGCTGCAAGCAATGGGGTATTCGAGAACAACCTGCTGCTCTTGAGCTTGGTCGTGCCACGAGAATCCAATTAATGCAGGCAAGAAGCCGCAAGACTGGGGTAGATGTGCGCAGCCTGTGCTCTATAGAGATTCCAACAGGGAACCACAGTCGGCTTCCTCTCCCGGTCTGTGGTGAGAGAAGACGAAAAGCACCCGACCCGACCCTGATTTAGGGAATGGCTAGTCTTGTGAATCCGACAGCTGTCATCACTTAACTCTGCTGCGTGTGCCTGGAGGGAAATACTCTCCAAGGCCTAGCTGGCAAGTAGAGTTGGAAATTTACCAACCCTCTTTTACACCCCCTAGTAAATATTTGGATGTCGAACACGGAGACAGAAGGGGCCGGTCTCTACGGGCTCTGACGATGCTTTGTTTTGGCACGGCCAAGCAAAATACAAGAGAAGGCCACAACAATGTTGCCATAGTGTCTGCCTTCAGAGTGGAACGCAGACAGGACTTTGCGTCATCCGGGATATGAAAAGCATATGTACGAGGGATGAGCCACTTCATATGATCACCGCTGCCTGCCCTCACGGCATACCTGGGTAATATAGTCCGGCGTCTGTGACTTGAACAAAGTATTCTCGCAAGCCCGGAGCACAGGTCAAGGACGTTCCAAAGAGCGTATGGTGTAATGCAAGACTTCTACTCTAAGGACTTTGTATCCGTAGGTACGTACCGCAGAGGCTCAACGCAGAAACAGCCTGCAGAAGACAGCGGTTGATTACCGCATATGAAGGTTGCGCGATTATCGGAAGGCAGATATAGATCAGACCAGCCATAGAACAGAGAGCAGCCACTGGAAATGGACTGGAACATCAAAGACGAGCAGGGGCAACCATATAAGGTCCTTCCTGCCAATTGATAATGCGCATTGCGAATTTCCTGTCCTCGCGGTCCGTGGCACCGGGAACCATAATTATCATCGCGAGCACAGGCATATCACCGTCTTCAGGTCGTGCGACGCAGCCCAGAAAGGTGCTCGAGCTCTGGAAGTATCAACAGCCTTGCCTTTGGACGAGGCCTCCATGAATATGAGTGCATAACCACCCTCTTGATGTATGCCTTAAGCTTCCCTACGATTGGCCTTCTCCTGTGGTCAAATGCCCAATCCGGCTCGGGGACGACAGGGGGATTCGCATAGCGCACGTCCTGGGCCATGAAAGCAAGACCGAACCTGTTGGACTCCATATTGAGATGCGCTAACGCTTCGACACCGTCCATCCCGTTCTCCGGATGTCATCCTACAGCCCAGGTGGTCCAATACCGGGCAGTATATCACCTGCTGCTCTGACTCTGCGAAGGCGGCAAACCGTCTAAAGTGACCGACTGTGGCTGGTGTAGCAACTCCAAAGATGCAGCTTTGTTGTAAACACTGTATTATTTGTCAACTATGCGTGAGGAAGGCAGCGGAATACAGCAACCGCGGCGTTTGCGTAATCTCGAGCATTTTAACGATCCAGCAGCATTCCAAGTACCAACAGGAGTATATTTTTTAGGTGAGGATGTCCCACGGGACCGATCAAGGCCAATTGCAGGCTTATAGCCAGGAAAGGCTGAACGCGTTCACAGCAAGCATCAGCGGTTCCGTACCTGATCAATTTTTCCTCATAGTCCGCAAGGCCGCAGGGTTGAACACCACATCCGTGCTTCAGGAACCACTTACTTACTGCCCCGTCATAAAGGCGAGTAGTTGGCTTGTGAGTAGATATCGGCTGGTGTTTCGCACTGCTGGTCATAAGGTATATAGGATATTGATCACAATAGGTCGTCCACAATTGAAACGCCACCGCACCGATTTCCAAACAGAGTCAATGCATGCTTTGCCTCTTGTATAAATCTTGGCTAGTCAAACTCCTAGACAACGCCAAATTTAACTGGGTCCGGTGGGAATCCTGGAGTGTTGCAGCTCTCGCAGCTCATCGTGTGCATTTCCGTGTTTTTATCTCCATCACCAATACGATAACCATCATAACATGCCGTCCCTACGCAGCTCGGGCGATAGCTGTGAGGGCCGGTACCATTTAGAGTATATGCACCCGGATGTCTCCGACATGCTACTCGCGGTACGGTCGACGTAATCGTCAAAGGCTAGGGCGATATAAAAAGGCATCGTCCTACATCAATTAGTATATGAAATCTTATACAAGCAAGAATACTTACTGGTTTTTTGGTGGGTGCTCGTGAGTGCACCGGCGTCCATTGAGCCCTCTAGTCACACTTATTACTGAACCGATGTAAACCCAATGGGGAAGCTGTGCGGCGCATTGAGATTTCTCAGATATGAGCTTGAGGTAAACTCCCATATCATTAGTCGTATCCCAAGGGAGGGATGCAAGCTCTTCAAATGTAGGACTATCTATCTGGTCAAGCAACTCAACTACCGGCGGAGCAGTGTGAGAGAGTATAAGCTCCACGAGCTCATCATTGTCACGATCCTGAAAGAACTGGTCCCAACGGTCGTGTCTCGGAAGTTTCTGGAGTGATTCCAGAGTCATCCCCAGTCTAGTTGCAAATGTCAGACAGGACTCTAGGCTCCGAGTTGGACGCGCGTCAATACGATAGAGACAACGCGAGTGTTGGCCATCGCTTGTCACGTCTTTTGGATTGACAGGTTGGGCTCACTCAAACGAGACCCGGGGTGACATTCCTTCAGTTTGCCTATGTAGCTAGGGCTGAAGTAATGTGAAAAGGCTCCGGGATATTAATGCGATAGCAGTCTGTTGATTTATCGCACATAAGCCTTCTTATCGGCTCTGTCCTCTCGGAATGAGTTCCTTCTTCAGCTTGAGGGTTCCATGCTGTCGGGAGGTCCTCTGTCCATTGAAAGACGGTTTTATCGCGCACATTGATGGTATCTGGCCACCGGGACAAAACATGGAATAATGTGGCCTGCTTCCCAGACTGTTCCTGTATCTCTTCACGGCATCATATTCTCTGGATTGTGTTCTTATACCCACTTTCGAGGTACCGCTGCTACGTGACTTGCTACGCTCTGAGTAGGCCCTAGCCCAACCAGCCGAAGTCCCGAATCTCTACTCTTGCTGGAAGTATATAAGGCATAGTATGAGCAGAGATGCTGTACATACCAAGTATTCAACTGGACAGACACTCCAGTCCCGGATCAGATCTGATGGGCAGGGGCGACCAAACAGCCCTGAATGCAGAACCGAGCTGGATTCGGGTTGGCAGAACTCGAAGTCGATCGCCCGCAGTACGTACCACCCAGCTTCCTGTTTCTTCTCGGACCATACATTTGAGAAGTGCTATGGCGATACATGCCAGATAAATAGCAACTTAGGTGACTTGATCTCACCGGGAAGAGATATTGGCAAATACTAGACCACCGAGTATTTAAATGACAGCATCACAGATATCCTTCGGAATATCTGCACTCCACCGGGGCCCTAGTGCATAGGACCTTGCCCATGATTGAAATGAGACTGGATGCCAGGGCAGGTCCATTTTGAGGATCGGGGGAATAGAATGCTATCCTATGCAAAGGGTGACAAGCCATTTCAAGCAGATCGGTAATGGCCCAGGTCTCATACCGATGTGTGGAATGACCGCGAAGAGTCTCTCAAAGGATGTTGCGAAGAGCATGGGTAACGGGCAATGGCATTACATCAGACTGGAGGATCCCGCTGGTGGCCGCTATCGACTGGGACAACTTGCCTCTTATGTAAACTCCTTGCCGGCATAAGCTTGAGATGTCCAGCACATCTGAAGCAGCGGTGAAACACTCAATATATTAATCATGACGTTACAGAGTCTCAAGTGCGGGCTCTTCTGGCTCAACCAAGGTGGGCTGATTGGCCTTAGACTTCTATCTCTCACGCCTAGAAAGCGGCAGGAAAGGCCTTCCTTGTGGCCATGCTTGTGAAACGTGTATTTGTTTCGAGCAGTGATGTTGCTCTTGAGATAGCTGGCACATGTACAAGAGCCGCCGGCTCGGTGGCTTTCATTTTCAGTACCAGATAGCATGTTGCCGGTTAGCCCTCAACCCACAGGTTGAGGATATCCACTGACTGACGGCGGTGGGTTGTCTTCAAATGATAGCCGGGGCAACGGAATATGTCTGTTAAGCTGCTGCGAGGCGGGTGGAAGAACAGCCAGTTCTGGGGTGGTTAATGAGAAATCATTAACCTTCATCCTGGAACAGTAACGAGTCATTTGCTGCAAACTGCTGTCATGGGACAAGGAATCAATAGCAACAGCAGGGCAGTGGATACTGGCTGCTCCAACTGTCTCTGCCTATGTATAGGTGGAATGGCAATGTCTCGGGACATCCAATGCTGGGAATGTCCATTGAACGGCTCTGTAGTTTACAGGCATATATCATCCCGAGCACGCCTCCATACATTCCTGAACGACGAAGGGATTAAAGATCTGATATCGATATGCATCTCAGGATGGCTATGTCGTTGAGAACACAACAAGGCAAGTCTTGATTTATTGACATGTTCTGTACTCTAAACAGTGGTGTCAGAACGGTACTCTGTCTTGATATGCGCAACGCCTGACAGCGAGGGTGGGTCTATGGGCCGTTTAAACGCCCGGAATGTGATGTAGCGGTAGAATCTCAGCACCTAGCGCAGGGGCAGGTATATTCACTCCCTCATAGATGTGAGACTTCGCCTCCGCAGAAAGTCGGCCGCTGCATAGTTATAATTTGGGCCAGCGACAGCATATACTATCTAAAGCTGGCATCTAACAGAGCTGGATTAGTGGTGATTAAGCCAGAAACGCAACACAAGCCCGCACTTACAATTGCCGAGACGACGTTTGGTGTTCAGCAGATTGAAAACGTCCCAGTAAGTAGAATGACCGAGCAACTGATCAAACATGCGTGTGACAAAGCCTGTTGGATCTGGGGCTAGACATGTGCCATAGGCTCCACCATATTACCTTGTGTGCCCTAGCAGCGCCATTGTCTGCTGGGGCTTTAACTGTTCAAATGGGGGTTTCCGCAGTGGATATTTGGCTCCTCCAGCTGCAGTGCGGTGGCCAGCCCCATATATTATTTGCAGGAGTCCCTTAGTGTGTCGGAAGACTTCTAGGTCGAGTATGGCTGATGCAAAATGACATTCATTCGTTCTTCTGTTTCCGCCAGCCATATTGTCGTTGTTTTCATTATTGGGACGTCAAGTATGCTGAGCCGAGCAGTTCAGAAAGGCCTTCGTCACTAGGATCATCTATATCAGAGAGCTGTTGGCGAATGCTATGAAAGATCGGAGTTGTAATACTAGCAATATCGGGTATATTAGGGCAGTCCACAATATTACCTGGCCGTCCAAGTCGCGCAGAACACCCACAAGTATGACTGGAGTTGCGCAGTGTGTCCTATGCTCACGAAGTAGATCTCCAGATCCTGATCAAAGCTCTGTCAACCACGATGCGCTGCTAGGCACTTCGCGCACATTTCAGGGGTTTATTCACCAGTAGGTTGTCGCTTCAACCCACGCCGAAGATTGAACACATCCGCAGCCATGTAGAGGTCGATGTCTGTTACTGCGAGGGCCTCGATATGCTTTCTATCAGGGCTCCGTGTGCCTTTCTTTCGGCGTTTACTGCGTTTCAGGGCAGAGTAACAATGCAAAGATAGTGTGGGAAAGCCGCAGCCATGAGTAGTACTCCAGGACGACTCAACTCAATACCAGCTCTATACTGCTCCCAGTATTCTCTGACCCCAGTAACGATGTCGGGTTGGGACCATGAGGTGGTAATAATACCCGCCAGCTCATGTCTGGGTGGCGTGGCTATAATAGGTTCGGCCACTGTACCGGTCCAGTCATTGTCCGGGTAACTTTCATCAAGATTAGTGTTAAAGATAACTCCAAGTACTTGGCCGGGATACAGCTCGAAAGTTTCCGCGTCCGCCGCCATGGGAAGCTCCAGAAACATAAGATAGCGGCGGTTGTCAGCATTAGGTATCGTCATGCATCGAAGAGACAGGACTTAGTCCTCAAGAGCCTGAACCAAGCATTTACAGTGCTCCTGTTCATATATAATACCATACCCCATAATGGTCTGGTACTCACTCTATATACGGAAGCTATGTTTGACCTGTCAGCTGGTACTAGGACAATTCTCGGGTGAAAGATATTCACCGACCTAGAGAATATGTTTCTGGGGGTGTTTATTGTACCAGGCATCAAGAGGATTACAGCCGCGCTTCTGCTGCAGATACTCGCCCAGGAGGGTAATTAACAAGCTAGGGCTTGAGGCTAGTAGATAGAACGTCAACTGCTGCTGCTGCAGTTGCGGCTCTGACATATTGGTAATTGCATGACGTCCTGACGCACGGCAGCGTTACCAGCAGGCTGAGCTATATTCCTGGAGGTGTTTCGAATGGGATAATTCCACCGGGTACTGCAGCACTGGGAGCACAGTAACAATAAAGGAGAGATATGCACGGAGTGCCCCATGCCAGTACCTGACCATCGAAGGGGTTCCTGCAGGACCCGAGAAAATCAGACACCCGTCCTACAGGCAGGTCAACAAGGGACGGTCATCAGGTTCCGCAATGTCTTTGCAGCATTCCTTGAACGGGGCACGTCCTGGAGTGGTTTTGGCATTAACGATGTATCTGCGAAGCAGAAATTGGGCATCTCGTAGGGTAGGTTAGTGACACCCCCAACCATCATGTAGATACTCAAGGCGGTTCACCTCCGCTGCCCTTCTTCCGGTAACGGCATGTTCAAGATGCTACAACACTCCGAAGCTGCAGAACGGGACAGACCTGAGAACCGGCGCGAGGATCCACCGTCGTTCGCGGGTGGACAGGGTCTGATCACTTGTCCAAGGGGACAGACCGGAAGAACAGAATTGTGACAATGAGGAAGTCGATGATAGTCCGGAGTTGGGGGAACATGACCAATGTCATAGCTTTGAAATAGACACCACAACCCTGGCATATTGCTGATAGTTTGGCACTCCTAAACCAGAGTGCACCGTAGAGCTCGGGGAAATTCCCCACGCCAAAACCTTGCCATCCAATGGGTTGCGTGGAGAACCCCCCAGGTCAGTATTCCTGGGTGCCTGTCTTGATTATCGTTGAGTGGGCCATACATCTCCGCTTCCAATTCAGTCGTTACAGAAGGGATGACTGCGAGCTCGCGGAAACGAGCCAGGCACCCATAATACTTCTCTGGGTTATGGTAAGCTAGGTGATCTTCCGCCATAAAAGGGCGTTTTGCGACAAAAATGTTGTCGTTTCGCTTGTGCCCTAATCCACAGAAAGCCCTAATTGTGAGGCAGGTAGTCTCCATCTTCGACAGTGGCAGACCAGAGAGCCACTGACGGCGGTATAGCTCCGCTGGTCTCGATTATCTCGTAAGGCTCTTGGACATTTGCTGCCCGAGTCGAACCAGAATCTTAGCGGTCGAAGCTTGGTCCCAGCGTACCATTATAGCCCATTCTGGCAGCATTTATTCGGCGGAGGTGGATTTATTGTCAACGGGGACCATCCCCAGTTCTCAGCACTTAGAAGAGCTGTAAAATGGCAGCTGCAGTGTCTATAACCATTAGATATCGCGGCTGATATACTTCCTTTCCAGGACGGAAGGCCAGACTCCATGGCCGACGCAGTAGTCCACATTTGGTCTTTGAACCAGAGCCCAGGACACAGTAGCCATTTCTGAATCAGCTACTACAACGAAATCAGTCTTCTCGCCAACCGAAGTCCTCTGTGTTTGTGCGATGTTAGGTTGTATTGGGCTACAACTAGCTAGTGGAAGCTGAAACGGGAGTCCAGATCGTTACCCCAGTAAAGTGTGTTAACTACCAGCCTTACCACACAGCACCTCACAATTTCGATGTGCCCGTACTAGGGTATCATGAGCTCGCAGCTTTCGCTTCTGACGCGGCGCATTTCCCGCAGTCTTGCGCTGGGTCTTGCCATATCGCAACGCGTTCCTCTTTCTACTTGCAGTCATGAGTGCTTTGGCTCAAGGGCTCAAAGGGTTCGCAGTGATGTCTTTCGTTCTTGAACTAGAAAGTCCCATCACTGAGGAAGAACAGTCCCCTGTGTATCCGATTCGTAAATCACATTGGCGAGTTTCTCGAGTATCCAGGCACATATATGACACACCGAAGATCGGTGATTTCAGAGTCCGTATTCGCAAGCCCTGCTTCAATACCAGAACCATGCCAAATTTTGCTTTGCGGTGAGCCACTCTCGCACCGTGCATTCTGACTTGCACTGCGAATGATTGTTCGTATCTGTACGAGCAAGTCTAGAAGTGTGGCAGTGACGGCAACAGCACAAGGACAGGAATTAGTCCATCCCGCTGTCTGCGAAGTCAATAAAATCCCACATAATAGATTATTAACGGGCTGATGACATTTCTCGTTTGGCTTCTCTACCGTCAGCGGCTTTCACAACAGTGAGGGTGCTGTCGTGCTGAGACTTAGGGCTTTGTTTTGAACGCCAATTCCAGACATATGGTGCAACTTGCGTTGCAGTGTACAGAAGCCTTTAGTGAACCCGTCGAGCATTGCCCTCGCTGATCAGGGAACCGAGTGAAATGTATGGCGACGGACCACGACACACGGTGACCCTTATTCCCCGTCCTTAAAGAACGTCATCTATATTCATGGGTGTGTTGGTGCCAGTCCGATGAGTCCGGGCAGCAGAGCATCAGAGTCACGCAGGTTTTGCAATGACCGTTAACGTCTCCGAAAACGTGACTCCCAAGTCCCTGAATATATGGCCGGCTGAACCTTTCCCTGCCATCCATCTGTACTCGTTCGAGCACAAAACGGCACTGTTGGGCATGTGGGTGGCCGCAGATCCCCCTTTGCCGACTTTTGTTTTCGTGTGGTAGCCACGAGCGAGGTGGAATATAAAACAACAGACTGGTGTAGCTGACACCAATTAGTTCGGATTTAATTGAGACACACAGTGGGAGTGTCGGGATGGCCGACGAGGCCGAAGAACAAGGATGCGAAGGCGCCGGAGCAAACACAGCAACCCATGGACAGCATGATATGAGGGTGCAACCTGGACCAGAGGAGTCACGGGCAGGAGCACGGGAAATAGCATTGCCATTTGGTACATCGTAGTTTTCAGACGTTCAGTTGATATTCTCCATGATTTGTTTGCCGTCGAGTACACCTCAACCGCCTTGTACTCGCCTGCGCTGCATGCCCTCCTGGTATGTGTGTGGGTGGTGTCGATACTCATGTGTCCATTTGGCCAATATGTTCAGTTGAATAAACATTTCATATCAAAACTGGTGCACTTCGTCTCAGGGATGAATCTTAGAGAGCCGAGGAATGGCGAGAAAAGCCGATGATGTGACATGGGATGCTGTGATGGCAATCCCTGCTGCGAGCTTCCTGTCCAAAGTGACAAGGCGAATTTGACATCCCAATTGTGGTGTCTAAAGCCTATAAGGCCTAGTTGCAACTTGGTCAACCCCATATTGGGTACAGGGGTATGGCTCTGCTTCCAACGGCCTTCACTTCTCCTAGAAACGCCATTGAACTATCATACTCGTCGTAATCGCTCGCACTGGCAAGTAGAATCTCGAGGATCTGGTTTTCTGTCTAAAGAGATATATTCCGCACTCTTCTCGTCTGCTTCTCCCAGTGGTATTGGAAGAAATTGTTCAATCCGATTCCTGAATGTCTTTCTACTGCACTCAGCAGATGGACGCCAATTATATTTGAAGGCCTGCGAAGATTGCAAGTTGGCACTCATTCTTGAGTACTCCTAGATCCCTGGTCCCTCCCAGGTATGACTTTTTGTTTCTCCATCACCAATACTGATATTCTGCCCTCTAGGTAGTTTGAGTCGGCGCAGGAATAGTTTGGCGAAGTCAATGACAAGAGGGCCACTCTGCCCTCCGATGTGCGATGCCAGAATCATCACTATACGCCCATTCTTCGGAGGCCCAGCTTCTTTCCGTTTGAACAGATGTCTAGGAGACATCAATGCGAGTCTTGTTAGCTCAGGCGGGCCTGTGGGATGTGTACCCACGCACAATATCAAAATCTTGATTGCGTGTAGAAATGGGTTTCTATACGTATCTGCCGGTGTGGTCTCCATTTGCTAAGCAATATGGATTGCATTATTCATGGTGAATGCCCAGGTCCTTGGCCATGGAGGATTTAATACAACCTTCCTTCTCTTTCTCAGCCAAACCGCAGTCTCTGATGAACAGAGAACGAACACCACCCAGGCCCTTTCTTTTTGCGAAGTAGTGATTGGATCTGGTAAGTGATCCCACACATATCCAGCCCTTGTTACCTGGGTCGTGGTAAATTGACCCATAGCTTGCCATCATAGATATGTTGATTAAAAGGTCCATGATGTTAGGGTAGTTTCGATGGTTAGCCCGCAGCATTGTGCACAGATAGCTCGCCTCCTGTAGGCGTCCCATTACAGATCACCTTAAGGGCGCACCCTCTCCGGGGAGTCTGCTCGTCGATTCTGTTGCTTGACTGGGGTCGTCAGTCGCAGTCTCCCCCCATCCTAAGCGGCGTGCGAATGCAGATTGTGGCGTCCACCCTAACCAGCCCACAAAATCGAACCGATGCCTTCCGAAAAGACTGCTTACAACGAGACAATCATCATTGTGTTGTCATTAATGCACTAGAAATTGCCTTCTGTAACTATAATAGCCAACATGAAGACATTTCCCGCCTTGAAGCTGCCCATATATGCTGGTTAGGGTATAGTAACCAAACCACACCACAATGCGACAGTTGTAACATTCCCTAGAAGCTATCCAAACTGGCAGTGCGTTATCTTCGGCAGTTGAGGGTCGCATTGATCTCCACTTGCTTTCCTGACAGACATTCTCGACTGCTTGGTCGTCATTGTCACAATATGGAAGCGAGAGGTCATTGCATTCAACCTTCTGCCACCTGCGCATTCAACCAGTTCAGGAGTTCTCCTGGGGCCCGTGTCCAGCGTAGTCATCGACGTCAATGCCAGTTCTGATATCCTGCTCCTGCTCCTTAGAAAGGACCACGAGGTTCGGTATGACAGGCTATTTACCGCGTATCCATGAGAATCGAGCAGGTTGCCTCGCGAGCCTCTTGAATACCACAGATGAGCCGTTGTAGATATTGGAGTATAGTGGCTAGGCCTTTATCTTCGGGAACGGGTATCGATTGAAATGGCAGTCGGCGCAGTGCCCGAAGTCCCATCTCCATCCCTTTAAGCAAAGGAGCAATACGTTGACATTGTGTAGATCTGCCACGCAGGGGATTTGCCTGCAGAGTCGTTGAGCCACAATGAATGGTGACGATGCACCTTTCACTGGGTTCCGAGTAGGTCAACCCTCATTGACAAGGAACCAGTTGTTCCTTGAAGACTTGACTCCTGCAAAGCCATCGGATGCAGTCTGTGGTGCTGTATCGCAACCATATCTGCCATTATTTGTGACTGGTGAGCCCTTTGATCGAGCTTCAGCCGCCCGCCCACACATTCGAAGTCGACAGGCGCGAGCTTAGACTATGCATGGCGACATTGCAATTTCGAGGGCCTAGTGTCCGTTTCAGTTTTGTTCCCAAATGACTAGCCACAGGGAGCCGAGCACCGCCGGATTTCCCTAGAGAGGCTGATATTAGCAAGACCAATAGGGATAAAGGCAGGACAGACAGGGATAACCACTTACTCCGAGCACAGGGAGGTCTAATCCTGCAACCCTCAGGTTGCTTGTACGGAACATTTCGCTCCACTTCCAGCCCACACATAATTGCTGCAAGAACCAGACCAGACTGCACTCCGACGATATTCTGGACCGACTATATAACTTATAAACGCCCTACCGGTCTGACAATGAGTACAGGCTTCACTATCGGATAAAGCTTCGCCCCGAAGATGCAAGGCATAGCCACCTTCTTGATGGGGGGTCCGCGGATCCTTGACGACAGGTCTTCCCTTATGATCTAATAACCAATCTGGATCTCTAATGACTGGGGAGAGCAGAATAGCAGCCAATCCAGAAGCTGATTCAATAAGACCAATTCTGTCAGCCTCCATGTCAAGAAGGGCTGGGAAGATAGACTTACAAATACTTGACGAGGCCGGCTCTTCGGCAGGCTCTTGGACACGAGGAGGAACGACCACAGACACGGTCTGTTTCTTTTTCTGGGGAGATGGAGTCTTCTGGGAGTGTTTTCCGACCTCCTTCGTTCGCCTCGAAATCCGCTGGGTGGCAAAGTGCTGGCCTGGGGAATCTCCCCAGCTTTGTGGAATAATCCCCATGCCTTGATGATACTAGAAGTGGTACCTGCAGTATGTGGTGGTTCTATCTACCTAGGGCACCAGGTTAAGCATCTGTTGGAATTATCCATGCGATGACGGTTGGGTTCAGGACAAACATTGTGGTCTCTGGTTTGAGATGACAGTCGACATTGTACCAATATTTGACCACCAGGTGTGGTGGAGGGAGCCCATTCGAACTATCTTGCTGGCATGAGACAGACGCCAGCATCATATCTATGTCTTCATCTTTCTCAGTCTCGGAATCTGCCATTACCCACGAAGCCGCCTCCTTCGGAAGCCCAGGCACGACTCAGTACAATGAAGCCGTCTCGTTATTGATGCTGGGGGCTAGTGATAGGGGCCAAATGACAGAAGCAACTCAAGTTGCATAAATCAATTCTGGAATCGAGCCAGACAGCTTGTTTCGGTAGGAAACTCTTTGTAAAGCCGTCCAAACACCCCAGCAAACGGGGCGCAGGGTTGGCCAATTATCAGCCCTGCCCCCCCTGTTATGATTCTGGTTTGACAGATATTTCCTCCAGCCCTCTTGGCCTCCACGACCACTGGGCTTCGGCGAATCGTTGGGTGTTGATGCGTGTACAAGCTGCACACAGCCCATTCTGCACCATGATGTAGCCATCCAACACCTCAGATAGGCTCATAAATGGTCGTCTTCCTGGGCCACCAGACAGGTCACACCGTCCTAGCAAGGTCATTTAACCGTGCTTGAATATGGCGGACAGTATCTTTCTTCGCCATGACGGTAGGGCTAGGTTTTTCACCCACAAGCCCACAATGTATGATCTGGCTGTGGAATGTGGATAACAGCACCTAGATGTCCGATAGGCTCGTTGGCAAAAGCTAGAGGTCGAGATTCAGCCAGTTCCTGTCTCAACCGCTGCTGTTCTAAAGGATGTCACAGACATGCGATTCCCGTCAAGCTGTGCAAAACTCAAGATAAACACCAACACGGCGTCAGGCCATTGCGGCGTTTTCCACAGAGTATGCAATAGCAGCACAATGTTTTCTTATCCCTTATGTGCTTCCAGGCGTATCGGTGACCTTATACAAGGCACAGTGTCACGACGATCCTTCGCGCTGCAATCATTTTCAACACGGTCCACCTCCAAAGTACGTCTGATACAGGCAGCTCCGGAGAATTGATAAAAGACTCATTGTATGCTTTTTGGAAACGAGAGACGTATAGTTCTCGATTTCCAGTGCAATGGTGCAATGCCGCTCGCCGTCGGGTTCCCAACCAACCTAGGAACAAACAGGGTACAGCCACAATACCGAGTGCAGCTGATGCCATAATATCGAGGCCATCTTGACTCCATAGAATGTCCGTATCCTGATTCATCGCGCAGCCCGTATCTCATGCATAATACTTGGCAATTATAGCAGTACACCCAGCACGGGCACGGCTGGCTACAATGGAATATCTATTCGGATGGGAAGGGGAAGCAATTGGCAATCATCGTCTGGTATATGCTCGAGTGCTTCAACTTGGGAAACCATTCTTCTGGTAGAGCACCAAGGTAGTGAGATTGGCCGGGTTCATCCGCGCTTGTCGCGTAGGAAGGAGGGCAACTCGGTGTTTTCCATGATGTTAGTATTGTCAGCAACGCCAATATCACACATCAGGCCGAACAGGTATCATACAACGAAAGACGGCCAGCTTAGTAGTCCCTTGTGCCTTGATGCGCCGAGGTCCAGCCCTAATGCGCCGTGACCGAATGAAGCACACCTGTGGGTATCCAAATAAGCGAAGCATGTCAGTTGGCTTGGACGTTTAGCTTACATGTATCTCAGAGGAGGTTTGGCAAAAAGGGCAGCCATGTAGACGTTCAACGATGATGCAGCATCTCATTACTGGCAATCAGCAAGACGCCGGTCGTTTCGTTATGTAGACGTTCTTCTCCGCCTACGTTAAGGTGCCCCTACAGTGTTGCAGCTGTCAGCTCTGGGTCATAGCAAAGGCGTATGTAAGTGCATTTATTAACTTACAGTGCTTCTTTGGGGTATTTTGGATCGCCGCAGAGAATCCCGATATAGGTGTATCGAGCCCGGCAGTATCTGTTGAGAGTTCGAGCGCCCCACCGTGTATAGTAGGTATTGGGCCTGCATGAGACAAGGGAGTACCTCTGGGCCGTCCTGGGAATGCCAGCCGTGAGAAGAGAAACCGGATCCGTCGCTAACAAAACCGCAGTCGAGCGATCAAGCCCTACTCCCTCATAGACAATGATTCCTGGTGGGAGTTGACGCATTGGCCTATGCTCAAGCCTCATCACTTGAAGATCCTTCCGATCTTCCGTATGTGATATGCTGCTGACTTCCGTAGTAAGCCCGGGTGGAACGACGGACGCAGGTAGCCCATCTGCCGACTCAAATGCCAGGGGACAGCAATTCCTCCGTAGAGGGAGCGAGGGCAGCGCGCACCTGGCGAGCGTGTTGGGCATCGACAGCCTGGTCAACAGCAGACCTTTCTTTGGAGACATCTGACAGCATATATTAGCATATTCCTCAATGAACAAGCCAGGGTTGGGGAGCAAGAGCGAAACAGGTCCCAATCCCGATGCTAAGTAGTATCAGTACAGGATATATCCAGCATACCTGACTGTACACAACAGCCAAGGAGCCTAGTCCGTAGGCTAAGGGCGTGTCGGACTACCTGACCGACGAGGTATGGGGACTTCGAAGGGTCAGGCCCGGTGGTGGATTGTATCAATCAATGCAAAGATGGCTATGTCCACCAAAAGGGCAGATCCAAGTCGGCAAACCAGATTATGTGGTAAAAAGAAAGAATACGTTGTGTTTCGACGGGGGGGAAGGGGGTATTTATACCCCAGCAGGAAAGCCCTGAAAGACGGGGTAGATAACCACTGCAGTAACAACCAGGGGTATTCATGGTGTTGTGACAAGCCGGATTACACTTAAGTCTCGCTCCAAAACGGATGCAGTGATACGTTCTAGGTTACTACTGTTGAGAACTACAGTTTAGTTAATATCTCGAAGTAGAGGGTAGAGAAGGAATCATCACTCTGCCACCCCTTCACCCCGTCTACGATGGACCTCAGCGACGAAAATGCTCTTCTTGTGCTGGGCGTCCCAGAGGAGTATTTATCTGGCCTCAAACAGACTTAATGCTTTCCTGGATTCGGCTTTTGTCCGCAAACTCAAAGATCGTTCCATCGGAGCTGCAATCAAGAGAGTCTACCTCGAAGAGCGTAGGCAACAGTCATTATTGGATTTTAAATTCAACTGCAATTTCATTAAACCCGATCGAAACCAGGCCATTGATAGTCTCGTAACATCATGGGCATTGGTTGGTTTCAAGCCCTAAGTCTCTTGTGCATTCACCAGACATCATCATATCCAAGTCACAGCAGCGGTCCATAACCAAGCCATCAACAGCTAATACCTTATACCAAGTCATAATCATAATCATAATCATAATCACACCTCCTTCACATCATCCCCCTTCACCACAACCCCATCCTCGCCAACATCCACATCCTCCGCCAGATGCATCTTCGGCAACGTCTTCGCCAGCCGCACCGGATCCCAAACACTCTCACTCCGCAAGAAAATCTCATCAATTTCCTCAAGGGAGCGGCCATTCGTCTCGGGGAAAAAGAAGTACACTGTGGGTACAATCGCCGCATTTAACACTGCAAAGATGATATAGTACCGATACGAGATCGTGTTAAACCCTACCGGCGTCACCTCGGCGAGGAGGAAATTGAACGTCCACACGGCGGCTGTGGAGACGGCGCTAATTGCTGCCCGGAGCTGTAATGGTGCCACTTCGGTTGCGTAGAGGAATGTTAGCCCGGAGTAGCCGACAGTGAAGATGAATTCGAAGACGAAGAGGAATACGACCGCCACCACCAGGGCGGCTGTGTTGTTTTCTAACGAGGTTGTTCCGGCCAGGATGGCCATGGAGGCGGACATGCCTGCGGCGCTGTAGAGCATGAGTGGGCGTCTGCCTAGTCGGTCGATTGTGAAGAAGGCGAGGAATCCGCCGAGCGGCTGGGTGAGCACCATCGAGGCAGCGAGGATGCGGGACTGCAGAGGGCTGAGACGGAGGTACTGTTCGAAGATCGTTGTCGCGTAGAATGTTATCAGGTTGATACCGCACATCTGCTGGAATGTCTGGCCTGACGCTGCGAGGACGGTGCGGTGGAAGAGACGCTGCGAGCCCATCTTGAGCATATCGCTCCATTTGCCGCAGCCGGAGAGGGCAAGAGAGCGCTCAATATCCGCCAGGGATTGTGTGATCGATGGATCATCGTTAGGAACATCAGACAAGGCAGCGAGGATATCTCGTGCGTCGTCGAGACGGCCCTGCTTGACAAGCCACCGCGGCGACTCAGGGAAGACGGTGATAAACGCCATAACTATAAGAGAAAGCACAACCTGGAACGCCAGTGGGAACCGCCACGAGACAGAGTTCCCAGTAACGAAATAAAACCCGAAATCGATCCACAGTGAGATGGCAATCCCGGCACCGATGAAAATGCCATCCGTGACAACGTGCGCGCCGCGCTTCTTCGCCTGCGATATCTCAGACTGCCACACCGGCACTGTAGCCACGTACCCTCCTGTGCCGACCCCGAGGACCACCCGGGCGACAATGAACTGGGCGAGTCCGAATGAAGTCGCCATGAGGACTGCGCCGATTATAGACACGGCAGAGGTGAAGAAGATCACTTTCCGGCGGCCGAGGAGGTCGCCCAGGTAGATGCACGATAGGGAGCCGAAGATGCCGCCGACGGTGTACAACGCCACGACCGTCCCTATATAGTGTTAGCTTATGGCCTTGTTGTTTACAGGGTTTTGAAGTACCCTGAATGGTAGAGTTATAATGCTGCTGCGCGCCTTCGGTCGTCAGCGTGTCCATCTGCGGAAATGTCTTTGCGAATGCTTCCAGCGTCAAGAGACCGCCAGTGACGCCCTGATTGTATCCATAGCATAAGAAGGCTGGGCACACGACGAGCCAGATAATCGCGCGGTTGAGCGTTGCGCCGCGCAGGCCAAAGTACGGCTGCATTTTGATATCTGATATCTGTATTTGCGGTAGAGGAAGTAAGTAGAAGTAGATGAAACAACGATCCAGTCGCCGCCAGTGCCACAATGGAACAATTGGTATAGAGTAATGTTATACAGCGAGTTATACAGGCAGAAGCTCGTAGATAACAGCTCTGCACTGGCGGCCATCGGCGGTGCCCGCCCGGCCACTGGCAGTGGCAGTGGCAGCTCAGCAAGTCCCCCACATCGCTTAGTCGAAGCGAGCTTAACGGGAGCACTGCAATTGAAATTGGGCCAGGACGCCGATCGCGGGGAACAGAGACGGTCGAAGCTTGGACGGTGGAGGAGCTGGGGAAGTTCTCCTGATTTTTGGGCACGGTCAGATCCACAGGCGTTCGGGACCGGCCGATGGAGTCAAGTACCGAGGGACAAGGGTAAGAGTTGGCTCTTGGCTTTATGACATATACTGGGGAATCTGGGGAATCGTCTTTATTCTTGGGTTGCATTGTTTGACACTGTTGACAAGCCTTCAATTGTCTTGGAAGTTGGCATCGGGGCAGCCCGCCACTATATAAATCAACGTCTCTTTACCAGGGATAACTAATACATTCTAGATAACCGAGCGACAACAATGTCACTTTCTCACTCCGAATTATCCGCGCACGAGAAACTGGCGCTGCTGGGGTTATCGTGGATCGACTTGCCCGAGACATACAGGCCCAGTCCGCACTGCAGCAGTCAGTATAGGGTTATACGGAGTAACGAGAAGGGAGAGGCATACTAGGCACGCGCCAATTGCAAAGATAATCAGATTCACACCAGTCAGGAACACCTTCCTCTTCGACTCGGTATACCGTCCTTTATTCAGGAACAGCCAGAAAATGCCGCTCATTCCGTCTGCCCACATCACCACATTAGCCACGGCCACTCAGAACAGTTTCTGGGAGACTCACAAGTAAACCAACTCGCAAACAACGCCGTAATCAAACTCAGCAGGTCGTTAAACACCGGAATCGCCTCGGCGATGATCCACGCTATCGTCCACAGCACCAGCCCGATCACCACCCACGTCCCAATCGAGCGCACACTGCGTTGGTGCATCAGGTCCGTACCGCGGAAGAGCCGGACGTAGATGTACTTGCATGCGACGTGTCCGTTTATCACGCCTGCTATCACAATCTACAAGACCATATTAGCTTTTCCAACCTAACACCGGAGGGAGAAGAGGGCGGGCTGGCGTACCGTCGGAATCGCAATTCCATACGCAATCTTCGACAACAAAGGCCCCGTGCTCCCTAGCGCCGGCGACGCAACATCGGCCCCACCATAGCGGTATATCACGATCGCGGTGACAGTATACATAGTTGTGTTTGTGCCTTGAAGCATGTACAGCGTGCGCGGGTACTCGGTGGGAACCTTCATCTCAGATATGAAACCGAAGAAGGCGACGTGGCCGGCTATACCCACATTAGTATATGTCGTTGACGTTAAGTGATAACTGGATGCTGGGACGAACCGTATGCAAAGACGATGTTCGTCACGGCGAGAAAAGCCTCGTAGAAGGCTGGACTGGTGGTGACGTCTACATGGCCGCTTCCTGGGCGCTGGACGCCGATTGCGATCATGGTGATGAGCACTGCGGCGACGATACTGGCGAATGCTGCAAATATCATGTCAGCCAATCCACCACGTTCTCTTTATCCCCATTTATGTCTTTGAATTATGGGGGGGCGTACAAGAAATGGACATCCAAGAAACCTTCCTCAGCGTCCGCGGCAAACAACAGACAAACGAGATAACCAGGCCAACAACCCCAAACACGATACTGCAAGTGCCGTGCTCGGTGAGGGTATTCATCATGACGATGAATGTAAGGATATGGCTGCCCATAATAAAAATCAGGAAGAGCAGCTGCGCGGCGCCCAGGACTTCACGCCCAAAGCGGCCCAGCATAACCTCGCCGGCGTCGGCCATGCTGTGGATGTGTGGGTATGCGAGCTTGAACTGGCCGAGGACGTAGCCGGTGTATGTAGCGACGAGGCCGAGGCCGATGATCAGGATGATGCAGCTGTAGCCAAACAAAGGTTAGCAAAGCTTGTATCAGCCATGGCGGCTTGGTGGTTGGGCTGTCCAATGGATGCGTGGCTTGGAAGGCTTGGACGGGACTTACGGGACGAGACCGAGGGTGGCCATGGCTGAGGGGAGGGACAGGATTCCCAACGAGATTGTTTCTGCGATCATGACTGTAGCAGTCAGCTTGAATTCAATACAATAGACCCGATTAAAGGTGTCGCACTCATTCCGCATTGCCTGTCATCGTCAGTGTCAGCGTCATACAATAACACAAACAACAGTCAAAAAGCGTACCACCACTCCAGCGTGCGATACTTGACCTCGCCCGTCTCCTCATTCCCAAACGGATTCTCATAGTCAGGCACGAACTCGCTATCTCTCTTCTCGGGATCCGTGTTGCGCCCGGTCGCGTCCTTCATCTCCGCGTGTGTCGCATAGCTCTGCATGGTGACTGTAGGCTGGAGAACACTGCTCGAATCTGGGGAAAACTGGAGACTGGAGACTGAAACTCCACTGCGGAGGGTCGCCTTTTATACTCCCCACAAAGTCAATGCAACAGGGCCAACACACCCACCTGAACCGGGTTCGATACACATAGCGTGGTGGATGGCGATGGACCGTGGCTCTCTTGGACGTCAGTGGCGGGCGACGATGCGACGTTGATGCGGGGTGGCTTTCGTGCAGTGGTTGCACTTTAGTCATAAATACGCAGCAATAAGCAGATTGAGTCAGTCCGCGGAGGAATAATAACAGCTAGCAATTCTATTTCTAATGGAAACTGTGTATGTCTATGGTGTTGGTCAGGCCTGCTGACGGGGGAATCATCGTATGCAACAACAGAACATAACAAGTCTAGAAAAACAACAAACCGACGAAAACAAGTCTATAATAAATGCAAATGCAATGCAATGCTGCAAGAAAGATCATAATCAGTCCATCGTGTGCAAGCACATGCGGTCGCGCAGGAACAGCTGCACGCCGGCCGCGGCGCAGTCCTCGTGCAGAGGCTCCACCATCTCATAAATCCGCGGTTTAATCACTCGTCCGCCCCCAGCGCCGCCGCCGTCGCCAGAGGTGTCTGCGTCTTCGTCGTCGTCGTGGAAGACCCCCTCGATGTGCAGGCACTGCAGCCCCTTGAACCGCGTCTTGCGTGCCTCCAGCACTGCGCTCACCTGCCGGATGAGCATCGACAGCGAGTTCTCCTTGCAGCCCTCAATGTAGAGCGACTCGATCGACGAGGGCAGGACCTCGGTCAGCGGCAGCGATGGCTCCATCTGGTACTGCACGTCGAGGAGGTTGGGCAGGCGGATGCGCAGGTCCTTGAGGACCGTAAAGTCCGCAAAGGGCCCAAACCACTCGTCGTGCGATTCGTTGAGTCCGTTGATTGTAAACGGGAGGTGTTCGCCCAGGTTATCGAGCCAGATTGTCTCGATAGTGTTCTGGCTGCGAGCCAGCGACTGGTTGAACGCGGAGGGCTGGAATCCGTCAGCCAGCAGGCGTGCGTCCGAGTGCTGGTACTTGAATGACTTGAGCGACGGGCAGGACGCGATGAGCTCGTCCATACCCTGAGCGCCATTGCTGGCAGTGAGTGTGATTTCCGAGACATGCGATCGCACATTACTGCTTTCTCTATCTGATTTCTGCTCGGACGCTTCAACTCCGGCTTTTTCAGGCCGATACTCAATCAGCGAATCTACAGACAGCCTCTGGAGCAACGGCATCTGCAGAAACGGCATAATCTGCGAGGGATAGAACGTCCCCTGGTCATCATCAGGCCCAGTGACCTGTCGGAGAGACACCTCCCTGAGCCGGTGAAAGCCCGCGCAGGCATCGAACGGCTTCTCTCGCGCCGTAGCTCGCTCGAACACGCGGTCCAGATACGGATAGCCACGCGGCTCGGTCGGTAGTGATGGGTAGACGAGCTTAAGCTGTCTAACGTTGTGCACGGACGAAAGTAGAAGTGCGAGCCAGGCCTCGTCCACGCCGGAGCGGAGGTCCGCCTCCCATTGAGAGCTCTCTGCCTCTGAATGGGCGATTGCGGCGGCCCACGCGATGAATAAGGAAAGTTCGGGCTCGGTCAGGGTGAGGTCATGACCCTGCTGGAGCTGCCAGTCACTAAAGTCGAGAGACCGGACGACCCCAGCAAGGTCCGGTCGCAGCAGGATTGCCTTCAAGAAAGACTGCACCTGCGAGCGGTTCTTCAACTCCGCTGAGCGGTAGAGAGCGCGAGGGAAGAGGCCGTTGAAGCGGCGGTTGACAAAGATGGCATTGTAGCGGTCGTTATGGGATTCAAGGTAGTCCCCGACCAGGAGCAGGATGTCGTTGTTGAGGGCGTCCATGGTGCCCATTGACTGTGAAGCCGTTGGCAGTTGTCAATAAACAATCCGGGGAGCAGCAGCTTTTAACCCACCCAGTCCACCCATCTGTCGCTGTCAATGCCGATTTTGTCATCGATATTCTGATGAGTTTTAACGATCTGCCACCGCCACGCCAATCAGCGCGAGGCAGTTCATCTCTGGGATTGAGTGTTGGGCCCACGGGTCCATCCCGGATCAAACCACGCCGCAGGAAAGACTGGCGAGATGAAGCATTTAACTGATCAGCGACAGCCTACACAGAGCACCGATTCGACTGGCATCCTGTGGCTAGCGTTTATATAACCGCTAGGTGCATAATTGTTCCCATGCGGAAGGCAAGGCGAGCAGCAGCGGGCGTTGATTCGGTGTACAAGTTGAGATCTTGAATTTTGGGTCCGGTGGGTTCGGTTTCGCCATGGTGGATCTACAGATTCTTCATCCGCAGAGAGTTGACTGTGGCGCCGAGAATGTGCCGTCCACTACACCGTCTACCTAGTATAGGGACTAGTTAGTTCCTTCAGTATACCGTGTCCAGTAGGCAGAGTATACGCTACATTAGTCCAGAGTACGTACATTAGTAACGCAGGCAATGCCCAGCGATCTACACCGTCGAAGCACTCCGGTTAAGGCGCTTCTAGCGCTTCACTTAACTCTCCGTCGGGAGTTCTCGTGGCCATTATCGTGAACTCGGGTGTCGGAATTCAGTGCCCGATCCAATATACTGAGTAGTGAGTACTATGAAGTCCGGCAGAAACAGGACGACCCGATGCGTATGTCTGCCGTCGCTGCCACCAATTTCAGCTGCTGCTTCACGATCCTGGCCTCGGCCGCCCTTCCCAGCTTCACCAGACACTCGTGGTACCCGTGCAGCGACCAGACGTTGTTCGGGTGCTGCAGTGCCCGCGGCAGCGTGTCGTCCATCCCCAGATCGGCGCTGTATACGGCCGCTGCTTCGTCCACCTTCCCTTGCTCCAGCAGCAGTGCTCCATACGCATGCCGGGTGGGCTGCATCCACCCCCAGGGCTCATCATATGGAAGCCCGTCATCCAGCTCAATCGACCGTCTCAAATGTCCAAAGGCCTGCTCGATATTGCCCCGCCGATACTCCAGCTCCCCGTCCAACATCGCCCCCGCAATCCCCAGGATATCCACACAGGTATTGTTGAACAACATCCTACTCCGCGGCACCCTCTCCACGCTCTCCCTGAACTTCTCCCTCTCTTCACTCGCCTCACCAACCCTCCCCAGCGCCGCAAGCGCTACCCCGCGCCCATAATGCACCATCGCCGTAGAAACACAATACAACGCCTGATCCCCCGGAACCTCCAGCCCCAGTAGCCCCTCCCACCTCCCAAACCGAATCAACACATGAACCCTCATCGCCAGAAACCCTTCTAACCAATCCGCCATCGGCGGCGACTGCACCCGCAATAGCTCCTCAGGAATCTGCCCCTCAAGCTCCCTCGCCGTATCCAACGCAACCCCCGCCCTCCCCGCAAACATCGCCGCATAGATCCGGAAATGGTAGTTATGCGCGCGGTACAGGGTGTAGAAATTCACGGGCCCGGCTTTCTTCACGAACCGCTTATCCGACTCGATTGCCTCGCTGTTGGACGCCATCGCTGCTCTGTATTCCCCGCAGAGAATGTCCAGGTGCGTCGGCATGTGGTTCAGATGTCCCGCGTCTGGAACAAGACCGCGGAGATGGTCGGCCACTGTAAGCGCCTTCTCCGGTGCGCCTGACATCTCCATGAGATGGATATACAGGTGCAGGAGACCTGGATGCTGAAGACCACCAGGCAGTTGCAGGGCCTTGTCAAGTACGTCTTTGATTTCGAGTGTTCGGGCCCCTGGCGCCGGCTGGCCCGTTCGTAGATCCCAGAGTTCCCAGGGCGTGAGGTTCATTAGCGAATCTGCGTATAGAGCTGCGACGTCTAAGTCGTCCGGGAATCGCGCGTAGACCGAGCCCATTTCATCCGCGTAGGTCTTGTTCCAGGTGCTGCAATCCGAAGCCGGTTTCTCAGTTGGATATCGAGACTGGACGGCCTCGATGAGCGCCGCTTCGACGGGTTCAGTATTTGATGCTGCGTGTTGTCGGGCATCACTTGCGGCCTGGTGCGTCCGCTTCACGACAGCCTGTAACTCGTCTTCATCGAAGAATTGCCACGGTTTGTTGTAGTTTGGGCCTAGGGTGTATGCTAGACCCCAGTATGCCATTGCGCAGGATGGGTCATGGTCTGCGGCTTTCTGGAAGCAGGATGCAGCTTCTTCGTGGTTGAATGCGTATGTCCAGATCAGGCCGCGGGTGAACCAGGTTTGGGCTTGCGGGTTTTTAGTGCTTATTGGGCGGGTGTAGGTGCCTAGGTTGAAATAATCATCCTCTTGGGATTGGGATTTGGGGGGCATGGTGTTGGTTTTGGTCAGAGTTGTGGTATAGTCATGTTGGTGTTGGTGTTGTGAAGTGGGGTACGGTGGCACCATTTGTTAGGCTACTGACAACCTGTATTACTGTATATGCAGATTGAGAAATTTCACCTTCTATTGGAACTACACGGCTGGCTTCATACATAGAACATTACAGAACCAAAATTCCCTCAACACCGTGTATTGCGCCTGGCTAGGTAGAAGCAGTGATGGCGGATCATCTCGCTCGCATGACCATCGCTATTGGCATAATGCACCTCAACTTTTCATCCCACGAACGAACCCGGACCATTCCCAAATCAGTATTACTTGAACCGCCGTAAAATAAACACGTATGCCGCGGATCGAACTGGAAGATGAAGCCAAACGAACGTTGGAACGACCGGCCAGTGGCTCGCTTCTTCTTCTTCAAAGCGTTGACCGCAGTCGTCTCCGACCATCATATCCTCTCCCTATACAACGTATGCATCCAGACGAACGAAACAAAGCGAAACGAAGATCGATTGGTATATGAATTCTCTCGCGCGACCGTCTATCGTAATCCCAGATCCGTCATCTCAACATTCTCCGCCGATCCCATCCAGAGGATGTTATTACACCTATCCAGTCAAGTCAGCATGGAAAAAATAAATGCATACCAGCAAGGCAATAGCCGGTGTTTTATCCAGGCCAGGGGCTGGGGTTTTATATCCGACGCACCGTATGAAAACAAGACCCAGGGTCCCCGTGGGCTTCCCATCAATGAATTCCTCTGTGTCCCGCAGCAGCACGTTCATGTATGAATCAATGCTCTCCAGAAGTCCCTTGTATTCTGTCTGGCCCCATTTCAGGCGGACGATGACTTGGGTTGCGACCCTGCGTGAGTTAGCATGGTCTCAATCGTGCGGGAGCAATCGAGGCGTACCTAGCCTGAAGGAAGGGTCGAGGGTTGACGGGTTGAAGCTACAGACAAGAATCAATATCAATCATAACAGAATATACAGGACTAGGACAGTCGACGACATACACTCATCGTAAAGGTTCTGAGCGAGCGGCGTGCGGAATCGGAATCAAATCACAGCGGTGTCGATGGATGGAGCCAGTCCGGTCCAAATGCGTCAACTCTGCTGTCGGAAAGCGCGCAGATATCGATTTCGAATGATGATTGCAATGACTGCAACGACACGGGCTCGACTGGTCAACTCGGTGTTCAGAGGTCCTTTGATCTTGAGCCGAAAATGTGCTGAAGCTCGACGCGGTGTCGATCGTCCAATCAGGACTAGCGCAGGACCACCGCCTTCATTACATCTGCCTCAGGCGCCATAATTTTTATTGCATCCTCAGGCTTCAACATGGACAGCCAGAGAGACAGAACACACTTGGTGGTAATTTGGATAATTCATTATTTAGACAAGTCTGAATGCTACACCCCATCCCGACCATAAACAGTCCCTTCCTCACGCTCGTTTGACGTCCCACGCGATCTCCTTAATCGCAACCTCATCCCCAGCCTTCTCATCATAATCATACCACTCGCCGTCTGCGAGATCAATCCCCGTAAACGCCGTAGAGGATTCCACGCCCTTGGCCTCCCAATCTCCCTACAAGCAACATTAGCACTGTACCAGTATAGCTTCGATGAAGCCATTTAGATAACAGCAAGGCAAGACGGGAAAACAAACATCAGGCTTAAACTCCGTAAACTCCAACCCGCGACAGTCAAGGTCAATCACCTTCTTCCCCTTGCGCTTCTCATCATCGGCATAAGCCGTCGGAGCTGCAAGGATAGATGCCGAGTGCGTTTTCTATATGATGTACAGTAGGCGGCGGTTAGTCTAATCGAGTTTTCGTTCCCAAGGTCCCCGCCAGTCAAGATATATTTGACGACTGATGCAATCGATCGCTCGGATCAGACATACCTGACAAAGCCTGCACTTCCACACAAAGTTCGCCTCGCCGCGACTTCCGGGGATTTCATGCTGCTCCTGTTTTCACTTATTAGACACCTTGGACACAAGTAGTTCTGGATTTGGTGTGACGTACAAAGCGATTAAAGCTCACCCAGTTCGGGTGCGTCTCGCGACATGAGGTACATTGCACCTTGAAGGTGTAATAGTAAGGGTCTTCCTCTGAGTCTTGCGGGCGGAGGCCCGTGACTCTGTTCTTGTTAGCGACGGTTCTTGACGCGGATGCGGGGAAGTGAGTAGCTGCACAGGTACAGCGAGATTATTTGGATTTTGGATTTTGCAGGACAATGGCTTACCCTGTGAGTTCTGCGGAGAGGATTAGAGAAAGCATTTCGACGGCTTTGTTGGCTACGTGGGCTTCTCTGGTCTTGTTGGTGGTGTTTGTTAAACGTCGTGGTGCAAGTCCGAGCGGGGCAGAGGTGAAGCTTTTTGGTGTTGTGAGGTTGTACCCGCAGCAGCAGTGTGGGCAGTGGGCACAACATGGTTTCTAGATTCTACGCATATAAAACTGGAGAGATTGAATTTTATATGGAATTTTGAATTTCATCTAAATTGAAGCTTAGGTATTTACAGGAACGCCAGTAATGCTAATCATAATCAGACAGGCCGTAGTCCACCGGAAACAATATATACAGGTTTATAGGTTTAAATGCGGCGAAGCCGATTACAGACGGCTCTGCTGGTCCTGGCCCAGAGGTTTCGTGGAGAAGGCATTGAAGTATGCGTTCAGAGCATCAACTGTGCCACTGCCTTCGGTCAACTGCACCGTGCAGGCAACGTGGCTGTCAGGGCGTGTAACGACGACACCACCCTTCTCAGGATCGAACCCAAGCTTCTCGTGGGCAGCATACGTGGCGTTGGGGACACGCACGTCTGGAATGTCATCAGAGTAGAGGTGATAGCGGTAGTCACGGAGAACCTGGGGGATCGACTCCGTATCGATGTCATTCTTCTTCTCAGCGTAGATAACGCAGAATGTGAATAGCTTGGAGTGAGGCATGTGGCGCTCAAAGAATGAGACATCCGCAATATCAGACCTGCGGTACTCAGAAAGGAACGAGCGCTCCTTCTCCAAGTTGGCGGCGAAATCGGTGATGGCCTTCTTGGTCTTCGTCTGTCTACCAGCGAAAACAAAGATGCGGAATGCACCGTTTGCCGGGATCTCCTGCTCAAGGTGCACGAAGTTGGAGTCTGCTAGGCGGGTGACGGTCGAAGGAGTGAAAGCCTTGCCAGTGACCAGGTTAATGCCGGGGACACCGAACAGCGGAGACTGGGCCGGGTGAGAGGAATCCCAGTTGAAGACGTTGGGCTTGTAAGCAACACCGTATCCACTGGTGAACTCGCAAGAATCCTTGAATGTCTTGACGAAAGGATCCTCTTCCACACTCCGAGAGCTCTCGGCATTGGCAGCTGAGCCGACTTCGCCAGCGTTGGGGCGGCGCTTGGAGAACAGAGCGGCGTATTTGTTGTCGAAATCGAGCAGAGTCTCCGCAATGTTCTTTCGCTCGGTCTCGTAGGTGCTCAGGATAGAGCGATCGGCCAATCCAGACTCAACAGCGTGGAGCTTCCAGGCCATGTTAAGGGCATCGTGGAAGGCAGTGTTCATACCCTGACCAGCCTTGGGCTAGAAGCAGTTAGTGTCCGGCACTATAAAGGATACTCGGAATGCGAAACTTACGCTGTGTGTATGGCAGGCATCGCCTCCCATGAAAACGCGCTCATCCAGGGTGTACTTTTCGGAGATACCCTGTCCAATGGGGTAAACGGAGTACCATTCAACGCGATCCCATTCCACGTAGTACGGCTTGAGGATCTTTTTTGCGACATCCTGGACCTCTTCCGCGGTGGCGGTCTTTCTCGGGTTGAAGTCTGGGTCGGTGGAAGAGGCAATCTGGACATAGAGACGAACCATATTGTCTTCGCGGGGAATAACCATGATGGAGCCGGCATCGGAGTGAATAGTGCACTTGGTCTATATTAATTAGTCAATAAATGATCAACAGTCACAGAAACGGGTGATCGCACCTTGATATCAGGGAAGTCGGTCCTGACAACACCGTCCATGACACCCCAGACATAAGAGATGGGGTCCTTGTGGCGAATCTGGATACCCAGCTGTTCGCGAACGAAGCTGCGAGCACCCTCACCACTGAAAAGGTACTTGGCGCGAACGGTCTCGATAACGTTGGTGTCCAGGCACTTCAGGTTGACCTGTACAGGGTACGCCTCGTCGAGGCCATCATTCTTGAATCCAGTGATCGTCCAGGGCCTCTCGACGGTGGTGCCGGCCTTCTTGATCTCGTCGAGGAAAACGGTCTCGATCTTGCCCTGGTGGACCAGGGTGGTGAAAGGATATCTCGTGTCGATGAAGCGAGGGCAGCTGGCCCAGTTGCCAGTCCGCTGAATACCCTTTCCGTCGGCGCGCGGGTCCCAGAAAGAGACATCGTACACCTTGGCGGGGTCGTAGGCCATGATGTTGCGCTTCAACCCTAGGTTGCGCAAAATTTCGGTGGATCGTGGCTGAATGCCATCGGCGCGACCAGTGGCTGTAGGCACGGGGCGGTTGTCGATGTGCTTCACCTTGTAGCCCCAGCGGGACATGCAAAGCGAGAGGAGAATGCCAACAGGACCTGCGCCCACGATGACAATGTCATATTTCTTGGGGTAACTGTCGTTCGTCATTATGGTACAGACAGCTATGAACTAGCCGAATCCAGAACCGATGGGACGATCACCAAGACAGGGATTTGGGAGTGTTTGGTATGGAAACAGAGAGCTGACTACCTTTTAACACCGCCGACTTTGGGGGGAGGGTCAGGATGGGAGGATAAAGAAGAAATCGTGATCATCTTTGGAAAGGGCTGAAGGGCTCATATATAATAAATCCGCAAGATTGGGGAAAGCAGGCCATTTTGGAAGGAAAATGGCAACGGAGAGCCACCACGGCAATCGAGTCGGCTGGATCGTGGGGACAGTAGAAATGACGAGCTGGATCAGAAGGCCGAGCCAAACAGCAGGGGCGCCCACAGGCCGCAGGCCAGCACGAACGAGGGGCCTTTGCTGGGCTCTGCGGAGACCAGTGCCGGTGCATTTTCCGGGCGTGCACAGGCAGCTGCTCTGGAGAATGTCTGGGAACGGCTAGCAGCTCGGCATGTGGGGAGCCGGCACGTGACCCAGACTCGGCAGGCTGGGCCGGGATTTCCTCCAGCATTTCCATTCGATTAGCGGCCTCGTCATTGGCTGCCGCTGTCCAGGGCGTTTGCCAGCGTTAATCTTCTCCGGGGATCACGATCCTAGAATCGGCTCAATCAATTACTTGTAGGATTCTGAATGATTCAATTCTGTGGTAACTTGCTGTGTTCGTTCACAATTTAGGTAGATTCATGCCTCTCAGCACCGCGACTTGCCTACTGGACTAGACACTAAAGGCCGAGGTTGTGTTTGTATAGCAGTACACTCCCGTTTTAACACCCGCCAAGCTCCCAATATCCCAGACTACCGCGCTGCATCCCCGTTTTTAGCCCAAGCTGTAGTGGAGCCGACTCCCGTGGGTGACACTCCTGCTCTCCAGTCTCCGAACTAGAGTGCCTTAGTTCGCGCTGCTAATATCCATTCCGCGGGCACTCGAGGTCGGCTTTTCCTCCGCTGCTCAAGTATTTCCTCACACTACTGCTCCCGCCTTGCTCTCCGTGTCACCGAGATAGGATTCAGATCTTATCCAGAGTTCGGTTGATCTTCTGGTGACGTCCTGAGAATTCATGGCACCCTCGTAGCAGAGATCATCGTTGATTCTAAAGTACTACTGTAAGACTGGATGGATCTCCCTCGACACCTTACGGCATGCCGATATGTGCCTTGCGGCCTGATGAACATGGCTCGGCCCACCAAGTCACTGTAGTGTAGCACTGCAGCCTAGGGTCGAGTGTTAGCGCTATTTATACAATAGTGGCCAGCTTGAATAGCAATCGACAATAGAACAATAGCATAGTATTGTTGTCTATTGTTTGGTTTTCTTATTGTTGCCTGAATAGCCCAGTTTGAGGGAATAGAGAGAATAGAGAGAACCCTTAGGCCTCAATGCTGGACCGGTTCTTCTCTTCCCTGCGTATTCACCTCCTCCTCCACTTCGTCCTCCACCCTCTCCACCACTCCACCAAACCAGTGAATAGGTAGTCACTGCATAACAATCAGAGCCTTAATGACGCAGCATCCTCTATTGTTTAGAATGCACTTTTAAATATGACAATACGGATTGAAGTATTGACGAATTCACCTACTGGTAGACGGTTGCAGTATGTAAGCCCCCGTAGACTCGAGTATACGAGACCTCAGTCTCCCTTTTCTCCAGCTCTCCAGTTCCTTAAGTATCTCGTAACTGCAATCCAATTCAACTTAAACCCATTTTTACCAGGGTATCTCACCGCAGTGTGATGAAAACTGATTCCTGCAGCGTACCCATCATGCTTGATCTCCAGTAAGTGCGGGCCTAACCGGCGTACGGCAGCGCTAATAGTAGAACAGAGGACTCACCTATGAAGATATCGCCAAGTTGAACCCATTCTATGAGGAATACAAGACCTTTTGGGACTACTCTCGTGACGTATCCGACCACTCGCTCCGTCCGGGTGTCCTGTCCCCTTCAGCCTCTCTGCCGTCGTTTACCTCCGGTTCAGACTTATCTTTGCCTGATGATATGGATGTCTCTCCGTTGTTTTGCCCCAAGGGCCTTCCAGGCAGTCCATTTCCGCCAATTCCTTTAAGCCCCAGGCCCATATTCCACAGCGGTGGCGAGTACAGACCTACCTTGGACGAAAGTCACGATCTTGAGTTGAGCCAGGTTGCGATAGTTGATGGCGAAGAAACCATGGGAAGGCCGTTGTCCCCCGTCCCTGAATGCACAGAGGATCTTGAACCGGGTCAGGAACTTGATCTTATCAACTATGCCCTTGGCAACATGAGGTCTTCGCACAAGCAACTTTTCGGGACAAACGGCTGGCTGGGCTGCACTGCCGAGCTGCCTCCTACCACTGAGCCCAAGTACAAGAAAGTAATTGGGTTTGGGAAGAAGTTGAAGCAGCACGTGGGAGACATCGTGAGTCCACTGCCTTTCCGGTGACGGAAGAGGTGGCTAATCTGCGTAGGCAACCGACATGGCCAAAGCACATCCACTATCACTCCCCTTCAGCACCCCCCGACAATTGAAAGTACTGCCAAAGTCGACAGTCGCTATTTCAATAGATCCAACCACCCAAGCCCAATTATATTCCGAGCTTGAAGTGATGATCTGCGTCAGTGCCAACCGATTCCTCATCCAGCAACACAATGAAGGCCGCATATCAAAAGAGTCCATCAGAAAGGTTAACAACTTCTGGGGTTCCAAGAACAGACCAAAGGTGGTCGAGTTCCAGTTTGACCAAGCCACTCAGCGTCAGCTGATCCTATCCAACGTCCGCACCATGAATTTCAACGGAGAAAGCTCAACAAACCCAGTAGCTCTTCATTCGAATCTGCATAATTGGAAAGCCATTGTCAAAGAAATGAGTGTCCGAACGTTTTGTTCACCCGATAGTGTCATCCGTAAGCACATGCATGACATCCAGAAGCTTCTTGACATGTTGGGTGCTCCAGTCGCCACTTTTCTCGCCTTCGAAGAGCTGCAAATGCGGGCACTTCTCTTGATGAAGGAGCAGAGGACAAAAAAGTATCTTTCCGAGAGCGGGCACAGCATATTGTCGGGCCCCAGCTCATCCGGTCCAAGCATGTCGCCGAGGACAAGTCATTCATCGCACTGAGTTATTAAGCTCTTCTTTTCGACGCCAATAGTATATTTCAAGCCAATTCTTTATAATTAGTGAATCATGTATATTGACTCGGTCCTCGTCAGTCCTTGCGGTCGTTTTGTTCCTGTTCAGTGTTACTCTCGGTGCAATGGTTTTTCACCTTATCGGTCAATTTCTCAAAATAACAATCTCCATTCCGATGTGGAAAGTCCAAAATTAATATTGTAGATGTATTGTACGGCGGTGAGTAGCTTTGGCTGGATGTTGTGCCCGGTGTAGGAACTGAAGACATCTTGTTTGTTGGTGATCAGCACGTGGGCGACGTCATAGGCTCACACGGCTGATCGACAGATACGAGCAGGCAGCCTCAAGCTCCCTTCTCTCCCAAATCCAGGAACAGCTCTTCTGCACTCGCTTGACGAATTAAATCCCTTCTTGGACCATCTCACTTCCGACCGTCGCTCTTAATGTTATCCCTTTATCGTCAGCCAGCTAGTCCTCGTCAGGACTGAAGGCTCCAGCAAAAGCTCCTGGGCTCCGTTTGCTCACCATGACGAGCGTCTTATCTGACTGATTCGCTTCAACTGTTTTCTTTGCAGGCTTCGGCTGTAGACTTCTAGTGGAAGTCGCCAGTATCAGCCATGGCCGGCCCCCTCCATACCTACGGAACGACCTGTCTCCTCGCCGATGACGATCCGAATCCCTCTGCCTGGCACTCTCTGCCCCATCCACCCCGCCCCCGGGCTCAGTTCTTCTATGTCTCCTCTCTACCGATAGACGACCCGCTGAGCTCGCTACCGCCTCCACCGAGCGGTCAATCCCAACTAGACGATAGGGTGCCGCCGCAGCCCTTTTCGGTTAGGGACCATATCGCGCTGGAAGAGGCTTGGTTGTCGATCAAACGGGAAGAGAAGTCAAAGAAGCCCGAGAAACAGAAGTCGCATAATGCCAGCGGTACGGAAGTAAATGCCGGTATCGCCGTTCCAGTGACGGACTCTGGACGAACGGGTAGCCGTGGGAGAGCGGGCCTGACGGGCAACCAAGGGAGCGAACGCGTGACATCTTCTGGCTCATATACGCAGAAGTTACCGCAGAGACCAGCTTCTCGGTCCGATGGCGATTTTGGCGGAGTAGAACAACAGGATGGGGGCTCTAAACGATCGAGCCTACAGTCGATGCCCGATGGGAGTATTGGAGACGGTGTCTCAATAGGTAGTCCACTTTATCGCAAAAGGGAGGTGTCCCCCACGGTCAACGCAAAGAGTTTCCGCCGCAAGATCAGCGACTCGAGGGATGAGAACCCCAATCTAGAAGAAGGGAGCGTTGGTTCTTACGGCCATTACTCTCGCGACGCCAGCATTAGCGGGTCCCCTTTCATAAGGGCCCCTGTAACCCAGCCGTCGAGCCCGCTCTCGCGATCCGTCGATTCTGCTACTGTCACGGACACGAAGCAGGAGATCCATGAGCGTCAAACAACCAGTCATAGCTACACTGCGTCTAAACCATCGGGGCTCAGAACAAGCACCTATCAAGACCAGTCACAAGATGAAACTGCCGAGCATACTGATGCTGATACAGAAGGAGATGAGGATGTCCAATCAAAAATCCCGGTGGGTGTTTCTCGACTTCATCTCGTCGAATTGCCAAATCTAAAGGTACTATTTTCCCGCCCCAAATTTGGATATATAGTTACTTATATGCCGTAGATGAAACCAATCTATTGGAGCCCGCTTCACGATGTATCCAACGTTCTTCGCGCTACATGGTTTTACAAAAACACGATGCTTCCGGTGGAAACGGAGCTCGCCAATAAACTGGAAGACGGTTATGTTTATCTCAAACCATGGACTGAAACGTGGCAGGATGAACTCAATAGCTGTGTGGAGAATGGAGCAGACGCTGAGTTGAAGATTGTGCATCAACTATGGCCCAAAGAAGACGATGTGATACCAGGCGCAGACGTTATAGCGCAAGAGGTCGAAGACCAGAACCCGGAATCATCGGAGTACGTTGATAATTGGGCTTCCGGTGCTTCATCCGCGCAAGCAGCGGCTGTTAAACCTTATATGACCTCCAGTGTCATTTATGCCGATGGAAAGAATGCGCAGATTCTTCGGCCGAGTCTGCTACCGTCTGTATCTAGAGGGAGGAGGCCTCTTAGCGCCGTCCGGAAAGGACGTCAGATCGGTATACCTGTTGTTCGTGGTTTTAGTCGACGTGCATGGGAACGTCTGCACCCATCAAAGCCCAGTCCCGTGGACGTGCGGAACTACCTCCGCGGAGCCCAAGCCAAAACAATGCGACCTGGTCGAGGCGGGGAGATATGCTATGCCTGTGCAATGGAAGAGTCCAGGCCTACGCCAACAGATCTCGTATTTGTCATTCACGGCATTGGTCAGAAATTGTCGGAGCGCATGGAGAGCTTCCATTTCACGCACGCCATCAATGCCTTCCGGAGACAAGTCAACGTGGAACTCAACAGCGAAGAAGTATGGCCGCACGTCCGAGATGGCCATGGTGGGATCATGGTGCTACCTATCAACTGGCGCTCGACCCTGTCCTTGGAAGACACCGATCTTGAGTCCCAGGTGACAGATGATCCGGCCAGTAATCATTTCACGTTGAAGGACATCACCCCAGAAACAATACCTGCTGTCCGGTCTTTGATCAGTGATGTTATACTTGATATTCCCTATTACCTATCGCATCACAAACCCAAGATGATACAAGCGGTCGTCAAAGAAGCCAACCGAGTCTTCCGGCTCTGGTGCCAGAACAACCCCGGATTTCAGCAGAATGGCCGCGTTCATCTAGTTGCGCATTCGCTCGGGAGCGCAATGGCAGTAGACGTGCTCAGTCATCAGCCGACAAGTATCCCAGACTTTGACTTTTCAAATACCAGTATCCACCCGGACATATTTGAGTTTGACACAAAGAACCTATTCATCTGCGGAAGCCCGGTGGGCTTGTTCCTTTTTATCAACAAAGGTGAGATATTCATCCGGAAGGAGGTATACGCTGAGCTAATGAATCATAGCGAACCTTTCACCCCGGAAGGGACGTGGTAAACCAGGCGGTAATGGAGATGACCGGCTTGATGGAGTAGCAGGCGATGTAGACACATACGGCTGCTTGGCTGTTGACAATCTCTACAACATCATGCATACTACAGATCGTAAGCCAACCCACCACAGCGAAATATCCTCTCTCACTAACCTGGAACAGCCATCGCATATAGAGTCAACGCCGCGGTCGATAGTGACTTAGCCGGCACCCTAAAACCGGCCGCCATCCCAAGCTCCACGGCATCCCTCTGGCGCTCATTTGGCGGTGCCTTCCGTTGGGGTACTTCGGCTGTCTCCGCCCCCGAGCGACCATCCATCATCACAAAACTCCCATCTAACGTGGAAATGGAGACGCACGATTTCACCCGGGAGGAAATAGCTGAGAAGCGAATGCTCCTGCTAAACGACAACGGACAGGTCGACTATTTTCTGTCTGGCGGCGGCGGGGCACTCAACATCCAGTACCTTAACATGCTCAGCGCGCACAGCAGTTACTGGACACTTACGGATTTTGTGCGATTCCTGGTCATTGAGATTGCCCGGAAGCAGAGTCGCGATGCTGTCCTGCCGGCGCTGAGGGCGGAGAAGAAGAAGGGGTGGAAATATCATAAGGGCTAATATAGTTGGATCTTGGTATATGATCTCGTTTGATTTAGCTTTATCTTTTCCGTAAAATAGAGATAAGCTGATAGATACCCTTTACGGAATGGTAGGAACTACGGTATACGTCGTACATAAGTTCTTCCCAGTTCCTAGAATTTTAGGACTACGGCCACGATGAAGATCTTGAACAAGTAAACGCGAACCCTCATATATTTGAATTCTCCAGCTTCGGCCATAAAGACACTTTTGCCTGCAGCTAAATCTGTGGATTTGATTACTCTTCGACACTCCTACCTATGCCAGTCCAGCCATAGTTTGTCCATGTTGAGATGCCTCGGCTAAAAACCGGCTCCCGTCGGTATACGGTAGAGAGCAGGACGAGGGGAAATCAACAAGCCTTATATCTCTTACAATTCCCTGACATGCCAATGGCAGTGTTCTGGATAATCTATGCATAGCTTAATTAAACCTGACCGTCTAAGTCAGCAAATCATCAATCCCTTACTCTACAGCATATATCCATCTTCCAGCCATTATATATACAATCACGAACGACCACAATAACACCAACACAATTTCAACCATCCCAACATCCCTTCCCAGAACCACGAACAATACTCGAAGATGCCACCCCTAACCCCCCAAATCTTCCACAAAACCCCAATAGCATCCACCCTCCTCGCCGACCCCAACTACACCTCCGTCCCCCAATCCTCTATCCCCCGACACACGGACCCTTTCTTCCGAATCACCGCGCGCACCTCCTCCGCCGTGCTGGAAACACACTTTCTCTACCGCACCACCCCCAGCCCAGAAGGCCACCTGCTTCTCCACTGCGGGCGCGGCGTCACGGGCCAGAATGGCATCGCGCACGGCGGGTTCCTGGCGGCCGTGATGGATGAGGTCACAGGGAATTTGATCGGGGCTACCGGGTTGGATGAGGGGCTTGGGATGTTTACGGTGAAGTTGGATGTGGGGTATAAAAGGCCGGTTTTTGTGGGGGAGCCGAGTATTTCTAGTGGGAGTGGTGTAGAGAAGGAATTGGGAACGGGGACATCGGTTATTGTTGCGACGGCCAAGTTGGGGAAGATCGATGGGAGGAAGGTGTTTGTTGAAGCTGTTATTAGGAATGCGGACGGGGAGGTTTGTACGACTGCTGAGGCGATCTTTGTCAAGAAAAGGCCTGCGGCGGGTGTGTTATAAACATTATAAACATTCAAGTAGTACTAGATGAAAGGAATAGAAGGGTGATAGAAGTTGATATGGGGAATTTTCATTCAGTCTATGGTATAGATAGAAACGTCCATTATTTCCGGCGCCTGTACTGTACACCACGTCCATCCGGCTCGTCGTCGTCGCGGCAAAACCAAGTGCTTACCTATCCATAAACTCAGCAGACAAAGACTCAACAGCCGAATCGGACCCTTACGCCTCAATGCGCTATATAAAGAGGACAAATTGAAGCCAAAAAATGAGATGAGTAGAAGTCGTACAAATGGGGTGCCCCTGCTAGTATGGGCTCTTCTCACAGAGAAGAGTGTTTCATGCTGCTGCTCCGAAGTCGGTTGCCTTGCCTTGCACCAGTAGTCCGACAATAAGACCAAACAGTCCCAAGACTGAGCTGAAGATTTCGACGACGAGGATCTTGACGAACCTACATAGACATTAGTTCTTGATTCCTGGATAAATTGGTGGCGGATGTACGGACAAGCTTGGGTCTGCAGCATCCGCAAGAGCTGCACCACTACCGTTGATACCAACGGAGATACCGCAAATCAAGTTGCAGGCACCGACAGTGATTCCTCCCCAGAACAGCGCATAGCCGGTATAGTGACTCTGGCGGGAATAGATTTCATCGCCGGTCGCGAGGTTGAGCTTCGAGGAAAAGACAATGGCCATGATGACACCGTAGATAGCGACGACTTCACAGAAAATAATGGAGATCAAGTTTTTTGTTCGGATTCTCGGAGCCTTGACACCTCCGCCGACAATCGATGAGCCCGTGAGGAAGATACCCCTGAAGACGGCCTTGTTAGCAATCCAAGCCTCGAGCTACCCATATTTCCAGAGTATAGCCTACCATGCTGCACCGACAACTGACAACCCAATACACAGAGCAATTCCTAGAGTCGCCCAAACGTACGGAGACACGGATTCGAGAAATTGGCCAACCTAGACCGGGTTAGCGGGAGCCCCGAGGAGGTATAGGATCAAGAGCTGCGTCATACATTGAATGCTTCACCCTCTCCATGGAAAAGCATATCTATCAGAAAGCATTAGCGCGTGCATCTCATCAATCCGAGCAGCCCACTTACACCCTCCGATCACCAGGAATGACACGGTTGCCAAACCGAAAGGATAAGTGAGACCCATGATGACCCCCAACCTGGTAGACACCCGCGAAGCTGGAGGATCTCAAAACAAGAAGCAAGGTCTCGAGTGCGAGGAGTGAGACGGAGACGGAGGCTGGATAGCTGTTTGGCGGAGCTCTGGTCTCTCGTTGGGCTGGCAGGAAAGCAACAAGTCGCAGCAGGTGGAGGTCGGGCCGCATTTAATCCGCGCGGCGGCTGCAGTGAGTGGCCGCTGACTGCGAACCACGGGCCGCCGCTATCAAGCTGGATGGCCTGCCCGTTCCCCAGACTCCCATGTACTAAAGCTCCCTCAGTCCCTTCTCAATCGCTCTCCTGGACCTCCTCGTACGCCGCTGGTTTGGTCGCAGCCTTCTCTAGGCTCCCTTGTATAACCAGATTTCTCCCTTTTTCTATTTGATCCAATTTCTATGACCTTACGCCGTCTTTAATTCTTACTTCTCCTATTCCTCCCCTCCCACCGCCCGATCTCCCCTGATTCTACATTCTTCCTTTGGTCGCCATGTCTTCACCATCCGGTGTTGGGTCGTATTCGAACCCTTTGAAGAAATTCAAGTACGTTACTTTTGAGGGCACTGGTTTGGATCTGAATATAATGCTGACTTGAATCCAGGCTTGTCTTCCTCGGCGAGCAAAGCGGTACGCCCACTCCCAAGTTTCATGACCCTGGCGCATTCCTAATACTCGTCATATAGTCGGCAAGACGTCGTTGATTACTAGGTTCATGTACGACTCGTTCGACAACACATACCAGGCGACAATTGGAATTGACTTCCTGTCGAAGGTGAGCCACGTACCCCACCACAGTACAAAACAGTGGGCGGTATTCGTTTCAAGTCCCGATTGAGATGCTGAGACATCTGGTGTTAGACAATGTACCTCGAAGACCGAACCGTACGACTTCAACTCTGGGACACGGCCGGCCAGGAACGATTCCGATCTCTGATTCCTTCTTACATCCGCGACTCCAGTGTAGCTGTCGTGGTTTACGATATCTCAAATGCCAAATCCTTCCAGAACACTCGGAAATGGATTGACGACGTGCGGGGCGAGCGTGGAAACGACGTGATTATTGTGCTGGTGGGTAACAAGACTGATTTGAGCGACAAGCGTGAAGTCACAACAGCGCAAGGTGAAGAGGAGGCAAAGAAGAACGGGCTTATGTTCATCGAGACTAGTGCGAAGGTTGGCCACAACGTCAAGCAGCTGTTTAGGCGGATAGCTCAAGCCCTGCCCGGCATGGAGGGAGAAGCCAACAGGGGAGAAAGCCAGAGTTCGTTCCAACGCAGTACAATTTCCTGGCAATATTGTTTACTGACTTGCTTTTTACAGTGATTGACGTTAACATCCAACCCAAAGAAACGACGAGTAACGAAGGGTGCGCCTGCTGAGCGTGCCTCTCACCGTGATTACATCACCACTCACCGCACCATATCAGCTCGGATCTCAATAATGATGGTTGAGATTGTTTATAATATCTGCCATTCTTAAGATGTACATTTTCCTTGCTCATCAGTTGACTAGCGAGTCTAGATCAATGCTGTTTCTCGATGACTGCTTTCGCTCTTGCTGCCGCCATTTGAGGCTTATTGGAGGGCGTTCTGCTTGTACCCGGCATCTCTTCCTTCTTGGTTTGTTAGTAGGTTGGTTTTTTTTACTTTAAGACGTCATTTGTATCTTGTCCGTGTTGAGTCTCGATGCCTACGGGGCCGTAAGAGTAGAAACAGGCAACACCTTTTTTAATCACAGCAGATCTACCTTTTAGTTTATTCCGCGTAGCAGCTTACGCACCAGCGGTCCTTTTGCTTCAGTTCATTGAATACAGTGCAGTAATCTTCGTTCGGCGATCATGATATATTGTCTTCAGCAGCACCTTATTCAACTTAACTCTATATTTAACGTTTCTGGAGCATCCCTGCCACCAATATCCATGGGGAAATTAAACTGGCGGGAGCTCATCGTAGCTTATCCCTGTCAGGACACCAGCCCGGTCTTGAATATGAACCTAAATATGAAATAGTAGCCAAGCTCTTGTTATCAACAATAAACGGAAGAAAAGTGCAGCTTGTCGAACTTTTACCGCCTCTATAGTTGTTAGCACCGTCCCTTGTCTTGAGTCTCTAAATATATAATGTCTACTGAATGCTCCATTTTTTTTTTAAAAAAAAAAAAATAAAAAAAAAAAAAAAACTTGACATATAATAGGAGAGTGCCTTGAATTATCCAGTGAGCATAATTTAGCAAGCCCGGGAAGTTGAATTAATCGAGCCGCTGCTTAAGGAGTGCTTATGGGCTGATGCCGTCATTTGTTTTGAAAGGAAGGTGGCTTGGGAAAAAAGACCCACTGGTGAGGCGATGACTTTCATGGAAACGAATACGAAGTGTCGGCTTTCCGACGAGGCGAGCAAAGCATAAGGGGGCATAATTACGGCACCGAAAAATAGGTCACCCGCTAGTTTTCCCAGTGCAGACGAGAGCCAGTGCAAGCAGGCCTCGTTTCAGCAGGAGAGCAGGTGGTGACGAAATAAAAGGGCAACGATCGCCCGGATCGGAGCCACCGGAAGGCCGCGCCCCTGTGCAAACTGCAAACCGTAAACCACAACCTGTGTGCAACCTGAAGCGCTGGTCAGACTGTTTTCCTCCCAGCTTTCACTCCTGCATCTCGCTCTTCTTTTCCCTCCATTTTTTCTTCAAACCCCATCTGTCGATATCTCCGGCGGTGATATCCAAGATGGGTTTGTCAACTCGCTTCCTCCGCATCCCGCGGCCAGAGGTATGTTGGTGTTCGTCGTCTCCCGTCAGCCCGCTCCATAGCTAACAGATTATTACCCCGGCGACGGGGTGTTCGCAACCACAGACATTCCTCTACGTTATGAGCCTGCAGACAGGCGCTTCGCTGATTACTCTGTCGCTATTGCTCAACAAAATTAGCGGCCTTTATGGCTTGCTCGCCCTGCTTACCGGATACCACCTCTCGCCCGTTCAGCTATCCATGTACCTCTACTCCTTGATCGCGCTTGCTGTCACAGTACTGCTATTCCCACACATCCGAAAACAGTCTCCTTTGCAATGTCTTGCACTGGCCTGGCTCTATGTTCTCGACAGCGCCATCAACGCTGCCTACACCGCGGCTTTCGGTGTAACTTGGTTCTTGGTTATCGCTCAGCACACGGATTCGGATAACGCAAAGGCGTCAGGCCCTGGAAGTGATACTATGGGTCAAACCGCGGGATTCACCGGCTCTGAGTATGATACCGCGCAGTTGAAAACCAGGGGTGAGAGGAGCGCGGATCAACTCGGCAATGCCGTCACTCAGCCAGAGAGCTTTGAAAGTATTCTCTTCATCTGTGCGCTATGGAGTATTCGCCTTTACTTCGTCTTCGTTATGCTCGCGTTTGCCCGCCATACTCTGCGATTATACATTGCTATGCCTCGCCACACCCAACTGCCCACCCATAGCCGAAATACCTCTGCCGCTAGCATGGCCAGCGTTGCTGACATCGACCGCGAACCGTTCTCACCTTATAGCCCCGATGGCCAAGGATGGAAGGGAAAGCTCGGGCGCCTCATGATCAGTGTTGGAAGAAATTACTGGCTTGGTGACGAGGATGACGGGACCTGGGTCAACATGAGCCACCGATTCCACACTCGCGGAGAGACTACGGCAGGACCCCCTGGCCCCATTGAGCGGGAGAGACGCCGTCGATCCGGAACTGGACCACCACAGCCCTCACAGGCCGCCGTCCAAGCGGCGTCTTTACAGCAACCGGCACATGAGCTTAACTCAGGCCCGAGATTGACCGTCAAGGTGCAAGATTGGGATGAAAGGTAGCTCACTATACAACCATCCGGCAGTCATCTGCCATAGGAGAAATTTTCTTTCCCATTGGACAGAATGCCTACCGGCGACCTGAAACTTCATTCGCTCGTCGCATTTAGCATTTTCTTGCTACCTACATACACTGCATACATGGTCTGCGATTTTGGTTTTATATGCCGTGACGATATATATAGCCTGGTTAGGAATCGGACGGTCAACTGCGTGGCAGGAACCCTCGACAGAACCGTACCGTCTGTTATCAACCACGGTCACAACCCTTGGGAAGGGGAAGGCGTTGGGTCTCAAGTTCATAAGATATTTGGAGCACGGGTGGAAGCTCCATATTAAAAGAAGCACGGTAGCCTTATTCGGTTGCCTGGGGCGTACCGTTCCCCCAAGGTCCTGGCCTCAGGACTTGTACATTGATATGACATCCATATGGGATTGACTTTTCTTTTTACGGCGTTGGAGAGGATCTATAATTGCCCCATATTGCCAATGAATACTCTGTATCGTACATAAGAATGTGTATTGTTTTTGATAGTATTTCGGTTTGCGGAAAAAATATCCAGATCTGTGCCCTATTCCCTAAGCGCTTCCTCAGTTAAAAGGTTAAAGCTCGGTGAAGACCACTGGAGTCCGGTCACCTGACCGGTGTCGGCTGCTGCTCTCACGGCCGAGTCACGGGAACCCCGCACTTTGCCCGAAGGGGTATGTTTGTCTCAAAGACGACAACCTGTTTGCAACGATGTCGTGATCGAAAACCAATCATTGATTCGCTGATCAAATCCCGATGGCGGAGAATCGTTCAAAAATGTCCCTGCGGAGCGAGTGAATCGTCGCCCGCAGTTGGAGTTGACGAGCTTTGGGGAAAAAAATAACTACTTTTAAAATATCATATGCCGTTTCTCTCCTCTTCTCCTCCCTCACCTCAATCACTCCGTTCATTGCTCTGATTCTCTGCACGGAATCACCGTATGCGGTGATATCCAACCCCTCCGCTACCCTCTATCCCACTCTCTGTGACTGTCCGCAGTGCAGCCCGCAATCGCCAATATGGCTCCTATTGCAACTGCTGGCGAGGCCGGTAAAACCCCCTCCATCGATATTTTTTTTCTCTTGAAACCACGGCCGCTATTCTGGCCCTGGTTTTTCATGGTTGAGTTCAATTGGCTGATTTGGATATAGTGGCGAGAATCGCCTACCAGGCCAGTGAGGTCGTCCTCTCCGTCCAGCCATCACTTCAGGGTGATTCCTGGTTCTCTCAGACCTTGAAGAACCTGAGAGCTACCGGGTCCCGTAGCGTCATTCCTGAAGGTGTACCAGAGGTTAGTCATTTCGGAACTATAGGATTCGCTATGCGGGTATTAATCATGTCTGCAGGTTGTCTCTGTCCGATACAATGAAGACCCCCTCCTCTCTGCCTTCCACCCTCTGAAGACCGGCAAATTTGTCTCTGCTGTGACTAGCTCGTCGGTTCTTCTTGCCTCCATCCCTCACCTCTACCGCCTCGCGAACTCCCCCGTCGTTATCCACGTCGCTTTGGAACCCTACCCCTTCCCCGACTACTCCGCGATCAGCTCCATCCGGCAATGCGGTTTCACATTCTTACACTCTGAGACCCTTCAGGAGGCCCAGGATATTGCGCTCACTGCTCATGCTTTGGCTCGCAAGTCCGGCAAGGGTGTCATCCACTTCTTCGACCCCGCGAACTCGGCCAACGACGAGCCCATCGAGCAGGAGAACGCAAATGCCTTCAAGTCGCTTTTGGACCTGGGCGCAGGTGCTGTCTCACACTCCGAGGGACACGGTGTGGAGACTCTGTACACAGACAGTGGCCGCATTGCTACAGTGTCTGAGGAGACCGTGGAAGCCCCAGCTGCTGCCGACGAGGGAACTGCCACTCCTGCTCAGCCCTCGCAGACTCCCTCCAGCCGCAGCGTGGCCAACTCGTCCGTTGGTTCTTCAGTTCGTGACAGCAGTGCTGACAGCCGCGCCACTAGCTCAGCTGCTACCACTGTGGATGGCTCTGTGCGTCCTGTGAGTGCTGCTGATATCTTTGCATGGACGAGCCAAATCTGGAAAGTGTTGTCGGAGACTGTCGGCCGCAACTACCGCGCTATTGAGTACACCGGCCCAGCTGATGCCAAGGAAGCCATCTTCGTCTTCGGTTCGACCGGTGTGTTCGTCGATGTTCTCGGAAAGGAGGACGTCCCTGCTGAACTAGCTAACATCGGTTTGATCACTGCTCGCCTTTACCGTCCTTGGGTGGGCTCCGAGATTGCGCAGTCCATTCCCCAGTCAGTCGAGAAGATTGCTGTTCTGGAGCAAGTCCGCAAGACTACCAGATGGGGTCCTTCGTTCATGGACCTTCTGTCTAGCCTGACACCCGCCTCCGCTGGCGGCCGTAGCCCCCAAGTTGTTGGCTACAGACTCGGCTACGTTGAGCCTTCGACTGCCTCCCAGGCTCTTCGCGGAATTGTCCAGAACTTGAGCTCTGATTCCCCTATTCAGAACCTTGAGATTGGCAGCTCCAAGGTCCCTACCCTTCAGACTCCTCTTGAGCAGCCCCACGTTGAGAACGCGTACCTGAAGATCCTGAACCAGCTCTTCGGCGAGCGGTTATACCTTGCTAACCAGCTGGGCTCAAAGAACGCTGGCATTTCCTCCACAATCGCAGCAAGCCCCGAGTACGGTTTCGGTTCATTGATCGCCAGAAAGGAACACCGCAAGCGCTTTGTCCGTGAGGTTGAGGATGCGTCCAAGTCCAACAGCTTTGCCACCGAGGTAGTCAAGAAGTGGCTCGCCGACTGGGCTATCAATGCAGCGGATGCCAGCAAAGCTAACAAGTTGGCTCCTGATGTCATCTCCCGCCTCGGCAACGATGGCTCTACTCTCTCCAGACAGCTCTTGGAGTCCAAGAAGCTTTTCTACAACGAGTCTCAATGGCTGATTGGCTCCGATGCCTGGTCTTACGATCTTGGAAATTCTGGTGTCCACCACGTGCTGGCCTCTGGAGCGGATGTTAACATGCTGGTCATTGACTCCCAGCCCTACTCTGAGCGTGCTGCGGCCGACCCCACTCGCAGAAAGAAGGACATTGGACTGTACGCTATGAACTTCGGCAACGCGTACGTCGCCTCCGTTGCTGTGTACGGCTCCTACACTCAGGTTCTCCAGGCTATGGCCGAGGCCGAGCAGTTCAAGGGTCCTTCCATTGTTGTTGCTTATCTCCCATACAACCAGGAGAACGACTCTGCCCTCACTGTTCTTCAGGAAACCAAGAAGGCTGTCGACCTTGGTTACTGGCCCCTGTACCGCTGGAACCCTGCCAACGAGGACCAGGGTGAGCCCAAGTTCGCTCTAGACTCCGAGCGCGTCAAGCGTGAGCTTGAGGAGTTCCTTCGCCGGGACAACCAGCTTACTCAACTCATGAACCGTCAGCCCAAATACGCTTCCGTTCTTTCCGAGTCTTACGGCACTGAGGTCCGTTCGCTCCAGAAGCGCCAGGCCAAGGACTCTTACGAAAAACTTCTCGAGGGTCTTTTCGGTGCTCCTCTGACCATCCTGTTCGCCTCCGACAATGGTAATGCTGCGACATTGGCGAAGCGTCTTGGAAACCGTGGTCGTGCACGTGGTCTGAAGACCATTGTCATGGCCATGGAAGACTACCCTCTCGAAGACCTCCCGACCGAGGAGAACATTGTCTTCCTCACCAGTGTCGCTGGTCAGGGAGAGTTCCCCCAGAACGGTCGTGCCCTGTGGGAATTCGTGAAGAACTCTGGTGACCTCGACCTTTCCACCATCAACTACTCCGTTTTCGGTCTCGGTGACAGCCACTACTGGCCCCGCAAGGAGGACAAGATCTACTACAACAAACCGGCCAAGGATCTCGATGCCCGCATCACCTTCCTCGGTGGACGTAAACTAACGGACATTGGTCTTGGTGATGACCAGGACCCCGACGCTTTCCAGACCGGCTATGCTGAGTGGGAACCCCGCCTCTGGCAGGCTCTGGGAGTCGACAAGGTCGAGGGTCTTCCCGAGGAGCCCGCTCCCATAACCAACGAAGACATTAAGATCGAGTCCAACTTCCTGCGTGGTACTATTGCCGAGGGATTGCTTGACGAGAGCACCGGGGCTATCTCTGCCAGTGATCAGCAACTCACCAAGTTCCACGGTACTTACATGCAAGATGACCGTGATCTCCGTGATGAGCGCAAGGCCCAGGGTCTTGAGCCTGCCTATAGCTTCATGATTCGTTGCCGTCTCCCCGGTGGTGTCGCTACCCCATCTCAATGGCTGCAAATGGATGCCATCAGCAGCTCTCACGGTAACGAGACGATGAAGCTCACAACCCGTCAGACCTTCCAGTTCCACGGTGTTGTCAAGCGCAACCTCCGTGGAGCGATGCGTGCTATCAACAAGGCTCTGATGACCACCATTGCCGCCTGCGGTGATGTTAACCGTAACGTCATGTGCAGTTCTCTCCCTGAGCTCTCTTACTACCACCGCGAGGTGCACGCCGTCTCTCAGAAGATCAGCGACCACCTTCTGCCTTCCACAACTGCGTATCACGAGATTTGGCTAAAGGACGAAGATGACAAGAAGGTCCAAGTTGCGGGTGATGCCATTGTTGACCACGAGCCGTTGTATGGACCTACCTACCTTCCCCGAAAGTTCAAGATCACTATTGCCATCCCCCCTCACAACGATACCGACGTCTACGCGCACGATATTGGTTTGATCGCCATCAAGGGCGCCGATGGGCACTTGGAGGGTTTCAACGTTCTTGCTGGTGGTGGTATGGGTAGCACTCACAACAACAAGAAGACGTACCCCCAGACCGGCCGCATGTTCGGTTACGTGCCAGCTGATCAAGCCCACATCGTTTGTGAGAAGATCATGCTCGTCCAGCGTGATTTCGGTGACCGTAAGAACCGTAAGCACGCCCGTCTGAAGTACACCATTGACGACATGGGCGTTGAGGCCTACAAGGAGAAGGTCGAGGCCCTTCTTCCTGGTAACTTGCGCTTCGAGGAGCCTCGTCCTTTCAAGTTCGCCTCCAACATCGATACCTTCGGCTGGCAGAAGGATGAGAAGGGTCTCAACCACTTCACCTTCTTCATCGAGAACGGCCGTATCGAGGACACTTCCGAGTTCCGCATGCGCACCGGTCTCCGCGAGCTTGCGGCCCTTGACAAGGGCGAGTTCCGTCTCACCGGTAACCAGCACTTGATCATTTCCAACGTCAAGGATGAAGATCTCCCCGCTATCAAGGAACTGATGGCCAAGTACAAGCTCGACAACACGTCCTTCAGTGGTCTCCGTCTGTCCTCGTCAGCCTGTGTTGCCTTCCCCACCTGCGGTCTTGCCATGGCTGAATCCGAGCGCTACCTCCCCGTCCTGATCTCGAAGCTCGAGTCGACCCTCGAGGAGGCCGGTCTCGCACGCGACAGCATCGTCATGCGTATGACTGGTTGCCCCAACGGCTGCGCCCGACCCTGGCTCGCCGAAGTCGCCTTCGTCGGTAAGGCTTATGGCGCCTACAACATGTACCTTGGTGGCGGTTACCACGGACAGCGTCTAAACAAGCTATACCGCTCTTCCATCAAGGAGGACGAAATCCTCGACATCATGAAGCCCCTACTCAAGCGTTACGCTCTTGAGCGCAATACCGACGGCGAGGAGCCCGAGCGATTTGGTGACTGGCTCATCCGTGCTGGTGTCATCAACGCGACTACCGATGGAACCAACTTCCACGAAGGAGTAAGTCATCCCCCATAAACCCCTTCGGGTCTCTATATATAATCAATCATATGCTAACATAATCCCAATTAGGTTGCCGAGGAAGACGAAGAAGAGGAGTAGGCGACTGCAGATGCACATAGATAAAACGAAACGCGGTCACGGCCCACAACTTATTGTTGTTATATTGCATATCTCACGATTGTCATGTTCTGCTGCTGGCTTTTTCTCTTTTTTGCGCTTTTTAGATTACCAAATTCCCTGTTTGCTTTGCTTCTTGGTTTGATCTGACTTGTTTGGATATACCATGGTTATTAAAAATTTTCTCCTAGTGAATGCGATTTATGTTAGAAATATTCTCTGTTACTTTAGAACCTTTGTATAGAACTATACTGTCTGTAAAAGTAGTTCATGAGGATTATTTCAAGCTGAGTTTGTTATTTTTTCTGCATATTGTCAAAAATATATTTTCTTAGCCCTATACGATTCATTTCCGGACTTACGGTACTCATACGGTCTTTCCAACACTCGCTCAGCTGGTAACTAATCCAGAGCATGGCTGAGGAAGCAGCCCTGAAAACATCCTTATCTGAGGATATCAATGACGAAGTTAATGTCCACTGCATGCTCATGGCCTTGGATGGATGCTCCATTGTATGGATGAGTAATCAACCAGCGCGAGGCGGGCGGACAGTGATGGGTGCCTATTGAAGAAGGCGGTAATAAGCTCAAATCTTTCTGCCGCGCCTTTTTCAATGATGCAGATGGAGAAAAAAGTACGACCATTAGCTTGCACCAGACTTCCTACTCTACACAAACGACCTGGATAATGAAATGACGCCCTTATAGCCTCTTATACATTTGACATTGATCCAATATTGCAATTCTTCTAAATAGGTGCAACCGCACCCCCATAATACAGCCAAAATGTCACAACCACGAACCGCAACACCCCCCAACCCACCACGAACAGCAGCAGAGCCAGGTACCGCCACCAGAACCACCTCCTCAGAAGAAGACCCCGTCATCGCCTCCTACGACATTTACCTCACAAACTCCGACATCAGCCGGTACGTTCTGCAATACCTCGACCGTCCAGCGGGACACGCATACGACGAAACAAACGGGCAGAAACCTACGTCGCTGCGTCTTAAGCCCGATACGGGTTTAGTCGAGGTCGATGTGCCGATTAGCACGCGGCTGAACTATGATATTGGGAAGGGTGTCAAGTACGGGGATGCGTTGAAGAAGAGTAAAAGTGCGCGCGAGGGCGGGGCGTATGGTATGGCGGGTGGGTTTAGTGTTAGTGGGCAGGGAGGTGGACAGGGGCAGGGAAAAGTTAAGGCGGAGGATATGAAGGCGGAGGAAGGGATGATGGGTATGGCGCCTGGGGATCAGACGCCATTGTTGAAGGTGCAGACTCTGGGTGGACGGATTAAGACGCCTGAGGATGGGGATCCGGTTTATATGCTAGCTGCATTTCGGGGGGGTATGTATTCTTTCTTCCTTTTTTGTCTTCTTTTGCGCATTTTGTGGAGCGTGAGGCTGACTGGTGCTGTTTTTCTACAGATAAGCTACATCTTTCTCCGGTTACGGCGGTTGTACAATTGCATCCACAGCTTCATCATCTCGATGCGATGGATGAGATGCCGAAGGGACGGTCTGGGAAGGGTCGAAAAGAGGGCGAGGAAGAGCGGCCCGAGGCGGAAGCTAGAGCCGTTGATGTCAAGGTCAAGGGCGCGGAGGATAGGGATGTCATGGTGCCAGGGAATCTTGACCTCTTGAAGCGGATGCAGGATGAACGGTGGAAGGGCTATGACTGGGTTGATGCCGAGGTATGCAGCTTTGAGTATGAATGCGCAAGCGGAATACTAACTTATGGGCTAGAACGAGGAATCGTGGCAAATTTATGACAACTACATGATGCACCAGGATGTGCAAGACCTGCCGCAGCTCCAATCTGCGATCAACGGCGAGGACTATCTCGATAAGATGAGCGCGCCGCGGATCGACCCGGCGCGGCCGGAGTTGACTGGGTGGGCGATGAAGCAGAACCGGATGAAGCAGAGGGCCACGGAATCATCAGGAAGCAGCACTGAGGAGGGCTAGACACACATATGTAGATGAAATAAAACGACTGCTCACGCATCCCGGTATTTTTTGCGACGATTGTAAACTCCCAAGAAGGATACAGATCGCGTGGTGGGTGATTGCAGTGGAGCAGACTGATGTGATCCACCAATGGGAATGGATGGCAAATGGAGTGTCAGCATCACGTGACGGGGTCTCCCTTTTCGGGCCAGAGTATTTTTCACTCCGGAGCGAATGTTGCCCGTCCTTACTTTTGCTTCAACCTTCTCAATCCTCATCAACCCCGACCTTCCTTCTTTTCGCAGACCTGCTGGCGTGCGAGTTGAGAAGGGCTGCGGGACGTCTTGTCAGTCTGGATTGACAGTCTCCTGCCGAGAGGGCGTTGAGCGTTTTGTCGACCTTGTTCTAGCATTTGCGTCGCATTTAATTCTTCTACCTTTCATTCTCTTATCTCATTTATTGCATTACATCCTTTTCTATCTTTAATCACGATTGTATAATACCTTTTTCTTGTTTAATAGCGTCTTCATTATGTTGTCCCAACTTGCCCGACAACGAAATGCTGTCTCCCAGCTTCGGCTTTTGAAAGGACGCTCTCTCCTGCAATCATCGGCAAAATTACGCCATCATTCCCAGACGAGTCGGGTCAACGCACTGCAAAATTCAGCGAACAGTTCTTCTCCGGATACTCGCCGACGTCGTTCCTCTTTCCAATCAAGCCGCAACCTTGCCACAGCCGCCGACCCCGTACTGGACCACCAATCCCTTTCCTCGGAACTACACCCAGAGCAGCAATGGAGTTCCCTGTTCCCTCCTATCCCCGAGACCTTCGATGCGTCGTCTCTTGTGATTGTGGATGATCAGCTACAGACAAGCCCAAGGGTCTTCAGGAAGATTAGAGGTGTTGGCGGTGATGAGGATGAAATGATGTCCAACCTGGATCTATCGCTCAAGGTTTCCCAGTTCGACCGGGCTTCAAACCTGATCAATCGACTACGGGAATATCACCCTATCGGCTCACCGGGTTATCTTGACCTGCATAACAGGCTACTCCAGGCCATGGTCACGCATATTGCTCACACCGGCGACAAATCGCTGGTGCAGCAGATGCAGAGATGGTTTGAAGTGGACATGCCTTATGGTGGAGTTGAGGGAGATGCAACGACCTACGCGATCATGATTCGGATGGCCCTACGTTCGTTTTATGGCCCCAAGCGGGAGCGAGCTGTTCGCCGCTATTGGCAATTTGCGAAACAAGCCCATGTTGAAGAAGAAGTATTAGCGGTTCCTGTGCTCGACGAGCGTGAGCTCGGTGAACTTTCCCAGGTTTGTTTCCTCTTTTTTCGTATTGTTATCGTCATACTTTGGTACTGATTCTCTTTGTCCTAGATTTGCGCTGCGGATCTTAGACAAGTTGCTATCGATAGCATGGGCTTATCGACGGGAGGCATGGCGGCTGAGAATGAGGCCGCGCCAACGGAGACAATACCATTCGAAGAAGCACCAGAAGTTAAACCAGTCCCACAAAAAGGTCTTGGTCTGTCATCTTTAAAGGATTCAATCTCGCTATTCTCGAATGACCCTCTTCCCAGGAAGGTTGGGGTCACAGATATTGAAAGCAAGGAGCTATACCAGCAACGTCGGCAACAGCAACTCGAAGCGGACGTGATGCAGTCGGCCCTGAACCGTTGGCAAAAAGAGAACGAGACAATCCAGCAGGTGAAGCCGGACGCCAAGATAGGTGGAAAGCATCTATCACCGATCATTACTCGGTGGCATGCGGATCTGGTGTCCAGGATTCGGGAGGAACTGAACTTTATCAAGGAAGCAGAAACGAACCCCGTCGTAACTAACGAACAAAAAGAACGATGCGAATACGGCGTTTACCTGCGCACTCTTGAACCGGAAAAGCTCGCAGCTTTGACAATTCTGACGACCATGGGTGTTCTCGTTCGCAACGGTATGGAAAAGGGAATCAAGCTCGCGCCTCTTGCAGTCTCCCTTGGACATGACTTCTACGATGAAATGATGTCCGACAGGCTTCTGCAGGCCAAGAAAAAGTCCGACAATAATATTCAGCGCTTTAAGATGCTTAAGAAAATGCTTGCTGGGCGCAAGGAGAAAGACAGTAGAACCAAGTGGAACCACCTGCTTCGAAATATGGAAAAAGACGAGCCTGACATCGTTTGGCCAACAGCTCTCAGGGCGAAGCTTGGAGCCGTTCTTTTGAGTCTTCTTTACGAGGTTGCCAAGGTCCCTGTCGCTACTGAAACGGACAAGACGGCAAAGGTGAAGGCACGAGAGATAACCATGCAGCCTGGATTTCAACATTCGTACCAAATCCACTGGGGCAGGCGCAGCGGTTATATCCATGTCCACCCGGAGCTGGTCAAAATCATCACTAGGGAGCCAGTCTCAGATTTGCTGGGTCGTCATCTGCCCATGATCTCCAAACCGAGACAGTGGACAGGCTACAAAGACGGCGCTTATTATCTACACCAGAACCGCATAGTCCGCACCACACCAGGCGAGGCTTTGCAACCGACGTACGTGAAGGCGGCACTCGAGAACAACGGTCTAGAGAGTATTCGCCAGGGTTTGGACATTCTCGGTAGCACGGGTTGGGTCATCAACCGTGACGTTTTCAATGTCATGCTCGAGGCATGGAATGGTGGCAAACCTATCGCTGATCTGGCACCAGCTGAGCCAGATTTGCCTCATCCGCCAAAACCATCACCCGAGGAGGGTTACGAAGCTGAGAAGAAGTGGAACAACCTTGTGCGCGACATTGAAAACCAAAGAAGTAGTTACCATTCTCAGCGGTGCTTCCAGAACTTCCAACTGGAAGTGGCACGTGCCTATTTGAACGAAACCTTCTACCTTCCTCACAACATGGATTTCCGCGGTAGAGCGTATCCACTTCCTCCCTATCTCAACCAGATGGGCGCCGATAACGCACGTGGTCTTCTCCTCTTCAGCGAGGCTAAACCACTAGGACAAAGTGGACTGAGGTGGTTGAAGATCCAGATTGCAAACCTTTCTGGATTTGACAAAGCTAGTCTCTCTGAGCGTGAACAGTATGCTATGGATCACCTTGATGATGTACTTGATTCCGCCAACAATGGCCTCCATGGTCGGCGTTGGTGGCTGAAAGCCGAAGATCCCTGGCAATGCCTGGCTGCCTGCTGTGAGCTCCGAAACGCCCTTCAACTTCCGAACCCGGCCGGTTATGCATCACGTTTGCCCATTCACCAGGATGGCTCTTGCAACGGTCTACAGCATTATGCTGCCCTTGGTGGTGACAAAATTGGTGCACAGCAGGTCAACCTTGAGCCCTCTGATCGCCCATCAGATGTATATTCAGGTGTTGCGGAATTCGTCAAAGAAACTGTTGCCCGTGAAGCGGCACAGGGCAACGCTACTGCAAAGATGCTGGATGGAAGAATTACTCGTAAGGTTGTCAAACAGACAGTCATGACCAACGTTTACGGTGTTACTTTTATCGGTGCCATGAAGCAAGTTCAAAAACAGCTGGTGGACCACTACCCGGACCTTTCCAGCGAGCAGAAGAGGCTCGGCGCGTTGTACATTGCTCGAAAGATCTTCGAAGCCCTTGGCACGATGTTCAACGGAGCCCATGACATCCAATACTGGCTGGGCGACTGTGCCAGTCGCATTACGCAGTCCATTCCCCCGGAACAAATCGAAGCCATAGCCAAACAGCTTATGACCCCGAATAGGCGCGGCAGCAAGGGCCTTACCACAGCGGAGCAAAACAACCCCAACTCACATTTCCGCTCAACCGTCATCTGGACTACGCCTCTAGGCTTGCCTGTTGTGCAGCCTTACCGGTCTCGGGTGTCGCGCCGTGTCAACACGTTTTTCCAGGGCCTGAACATTGTCGAACGCGACTCCAACTTTGTTGTTTCCAAGCGGAAGCAGCTGCAGGCATTCCCTCCAAACTTTATCCATTCGCTTGATGCCACCCACATGATGCTGTCTGCATCTGCCTGTCACCAAGCTGGCCTTACGTTCTCCGCCGTGCACGACTCGTTCTGGACCCACGCTTCTGACGTCGACTCGATGAACCAGATTCTCCGCGAAGCATTTGTCAAGATGCACTCTGATAATGTGATCAAGAGGTTGGCGTCCGAATTCAACGTACGATACGGCCGCAACATGTTTTACGCCAAGGTGCCAGCGACAAGCAAAGTCGGGAAAGCGGTTACTGCTTTCCGAAAGAGCAACAAGAAGAGAAACTCGAAAATGCATGAACTTTTTGACGAGTACAAACGCCAGAAATTGTTGAGCTCGGACGACCCTGAACTACAGGCCCAAGGCCGTGCGATGGAGACGGCGGCAAGCGTTTTCGATCTGGCTGGCGGAACGGACAATGATCTATCCATTCACAACTCTCTCGGTGAAACAGCTGTTGGACACGTCCCCGAGGACGTGGAGGCTGCGGCAAACAAACTTGCAGGCCTGGAGACCGACGGATCGGACCCGGCAATCGCCAGTCTTCTCGGGAACGATTTCCACGGAGACCTGGAGTCGAAGGTCGACGTGGCCGAGGAGGGGCCCGAGGCGGAGGAGGGAGTGGAAGCGGAAGCGCCAAAGAAGAAGAGGTCGCGCCAGGGACAGCATGTTTGGCTGTGGATGCCCCTCCGGTTTCGCGAAGTGCCGAAGAAGGGCGAGTGGGATCTGTCGCGGATCCGCGAGAGCAAATATTTCTTCTCTTAATTGCATATAATCATGGACTGGCGCTCTGGGCAAAAGTACATTAGGGGTGAGCTACAGCGGCGTTTTGATTTTTTTTTGCCCGTCGTTATGTGGCGGTTATGTACATTATGATATCCGTGTATGATACCTGTATATACTAAAGACACTGACATACTATTCAACGTTATAAGCATGGAATATTCAACGTTATAAGCATGGAAATTTCTTCGCATCTTCTCCTGGTGGGCAGCTCGGTTAAACGGCGGAGACCGAGTCTGGGGTAATTTAGGCAAAACTCGGCTGAACTGACGGCACTTGTCCACCACAAGGCTGCCGAATGTACACCGTAGTGTTACGGTCAAATTACAGGAGGCGACATTATCAAATTAAGTTTCCTGCGCAGGTCCTGCTAATTAATTTTCTGTCACACCGAGATGGGTGTTCTCTGTGCTGTGTTCGCTGCTGCCGGAGTGAACTCCAGGTTCTGGCTGCCTGAGGCTGCGCTTCCCCACCTTTTCAGTCTCCATTTCTCGGGTTTCTTCCTTTTTTCTCCTGAGTTGCATGGTCTGTTCGACTCGCTTCTGCTTCTTCTCCAGTTCCTGAGTTCTGGCTGCGAGGATCTTTCCTGCTTTTGGTGAGTCGATGCATGGCCTGACTTCCTCGTGCTCTTGGCCCGTGTTGCACTTGCAACCCCGTCTCCCATCCCCATCCACTCCTGCGGTCTCGGCTTTGGGGTTAGCTTGTACTTTCGCTCGTGCCTACTGCCTTGTCCCTACGACCTTGTCCCTTGGTTGATTATCCTGGTAGCCCCCTCTTCCGTTCTTGCGTTCCCGGGCCTCTGTCGGCATTGTGGGCGCAGCTCTCTCCTCATTCTCGTTCTCCCCACCACTTCGATCTTCAACTAAGTCTCTGTCAATCATCAGATCCCTGATTTTCTCCTCACCTGATCGTTCCAGTTGTCGTCTTCTCGTCAGTCAGACTCGACGACCTGTATCAACACCTCTCATGCCCTCTTGATCCATTCTATGTGAGGATGTCGACTACCTCGCTCCAGCAGTTCGCCACATCCTTTTCCCCTTTTTCGAACTCGCAGTCGGCGAGAATGACCCAATCTCAGACAGTGGGGCTGGACACGCTCGCCGAGGGCTCGCAATACGTGCTGGAACAATTGCAGCTGTCGCGAGAAGGTGGTAACATCGACAGCAATACCTCCGATTCTTTGCGACATTCTCTGTCTAGACCCAAGGATCAACTCTACGGCGATAGCAACTCCGCCTACAAACCTTCGTCTGTTCGTGACTCGCTCGCTGAAGCCCGGTCCATGATTCGCAAAAACTCTGTTTCGGGCCCCGTCCGGCGGAGGATAAGTCGAGCTTGTGATCAATGTAACCAGCTCCGGACCAAATGCGACGGCCAGAACCCGTGCGCCCATTGTATAGGTACTTCTGCTATTTTCTCTGGCAAGTCTGACATGGAGTTGCTAACCTTTTGCCCACAGAATTCGGGCTGACATGCGAATACGCTCGTGAACGCAAGAAACGCGGGAAAGCTTCGAAAAAGGACCTGGCTGCGGCGGCAGCTGCAGCAGGACTTGGACACCAAGGAAACGGTAGCGCAGGCAGGGATATGCCGTCGCCTTCTGATAGACGCATGTCACAGGAAGCCAGCGGCCGGTACGACTCGGCCCTCGATGCGCCGCGTGTTCAATCGCAAATACCCACAAACGGTCTGGCCGGTATTCAGAACACTCAATCGGCACATTCGCAACCACCGCTGGGATCTGCTCTTGATGCATTACACTTGAACCAGTTCACCCATATGAACGAGCACAGTCGCTCCCAGATGCCCCTCTCAGATCTCCGCTCGTTACAGATCCTCCATAATAATCCTCGCTCTCCTCAATCTGCCCTTCCCCCACACGGTTTAAATGCGACGTATAACGACAGCACCTTTTCATTATTGAACTCCCAAGAGGCGCATTCAACCTCGCTCAACCATTTCCGCTTGGGAAATTCAACAGACAACCAGCCTGCTCAGTTCCTGGGTCTTTCACCCCCGGCGCAATCCCCAGGATGGCTTCCGCTACCGTCACCGTCTCCTGCCAATTTTCCTTCGTTTCCTATGGCATCGCTCTCCGGAACAAGTTTACGTTACCCCGTTCTTCAGCCAGTCCTTCCTCATATAGCCTCAATTATACCCCAGTCCCTTGCCTGTGATCTTCTCGACCTTTATTTCACAAGTTTATCCTCGTCACATCTCTCCCCCCAATCTCCTTACGTCGTTGGCTACATCTTCCGCAAGCAGTCGTTTCTCCATCCGACCAAGCCGCGTGTCTGCTCCCCTGGCCTGTTAGCGAGTATGCTATGGGTAGGGGCGCAAACAAGCGATGCTCCGTTTTTGACTTCCCCTCCATCGGCACGCGGCCGAGTATGTCAGAAGCTTCTGGAGTTGACAATAGGGCTTCTGCGGCCATTGATACACGGACCTGCCCTGGGCGAGGCTTCTCCGAATTATGCAGCAAACATGGTTATCAACGGGGTAGCACTTGGTGGTTTTGGAGTATCGATGGACCAGCTTGGGGCCCAAAGCAGTGCAACAGGCGCGGTAGATGACGTTGCGACGTACGTTCACCTCGCGACGGTTGTTTCCGCCAGCGAATACAAAGCAGCAAGTATGCGTTGGTGGACGGCCGCCTGGTCACTGGCCCGAGAGCTGAAACTTGGCCGCGAGCTGCCTCCAAACGCGTCTCAATCGGCTCAAGACGGGGAGCGAGAGAACGAAGGTGATGACCCGTCGAAGCGAAATACCTCGTCAATGCTTTCTGCACATGGCCCCGGTAACTCGAATGTCAATGTAACGGAGGAAGAACGGGAAGAGCGCCGGCGTCTTTGGTGGCTTTTGTACGCCACTGACCGTCATTTGTCATTGTGTTATAACCGGCCGCTCACGTTGCTGGATAAAGAGTGCGCGCAACTCTTGCAGCCGATGAATGATGATTTATGGCAAGCTGGCGACTTTCCGTCCGCTACGTATCGTGCGGTTGGTCCGCCAATTGAGTGTTCTGGTCATAGCATGTTTGGCTATTTCTTGCCATTGATGGCCATACTAGGAGGCATTATCGATTTACACCAGGCTAAGGAGCACCCGAGATACGGACCTGCCTTCCGCAGCGGAACCGAATGGGACCAGCATACCATGGCGCTTTCTCAACAGCTTGACGCCTACGGCCAGAGCTTGAAAGACTTTGAAGCGCGTTATACCAATAGTTTGGCTCTTGCAGAAAACGAGCCTGTTGAGACCTCGCACTTGGACCATGTGAGTCCATCTGGCCGTTCGAGTAGTACGGTTGGATCGCGCGTCAACGAGTCCATTGTTCACACCAAAATGGTCGTTGCGTATGGGACCCATATCATGCACGTTCTGTACATTCTTTTGGCTGGAAAATGGGACCCAATCAACCTGCTAGAAGATCATGACATGTGGATCTCATCAGAGTCGTTCCTCACCGCAATGAGCCACGCAGTTGGTGCTGCCGAGGCCGCGGCTGACATCCTCGAACACGACCCTGATCTTAGTTTTATGCCATTTTTCTTCGGCATTTATCTCCTCCAAGGCAGCTTCTTACTGTTACTGGCTGCAGACAAGCTGCAAGGCGACGCAAACCCTAGCGTTGTCCGAGCATGCGAGACCATCGTTCGCGCCCACGAGGCTTGTGTCGTGACGCTGAACACTGAATATCAGGTTTGTTTCCAGTTAACATTTACGTCCGTTGCATTGACTAACAATTCCCAGCGAACATTCCGCAAAGTGATGCGCTCGGCCCTTGCCCAGGTTCGTGGCCGTATCCCAGAGGACTTTGGCGAGCAGCAACAGCGCCGACGTGAGGTGCTCTCCCTTTACCGCTGGTCCGGTGATGGCACAGGCCTCGCACTGTAGGCTCGCGTGTCCTTTGGTATATATACCCGACACCAGGATTGATGACTTGACGAATTGAAGCGGTTAATATGGATGGGCCGAAGTACTTGGAGTTATCGGAGTATTGCTGCTTTGTCCTGCCGTGCTCTGAGTTTCTGTGCTGTTTCCACCTTATATAGTTTATACACCTCCTGACTTTGTTTCTGCTATTGCATATCTGTATAGTATAGCCACTCATACCCCATCTTAGCTTAATCTGCTTTATGCATCTATGCATTGTTCTGGAAAACTGATTGATTGACCAGTAAGAGCGAGTTGATTAGGTATGACGCCACCGCTGAGATAAGCGATAAGGCGATAAGCCGTGCATTAAATTATCCGCGGCATCTCCTCATCGAATTCCATCAAACAACTCCCCAAACCAACAAAAGACATGGACGAGATCGATACCCCATAATCCAAACGTCAAACCATGTCTTTACTAACTAATATCACCAAATCCCTCCGCCCCTCAACATCCCTCCCCTCCAAACCACCCCGATTCCTCCCCCTCACCCCGCGCCGGTATATCGGTATCCCTCCGCAATACCTCCTCGACGAGTACATCCCACGCTACGCGCTTCTCACCTCGATCGACGCGGCCAAAAAGCGCAGCAGGGCCTACTCGCATCTAGCGAACTGTAATCTGTGTCCACGCAAATGCGGCGTAAACCGGTTCGAGACGACGGGCATGTGCATGATCGGCGCCGAGACAGCAAAGGTTAATGTGATTGCGCCGCATCGGGGCGAGGAACCCTGCATCCAGGGGTTTCATGGGAGTGGGTCGGTGTTCTTCTCGGGGTGTAATCTGCGGTGTGTGTTTTGTCAGAATCATGTATGTTGAAACATAACAGTTTTCCCGGCTTGCCAGTGGGGGAGAGGAGGGTGCTAATGAATGTGCTGTAGGATATCGCGCACAAGCGCAACGGATTCGATCTCACCCCTGAAGAACTGGCGGACTGGTATCTGAAGCTCCAGAATGTTGGGAACGTGCATAACATCAACCTTGTGACGCCGGAGCATGTGGTGCCGCAGGTTGCGCTGTCGATCCTTGCGGCGCGAGATATGGGACTCAAGATTCCCATCATCTATAATACATCCTCGTTCGACTCACTCGAGTCGTTAGAACTGCTAGATGGGCTGGTGGATATCTATCTCCCTGATTTCAAAGTGTGGAAATCGGCCACGTCGAAACGGCTGCTCAAGGCGGATGATTATACGGAGACGGCGAAGGAGAGTATCAAGGCTATGCATGAGCAGGTTGGGGATCTGGCGTTTACGAGCGATGGGATTGCGAAGAAGGGCGTTTTGCTGAGACATCTTGTTATGCCGGGGAAGGAGGATGAGGGGAGGGAGATTATGAAGTGGCTAGCGGAGAATGTGAGTCGTGATTTGTATGTGCATGTCATGGAGCAGTATCATCCTGATGCGCATGTTGGGAAGAAGAGGAGGATTCCGAGGCGGAAGGCTGCAGAGGGTGAAGGCGGTAGTGCAGGAGAGGTCGACGAGGTTAGGTATGCGGAGATAAACCGGGCTGTCAAAGATGAGGAGCTGGGGAGCGTGAAGGATGCGGCTGTTGATGCTGGGCTTTGGAGGTTTGTGGAGGTGAATGAGAAGAGTATGTTCCATCTGTGATGTTGAGTTAGGGCTTGGATGACTGCAGTGTGGTGAATGTATATACCCTTGTATGATAACATGAGATAGAATTAATGTGTTCTTGTTCCAGAAGATGTCAGAGACATAGGCTGTGCAGACTGCAGTTTTGGTGTGCATGTTTATGCCTTGTCTTTATGCATTGTCTTTATGCGCATTTCTATTCCTATGATGTCGGCCGAGCGACACCATGAGCGAGTATCACAGCCATCCACTGCACGACTAAGCAGGGCACAGGGCTATTTTCTCTCCCACAGCACTTCTCTCTTCTTCCCATAACACCTCTCTCTTCTCCATCCACATCCCCCTTCTTTCACACTGTCTGCCTCTTTCCCAGGCGTATCCCATTACAACAACTCAAGCCCACCTGACTAACCATGGCGGAAGTAACCAACAACGACATTCCCAATGACCCCGAGGCCACAAAGCTTTGCAAAAAGTGCGGGCGTCGATTCCCAATCAGCGAATTCGTTAGTGCCCGAGGCCTGCCGACGCTTCTCTGCAGCATATGCAGAAAGTCATCCAACGACAGTGTATGTTTCTTGCATTCTGGTGCTGCTGGAGTGGCCCTGTACTTTGCTAACATGTTTACTGCCTGGTAGCACCGTCGTAAGAGGCAGGGTGTTGCTGCTGTACGTTGTGTTCCTGCTTGTCTACTTAGAGGAAGGGCAATGAAGTTGAAATTAATATGTGCAGCAGGGCCCCGTGAACCCTCAGCCGCTGCCACAGCAGCAGCAGCAGCAGCAGCAGCAGCAGCAACAGCCACAGCCACAGTCCCAGCAGACCCAACAGGCAATGACTGCTCAGGTACGTATAGAGCTTGCCCTAGTCTGAACTCGAGGATGTACTGACAAATGAAAAGCCTGCCGTTGTTAACCAGCAACCGCAGCATCAGCTGCAGCAGCACGCTTATTTCGATGAGTTTGAAGACGAGGGCTTCGACGAGTTTCTGCAATATCCACCCGTTCCTATTGGCGGACTTCTCCCTCTGGCGACCACCAGCAATGACGATGTAACTATGTCACGGCGTTCCCCGACGAAGCTGATTCTTTGGCTAATATTTACAGGACCGTTCCTCTGCCGCCCCGACTGGTGGAACCGTTGAGCACACCAATACCTTCGCCCAGTTGGAACAGGAGTATACCGACAATATGAACAGTCTTTTCGTGGCAAACAGCAGTGGAATTCACGCTGAATCTCCAGCAATAGTCCCGAGAATCATAACCGACCTGCAGGCTGTCTTTGAAAGCGATGCCGCAGACGTAACCTCCGCTATGCCGTTCAGCGAGCACTCTAATGGAGCTACACTCGAGACACGCAGAACTGGTCAGCTGGAGCAATACCGCGTCCGAGTCGACTCTCAAGCGTTCCTAGAAAGAATTGAGTGATTCAGCACCTCTACTGCCGACATGCGTTGGAAACCCAAGATGGTGGAAATTGACTGCCAACATGGCATCTGAAATCGTTGTGTTTTTGTGCTTTTTGTGATTTAGTTGTCTTTTGACCTACGATATTTGCCTTGCAAATCGTGAAGTACTTAGAATAGTACAGTACCAATAGTACAATAGTACCAGTTACCACCAGAAGACGTAGTCTCGTTCCTTCCCAGTTCGTGCATCTCGTCAATCCACCTCCTCCCTCTTCTTCTTCCATCCTAAATCTCACAAAGAACCACTATCAACGCTGCGGTGTATGATTTACTTGTGTTACTGTTACTAGTCCATCCTTACATCGACGGAGTTCAGGATGTGGTATGCGGCTGCTCTATGGGCACTCCCAGCAGTCCTGGGTGCAAGGCAGTCCGAATGTCCTCCACCATGCACTGCAGACCCCAGCAAGTGGACGCCGTATAAGACTCTCGAGAGCCTGAAAGACTGCCACCATCCAGTGTTGCTCGACATCTCGTCCCACGAATCCCCCAACGTCCCGGAAGCACCGTTCAGAATCCACGCCTGTACCGTCGAAGAACACCCCGATGACCCTGAGGCTGAGTCGAAACTTTTTATCAATCTTATCGAACCGTCAGAGTTAGCGATAACTGACCCCGATACAGCTTCTAGCCTCCACGAGCTCAACTTCCTTCTCCACCATGTGCAAAGCGTCCTGGCTGATATCTCAAACGGGGACACTCGAAGTGTCATTGGGCATTTCAATTTTACAACTGTCGGTATATACAGCGGGGCAGCGGTTGATATGTCCATGGCCACATTCATACTCGAAGCATTCAGGGCCAGTGAGGATACCCAGACTCGGAAGGCTGCTGCAATCCGGGTCTGCGGTGACAGACACGATTTTGAACATACGTTTGCAATCACCGTCGATACAACTGGTGATATGATGACTGTTCGAAAAGCAGTCGATTTATGGACCGAAGCTCACTGCGTGGAAAACGAGACCGTTCTCAATTTCCGGGATATCGGTACTATTGACAAGCCCATACGAATACAGCCACACCCTATTACGAAGAGATCCTCAAAAGAGGACACCTGCAAAATGGAAACAGTCATACAAGGAGACACTTGCATTGCTATTGCCGGACGATGTGGCATTCCCGTGGAAGAGTTATTGAGATACAATTCTGAACACGACCAGGATGGCAAAAACAATGATACTTGGTGCACGCTTCTACAGCCTGGCGACCAGCTCTGTTGCTCTGAGAGAGCAAAGACGCCCGTATCCAAGCCATCGAGGAACAAGAATGGTTCGTGCGCAGCATACGTAACGGAGCCCGGCGACACTTGCGCCTTGATTGCCCAGAAACATGCTCTGGAGGAGTCCAAAATCAGCTATTTCAATGACAGGAGGACATGGGGCTGGTACGGCTGCGACTACATCCAACCTGGGCTCAGGATTTGCTTGAGTGAAGGATATCCGCCGCTTCCTGATCCTCGCCCTGACGCAGCTTGCGGTCCAACTGTCCCGGGAACAGTAATGCCAATGGATGGCCAACCTCTTGCCGATTTAAATCCATGTCCCCTGAATGCGTGCTGCAATATCCTGGGAAACTGTGGAGTGTCCCCTGAATTCTGCATCAACGAGGTGGGCCCAACCGGAAACCCAGGAACAGCGCCTGCAGACCACAAGGGGTGCATCTCGAACTGTGGTATGGAGATACTTGAGAACTCAGACGAGCCTGCTGAGTTCCTGAGGATTGGATACTATGCGTCGTTCAATCTTGACCGGCCTTGCCTCAATCTTCGCGCAGCCGATATCCAAGTCAACGATTACACTCATATTCACTGGGCGTTTGCCAATATCAACAGTAGCTTCAAGCTTGACATCATTGATCCCCATGAGCAATGGGAAGACTTCCTTGCCTTGGACGGTGTGAAGCGGATTGTCTCCTTTGGTGGCTGGGGGGTTACTATCAGCACAGTATTCTATGAGGTGCTCCGCAAGGCTCTGGACCCGGCGAATGTCGACGGATTCATCACCAACATATTGGAGTTTGTGGAACAACATAACCTGGACGGTGTGGAATTTGACTGGGAGTATCCGGGCGTAAGTTTCCTCTACACTGCTCTTACGTTTGCTCAACCATTCCAGGCCACAGACCTCCAAACCGTGTCGTTTAGATCGCCTTCAGATGGCGTAAACTACCTTGAGTTCCTCAAGAAGCTCAAAAAGGCGCTCCCGCAGGAAAAAGACATCTCCGTAGCTGCGCCTGCGTCATTTTGGTACCTTAGGGGGTTTCCACTTGCGGAAATATGGCAGTACGTCGATTATATCATTTATATGACTTATGACTTTCATGGTAAGAGAACAACTTCGAGTTTAACCAGAATACTAATTCATATAGGCCAATGGGATTACAATGAGTTCGTTCTACAGGACTGGTGCAATGGAGGGAACTGTCTACGAAGCCATGGTAAGTTGCAATCCCAAGCAAAGGTATGTCTAACAGCATAGTGAACTTGACGGAAACCGAGTACGCCCTTGCAATGAGTACGTAACTCAGACCATTTATAAAGATATTAACTTACAGATTCAGTCACAAAAGCCGGAGTCCCGAAGAACAAAGTGGCGGTGGGGGTGGCCAGCTACGGCCGTGCCTTTGGCATGAAGGATGCGGATTGCACAGGGCCAGAGTGCAAGTTCGAGGGTCCACAGTCTACAGCACTTCCTGGACGGTGCACGAGAACTCCAGGGATCATTGCAAATGCCGAAATCGAAGAATTGATACTTCAGGGCGACATAAATGAGTTCTTCTACGATGCGGGCTCAGACTCGAACATCCTGGTGTACAACGACACCCAATGGGTGGCATTTATGAGCGAGAGCACAATGAGACGCCGAGTGGAGTACTATAGAAGCCTGAGGTTTGCTGGGTACGCGAACTGGGCAGTTGATCTGACACATTGGAGTGGCGATGATTGAGTTAAGACCGACGAAGAGGATGAGTCGAAGGCAGCAGTTGTGGCGAGATCAGTGTTACTTACTTGAATAGCAATATACCTATCCATATTCAAATCCTCGTGCGTGTAACTCATTGTCGGGGGGTAAGGTAGCTAGATAGGACCACGGCAGATGGCCATGAACTCCATATTTTCCCCGCAGATTGTCATGCACTGCATTGCTTTCCCCGCATAATTCCAGGAGTGGCTATTGGTTTATTGGTTTATGGGTCTGGGTGCTGATAAGGAGTTTAGGGTGGACTTAAAGCAGGCAACCGTCAGCGAGCCCTGATAAGAGGCTGAGAAGTATATCCGTATATTCCGTAGACATGACTGTGCAGACAGACCAACCTCATTATCTATCATTATCTTCCAACTGTTATGTGCCTCAGATAAGCCAAACTTTCCCGACCTCCAGGAAATGCTCAGCGAGAGTGGCTGCTCTAATCAGGCAATGATACCCCAGGAGATAACAATCTCCAACTCCATATCATGTATAAAGGATGGAACTGGCAAAATAATACCCCCAGTCAGTGGTCATTTCTATACACATTCTAGTCATGGGTCCTCTCGAAATCACGAAGAACGAGCATGAGTCTGCACCGAATTCGGTGGCAGATGTTACTAAAGGCGACATCAACACCGCCGAGCAGACAGCTGTATTGCCCAAGAGTTTCAACCTGTTAAGTGCCTGCGCCACGGGTATTACCACGGGCAATGCGTGGGCGGTTCTAGGAGGTGGAATCGTATGTCAACATTTACCCTGCCAGGGTTCATCTAGACTTGGCTAACAGAACAGATCGCGTCTCTTTATAACGGCGGCCCTCCTGGAGTTATTTTTGAATTGTGTGCACGCACCCAAGAAAGACCCAGAAGTAATTCAGCTGACTTTATATATAGTGCTCTTGTTTCCTTCTTTTACTGCTTCATTGCGGCGTCCATCGCGGAATTGGCCTCTTCCATCCCGGCCTCTGGCGGAGGTAAGAACAATAGGATAAGTACCTACTGCATCTACTAAGATTTATAGTATATCACTGGGCAAATATAACCGCCGGCCCCCGGTATGGCCGCATCTGCGGCTGGTTCGCAGGCTGGTTGAATGCCCTCGCCTGGGTCTTTGCAGTGGCCTCAAATACCTCCATGATATCCACAATGATTGTCTACGCATACGGACTATACCATCCGGACCTGATCCCCCAGCGCTGGCACGTTTTCATCTGCTACCTGCTCATCTCATGGACATGCTGTTTCACTGTCATGTTTGCGCAGCCCGCTCTCCCCTGGATCAGCCGGCTGGGCTCGTTCTTCATTATCACCGGGTTCTTTGTGAGTATTATTGTTGTTGCTGTTATGCCTAGCACCGGGGGTGGGGCGGGATATGCGTCTCATGATTTTGTCTGGAGGGATTGGGAGAATATGACGGGCTACTCGAGCGATGGGTTTACGTTTCTTGCGGGCATGTTGAATGGCGCTTTTGCTATTGGGGCTACGGACTGCGTTACGCATATTGCGGAGGAGATTCCCCAGTATGACTTACCTTACCACTCCTGTACCTATTGGTTTAGTGTTTAATTGAGCTAACCAGAACAGAGCAGCAAAGAACATCCCCAAAGCCCTCGGCTTCCAAATCAGCATCGGCTTCATCACAGGCTTCTGCTACCTCGTCACAATCTTCTACGCCGTCACCGACCTTCCCAAGATCATGAACTCGGCCAACACCTTCTGCCCACTGGGTGATATCTACCTGCAAGCAACAGGCGGGTCCAAAGCCGGAACCGTCGGGCTCCTCGCCGTCATAATCGCGCCCATCTTCTGCGCCACAATCGGCTGCTACATCACCGCCGGCCGCATGGTGTACGCCCTCGGCCGCGACGACGCCCTCCCCCTCGCCCGCTGGATCGGGGCCGTAAGTCCCCGCTGGGAGAGTCCGTTGTTTGCAACACTCAGCTGCGGGGTATTACTCACGGGTATCGGGGCGATATACGTCGGCTCCCTGACTGCCTTCAACGCATTCATCGGCTCCTTTGCCGTAATGACAACCGTCTCCTACCTGCTTGCGATATTGCCACATGCGCTCAGTGGACGGAAGAGAATCCGGCCCGGCCCGTTCTGGATGGGTGATGGGGTGATGGGGATGGGGGTGAATCTCGTGGCTTGTGGGTATATTGTTGTGACGGTGGTGATATATTGCTTTCCCTATGAGATGCCGACGGAGGCGGGGCACATGAATTATACCTGTCTGATTACGGGGGGGTTGACTATTGTAGCGGGGATTTGGTGGCTTGTTCATGGGAGGAAGCATTATGTGGGGCCTGATATGGAGATGTTTGAGTAGCTGTTCTTATTTATCTAGCTATATAGGATGATAGGTTGGTAGGTAGGTTATTTGGGTATAGTTTGTATCTCTACTGGTTAGCAATGTCCGTTGCTGTAATGCGACTCTTTGTATTCAGTCTGTGTATCTTTACTAGAACATATGTCCGGAACCAGCGGAAGTAAAAACGGCTTTATGTATCAATAGGCCTTGGATAGTGTAGAGCTTGCCCAGATAGCCAGCACAGACCCTCAGACTGTGGAGACTCCACTGAACAAGGTAAACCGTCAGCGAGCCAGTGGAGCATCATTCCAGCTCATATAAATGAATACTGCTGGCATGAAAATATCTCTTTTTACACTCAACCTCTGACCTCACTCTGACAATGTCTTCATTCTCTAATCCAGATTCGCAAGCGCGCGTCTCAACACGCTTATCACTACGATGGCTCCCAGAACCTCCTACCGAGACAACAGACACCCTCGTCCTGAATGTAGGAGATTGGTACGTCGACCTGCGCGTAGACAAGACATCCAAGAAACTTGACTGGGCCCTTGCTGGGCAATATCTACGGCAGGATATCCCCAAACAAGTATCAGAGACCGGTACCCTATACCTAAACACCGTCTAAACCGGATACCAGGTATTTTGGCTAACTTCAGAAAAGAAAAGAAAATAGTGCATATAGTCTTCACGCACGACATCGACTCGCACCACAATTTCAACATCAGCGCCCCCTGCCCCTTCATCACACAGCCCAACGGTGACGATCTAGAAACAGGAGCCATGGCCCGACCTGATGTCCCGGGCGAACCGGTGACAGAATATGAAGAGGTATGGCGGTATCTACCCCCGCTCCGTGGGCCTGAGGGACAGGCATGTGTCTCGTACGTGCTCGAGTCCGACGACGGTGTACTAGGGGATGGACTCCATAAACTTAATAAAGTGTTTATTGCCCGGATTGGCGGGCAGTGTCTTGTTTTCCAGCAGGATGTAACCCATGAGCGTCGTCAGATCTCACGAGGGAAGTGGACTGTTCAGATTACGGGAGGGGATGTGAGTGCGAGACGTGAGGAATGGGTTGGTGGACGGTGGGAGGCGCGGTATGTCTTAGGGCCTAGAGGCGATGAACTACCGTCGATGTCGGGGGAGCTGGGGAGGTTAGGCCATGGCGCTAGGCTTTGTCCTGGGGATAGGCTCAGTTTGGGAGGGTGTCGGTTTATAGTGCGGGCGTATGAATCCTGGCGGAAGAACGATAGAAGTTCGCATCTCTAAAGCAGTGCTGTGATATAGAAACAGCGCGCGCTTAGAAAAGTCACCTAGTCGATCCAGCAGGGTAACCGTCAGCAGCCCTACCAAGACAGCGGTGTTTTCTGTCTTTTTGAAGTATGTACTATCAAGTACACAAATTAGACTCCCACAGAATGGAAGTAATAGCAATATGACTAATGTACGTGATATTAGAGCACATCCAGATCAACCATCGACTGCACCGCATCCACAACACTCTTCTCCAGCGGGATATACTTCCACTCAGCCCCCTTTCCCTGGGACAATATATCCAGACTGACACGCATATCCCAGCCAGTCGGGTGCACCCCCTCGGGCAGCTCTCGCCCAGGCGTACCAGCAGGAACTCTCTCCCTCAGGCTTGGAAAGTGCTCCCTGATAATATCAACCACCAGCTGCGGAGTAACCAACCCCGAAATGAGCAGGATGCGCTGCCCGCTGGCTGCGGGGGATGTCAGCGCATCGACGTGGCTATGTGCTACGTCCCGCACGTCAACCTTAAGAAATTAGCCAGAGCAAAACAAACATTAAACTGGGTGGAAGTAGCGGCGTACAAAATGATAAAACGGAAACCGCACATCCTCGACCTTGCTATTCGTCCCGTCAATGAAGCTTGCAATGGCGAAATGGTTCGTTTCGTTGATCGCGCCCTTGCCCTTGCCCGAGACAGGATGGATCATTGGGCCCGTGATGATATCCGGGTTGATGACGGCCAGGTCGAAGCGCGGGTTGTTCGCTTCCATAAACTCCCATGCCCTCCGCTCGGCCTGTGTCTTTGACACGTTGTAGCCCAGGACCGGGTCGTTGCGTTGGATGGCTTGCTCTGCGGTTACCTAGCCTGTGTGAGCTTCTATGAGTGGAAAATGGTGTATAGGGACTGACAGGATTCCAGTCCTTCTCGGTATATGGACGGCCCTCGCGGCTGATGCCTTCAAAGGAGTTGAGGACCGAGACGGCACTGCCCAAGAGGACGAAGCGCTTCAAGGATGAGCCGCCATGTCGATGGGCGCTCTCTAGTATCTGTGTTGTTCTGGACATGTCAGTTGGTCTGCAAGACGTGACGAGTGTTTCTTGGATTACCCCTTGACAGCCGGCTCGATCATCTCCTTCTGGATATCGTCTACATTGAATTTCAGAGGCGAGGCCGTGTGGATCACATAGGTGAAGGGGTTGGCAGCCGTCTCAGCGAACAGAGCGTTGAACGGCGCTTGGGATGTAAAATCCGATACTATCACAAACCGCACTTTGCCCTCCCATTCTGGGTGTGTCTTGAGCACCTCGTCTGCTTTGGCTTGCGAACGCACCGTCCCAGTCACAGAGAAGCCGCGCTGTGTTGTGTTATTGTTTCAATTTCTCGGCAAGATGGGTAGGAAACATACGCATATGAGAATAGAGAGGATATGGGAGGCGACGAACCCATTCGCCCCGGTGAGGAGCACATGTTGCTTATCGACGGACGACATTTTGTTCTGATTTTAGGATGTAAATGTTATGGTGGAAGCTGGGGATATCACTGTTTATGGTATAGAGGCTGGCATGACATCACGATTATACGTTTAGGCTTCTGCCCGTATACTTCCGGTTGATAAATGCCAGCTGGAATAATGAGTTAGATCCGCCTTCTTAAAGTTAAAATTAAAATTAAAATAAAAATAAACGTAAAGTGACATTAGAAGTGGAATGTCCCAATGTGGTAACAGCTTTCTAGAAAGCAGGTCTATTGAACACGGGTAACATTCTGGTAGCTATAGAAGCTTATTAAAGCTGTCAAAAGGATATAGCCAGGATTGAAGACATACATCCAGTCTTCCGACGTATACTTGAATAGTCCATCCTTGGACTGGCTGATTTACAAACCCTGCCGATGTTCCAGAACTTTCGAGCAGAGTATAAAGAGAAGCTACATAGCCAGTGAAGGAAGAACGGGAACATTGTTACGCTTTTCCCTCCCTCCGAGACATGACAGCAGCAAATCGACTCCTGCGCCGAATTCGGCGACCATATCGGAAGAATAAATACCTGATGTAGGGTTAGAGCCAGACTTGGCCGGGGCTGAGAAGATACGGGGCTTGGAGGAGGAAACGCACGGAAAAGGCGCCATGAGCAGCGTGAGAAAGGCCAATAGACTAGTGGCCCAGTGATACCCAAGACGATTGTACACTGCGTTTATTTCGTTTTGTAAGTATAATAGGTAAGGGAGGAGGATAGGGAGTACACACTCTGCACCCCAAACAAAGGAAATACACCAGCAAACGCAGACCGTGCAAAGCTGTTCGCTGCCAGCGTGCTTGCTGCGTAGGATGGGTAGGCGTCAACGAGGAAGGTGAATATTCCCGAGTAGACGAGAATGGTCCTATCCGCGTGTATCTAATTAGGAAAGGCGAATCTGATACTCAAGATAAGGGGATGCATACCCAGCTCCAAAGACAGCGCTGCCGACCATTGCGCCAATCCAATGGACATCCGGGTAAATGGTCCAGGCGAAGATGAAGAGGCCGATGGTGACCAAGGGAGCGCCTGCAATGGCTATTCGAGCAGCCGGGTCAGTCGCGTCGCGTCTTCTCCGTCTCGCGGATATCAGGCATACCTGGAGGGAGACGCCACTCGGGCTGATGCTCAGGGGCTCTAGAGGTTTGGCCGGTTCCTTCCACGTCCTTGCCTCTTGCCATACCCGCCCGCTCGAGCCTCTCATAATTGCGGCGCCAGAGCGGATCAGTGCAGATTGCGCAAAGCATACCGACTAGCAGCCCAAGGAAGCTACAGCCGCGCTGCCACAGCGAAAAGCCGTACACCGAGGCAAATACCAGCTGGAAGGCGCCGAAGAACAGATACAGGATGCCCAGGAGGATTGCGGAGAAGATGCACAGGTTCAGGCACATGGGCTCGAGGACAAGCAGGAGGATCGGGCGGTACATGGACCGGAGGATGCTGCTGACTATACTGGTGCTGTTCTGGTCCAGGGGGCTTTTCCACCTTTCATCGCCTGTCTCGTCACGTATTTTCTGGGCCCTGCGCTTGAGGAGGCTGTACTCGTTAGCGGCGATGGGAGTTGGGAGCGTGCTACTTGCATAGGATGGTAGGTTTCTGGGACAAAGGCAGTCACCGCTATCAGCAGCGCACCGGTCCAGATCATGAGCAGGTAAAACGACCAGCGCCTGGCCAGTCAGTAAGCGAATATAACCTATATATGCGGTTGCTACTTACCAATCCATAAACTGGTTAACAAACCCCCCGATCCTACACAGGAGAAACCATGTTTAGCTAGGTAGACGCCAGCAGGAACTGTCGAACTTACAAAGGACCAATCTCCGGCCCGATAAATGGACTGGCCGTGTACACCATCATAGGTGCCGCCAGCTCATTGCGGGCAAATAAATCAGCGACGGTGCCCCCGGCGACGCTGAGAAAGGCGCTGCCAGCCAGGCCGCTGAAAAGGCGGCCGATGATGAGCGTCTGAACGTTCTGCGCCACCGCGCAGGGGACCAGCCAGATCAGAAACAGCAGAAGGGAGCAGATGTAGATCGGGCGGCGGCCGTAGAACTAGCATGGGAGAAACCAGTTACCTCGAGATCAAGATCCAAGAGAGAGGAAAAGAGGGTGAGTACCTCGGATAAAGGAGCCAGGACGAGCGGACCAAATCCTATAAAGTGTTAGCAGTCGCCTACTCTATGTATGTAAGGCGTCTCACCAAGCCCCCAGATGAAGAATGAAAGGCCCAGGGTGGCCACGATGCGCGAGATGTGGAACTCCTCGGTGATCTGGGCGTATGTGGTGGTGTATATCGACGACGCACATGTGCTTCCTTCAGGTCAGCCTCAATCAATTGGCGCCAGGTCTGGGGAGAATATACACGCATAGAGAGCCCATGGAAACAAGGATTACAATCAACCAACGCCGCGCGAGGCGGAAGTTGCGTGGATTGGCAGGGTCCGACTCGTCCCATGTCACCGTGAAACTGCCTTCCGAGCTCTTGCTGAGAGAGCTCTCGGTTGCTGGACAGGAATAGCCGTCATTCAGAGACCAGCATCGAGCGAGCCCCGGAGATGGCTGGACATGACAAGGTCGGGGTTGAGGCATGCTGTATGAAGTAGGAAATAGACTGAGAGCATCCCGTCTGGCTCATCAGGCCTTAAATACGGTGTGGACCCTTTCGAGATTGATCAGCAAGACCAAGACCATGTAAAGGGAGTTACTGGTCGGGCTTGGAACGATCCGAAAGCACACGCCCTACGCCCTACGCCTGTATGATTCGCCCCGCTGGATAGGGCGCATCAGTTCCTCCGATTAGGGCTCCACCAGGTCACTGCCGATCAGTGCCCCAGAAAGCTATAAGAAGGGGACCATTATCATTCTACAAACGATCACACATTCTCATAAAATCTTGTAACTGTCCTCATGTCTACGCTAAGCAAAGCAATTGATGCATCGGCTCTAGGCCGCCCCCTCCACTTCGCCTTCTCCGGCCGTACAGCGCCCAACCGCTTCCTCAAGGGCGCCATGAGCGAGAGAATGGCGTCGTGGTCTAACGATGATCGTTCAGCCCGGGGAACCCCCTCCAACGAGCTGATCGAGGCCTACAGGGTCTGGGGAGAAGGCGAGATCGGGCTCATCCTAGCGGGCAACGTCATGCTCGATCCGGAGCAGCTTGAGACAGAAGGGAACCTCGTCATCCCCGCCGATGCTCCCTTCTCCGGCGCCCGCTTCGAGCAGTACAAGGCGTTGGCAGCCGGCGCAAAGAGCAAGGGCTCCCTGGTTGTCGCCCAGGTCAGCCACCCGGGCCGCCAGACGCCTTCCCACCTCCAGCCGCACCCGATCAGCGCCAGCAGCGTGCAGCTGGCGGGCCAGGTGCTGGGGAATACGTACGGGGTGCCGCGCGCTGCCACGGAAGAGGACATCAAGCAGGTGATTGACGCGTTCGCGCATGCGGCCGAGTACCTGGACAAGGCGGGTTTTGACGGCATCCAGCTCCATGCGGCGCACGGCTATCTGCTCAGCCAGTTTCTATCTGAGACAACCAACCTGCGGACTGACTGCTACGGGGGCAGTTTGGCCAACCGGATGCGGCTGGTCCTGGAGATCCGCGAGGCGGTTTCAAAGCGTGTACGGCCAGGATTCATCATCGGGGTCAAAGTCAATAGCGTCGAGTTCCAGGCTCGCGGGTTCCAGCCTGACGAGGCCCGCGAGCTGTGCTCCACGCTTGAGAAGCATCGCTTTGACTTTGTGGAGCTGTCTGGGGGGACTTATGAGAACTGGAAGATGCACGACGAGGAGAAGCGCGACTCAACCAAGCGGCGTGAAGCGGTAAGTCTCATTCTGTGATAATGGAAGCAGGACTAATTAGTAGTTCTTCCTCGACTTCGCTCGAATGATCGTCTCCTCCCTCCACCAGACGCGGTCCTACCTCACCGGCGGGTTCCGGTCCGCAGAGGGGATGCTCGCGGGCCTGGAGACGCTGGACGGGGTTGGCCTTGCGCGCCCGCTCTGCCAGGAGCCGAATCTGTGCAGGGAGATTCTCGCAGGCCGAGTCTCTGGCGCCGTCCAGCCCCTGATTAATCCGTACGACTTTGGCTTGGCTGCGATCGCGGCGTGCATGCAGATGCGCCAGATGGGGAACCGCCTGGCCCCGATCAATCTGGGCGAGCAGGAGGCTGTGGACAGGGTCACGGCGGCGGCGGCCAAGTGGGCACAGCGTAAGAGTGCAGATCGGTCGCAGGACGCTGTCTGGCCGCCACTGATTGAGACGTAGTGGCGTGGGAGTGGGCCGTGGTTCGCGGTGGGGACACGGCGTGATGTACTTAACCAAGACTAGTCCAGTCTCTCTTTGCTATTAAGAATGAATGCATTGCGACATGGATCCTGATCCATTTCCAAGGCCATTTCGCAGTGTAATCAGTAAGCTGGGCCAGCAAGCCCGCCCGCCCAGCGCGTGGTAAGCCCTAACCCAGTGCCCACTGTACCCAGCACTGAATCGCATTTGGAAGGCCATCGTATGAGAGTGCTGTCGCTGCTCCTTTGCCACCAGCGGATGCACAAGAAACTCCCAAACCTGTCCTCGACGATCGGATTTTCCCCTGCACCTTCTGCCACAGCACCTTCAAAACCAAACACGACTGGCAGCGCCACGAGCGCTCGCTGCATCTCAGCCTGGAGGAATGGACCTGCAACACGGGCGATGGGCTGGCGACATCGCCAGTAACGGGGAAACCCCACTGCGCATACTGTGACGAGGCCGAGCCGACACCACAGCACCTCGACGCGCATCACCATCAAGCATGCTCCAGCAGCAGCAATCCGCCCCGCACATTCCGACGAAAGGACCACCTCGTCCAGCATCTCCGGCTTGTGCACCATGTCGACAAGGAGAAGCTCCCTTCCCTGGACGCTGATCGCTGGTGCACCAACGCTGCGCCCGCAGCGGCTTCGCGCTGTGGCTTCTGCGGCTGCCAGCTACAGGGGTGGCAAACACGGGCAGACCATCTGGCGGTGCACTTTCGCTCTGGCTTCACGATGCAGGATTGGCATGGGGACTATGGGTTTTCGCCGTCTGTTGCTGCGCAAGTCCGGAATGCTATGCGGTAGACTACACTGTACGAGACTCTTATACAAGGCGTACAACTGTACATAGACAAATGCATATTTTGTAAATAAAACTACCGCGTGAGATAGAAGTAAAAGCACCCTCCCTCAACCGCCTTGCCCTCCATCACGCCAGCAAGCACCTGGTCATTGACACGGCGGAAGTGGTCGAACACAGGCCTGTCGTCGTATATCATCGTGGCAGAGAGAACGCCCCGGAACACTGTTTCCCGTACCTTCAGTGTTTAGTTAGCTCAAACAATCTGGTAACCCTTCTTGAAAAGACGAGAGACGAACAGAAGCCCTCCCCCACTGCCCCCAGCTCGCTCTCTGTCCGTTGCGCTCCACGATAACAGGGTCCACCTCGTCGAGGGACTCGAATTCCTTGCCGACCCATTTAATCTCAACCAGCTTGTCGCCGACCGGGTGCCCGGTGTCGAGGAAGCCGCCGCTCCAGCTGCCGATGAGCTCAGAGGGCTTGATCGGGGGTAGTTGGTCGAAGAGGTCGCTGACGGTGGCTGCGTCGACTGTAGTATCTTCAATCAGGGATAGGTATTTCTCGCTGCATTGGTTAGTTTAAGCTTTTTATTAATGGGATGCACATACGATGCCATCTTGCTATGCACGGCCACGATAGGATTCGGCGGGTGATACTGGATTTCGTCTGTAAGCACTGGGAAAAGAGGTATTTATGCTCTAGCTGGGCTTAAAGAATAATAACCACGTAGTCACTGGTTTATGCAATTTCTAATCTCAGGATAGTAGATTTACAAGTCGGAGAGATGTATAGGGCGTAGGGCGCAGCAGATCCCGGCTGGTTCCACGGGAGGCGAATCCGAGATCAGAATGGCTCGAACAATTATGTCTAATTATGTCTTCCATTACCTAGATTGACAAGTTGACATCATTACTATGCATGTCAATTAGTATTTAACTGGTGGGTTATCCACTGCGTCTCATAATACGTTCATGAGGCTGAACACCAAGTAACTCTATCAATATACACCAAATAACTCAAAATGCCCTCTGCAATCGTCACCGGAGCCACCGGTACGCAAATCATCCCCTCCATCCAGAAGATACCCAGTCTAACATTTACAGGCATCACCGGCAGCGCCATAGTCCACCATCTCTGCAAGGACCCCTCCTACACCACAATCTACTCCCTCTCACGCAGCAACCCAGGCTACTCCAGCCCAAAAGTGCAGCATGCAACACTCGACCTCCAAAATTCCGCAAAGGAGATGGCCGCAGGCCTCACAGACCTCGGCGACGGCCCGGAACACGTCTTCTTCTGCGCATATCTCGCACACGACGACCCAGCCGAACTAACTCGCATCAATGCCCGCATGCTGGCCAACTTCCTCGAGGCCCTTGAAATCACGGGTGCAAATAAGAACCTTAGGCGGTTTGTCCTCACCTGCGGGTTTAAGCACTACGGCGTGCATCTGGGGCAGTGTAAGCAGCCGCTACGTGAGGATGACCCCCTCCTGACCGAGAAGAACGGGTGGCCGCCTATTTTCTACTACGAGCAGGAGCGAATTCTTTCATCTGCAGCATCCAAGAGCAATGGTGCTTGGGAATGGGTGGTGACACTACCAGAAGACGTTCTAGGATACGCGCGAGGAAACTTCATGAACGAAGCCACAGCGCTAGGTCTCTACTGCGCTGTGAGCAAAGCACTCCCCGGGAGGAGGGGGGAGCTACCCTTCCCCGGGTGCAAGGCGAACTACTTCGCCTTCAACTGCTGGACGTCGGCGAATCTGCACGCGCGGTTCTGTCTGTGGGCGGCTGCGGCGAAGGGGGCGGGGAACCAGATATTCAATGTGATGAATGGGGATACGGATAGCTTCCAGAACCTGTGGCCGCGGCTGGCGAGGAGGTTTGGGTGTAGGATTCCCAGTCCTATGTTTCCGGGTGGTGGTGTGCCTGGTTCGGGTGGGTTTGGGGGGTTTGAAGCTACGACTGTGCGGATGGAGGGGACTGCGCATCCGCTTAGGGAGCATGAGGGGGTGATTGGTGTACAGGCTGAGGGGGTGCCGACGCTGTTTCTGCAGGTTGATCCGGAGAAGTGGGCGAAGAGGGAGGATGTTAATGCGGCGTGGGGTGAGTTGAGGGAGAGGTATGGTCTTGACCAGAAGGCGTGGGAGAGGGCGACCTGGGACTTTTTGACGTTTGTTTTGGGCAGGGACTGGAGCTGCGTGGGGACTATGAGCAAGGCGCGCAAGTTGGGATGGACGGGGTATGCTGATACGTGGGAGGAGCTCGACGCGACGTTGGAGCAGCTGGAGAAGGAGGGTGTTCTTCCTCCTGTAGAGAAGCTGAAGAAGGATTTCCCTGTTTGATCAAGGCATACTTAATATAGCCCACAAAGGAAACCTAGCCCTAACCTTCCCGCTGCATAACTGCGAACTGCTGTTCCGCATCCAGCAGTATAAAGGCAGGGGACCATATATTCGAAAGTCTTGAATCATAATAGCAAAAGCAGCTAGCCACTTCTAAGCCCCTCCATTCCCCTCAGCATCAACCCCCCTGTATTCAAAATACCGATTCCACTCCGGATCCTCAATCAAGCCCTCCGCAAGCTCCCTCTCAAACCCAATACTAAACTCATGCCCCTCGTCCTCACCAGCCGGGGGGTTATTAGTCCGAACAGGATAAACAACCGTCATACCAGCCGTAACGGTGTCGAATGGAAACCGAAAGGCATGAGGCTTGCCGAATCCGAAATCGGCCTCGCCCGGCCTCGTATCCCGCCAGTCTGTCGTGATATTACTCATGGGCGGGAAACTGTCAGTGCGCAGGAACAGGGCGGTTTTGTCACGGACGGGCGCGATTGCCGACAGCGCGATATCGAGGTTTTCCTCCGTGACGCCGTTTGTGAGCTGTCGGATATACCAAGCGAGCTTTGACAGGGGTGCTTCAGATATCACCTCTTCCACTGTGAGTTGAGGAGTGGGATTCGACGTGCTCATTGCGACGAATACAACATTCCCCTGCATGCGCTCTGGCACGGCTGGACTGTGAAAGCGTCTCCGCATATCGACTGCCTCGCCCCAGAGGAGATGCTTCTGCTTGCAATCTCGGTTGAAGATCTTCGCCCTGTGCTTCGACAGCACCCGCCAGATATACGCGGTGTACGCATCGTAGGTCGAGATCCAGTAGCTTCCGTCCGTGGGACTCGCTATGTTCTTCAGCTCGGCTGCTTTGCTTTTTGGGAGGTGGAATAGTAGCCACTGGCCGGGTTTATGATCGGGATGTTTTAACGGCGTCCCAGGTCCGTCGACGCGCTGGTCCTCGGGTAAATCAGGCTTTGTAACCCTAGACAGGTCGAGACAGTTGGAATCCCACGGTGGAAGAACCAGTGTTTTTCCTTCGTTTTGCGCATTCCAGATCGCCGCGCAATTGTCCGCTAGCTGGTGCATCTCCCCAGCCCACCCCATGATATCGTTGCAATAGTGATGGTGGTGCATCATAAAGATTGCTCCGCCGCGGATAAAGCTTACCTTGAACGCAGAGCCCTTGGGGTGACTCTCCGGCTGAGCCTCTGGCTTCTCTCCGTACGTCATAGGAGGCACACTCCACGTATTGACATCGCCGAGAGCTTGCGAGACGAAATGTCTTTCCTCTAGCTCTTTGAACGATGGGTACAGCCCCTCATCCTCAGGACCGTCAAGCCACTGGACATGGAACTCGACGGTACTTTCCTTCTTCTTGTGGAAGCACAGTCCGCCTGTACCGTCAGGGTGTTCCTCAAGGACTCCGCACAGCTGGCGGCACTGGCTGAGGGTTACTTCGAGACCGTTTTTGAGCACGGGGATGATCTGGGGTTTCTCGATGTCTGGGAGCTTGAAGAAGAGCGCGTAATTGGTGTATACCTGCCCGACGCAGTAGTCCAGTGTGGAGAGTTTGAAATATTCATCTTCCGGGTCTGATTCCCACCCTGTAGGGCGGAGTTTGTAGATTTCTTGCTTGACCATTCTTATCTTGCTGTCTTCGCAATCCGTATGGATGGGGGATAGATGCGCGTAGGCTCGTAGGAAATATTCAGACGGCAATTCAGAAAGGAAAATAGGGAAACGAATCCTTTAAATGCCCTGAAACGTTAGGCCTCCCACCTGGCTGGGTGGGTACTTCATCCAAGCAGTCCAAGTGCTTAGCGTGCGGAAATATCATGATTAGAGCCATTCATATATCAAACCGTTTGAGGTCGGCCGTCTTGGGTCTCTTTACTAGGTCAGGAATAGCTAGGCACCCCGCGCTTGCATTAAATAGCGAATTGATGAAGAATGTGAGAGGATGCGTCGTATCTTAGTATTCTCCTGCTTGTTAGCTACCATTTAGGGTATTCCTCTATACCAATCGCTGGCTGTCTGCTGTGTGTACCAAGTTCTGGAGTAATACTAACCAATCTACAAAAGGCCCAGTATAGTACGGGAATAAAACAGTACCTGCATTCCTTTTTCAATATGTGGTAACTACAGTCTCCAGTGTTTCCAAATGCTTCCATGATGCTTCCCAGTTTACCTCCTGAGTTGGAGTGGCCAATTTAACCCTAATTTAAGTATCCCAGTGATCTGCTAGAGCAGATGGTTTTGTCTCTGAATGCAGCGGGCTGCTGTTTTTATGTGAGGTCTGTTCCAGTCCAATCTTGCAGCCACTACCAAATCTAGATATAATTTAATAAAATCAGAGTCAGCCACGACACCCTAAATCACCTCGGGCGTTGTATATGGTTTAGGGCTTGTAGAATAACTCTAAGTAATATCAACATTCTGGTCTATCCAATCTTCGACATTAGTTCGTGAAGCTTCGTCACTCCTTCCTGAATCTTTGTTTATGGATAATTCATCATCAGAATCATCAATACTAATCCACTCATGTATTTTTTTCTCGTTTAGTGGAAATCCTTCAACCCGCAGCCAGCTAAAGATACTTCGCGTTGCATTTTCCGATGCTGACTGCTCCCCATGGTCGAGAGCTTCGTAGTTGATTGTGATATTTGGCTCCACTGGCGAGAAAGCTGGCATAAAGTCAGGCTTGGCCATTTGATATACCACGCTACTATTTCGGCAAGTCCACTTCCAGCCTGCGTATTGAAGGCCATGAATGGTACAGTTTGCATGCAGACGGACATCAATCTCAGTGTCTTTAAGAGCTGTGCTACCAAACGGCGTCCACGGACATACAGGCCAGCGAGTGTGATGTTCCTCCTGGGTAAGATAGAGGAGTCGACATTCGTCGGAGCGCAGGATAGACTCATTTGCTGCTGGATAGATAGGCTCCTGCATAAATGATTGTATAGTTCCAGACCACGCCGCGGCATGTGGCTCTGTGGGTATTAGTCCAAACCGCCCATCTCGTAAGACATCCTTATGAATGCCCAGGATTACTCCTCCAAGCCAGAAAAAGGCGAGATGCGGGACTCGACTCATTAGAATGTGAGTGAGAATGCGATTATCTTCAACAGAGTTTAAAACAGCAAACATGGATTGCAGCCATGGGCTTACAGCATTGCAAGCTATTTCAGGCTCATAAAAGACACTTGACAGTAGGGAATGGATTCCTCTAGTGTTGCAGCTCAAGGTGAGAAGTTTGTCCAGATTATGGTCTTCCTGCACCCAATCAAGGTCTTTGCACTTTAACCCCACGTTAGACCTCTGGGCGTGGCTGAATTTTGGGCCTGGTAGGACTATATCTCTTCTGCCGCCATGCAAGAGTGGAAGAAATAACGCCGCTGATAATGCAGCATAGCTTTGGTCTATAATGTCATGCAGAGTGCAGTAATCGGATAGGAAGCGAAATGCAGTCGCAACTGATACGGCTGTATCTGATAAATAATGGCTTTTGTGATAGGAGAGGCTGAACTTCGGGTTTGCTGGAAGAGATATTGACCAAGGGGATCGAAATTTAACGTTGTTCAGGGTAATATAAGCTTCCCAGCCTTCTCCAGGAGCTAAAATAGCAGACCACCATCTTGCTGCATTATCATCAACAGCACCTATATCCACCACAGCAGAGCCTCGTTCTCGGGATTCATCACTGTTGTATGCTTTGCTGTCGGTATATTCGAGTATGGCGTCGGGCATGAGCTGAGCCCAACGTGCTGAAAGAATATAACTCCACGCAAAAATTAGGATAGAGATGTGATTTTCCTCTGTGTTAAACCATTTCTGATGGCTTTGGTCTAGATCTGTAGATATACTGACAGGAGTTGGAAAGCTAATCGAGACTGGAATCTGAAGATGTCCTTCTAGCGGAGGTATATCGCAGGGCTCGTGTGATCCTTTCCAGTTCGATATCCCACGAGCAGAGAGATAGTTGTAAGTGAATTCCAGATCCAAGTTGTGTGGAAAATAAGGATGGTGTCGAAGTGCTGGCTGGATTTTGAAGCAGCCCTGAGTAAAGCCGGATCTTTGCGTAGCACGTATATAAAGGCTTTGCCAGGTGCGAAAGCCTTTTTCGTACACAGCTTGGCGTTCTTCAGCACCAGCATCGGCGTCCTCCATGGAGAAAGTCATGATGCGAGTAAATGGTGTGGGTTGGATGGCAAGCCATATATAGATGAATTGCTGGCTAGTGTGTCATTTTGCCGATTTGTCCCCTTCACCCACTGCATGTATGCTTGCAATGCCCACATAAAATCCTCTGTAACCTCAATCTCCCAGGAATTCCAAAGATAAATTCTTGATGAATTGTTGAGAGTTGTTGATGAAGTCGGAGGACGGAGATAAGCTGCCTGCTTAGTGATCCACAGATCGCCGGAGCTTCGTCCCCACAGCTGTCACACCTCAGCTTGAATTTCATCTCACCATGCTCCTTTCCCCCTCTTTCTTTGCAAACCACGACCAGCTATGAAGCCCTTCCTCGCCGTCCCCATCATCGCGGCCCTCCTTCACCGCGCGTGGTCTCGCAAGTCCCTGACACCGCTGGGCCTCGCAGCTGCAGCTCTCACAGCTGTCGCGCACGCCTTGAATCCCTGGTCCCTGCCGCTGTTCCTGCTTCTTGTCTTCTACCTTGGTGGAACCAAGGCAACGAAGGTATACTCACCTATCCCTTGATTTCCAAACATTTCTGACAGATACTGCTAGGTGAAACACGACATCAAGGCCCAGCTTACGCTCTCAGCGACCGGCTCCCACGGCGGCGAAGGCGCGCGCACCCACGTCCAGGTTTTCGCAAACTCAATAGTCGCCAGCGTCCTCAGTCTCGTCCATGCATGGGTTCTAGCGAATAATAACGCGGTGGATGGTCCGACGGCGGAATGTTTCTCGAATGGTCGCCATGCGGCGGATCTACTTGTTGTTGGAATTATTGCGTATGTCGCGGAAGTACTTGTACTGGTTGATAGTGTGCTGATTGCTGGTTTTAGGAATTATGCTGCGACGGCGGCTGATACGTTTTCGTCTGAGCTGGGCATTCTTTCGAAATCGCATCCGCGGCTTATTATCTCGCCTACGCTTCGGGTTGTTCCGCCAGGGACGAATGGTGGTGTGACGGGGACGGGTATTCTCGCTGGTTCATTTGGTGCTTTTACGATCGGTCTTACGTCTGCTGCTCTTCTACCGTTCTGCAGCTCCTTGCTCGACACTGTGCAGGACAGGGTAATCTGGGTTGTCGCGATGACCGTGTGGGGAACATTGGGGAGTATCCTAGATAGCGTGCTTGGCGGACTACTCCAGGCGAGTGTCGTCGATAAGCGGAGTGGAAAGATTGTCGAGGGGGCAGGAGGGCAGAAGGTACGGCATCATCACCTACTCAACCTACTCATGCCGATCCATCTAACAAGTCAAGGTCCTTATTCATCCGTCGTCAACTACACCCGGAAACGCAAAGGACGTCCTCCCGCCTTCTGGGGGCACGACAGGCGCCCAACTCCGCACTACAGAAGCCGCGGCCAACACCGCCGCGCTCAAGGGGACTAGGGCTACTCGGACATCGGCAGGGACAGACGCAGGCGAGGAGGGGCATCACGAAAGCCGTCGTGTAGAAAGCGGAGTGGACATTTTGGACAACAATGCCGTGAACGTGCTGATGGCGCTGACTATGAGCGTTGGGGCTATGGGAGTCGCGAGTTATATATGGGGTTTACCGATTTCCGAGATGTTGGCTTAATGAACTATTTATATTGAAAATAAAGGAAACTGAACGCTCTCCACAACACCACCCATCTCAGGTAAACAACCATCTCCGATAAACAAACTGATCGCATAGACATGTCATGATAAGAAAGTAAATCAGATCTATTTCTTAGGAACCTCCACAAAACCCGGGAAACAATCCTGCAGCGTCTTGCTATGCTTATTCGCCGCATGCTCCGTCAAGGCCGGGCCGCGGGTTGTCTTGAGGAACGTCGACCGGCAGACCATGCACATGATGTCCTTTGCAGCCTCATTCTAGAAGATGTCAATAAACAAGTAGGAGCGCTGTAGTGGCAGTAATGTAGTGTGAGACGTACGGTCTTGAGCTGCGACTTTCCAGTGCCCTTGGCGTCTTTGGCGTTGCGCTCGCGCTTGGAGGCGGCCTTTGCTCCCTGGGTTTGAGTGTTAGTGAGATGGATGGGATGGAGAAGCGGGTACACCCGATAAGATGTGGGCTGGGCTGTTGGGTTAGCAGCTTACGTTTCCCATGGTGGTAGAGTAAGTGGAGGATGGTGGTGTGGATAGATGATTTGAGACGAGATGAGATGTGGAGGTTGAGATGAGATTGAGAGAGGCTGAAGTCTGCTTGCTGCGGTCTGGGGATATTTGAGGGGTGAGTTTTTTTTTCCCTCTTTTTTTTTTGCTCATTTCTTATCGCGATTTGCCCCTCGGAGCTATCCCGCTTTCTGTCTAGTCAATGCGGGAACGTTGATTGTTGGTTGGCTGTGCTTGTTCCTGTCCTTGCCATACGGAGTAACTGTGAGTGACAACGAAAAGGATGTTGGAGATAGCTGGCTAGCAGCCAGCCTTGCAAGGTTTTTGGTCTAGCGGTCTAGTGTTCTGTCAGGTTATGAGCCCTTTCATGTACCTATAATTAGTATTATTCCTACTATTTTAGGAAAAGCATGCCCTACTATAAAGAACCCTGTTTAAACCGGATAAATTGAGTTTATAAGGCAGTGACTATAAGTCTTTGACTACTACCTATTCACTATTAAGTAATATCTAGAGGAAAGAGTTGCCTATATATATATATATATATATAGAGCTGATCCCTGGAGATAAGAAATGTATCCTTTCAACTTTCATGAGCCGTACCCTAATATCCCCACCTTTGTTGATGCAGGCCCTCTCAGCACGGCAAAAGGTGGTAGTACTTAGGACATAGAAATACAGAATAGAGAGCTAAGAGCTCGGGTGGAGGACCTGGAGAAACAGTATAAATATCTTTCTACTTTTAATATCTATCCCTGACTAATTATTAGGAATAAAGCGTTTACGAGGTAGGAAGTGTTTTCCTAGTCAGATATTCTGATACTAATAACCCTCAAGCTTAATGAAAAAAACCTGAGAACGTACCTTGAAGGTGTCCAAATATGGATGGAACAGGCCTCAGGCGCCCTACACAGCACCTGGGCGAAATAATTAAGTTGGCCGCAGAGTTAGGATCGGATGCATGATGTCGTTGCTTGGAGACTTGTAATTAAAGTACATAGCTAGTCTAGCAAAATAACTTCATCGAAATCAAATATCATGACAGTCCGATAGGAAGCAGGCTGTGATCGCTTTCTTTGTGATCTTTGTAGTTCTGTAGGCTGTACTGGCACTATCTTAGATTGATTTTCTTAGTTTGCAGTGCTACACAGGCTTCAGACACAATTATACTGTTGTATGGAGAAATCAAATAGAAGCATCTACAGCGGCATTCTCAACCTCTAGCTAGTTGCTTGTAATTCGTGTAGTAGTACCACCTTTCAGTCCTCCCTAGTAGATCAACTTAATGTATAGTCAAACCATGCCAAAGCTTGCGTAAAAGCCTGCTCCTTTGCAAATTTGACACTGCCTTGGTCAAGGTCTCCGCGTATAGCAAAGCCATGGGAAACACCACTAAAAAGGTTGAGTTGGAATGGCTGCCCAGTGCCAAGCAGAGCATCCTCGGACATATGGCGAAGACTGGTAGTGAAGATTGAGTCCACCTCTAGAAAACTTTGATTACCAACTTGTTCTTATCCTCATTGGGCATGGAGAAGGCGGGTCGAAATTGAGGTTGAATATGTATAAGAAGGGACAGACCATACCTGCAGCAGAAATAGAGACGGCGCCTCAATTGCAGCTAGGTCCTGCAACGCGAGGAAAGATGGATGGGCAATATATCCTGAATTGACTTTACCACTCTTTAGAAAACGAACAACGTACTAGGTAGCCAAGAATTAAGCAGTTAGCACAGCACTTTGGTAGCCATTCAAAACAGATACGCGGAAGAAGATACCTTGCCACCAAAGCAGTAGACCTCGCCAGGTTACCCAATACCCAAGTGCCCAAACCCGTTCTTGGTGTGTATTTGGGTCCAGGATGCCACCTAGGAGTCGGTTCTGGGTATTTAAATCTAGTTTCAGGGTACGCGTCTAGGTGTCTGGGTACCCAAATGCCCAGGCAAACAGGATAAACAGGCTGAACAGGTGAAGGCTTGTGGCCTGCACATTTTATACTAGCTAACTCTGTTCAGTATTAATTACAAGAAGTCTAGTACAGTAATACTCCAGCCATCTCAGAGACTATAGTATATAAGGTAACTTGGCTTATTTAGATAACGTAATTCCCGGTCGGTTCGTGCAACTCCAAAAAATCAAACCCTACATGATTAACTAATAGGATTTTAATCTCAACCAGAACTCTATAACCATAAAAGTAGGCTATCTGAGAGACAGGAAGATATATTAATAGCATGGATAGTATTAATTAATATACATGGCGCTGTCCTAGGGCACTTTCAAGTATAAGAGATGGCTAATATTATCCTTAGTACTAATTCTGTCACCCCCCTAAAGTCAGTAGGAAAGAACTGGGTAATAAAGTTTACTAAGTATTGCCCGGAGATTAAAAACAGATTTTCTAGAAAGATTCATTACTAAAGAGCACTATATAAAGATCTGAAGGTTATTAGTACTTTTTCGACAAGTTACAGAGGGTTAAAGATCAGTATAGTATTATAGATAAAGATATCTATAACTTTAATGAAACTGGGTTCGCTATAGGACTTATTACATGATAAAGCTTGGGCCCATATCACTGCCGACAAACTCCTTTCGGTTAAATTGAGTTAACGACCTTCAAAAAAAAGGACGGTCAGTCGTAATCGTATCCTTATCCAAAAACTATAGAGATCCTCCCCGCCCCCTACGTGACTCCAATTTTTGTAGTGGAGCCACCAAATCAGCTTTCCAAGAGACCTTTCGGGTTGGAACAGGCCAATGAAGTTCCTGAAGTGAGGAGCTTAGCCTGAGTAGATGGGTTTTGCTAAAATCAGACCAGGATCTCAAACATAACCTCCTGTCACACTCCATCTCCTCCGCACTCTTATCGAGTTACAGCGGCCCCTGTTCTGCAACGAAAATGGAACATCGCAAATATCGGCTTGTGCTCCGAAACGCACTGCTCATTCCCATAGACTCATCCCAAGAATCGTCATTTACTGCAAACATCCACGTATCACACAGCGGCCACATAGTTTACATCGGCCCAGAAGTTGCCCACGACGGGGATGCCGATGCTGTTGTCGACGCAACAGGAAATTGGGTTCTACCAGGGTTTATCTCTGCTCATAGCCATCTGTGGCAGAGTGCCTTTCCTGGTCGGGCCTGTGATGAATCTGTTAACAGATGGGCGGATGATATCTATAAGCATGCTGCGGGCCTAGGAGCAGATGATTTCTACGAGCTAGTGCGTCGCGGCGCACAATCGCACTTGGAAAAGGGAATCACGACGGTATTCAATTTTACGTATTCACCGAATTTTAAGGATGGGAAGTCGGATCGAGCCCAATTCAGTGGTTCGATTGACGCTGGTATTCGCTTTATTCATGCGTTCAACATTGGTGCAATTAATAAAACTTGGTCGGTTGACCAGGCGGTTGCGCGGACGCAAAAATTCCTTGACTGGACGGCGCCTTACGAAGAGACGAGCCAATATCTTGGAACCGCTGTGGCAAATCACGGTGTCACCTATGACGATAATAAATCTATCCAGGCAGAGGCCGAGATAATGGGGAGGTTCAACTTACAAGGCCACCTCCATTACCTTGAGAGCCCACTACCAGATGACATCCGTTTCGAGCGCTCCCGTTGGCAGTGGCTGAAAGATGCTGGCCTGCTAAACCCTCGCCTGATTCTTGGGCATTTTGTACATCCTACTGCGGAGATGGTCAGCGAAGCTGCTATGGCGGGCGTCCGGATGAGCTGGAATCCGCTCTCGAATGGGCGACTAGGGTCCGGAATCGTGGATACTCCAGCGTACCTCCAGAAAAACCTTTCTATTGGGCTCGGGGTAGACGGCGAGGCGAGCAGCGATCGGTGTGACCCATTTGAAAATATGCGGGCGGGCCTATACTCAGTTCGAGGAATGTACAGGAACCCTAAGGTTCTAGCGCCGTATGATGTTCTGTATATGCACACCCTCGGCGCCGCGCGGGCCCTCGGGGTTGAAAATAGAGTTGGGAGCCTCACTGTTGGGAAATTCGCCGATATGGTTCTCATTGAACCGCCAAGGAGTATACGGCCGGGTGATCCTGTCTCGACGGTCGTATTGTCTGCGGGGATTGAAAATGTGAAGGAGGTTTTCGTTGGCGGTGTTCCAATCAGCTCGAAATGTTGTGTTCCCGGAAGGACATCAAGTGAATGGTCCGCATGGAAATTCTAGTACAATAGACGAGAGGGACCCAGATATTTGGACAAATATTGAGTTGACATCTAAAATTTGTAGTTTTCAAGTCTTGCCGAGAGCACATTACTCTAAAATATAGTGCAGCGGCCAGCCTCCAGTTCTCAAGCCGGTAATGAGCGCTTATGCTATGATAGGTAGCAACTGTGCGGCGGAGGCTGATCCGGCCCTCCCAGTGTGTGGACTTGTTTATGAATCAACCAGGGTCTGCATACGGACGAGTTTATATTTCTATGAGCCATATAAGGCCTTTACCATAAGCTCATTTCTATTTATTTTCTATTCGGTCCTATACAAAGTAACCCAAGTCTCATCTCCTCAGCTCTAGAGGGATCACTTACCACATTATACTGATAATCAACTTCATGAATATATTTAAGCAGTAATGCTATAACTGCCGCGTTCCATCCCTCTATAGCCCAGTATAGTATGGTATAGTTAAAACTGTCCGCTGCGTGTATATTATAATTTTTTTAGAGTAGTAGATCAAGTGCTCCTTCTAGCCCTAAATATACTACCAAGTAGAGACTTATTACTTCTCTTTGAGGCTGTGGGCAGTCTAACGGCCGTGATCTATTAGCTAGTAATACTTGGCTTGCTGCCTTAACCTTTGCTCTTTTGCTAAGGAAGGATATGACCTCACCACTTGTTTCCAAATCCTTAGAAGCATGACACCCCCAGTTTCGCGCCGCGTATTCATAAAGCGGGTTTGATATACAACGCGCTTCAAGCTCCTTGTTTATTAAGCAGTACCCGCTTTCAAATACATCAAATATAAGATATATAACACTGGTTGTTATGATACTAGACAGTGTCCCTGGAAACCACTCTTCTAGATTTTTCTTGAAGAATTCTTGTATGGTGTAGTGGACTGGACGGATTATATCGCTTTTCTTGTTAATCATGACCAACCCTATATATAGGGACTACAAGATAACTATTGGCGGGTGGAATGTAGTCAGCATCCAGCTTCGTGGTGTGTTTTCTGACTGTAAGTGCATGTTGGAGCTCTAAGATAGAAAGAGGCCGTTTCAAGTGGACGATCCAAGCGAGAATTTATCCCGAGAGTCGGGTTCCTGGCGTTCAATTCTTTTCATGGCTTCTTTATATATCTTATCCAATGCATCCATTCCCTTGCAGAGTGCCCGCAGAGCCTCCTTGATATATCCCTTTATTGGCTTGGAAAGAAGAGTATCTGTGTGTAGCGCAACGAGCAAAAACCTGGATAGGCATTACTTAGGCTTCCTTTCAAGTCTGTCAGAAATAATGTATATTCTATCAGCAGCTCGAAGCATATTAGTCCTGATCATGTCTTGGATATCATTATCTATATGTCAGGATGACATTCACGCGTCAAGTATACTAGTATATCTCCGTAATTCACAGAGATCATTAAACATGGATTTCTATCAAAAGTACTTGCAATACCATCATTGAACCTAGAAGTCGCAAAAATATTTATCCCGGAATTCTTTTGGAGTTAGAAGATTTCCTTTAGGAATTTTGCTCTACCATCACTGGATTTATTATATCTGTCAAGTGTATCGACGATGATGAAGACTTTTAGATAGGGAATAGCTACGGAATAAAGGGTTTCCAAGATATTAGCAAATAATAGGTATGTCTAATTCTTCTGATGTCAGTTATAAAGTACTATAACTGTTCCTGGTAGAGGAGACTAGAGCTGAGCCAGCTGCTTTAGCAGATTCGCAAGCATGTTGTCAGCCCTCTGTATATTATGTCAACGGAGGTTGCAGCACAGGTATGTAATACTGATACCGGCCCCCAAATAACCTCCAGAAACCAGCTCCTCAGGCAGAAAGGGAGGTGGCACTGTGCAGTATTCGGGCTGACCGGTCTAATAGCGAAAATTTCTCACTAATTTTGGGCCACAAGAACAAGGGAGAGAGGGGTAAATATGGCGACAACCACGGCCGCAGACTCGAGGGGAATAAGAGGGAGCTATATAGGCCATGCACCGCGATACCAAGCAGTACGTGTATACTTTTCCCAAATAGGAACGCTAAACTGGAGCCGGTAATTCGCCGTCACCGCAGAGTATGGAGTACCACTGCCATATGGAAATATAGACAGTTGGTATGGTGAGACTGTTCTTTGCCTGTTAGACACAAAGACGAAACACAGCTGCGACAGGTTTCTATCATCTGTTAATAAGACACCATTGTAGAACAAAGATCTTTGCTCTCTTTGTTTGCTGTTTAAATAAGACCAGCACTTCATCCTCAAAGACTCAATAGTCTGATATTCACATACACATAATCTATCCAAGTTCCGGAAGATCAATCACTACCTCACTCTATCTATAGTCCATACATAATACAGAAAACAACACTGATCTTCCCCGGTGGACATCAGAACCAGTATCAATAACAAAATGCCACCATCAAGAGAATCCTCGTCCTCCCCGGACTCCCTCCTCTCAGACGACAGCTACCTGTACACCCCCCAGGAACAACACAACCACCTCATGTCCAGCAGCAACCCTCAACCCCCAACCCGATCAAGCACCTCCACCCGCTCCAACACACCTCCAGACGCAAACCGCACTCCAACACCCCACCTCCTCGACCTCTCCGAATTCGCCATAAAACCACCTCCCATCCTCGACGAGCTCGACAAAATGGCCGAGTCCATGGAGCCAGTCGAGAAGCTTGTCAGCGGGGCGGAGAGGGCCGTGGTTGTGGCTGAGATGGTCAATCTGCTGATTGAGGTGGAGAAGGCGCTGGGCGAGGGAGATTCGGATCGGGCAGGGGAGATTGCAACTCGGGGATTGGAGGTGGCGGTTGAGTTGGATGATCTGGAGAATATTGAGCGTGCGAAGAGGTTGTTGGATTTAGTTGGTGGTGCTGCAGAGAAGAGAAAGGATATGCGAGGTATGGAAGATGATGAAGATGAATATAAAGACGGTCAGACAGAGAGAGGAGGGAGGGAAGAGGATATGTCTTTTGATGACGATAAGATCCGCGGAGCAAGCCCTAATGCTGGGGCGGAGGTGCTGGGAGACTTTCTCGCTGATGAGTTTGAGGAGGAGGGCGACTGGGGGTATGAGTATGGCAACGAGAACAATGTGGTCGAGGCTGGGAGCGACTACGGCAGTCAAGCTCAGGATGAAGCAAATAATGAGAACGACGGCGATGATACCGACGATATACACAGCAACGCAGACAATCAGGACGACCAGGACGACCAGGACGACGAAGATCATTATAACGGCTTTGACCCTCGCAACCGGCCCCAAACGCCCGTCCCACCGCGTTCATACGACGACGACATGGAAATCCCTAGACCAATCACAGCAACAAAGGATCTGATACAGAGGTACGACCCCTGGCAAGCCTACGCTGACTTCAAGCAAAAGGAACTCTTCTCGTCCTCCGAAGTCAACAGCAGCGAAGACAACCTAGACGAAATCTACTGCGACTGTGACTGCCGCAACTGTCGTAAATGCCACTACAACCAAGAATCCTATTTCTCCAGCGAAAGTGAAGCCGAGGACGAGGACGAAGACGAGGACGAGAACGCCATAACAGCAACAATAATCCGCAAACGACGCAGGCGGGACCCCATTGTCTCTACGAATCTCAATTACACCTACACCCGCAAACTCATTCCCAAACGAAGCGTCATCTCATCCAAATTCTCCTGGAAGGGGGCTATACCCCAATATCCCAAGCCGTGGTACCGAACAGACGAAAACACCGATCTGGACAACGACTTCAATGCCTTATTCTGGCATCCACATACCAAGACTTTACTATTACAGGAGGATAACCCAGATTGGGACATGAGCTGGCTACCAGTGGAAGAACCAGTCTCGCAGGATAACAACGGAAAACCCAAATCTTCCCCGCTGGAGGCAGGAACAAAATACGATGACGAAGGGAAAAACTACATACCCTGGCGAACGGACTTTTGGTTCCACTTTGCCATGCCGATGCGAGATATGGCGTCGCGTGTGCGCAAGACGGATATCTTCCCCGAGCAGGCGTGGGAGTTTATTCCCAAGAAGGAGGACTGGGATATGTTTGAGGAGGCGGTTCCGGAAGGGGAGAGGTTCTCGATGCAGTTTCTGGAGTGGGAAAGGGAGAGGATTCAGGGGTTGGTTAGGGAGAAGGGTGAGTTTCAGAAGGGGCAATTTAAGCAAAGGCAAAATCAAGAGCAGAGCTGGGTGTTTGTGCAGGTTGATGATTCTGCGATGGATTGGGCCATGTGGGTTTTTGTAGTGGTGGTTGCATTGATACTGCTGGTTTTCTGCCTGGTTTTGTAATGATTTATATACAGATATATTCTATTGTAACAGTAGTGCTTATTGTACAGCGACACTTCGATCATACTGATATTAATCAAAGGGAAACCTTATCAACCTTCTTCTCCAACCTCAACCTACGCTTCCACTTCATCTTCTTCCTCCGCATCGCCCTCTTCGCCCTCTCCAACGGATAATTCACCGGACTCTCTCCACCAGTAAAGATCATAAAATCATACAGAAATCCCCCAATAAACGCCCCACAGAACGACCCCGCCCACGGCCCATAGAACCAATACGGGTTGAGAAACAAATCACCCCCATACCCCATCGCAAGCAGGGCCAGCCGCGGCCCAAAGTCCCGGCTCGGGTTGAATGCCGCGCCCGTCTGGTAGCTGAACGTGATGCTGAGCGTGTATACCGAGAGTCCCACGACGAGCGCGTTCATGCCGGCTCCTGGCGGGGCGTTCTGGTCATCGCCTAGGGCTAGCACTGTTATTGATAGCAGGACTGTGCCGAAGAATTCGTTGAAGAAGGCTGTTGCGGATGTAATCCAGGGGTTCCGCTGGTTCGTGACGAAACTATTCATGACGTTTACAGTTGCAGACGCAGAGGAAGGTGTCGATAGGTATTCGTTTATGGATTGGTAGTATAAGCCGTAGACGGCGAGGGCAGCGACAAAGGCCCCCAGGAATTGAGCGGCAAAGTACTCGGGCAGTTTGCGCTTCGGGAACCCGCGGTAGAACCACAGCATGCTAGAGATGGATGGGTTGAGGTGCGCACCTGAGACGCCACCAGAGATGTAGATGGCCATCATGGTGCCGAGGCCCCAGGCCCAGGCGGTCGTGTTGGGATTTGTGGTTGCGGGAAGGGTGACGCTGAGGTCCGCAGAGAGGCCGATGGAGAGCTGCACGAACACGCCGAGAGACTCGGCGAGGGCTTCGCGGTGGTGAGTCCGGATCACGGACCAGACGGTGTGGTTGTTGTGGACTTCGTCTTCAACCAGGTCCTGGACGAGTGGGTGTAGGTCCTCGGGGTACGCAGATTCGTTGATGTTGATGTCATTTCCAAGATCATATCTCTCTCCAAGTTCATGCTCGTGCTCATGCTCCTCTGGAACAGCCTGCAGAGGCTCATCACTCAGATCATGCCTCCTCTCCGGAGAAACACCCGGCGAGCTCTCACTTTCAAGCACAGCAGACAGCTGATCCCCAGCAGGAGCAGGAGCAGCAGCAGAAGAAGACCGTCTCCTCGTGGACGAAGTCCTCGACACCCTCGACCCTCCCGCCGCCGCCCCCGTCTCTCCAGTCAACAACTTATTCACAAAGTTATTCTCCCTCTGCGCCCTGGCATCGTCCACCCCAGCCATCATCTTCCTCGGATCAGCACTCTTCCCAATCCTCCCGGCCTCCAGCTCATTCGGATCCACATCCTCCATCCCCAATTTCTGCGAATTCTCCGCCCCCGGCACAGCCGGCCTCTCACCCATCCGATTCTGCAACACCTCATCCTTCGTGGGGACCATGCCCGGCCGCACCACGCGCGGCAGCGGCTTCGCTAGACTCCATACAGGCGTTGCATTGTTCGGCTGCTCGTAGCTTGGATTCAGGTCCGCGTAAACGGGATGCACGAATGGCTCATGAGCCTGGCGGAGCGCCGATGTCTCGTCGGGCCCTGCGAGTGTGAAATTCCCTTGGGTGCGTCGTGCTAGTGTTGTGCGTGATGTGAGGCTTGGGACTCGGTTGCTTTGACTGCGACGGGGACGTAGGCCTGAGCTTTCAGTGCTGAGGCCGGGTCCGAGGCCTTGCCCTGGGGTCTGGGCGGAGGATGTGCGTCGGTCTGTGCCTAGGCTCCAGGTTGGGCTGAGGAGGTTTCCTTGTTGCTCTTCGTTGGGTCTAGGGCGTGTTGCTTCGGACTGGGTTTGGATTAGTTAGTTACTGATCAGATTGAGAGAGTTGATACGTACTTGTGCCCGAGGCCGTAGACCACGACTGGGTCCCTGGCCGGGACTGCTGTCGGCCATTTCAAAATTTAAATCAGTCCAAGTCCTGAAGCTGGCTGTCTATAAACCCAGAGCAAGGTTGTTCAAACCATGGATGAGGTCAGGGAAATCCAAGTACGTAGTATATCCCGAGCGCATTGGCGCCCCACCAACCAATACGTCCAGTGCTGAACTGTTATCTGCCGCGATATGTCATTGCTGGTAATTGTTTCCCCGGTAAAGCCGGTGAGCGCAGATTTACGCAACAGCCATGCACTTTTTTTGGTGGAGAGCGAGTGGGGATGCTTATGCTTTTCCTCTTTGGGTTGGATGACATCAAACTGCACCTGCGACAAGACAGCCATGAACTGCGTGGACTGGAGCGACGAGCCTGTGCTTTGTTGATAGTTTAGTATGCTTATTTATTATATTCAGGTAATAATATAATAACATCCTATCACCAAACTGTCTGGAATACAGCACCAGACCGAAGTCCATTTAGCCGACTTACCCGACCAGCCGACGCCGTGGAGAACGCACACGAGCAACCCTGCCTAGCAGTGACAATGACATCTCTCAACTATAATGTCCATTATCTTCCGAAGATTCCGCTCTACTCTCCAGCAAACTGACGGAGTAGACTACTGCTACCGTCGTATCTCGGAGACCCCGACCCGGCGTGTTTCAGATTCGTCTCACTTCATGAGCCTGCGAGGCTGCGACGTTCTGTCAGGCTAGCACTTAGCTGCCGCGCGGCCAATGCTTAAAACAACCAAGAGATTAAATAAAGGGTCTCGTCTCATCTCTGTCGTTCGTTATGAATCCGAGACAGCGGGAGCATTACGTTAACCGTCTGGTCCCCGGTTTCGGGTTTCAGTGGACTCAGCTGGCACTGTCTGTAAATCCGCGGAGAATGATTAGTAGAACCAGGGTTCGGATGGGAATAATTGGGTTTGACTATCGCCGTTGAACCAGAGAACTGGCGAGGTGGAACTTGCTTTGAGAAAATGCGAGTGAGCCATGGGTGAGTTTGGAATTGTATGCGCGGGTGGGGATTTGGTTATTGTCGAATTTACTGCGAGAGCACTACACTGACGCCGTCATCTGCTACAATGTATCTGTTATTGCTTTAAATGATTTTTCATTGTTTCTTTTAATCAAGTCTATCCCCATCCAGGTATATCCTATTCATATGCGCCAGTTCCGTTCCGTTCCCATATATACCGCGAGCGCTTCACCGGAGCGCATCAGTCGTGAGTCGTAAGACCGCCTGCCTGGGCGGGGGCCTGCCTATGTCGTTGGTTTGTGGTGTTGTAGGAGATCCACGAAACGTCGGGAAGTAAAAGAGTGACTGGACGTTTCGAGGAGTGTTCTCTTCCATTCTTTGTTTCAAATCGCTTAACCGAGGGTCAGGGTGTAAGCAGCATTGGTGGAGCAGGCACGGGTGTTGACGTCGTCAGGGAGCTGGTAGGACTCGGAGCAGGCAGCGTCACCGGGGGCACAGGTGACGGTGTCGCAGGACTCGTCGTCAATGCTGACGGCGAAACCAGCAGCGACGATCGGGGATTCATCCTTGAGGTCGATGCTGGACATGTCCCAGAAGAGGAGGTCGCCGACCTTGGTGTACTCGTACTGGAGGACATTGTTGAGGTCATCCGAGCAGCCGAGCTTGATGGAGATACCGCCGCCGGTGGGGTTGATTTGCCAGGTCTCCTGGTAGGCCTGGCCGGCGGGGAGGACCTGCATGGGGGCGGAGCTCTCAGAGACGGACCAGACGAAGATGTCTTGAGCCAGGTTGTTGACGATGGTGACACCGCCGTTGATGCCACGGCGAACGTTGTTCACAGGCAGAGCCGAGGCAGTGGCCAGAGTGGCGGCAACGCTGAGGATCTTGCTGAAGAGCATTTTGAAAGAGTGGTTGTTGTAGTGTGGAAGAGACCGTAGAGATTCTTGAAAGGATTGACAAAGGGTCTGGTCTACAGACAAAAGAATGTGATGATTGGTTTAAAGGACCGTGGGAGGTTCGACCTCAGGTTGCAAAGAAGGAATGAATGCTTTGTGGTGCAGAAGGAAAAAGAAAGCAGGATGAAGCAGAGGGATGACCGATTATTTATCCTGCAGGGCCTGCTCTACCCAGAGTGGGGGGCGTTTTCCAATTCACCTCTCGCGGGACCCTCGGAGAAGAACTGGATACAGGCCCAAAGGCTTTCGAGAACAGGTCTGCGCCCGGTGGGCCAAAAAATGAGGCATCAGATTCCTTGTCGCTGGATCTCTTTGCATGGGTCTGTTGAAGTCGGGGTTGGCCACGTTGTTAGTGCCGATACTCAGGCACCGATTCATCTCCGGTACGCCAATCAGCGACTGCGAGGCTGGCCAAGTAACTTCAGTACCTGACATCGCGGCCAATCATAAAAGAATCATTGTTGACCATTGGATCCACGTCGTTTGAGCCCTGAAACCGTTGGCTAACAAGCCCCAAAAGTCAAAGGATTCTTAGTGCAAGCGCTACGTCTCGAAGGCTTGAAGACTTGCGAATCCGCCCGGTCTAGACTGCTAGGCGCTGAGCCTGAAATGCAGCGACTTTGGTGGTCGATATGTCCAAACTTGACGTCGAAGATACATCGCGGTCGCAAGCATTGGCTGTGGTCTCGGGGAACCACCGAACAAAGCCCCAAAATGGGACTCGACAAAGTCTGATCAGGACAGGAACCAGTACCGCAGCAGTGACTGTAGGAAGTCGGTGTGCGCTGCGCTGAAGCCTGGCCGTACCATTTTTTTCGAGTGGGCCCTGCAACGGGCACGACCGAGTGAGCGTTCATCGCCACCCACCCGAACAACCGGTTCGCACAATCACACTCGACGTGTTCCTGACAGCAGCACTACCGAAACGTGGAATTCTCTTGCCATGGTTCGACGTCATTGGCATCCCAAACTGTGCGGGTGATGTAGAAGCCATGCCGAAATATTATTCGCTTTTGAGGGTCTTCCCTGGGCTGGTCGAATTCTTTGTCAACCGCCGGTGAAAGACCGCCACCACTCTATTTCGAGAACATAAGTACGGATACCTCCACGGGTTATTGTGTGGTTCCGCTACCTGACTCCATCGGTCCATTCACAACTGCCGTTAAACGGTTAAATCCCGGATGGGGCACGGACATCGCACAATGGGTATCATCGCGAGAGGGTCTCTTTCTCTGCCAGGTTGTATTCGTGAGGGCGCTGGGAGAGTTCTGGGCCCTGGTGGATGTGATGTGGATTGCGCTCATTCGTGGCCATCTCGTAATGATTATGAAGATTTTGCGATTTTGCTCCGGACGAGCCCGTGAGGATCCGGTGCCTGGTCGAGCCAAGACGAGATTGAAGGTACCTGCAGGAGCAGAAGGCAGAGAGAGACGGCAAACATGTTCGTGTGTTGGTGAGAAGCGGTCACATGCGGTCAGCGATGCGCTGGCACTGCGCTGCCTCAGGCGCCCAATGAGTCATTCAGTTTCCATCCTCCGTACAGTCCGACATGGTCGATTGGAAATGAGACTGGTAGTCATGGGTCTACATTGGGCCCTTCAAGGTTATCTCTTGTAAGTAGTCTGCTGCCGCTATCTAGAAGGTGAGGGGCCCAGCTTCCTCCACTTCGGGCATCAATCAACCAGGCGGAAGATTGATTACTCTGGCCATCACTCTTATGCTGTTATTAAGTCCATTACGTGCGTCCCTCAGCTTCTGACTGTATCATACCGGGATGCACGGGAATGACATCAGCTTCTTCAGCCTCGATTCGCCCAACTGCAGTCGTGTAACAGACCTGTACGTCATGAAGAGACAGTCGAGTATCTAACTACATCCTCAGACAAAAGGCTAACACTGACTCTTATTGCACTGTGTCCTGTCCCATGGTGTTACCGCATACCCTCTGAGGTTGCCTTACGAGTAGCATTTGTCCCAGCACGCCGATAATGCATGGTCCGGCTTGCTTTGTGGTTTGGTTTGTATATTTCTCGCTCTGTCTAATTAGCAATGTTACAGCGCAAGATGGCCTTGCTAGTAAAATGAGTGGACTATTCACCATTTGTAGAATAAACGAAACATTCACCATCCAGGTACACAGATAGTCTCGCTTATTACTATACATACAAGGCATTGTCCATGTAGAAGCAACACAGTCGTCTCCGACACTCTTTCAGCGGAATAAGGATCTGCTCTCGATATACTAATTCTACTTCGAAAAGATCTTTCTGATATACTACGAGGGGGTTTAAAACCCTGTCGTGTATAAAGAAAAAAGATGTAGTGTGCTCTGGAGCGTAGTAAAATCTGTATATCGGATACCTCAGTGTTGTTATATTGCGTGATAGAAGTGCTCATGACCACAAAAATTATAAATAAGACCAGCATCCATTCTAATTAACACACTCAGGTTGTTAAGTTATCAGATTTCGTGCATAAACCTACTTCATCAGACGAGGAAGTCCTAAGGCAGCTGCGTATGAGCGGGAGTGCAAATAGTGCAAACAGTGCAAATATACACATGCAAACATAAATCCCCGCAAACATAAATCCCCGCAAACATGCAAACATGCAAAAGTGCAAACATGCAAACAGGACAAAGGTGTAAACATGCCTGATGCGGCTGCGACGTCATTGCTCATCAGTCGATCCAGGCAGCGGCCTCAGCATCCCCGCCAATGACATTCCGCCAGACGCTGTTCGGGGTCAGAATGACACTTGCGCCAGGGCGAGCTCCAGCGCGCGCCCGCCCTGGTTGGAGAAGTATCTGCGTCCGGAAGGCCCGTGCGGGGGTCTGGGCTGCCTCGTTACTGACATGCATTTCGATTTCCAATTCCATTTGATACGATGTGGTGTCCTGATGTCACTCAGCCGCTCCTCTGGCTCTGCTCGCCCAATCTCGTCGCGGCTGCGAGTGTGGGCTGTTTGCAGTCTGCCCCAGGATCGGGTTGATCAGGAATAAACTTCCACGCGGATTGGACGAGGATGGGCTGGCCTGCAAGGAAGCTATTTCCAAGCTGCCGCGCATGCCGTTCCTACTTCCTCCTCATTCTTCACAATGCTCTGTGCTTCTATCCAAGCCTATCACCGTGACTTTTCTTCTTGAGCCTTCGTGTTTAACTCCTTATAGTTGCATCAGTCGAAGCTCTCCTCATTTACCCCTCTTCTCGAGCTCCGCCCTCTCGTTGCCTTAATATCTGCCTGTTGCCGCCGTTGCCTGCTGGAATCCTACTACAAACTTCTTCGCTATATTGACCTCTTGGCGACAATAACTACACAATATGAGTCCCTCCGCGCTGTCGACCGGGAATGTTGACATAGTCGACATCCGTGAAAATGACCTGCAATACTCCCTGGTTCACGAAATAGAGAAAGGACTAAACCCTCCCACCGGGACTAGGCGGTCGTTACCAACAATGCTACTATACGACACCGAAGGACTGAAGCTATTCGAGAAGATAACCTACTTGGAGGAGTACTACCTGACGAACGCCGAGATTGAGGCTTTGGAAACACACGCTCGGAGGCTGGTAGAGAAGATCCCCAGCAATGCACAGCTTCTGGAGCTCGGTAGTGGGTACGTCGGCTTTCCGTGGACTGGCAGGGTTATACCGGCGGCGGATCTAACTGAATCATGACAGGAACCTTCGGAAGATTGAGATCCTACTTCGCGAGTTTGAACGTGCTGGTAAACCTGTAGACTATTACGCCCTTGACCTTTCTCTTTCCGAGCTTGAGCGCACTTTCTCCAATGTTTGCCTTGAGGAATATACAAATGTTGGATTTCACGGTCTTCATGGCACATACGATGATGCGCACACTTGGTTGAGTGACCCCAAGAATAGAGAGCGGCCGACAGTTGTCATGTCAATGGGGTCTTCATTAGGAAACTTTGGCCCGCCAGAAGCGGCGGATTTCCTTGCTGGATTCGCTAAACTTCTTGGACCATCGGATATGGTGGTGATTGGACTTGACGCCTGTGATGACCCAGCGCGGGTATACAACGCGTACAACGATTCAGCTGGGATCACAAAGAAATTCTACGAGAACGGGCTTGTGCATGCAAATAGGACTCTTGGAAGCGAAGTCTTTCGGCCGGATGAATGGGAGGTTGTCACAGAATACAACCCTACTGACGGTAAACACCAAGCATTCTATGTCCCGAAGATGGACTTGACTATTTGTAATGCGTCGTTAAAAAAGGGTGAGAGAATAATCTTTGAAGAGGCATTCAAATACAGCGCACTTGGGCGCGACAGATTATGGCATGATGCTGGTTTGCTTGAGGCGGCCGAGCTCGCCTGCAGTTCTGGTGACTACCGTACGGACCTTCTAATTTCCTGTCAGTGAGAATGCACTAATCCGGATTGGACTAGACCTTCATCTGCTACAGTCTGCAGCATTAAACTTGCCGTTATCGCCTTCACAGTACGCAGCTCATCCGATTCCAAGTCTCGGCGATTTCCAATCCCAGTGGACTGCGTGGGACATTGTCACCAAGGCAATGATCCCGCAGGAAGAGCTGCTCTCAAAGCCGATAAAGTTGCGGAATTCATTAATATTTTACTTGGGTCACATCCCTACCTTCACCGGTGAGTGCTCAGTACGAACCTAGATGGACAATTTGCTTATTTATTCCAGATATCCACTTGACCCGTGCTTTGGGTACTAAACCCACAGAACCGAGGGAATATCAGTTGATATTCGAGCGTGGCATTGACCCGGACGTTGATGATCCAGAACAGTGCCATTCTCACAGTGAAATACCGGACGAATGGCCGTCTCGTTCGGATATCCTAGAGTACCAGGATCGAGTGAGACGTAGGATAAAAGTCACATTAGAAAAGCCCGATTTGGAACGGAACCGAGTCCTTGGCGAAGCCCTTTGGATCGGATTCGAACATGAAGCAATGCACTTGGAGACCTTCCTCTACATGCTAATACAGAGCGAAAGGATTCTTCCCCCACCGGGAATCCCAAGGCCAGATTTCGAGAAGATGTTCATTGATGCCCGAGAAAATAAAAAACCAAACGAATGGTTTGCTATACCTGAGCAAACGCTGTCTGTTGGACTCGATTGTCCAGAGAACAAAATGCCTGAGGTATCATTTGGGTGGGATAACGAAATACCTTCCCGCACTGTGACGGTCCAGGCATTTGAGGCGCAAGGAAGGGCCATAACAAATGGTGAATACGCCAAATACCTCCAAGCGAACCAGTCGCAAGATGCTCCAGCCTCTTGGATGAAGCTCGATCATACGAACGGGGCCTCTAGTGGAAGCACTGGAGATGATCTGCTAGCCAGCCTCGCTGTGAGGACTGTCTTCGGCCCTGTGCCACTAAAGCTTGCCCAAGACTGGCCAGTCATCGCATCATACGAAGAGCTTGAGCAATATGCTTCTTGGATGAACTGCCGCCTACCAACATTCGAAGAAGCTAAAAGCATCTACGCTCACTCGGCCCGGCTAAAGGAAACTCTATCGGATGGGGCCACCAGACCTACAACCGGAAAGGTAACCAACGGACACACCAACGGCTATCACAAGAACGGTTACGACAAAGCTTCTCAACCCGTCCTTGCCCCAACCGCGTCATCGTCACCTGTATTCACCGACCTCACCAACTGCAACGTCGGATTCAAACACTGGCACCCAACCCCGGTCATCCAAGACGGTGACAAACTCGCCGGCCATGCCGAATTCGGCGGCGTCTGGGAATGGACGTCCTCACCGTTGACGAAGCACGATGGATTCAAAGCCATGGAGATATACCCTGGATATACCTGTTAGTTCCCCCTCCCCTCGTTGTAGTGTGTCCAATATTCCTGTCTAACCAGCCATGCAGCCGATTTCTTCGACGGCAAACATAACATCATCCTCGGTGGGTCTTGGGCAACGCACCCTCGTGCTGCGGGGAGGACGACATTGTAAGTTTAGTATCTTGGACGTACCCTTGATGAAAAGTTCTAACGTGTTCCTAGCATCAACTGGTACCAGCGGAACTATCCGTACCCATGGGCCGGAGCGAGACTTGTACGGGACCTTTAGAGGTAACGTGGGTTTGTTAGAATAAGGATGAGATGCTACGAGGTAGTACAATAGAGACTCAATGCAAATTATGCCTCAGTGGCAATACTGGATGCAAAGCCCTTTTACTCTATTGCTGAGATGGCCTGGCTCTAGGTGCCTTCAGCAATTTAGTTCTTGCCACACTGGCTATACGCCTGCGTCGCCATACTGTAATCGATAAACCAAGAATAACGTACGCAGATCACCTTGTGGACAGAGACTAAAACTTCTACAAAAGTACGTATATACTATTAGAGCCCCCCTCCCGCCTTGCGCAGCCCAAACTCCATCACAAGGCGCCCATTCAACCCAACCTCGTTCCTGCGCATGTTAGGGCTAGCAGGATAGCCACGACGGCGAGGGTTAGGATGGTATTCCCAGCTAGGTCGACCCGTAGAAACTGCTGCCACGAGGGCTACATTTAGCGTGCGAAGGGCTGTCCTTTTCGTTACCCGAATGATTGAGGTTTCAGCCATGGTACTAGGAAAGGAAACCTGCTACCTAGAGGGGCGAGAGAAGAAGAAGAAGTGGAAGGATAAGTTGCAAAAATGCAAGGGGGGAGAACAAAGTACGAAGAATTTCCAACCCATTGTACACTAGTAGGCTGTGCCGCTGCAGACAGACGTCGAAGGAAGAATATCCCTGTGGCTTGGGCGTTCTCTTCATGCACGCCGACTCTTCGGTGAACCAAGGGCATTGTATAGACCAATTAGGGTTCACTAGGTAGGATGCCGAGCACATGTTTTCTAAGGATATCCAAGCTCTTTGCAATGGACAGAAATTATTATAGGACTGGGTATCAACTTGAATCAGAGCTTTTGGCTATTGCGTTGCTTTTAGAAGTAGACTGAAAGCAGCCATTATGCTGAAAGTAACGTATGTACAGTGGAAAAATGCAGCTCATAAAGGGACAGTGTCCACGGGTATCTTCAACTCTTGTGCTTCCAACGGGGGTGTCATCATAGCATCTTGCGCAAGTGCGTCGTTTTGTACGGGTTCGCCTGGTATGGCGGCAGACTTTGTGGTCTCATTCAGAGAAGCAAGGTGGTCGGCGGGTAACGTATTAACGAAATCTGGGCCCGGACTGGGCCATGTGTAATCCACCCACGTTGGGGACAGGATAGATTGGACCTGTTTCGCGAGGTATAAGATCCGGCTGCGCCTCTCGCACGACCACACACGGTCTGTGATGATGCCGTCAGACGGGGTGAGTATGGCCGGCGCACTGGGTGCGGAGGGGACGGCCGCGGCTTGGGTTTCAAAATATTCGTCGTTATCGTCCTTGTTCTCTAATCCGTCGACGATACTGTGCCAGACACGTAGAGTCTCGTTTAACTCGTCGATGTTGCTAACTCCCATAACACTCACGCCAAGTCGTTCGCCTGTACCCATGCTGGCAACGGAGATGAAACTAGGGTCCGCATCTGGGCTGCGGGCGAGTGGTGGGCCGAGAGCTCCGGCCTTTGCACCATGGCGGAGCCACGATTCAAGCGCGAAGCGAATTGCAATCACTTCGATCTTTTCGCCTTCCGAGTCGGCGAACTGGGAGGCGTTGTGGATGGCTGTTCGGAGCCCGTCTGGGGCGGGGTGGAAATCACCCATGCTTCCAATTGGGACACCCTTTCTGCGCAGAAGGCCCATACCTAGGGGCGACGCATTAGGGATAACATCGACGCCAGCTGCTACGAGTCGCGGGAGACCTTGGGTGAGGAGCCGTGTGTTCTGTAGAGTGAAGTTGGCGTAGGACATGACGACGTCGAGCGGCTCGCCAGTCTCACGAAGAACCAGCTCTGCAAGATCGCATAGCACGTCCACTGGGTACCCCGAGATACCAACATAGCGGATTGTCCCTTGTGTATCCCGGATCCGGCGCAATTCGCGGACTGCCTCTAGTACTTCCTGTGGTGAAACGAACTCGACATCGTGGCAGTATACGACGTCCAGATACTCGGTGTGAAGACGACGGAGACTCCGGGCAATACTCTTCCTAACCCACGCCGGGGAATAGTCGAATGATGAGCCTGCGATCCGTCCGACCTTTGTGAGAAGGTGGTATGAGTGCCGGGGAAAATTTGACTGCACAAAGTCTGTGGCTAGGGCGCGGCCAAGGAGTTTCTCTGCAGGACCGTAATACGGGGAGGTATCGAAGGCACGGACTCCACTGGCGAATGCGCGATGCACCAGCTCGGTTGTTGGGAGAGCGTAGGGGTCTTCGTTGTACTGTGAGTTGAATGTTGCTGTGCCCATTACCAGCGGCGGAAGGGCCGCCGATAACGGAGGGCGTCGTGAGTCTCGAGTCATCGTGGGATCAGCGATGGGAGAGAGGATGAATGAAACGAGGTGGGATAGCGGTGTTCAGCCCTCAATCTGGACCGTGAACAACATGTAGAAGAGAAAACAGGAAGGGGAGAAATTTGGGGTTGATAAGGGGAAGTCGCGGGGCAAAAAAAGGACTTGATTTCCAATTCCATCCCGAGCCTATCCAGGGCCCACCGGATGGCGCCATGGCTGGATCCGATTAGCTGTTCCGGGAGGGACGAATGGTGATGGAAAGCAGACGGGTGTGGATGATCGGTATCGGAATTGTGGAGGAGCAATCATATGAAGCCGCCTTTGAAGCCCATGTTGACAGCTGGAGAGTTGGAGGAGTGAGATGGCGATCGCGGAGTTATCAGATTCCATCCTTCTAGAATTATCCCCGCTGCCTCTACGACATTCTACGACAGCGATCAATAGCCTCGATGGAATCTAACTTAGGACAGTGAATGAATGATGCAACTGCATTCTCTACATAATGTCACTTTAGATATCAAACGCCGCGGGGATTTTATTTCATCTCCGCGGTGCAAAATCGGCATTTCCATCGTGATTCTGCCGTGTTCTGCCGCCCTCGATCGATCGGAGCCGATTTCCCTTCCAGTCGAGTCAACATACGAAGATCTGTCTGCTTAAAGCATCCTCGGATTTCATAAGAATTTATAACGATAGAGGATATCTTCACTAGTAGTATTCCGTGAATGATAAATTCATCCTGGGCCCCAGGAGACAGCATTGTTACATCGATCGTCGATTCCAGTACCAAATCGGACCGCATAACTGCCAGAGTCTGGGGTTATTAACTCAATTATGTGCAACTGAAGCCTGAGTGAACACGGGATTTATGCACGCTGACGTGGTTGGATGCCGGGGATTTTCGTTTCCTCCACACAACAGCTCACTGGACATCAACCCACGTTCCCCTCCAGCATGAGATGAGTCTCATCGTCAGGGTAAGATGTCCGCTCTGGAAGTGCGACGGGCGAATTCCATCTCAAAGCGACACATTCTTCAACAGGCGCGACGAGTGTTCCACAGCCAAACTCTCAGCCACCTAGTTCGCATCGCCATATCCCTAGTTCTCTTACCTCTAGATAACTCGATCCTCTTCCTGGCGGTGTTCTTGACCTGTTTGTCGCCTTTCTTCCAACGGCTGGAAACTTTACACCGACGAAAGTCGATACTGCAGGACTTGCAATTCCGGCCAAAGACCGTTCTCGTTACTGGGGTGGATACCCCGCACGGCCTCCGAGTTGCGCGATGCTGGTATAATGAAGGCCACCGGGTGGTGGGTGCTGATGTTACAGACACCAGATTCGCTTCTGGGGAGAGTATGTCGAGGGCCTTTGTGGCTTACTATCGCGTTCCCAAAGCGCAGTATATTTCCAGGCTGCTGGAAATTGTGCTGAGGGAGAAGGTGGATATATGGATTCCCTGCTGGCGCGATGCGTCTGTTGTTGACGATGCAATGGCAAAGCAAGCAATTGAGAGCCAGACAAGCTGCAAGTGCACCGCTCTTGATACCGAACTAGCAATCCAGTGGGGTCAGCTGGAGACATTCATCCCATACCTGACCGAACGCAATCTCCCGGTCGTCGAAAGCCATCAGGTCCAGTCGCGAGACTCTATACACAAGATTTTACATCGATCGCCCACCAAGGTCTATCACATACGCAAACCAACCCCGCCAATCAATACGGAGGCGGTGATTGTCTTGCCGAAAAGAACCCTTAGTTCGACATACACCGAAGTTAGTCAAATCCAGGTCTCCAAGGACAGCCCGTGGCTCATGCAGCAGCATGTTCGTTTGGGAGAGTTCATTGCTGAGCTGTTGATCGTCTGCGGCCACGTCACTGCTATCATGATCCGCCCAGCTAGCCGAGACTCGGTTTGGGGTTGTTCACCTCTGGACGAAGGACTTTCGGCAGCAATACATAGGGTGGTGGGCAGCTTTGCATCGAAAAGTGGTTCTCGAGTAACCGCGCATCTCGCCGTGCGATTGATGGTGGACGAAGAGTTGACTTCAAATTCTGTACGCTATGAAGTGAATATTGCAGATTGCATGCAGGGTGCAGCTGCCACCGCCCATCTTCTGCGGGATACGCCGCCTCAGACTCTCGTCGATGGATACTTGGCGGCACTATCAGAAGACGGCATACCGAAGGTTTCGGCAAACCCCTTCACAAGTGAAAACATTTCTCGGCTGCCGAGCGTGTATGAAACTATCAAGAGTTATGATGTCCGCAAGGTGCTTCCCGCCCTTTACCCTCTTGCGCAAGGCATTGATTGGGCGGTTGATGAAGCCGGCAAGCTGCTGGTGTTTTGGAAGAACTGGCGGTTCTCGATCGCGGACCCGTTACCGTGGTGGTGGCATACACATGTTTACTGGCCGCTGAGAGAGCTGGACTTGCTGCTCCATCCGACCAAGCCAGCTGACGCTTCGCAAACGTAACGGGTTATTAGGTAGCAGCTTTATCTGTGGAAGCCGGAAGGCCACGAGTGAGTGGGTTCGCGGGAGCATCTGCGAGGCTGAAATCGCCGATCGCGCGATCCAGGCAAGCATTCCTTAAATAGAAGCATTGAATTCTCTGGCTTTCATCGTTTCACAGCAACCCTCGCGGAGTTCGCATGTATCTTCAAGGTAGATTTCTCCTTGGTAAGAGGAAATTAAAATCGAATTCCAAAAAGCATTTTTTTATAAAGCGACAGTAGTATTTCCTGTGAGGTGATGATGTCAGGTGCTATTTCTGGATTTATGCACCGTTAGGTTCCAGTATTCCAGTATTCGGGAATTGTGCAAGGATTCCTCGAATGCGCCACATTCACTGCCTCAACTCAACCATTTCTCCTCCTCTTCATCAACTTTCTTATTATCCTCATCCTCTCACCTCCGTTGCTTGTTCCCAGCTCATCCGGTTGTTTCGGCCCCGGGATTATATTTTGCGTGTTTCGTCAGACAGCGCCACGGGTTACCTAGTGTCCGCGCGGCGTATAAGTCGGGTTGCCCCGTTCCACCAGCTGTCAGCGCCAGCCGTAAACACTGTTCTCACCTCGAGCCTCTTTCTTCACTTCCCTCCCACGACCCACGATTCTACCACCACGAAGCGCTGATTAAAAACAAATTTATCCCGGTAACAGCGGAATCCTCTTTTTTTTCGCTGCACCTCCCGTCCAGACACTGTTGACCCCGGGTCTGCGAATTTACCGTCCACAATGAAGCTACCGACCTTTAATCCCGGGCGGACGAAGAACCTCATCCATGGACTTCAGGGCTTCCTGATTTTCCTTGCCTGGGCTCTCACGATTGCTATATTCACGAAAGGAGGCGGTATCGATGGGCGAACGGCCTGGTACTTCGCCTTGGTAAGCCCCCCTCGAGGCTGCAAAACAGACGCATCAATTCTAATATTTTGATCCTAGTGCTGGTTCACCATCCCCGGTCTCATTTATCTAGTAGCTGTGCCTATGTGGCCCCGCGCCCGACGATTCGGAAACGTCTACGCTTTTGCGACCGTCGACTGTCTGTATACCGTCCTGTGGTTCAGCGCTTGGGTTTGCCTTGCCAGCTATGTGGCACAGGGCAAGAGTGAGGGCAAGGATACGGACAACAAGGATAACAAAGACAAGGACAGTGAGGGAAAAAGCGGATGCGACAACTGGAAATATGGCAGTGCCAGTAAATGCAATGTCAGCACCGCCACGACTATTATCGGAGTGGTTATCTTGTTTGTGTCCCGGGATCAACGATATGGATTCTCTGCTAACATTCCCTTAGCCTTCTCTTCCTGTTAACAGGATGGATGTCCTTCCGCAATGTCATGCACTTCCGTCGCACCGGAACCCTGCCTGACGCTGTCTCCGATCCCACCTTCGCTGCACAGAGCAAGGCCGCCTTCTCCTCGAACCCCGCCCAGGACTTTGAAGAAGAGGACGACTTCCGCTCGGGACGTGCCGGAATGGGCTCTTCCCTCCGTGATCGCGATGAGGATTATGCTCTGCTCCACCAGAGCGAGGTTGACGACATCGGCAACCCGAACTCACGATCTGCGATGCACGGTGCCTACGATCCCACCAACGCAAGCGGGTCAGTCCTACATGACTTCAATGCCAGCGAATTCGGCGGCACCAGCTACGGCGGTGCACACGGCCAACATTACGGGGGGCCGTCAGAATATAATGACTCATCCCTCGGCAGTTATCACCGCTAGATACCACTCCGCTTGATCATTTCGTTTCCTCTTCAATTATCTTTCGACATGACCATGGAGCGGAGTTGGGCGCGTTTTAGCCTCTGTGTTTGATTGTTTCTACGGTGACATTACATTAACATTGACATTCTTGTTGGTACATGCAAGCTTTGCTTCGGTATATGTGTTTGCTGCGATTCTGGCGACGATTGCGCGGCGGTTGATTCGTCCATTTTGCAATTTGTGCCGTTTCTGACGATTGGACGATCTCTCAGATTGGGATTTCTGCAGTGCGGACGATGAATGTATAGATAAATACCAATATTTAGCTCGTAAAAATTTATTGCTTAAACAGTACAATCACGCAGCATTCACTGGTTAGGCCAAAATTCTGCCTGCAGTATATACACCGCCTGTATTCACCCATAGTTTACCAGTCACCGCCCGGTCTGGACAGCTTGCGGGATATCAAAGGACCAGCACCAACTTGCCAGATTACTCAACTCACAATCTACATCTGCGGGTAGGCAGATTCACTATACCACAGAATACTTGTCAATACTTCCACCTTCCCATATAATCGTGAGCCTCACCAGTATCCCATTCCTTACAACACAACATTAACATCAGACAGGCCACCACCTCCGTTACAGCCAACCGGTTCCCCGAACGCAGCCAAAATGGCACGCTCAATCGACCTCTTCACCGAATACCCTCTGGTCATCGACCCAACCTCCAAAGCAATCTCCCTCTCCAGCGACGCAGGCGGCTACACACCCTCCCAAACCAGCTCACTGAACGACGAACTCGCCGCCCTAAACACCCTCCACCGCAGCCTCCTCACCCTCGACCCGCCAACAATCCCCCCACCGCCCATCCCGCTCAACCCCAAACGCAGCGCCCAGATCACCAAGCTCCGCGACAGCGCCAACACGGCGTTCCGCAAGAACAACAGCGCCGAGGCAGTCAAGCTGTACTCGCTGGCGATTGAGATGGCGCAGAGCAGGCCCGGGTGGGAGCCTGTTGCTGTAGCGAGGGAGGAACTTGCGGCGCTGTATTCGAATCGGGCGCAGGCGTTCATGGCGCAGCAGGATTGGGTTGAGGGGTTGGTGGATGCGAAGGCTAGTGCTGAGGCGAAGCCGATGGGGAATGTGAAGGCTTGGTGGCGTGGGGGGAAGTGTTTGGTTGAGATGGCTAGGTGGGAGGAGGCAAGGACGCTTGTTCATCGGGGGGTTGAGGTTGAGGGGAAGGCGAGCGAGGGGGGGAAGGAGTTGTTGGCGTTGCTGGAGGAGGTGGAGGCGGGAGCTAAGAGGGAGGGTGAGCAGTAGATGGATGAGATGAATAAGTCTGGGGAGATGGTTTAAAATGTGTTATTCCCTATGGGGTGTCTTTATTCGATTTGTGATGCGATTCGGGCTTGTTTTCGGGACATTGCTATAGAGCTACGTTCATAGTATACGGCGTTGGGGCTGGACGTTACAACCATCATCTTCAATCTATGATATACAACAACCTACAACAACCATTCTTAGCATACTCTTAGTATTCGCCAAGGTCACTGAATTACAAATGTATTACGGAGATCGATGTATTCCCGACCACTTCCGAGGCGATCTCCGGAGTTAACACCGGTCGCCGGACGTCCACATACTTATATAAACTCCAATGTACCCATCCATCCATATTTATTCCAAGCATACAAGTATACGTCATCATGACAACCATCCTCATAACAGGCGCCAACACAGGCATTGGCTTCCAGATCGTGCGCGCTCTCAGCAGTTCATCCCAGCCCTACCACATCTTCGTCGGCGCCAGATCAGCAGCAAAAGCGAACGATGCAATCAAAGCCGTTCAGGACGAATTCCCCTCGTCAAGCAGCCAGTACTCCCCAGTGACCATCGACATCGAATCAGACGAGTCGATTCAGAGCGCCGTCGCCCAGGTCTCTGCCGCGCATGGCAAGCTGGACGTGCTGATTAACAACGCTGGTATGCCTCAGCAAGTATAAACTTATTTTCTCCCAATACTGAAATTATACAGGCGCATCATTCGAACCGCAGCTCAGCAGCGGTGAAATCACCGAGCGCGAGCTCTGGGATAAATCATGGAGGGTTAACACCACCAGCACGCAGGTCATGACAAGTGCCTTCATCCCGTTACTGCTTAAAAGCAGCAACCCGCGTCTCCTCTTCATAACCTCAGGGACATCTACTCTCTCCGGTACAGTAAACCAAGCTCTGGCTGTGAACCACGCCCCGGCTGCGGGGTGGCCCAAGGGCGGCTTCATTGGGGTTCCTGCGTACCGCAGCGCGAAGACGGGGCTTAATATGCTGATGCGGGAATGGCACCGTGTGCTCAAGGAAGATGGGGTGAAGGTGTTTGCGATCAGCCCTGGGTTTTTGGCGACGGGGTTGGGTGCTGGCGCGGAGGTTACGAAGAAGATGGGGGCTGGCGATCCGGTCGTTGCTGGGCCTTTTGTTAGGAGTGTTGTGGAGGGGGAGAGGGATGGGGATGTTGGGAGGGTTTTGACGAGGGATGGGATTCAGGAGTGGTAATGTATAACTGTTGTTGCTTCTATAAGTGTGGTTGGTAGCTGCATACAATATCTGATTAAGCCCTAAGTATCATTACTGAACACCCACTTACTCCTACCAAAACAAGATATTGTTTTGCTAATAGCCTTTAAATGATTACCTCAATCGCAGCGGATTGGCCTTTAGATACTCCTCCAGCGTAGTCAATCTCCCTCTGGCCTGTGCAGCACCCCATTCCACCTTCTCCTCCGTCCCATCCCCATAATACCCAAAGTCCTGGAAATACCTTAACATATCTGCAATATAATCCTTCATCAACTCCGGCAGAAACCGCTTCCACACCTCCTCCGGCACCTGCCTATAAACCACCTTCTTCCCCGAAACCCGACTCATCACATCCACAATCTCCGCAAAGCTATACAACCCCGTCGCACAACAAAGCGTCTTCCCCTCATACGCTTCCAAATCCGCCAAAACAGCCGCAACCCACTTCCCAAAGTCCGCGCGCGTCTCAATAAGCGGCACCCTCGTCTCAGGTTTCACAGGCGTCACAAGCGCATAAACCCCATGAACCCCATGCACAGGCCGCGGCGCCATCATCTCCTTGAAGTTCGACATGAAACAGCCCGGCGCAACAAACGCACTCTTGATACCCGGCTTCAATGACCGGATATACGCCTCGGCCTCGGCCTTGCCGTCGAAATAGCCCATGTGTTCTAGCACGCCGTTTGAATTGTTGCCTGCATGCGGGAGAGTCGAGTAGATTATGTATGGAACACCGGCTGCGACGGCTGCGTCTGCAAGTGCGTGGCCATTCGAGACTTCATGCTCGTAGGTGCGTCCGTCGTAGACGGTGATGCTGGTGGCGAAGACCACGGCTGCGCCTGTGAATGCGTGTACTAGGGAAGGCAAGTCAGCGACGTCTGCGGTTACCAGTTCGAGACCGTCGTTGTATTTCTGGAGCAGGGTTTGTGATGCGGTGCTTGTTGGATTGCGCGTTGTTCCTCGGATTGTGTACTCGGTGCGTAGCTGGGGGTCGGAGAGTACGGACTGGATGGTGGATTGGCCTTGTTGGCTGGTTGCGGCGACTACAGTCAGGAGCTTCATTTGGTGGGTTATTCAGAGAGCCTGGTCCTTTTGTCCACGTTCTGTATTGTGAGGGAGTCTGGATGTTGGGTGGTGTCTGGATTCACGGTTGGGATGCGGAGACGGTGACGTCGACCAGTGGCTGAGTATTAGGGCTGCGGCCTCTATCGTGAGAAAACAGAAAACCTCCGCTCCTCACAAAATGATAAAATGGCAAATCTCTGAAAGCACATCGAGTCGCTCAAGGCGATCTTCCTCCTGCATAGAGGCAACAAGCAGTCTAAGATGAGCTTTAAAGATATCGGACTGTATTTCTGCTACTAGATAGTCAGCATAACTAAGTCGAGCGTGGGAGGGCGTCTCGTAAATACTAGGCTATATCTTTAGGACTGATCAGTCTCATGTACTGGTCCTAAGTATTTACCTGTTCTCCCTGTCAGCAGGCAGCTTTCAGAGACCAGCTCATGGTCTGTGATGAGCATCTGCGTCTTGAGCGTGTCGTACAAGTAAAAAGTAAATATAGCGGGGTAGCATTTGCTGTCTTAAATAGACTAAATCGACTCCTTCGTGGTCTCTGGATACCTGCTTACGCCAACATGTTCAAATACATAGCCCTACTCGAGCTACTTCACCAAGCCAATGCGCTCGTCCGCCCAGATGGAGTGGTATGTACCTGAATCTGCCCATAAGTTATCAACTAACAGACTAGGGACGCCTCCCAGCACTCGGCTGGAGCTCCTGGAACGCATTCGAGTGCGACATCGACGCAACCAAGATCCTAGCAGCGGCTACTCAAACCGTGAAGCTCGGCCTAAAGGACGTGGGCTATGAATACATAAACAGTACTCCCATAGATAGGATTGGCCCTACTAAATACTAACATGCTAACGTTTTGAAATCTTATAGTAGACGACTGCTGGTCCATCAAAACCCACCGTGACCCCATAACCAACCGCATGATCCCGGACCCAGACAGATTCCCCGACGGAATCGCCAGTCTAGCATCGCAGATCCACGACCTCGGTCTCAAAGTCGGCATTTACAGTAGCGCAGGAGAGACAACATGTGCCGGATACCCAGCGAGTCTGGGGTACGAGGATATTGACGCGGAGACCTTCGCTGAGTGGGGGATTGACTGTACCTCTCCATCCATCCATCTCTCCATCCACTTGTCTCAATGGATGAGTGGCTAATTGAATGCAGACCTCAAATACGATGACTGCGGCGTCCCACCCGAATGGAAAGACGAATATACATCCTGCGTCCCAGACACAGCAAACAACCCCGGCCCCTTCCCCAACGGAACATGTCCCGATATCCCAAACCCAGCACCGACAGGATACAACTGGGGGGATTCTAACAGTTCCCAGCGCTACCGGACTATGCTGAACGCTCTCAACAACTCCAACCATCTAATCCTCTACTCCCTCTGCAACTGGGGCCAAGCAGCCGTGAACACCTGGGGGAACGAGACAGGCAGCTCCTGGCGCATCTCCGGCGATATCTCTCCGGGAAGAGGCGAGACGGGGGTTGATAGAGTGCGTATAGCAGATTGGAGCCGCATCGCAGAGATTGCGAACGAGGGGAGTTTTCTGGGGAGACGGTATGCGGGCTTTTGGGGGTGGCCGGACGCAGATATGTTGGAGGTTGGAAATCACGAAGGGAATCTGACGTTGGCTGAGAATAGGGCGCATTTCGCGCTTTGGGCCGTTATGAGGAGTCCGTTGCTTATTGGGACGGCGGTGGGTGTTTACTTACTTCATCTTCTACTTTGGGACTTTGGGTTCTTAAGGTGCTTTGATTGATCTTGCTGACTTTTTGGTAGCTCAATACAATCCAAGAAGAACACCTCGCGATTCTCAAAAACAGATACCTGCTCTCCTTCCACCAAGACCCGCTCGTTGGCCGTCCAGCATACCCCTATAAATGGGGCTATAACGAAGATTACACTTTCGATCCTGTCCACCCGGCTGAATACTGGTCCGGGCTGTCGTCTACGCTCCAAGGGACGCTGGTGCTTATGCTTAATTCGGAGGATGGGGTGCGTACCCGGCGGGCTGTTTGGAGTGAGGTTCCGGAGCTTCGGGATGGGAATGCGTATGAGGTTGTGGATGCTTGGACGGGGGAGGAGCTGGGGTGTGTGCGTGGTGGATTGAGTGTTGAGCTGGAGAGCCATGATGTGGCTGTTTTGGTTGTTGGGAGTGCTTGTTAGGGATATAATCCATATGGTATACAGTGCGGTATTGTCTGTGTGTAGGGCATTCATTGTTCGGGCTAACTGCGCATCACTACAGCTGCATCCGATGTATCTAGTTCTAACGCTCACCATTGCAGCCCTGTCTGGGTGGGTGACCACCATTTGCAGGAGCTTCCATAGCGCGTGTATCCTGCTGCGACTTCCATGGAACGAGAAGCTACTGTAGACGAAGGGCGTGGCATGTTCGTTCCAGACTCGGCTGATCAGACACCATTGTGCAGGCATGGGCTCGACGCAAACCCCATCTGAGAGACCAGCCAGATTGATTTCTGCTGGGAGGTAGACCCCGAAGAGAAACTGACTCCGTGGATTAATTGTGAACAATATAGCTTCCCAGCATTGTGGGAGGTCAGTGCAAAGACATGACAGGACCTAACTAGGAAGTAGTGAAGTATAGGAATAACTGTGAAGACAATTCGCATTATCAAAATACAGAGAAACAATACCATGCAGGTATGGTAAGGGAAAAAACCAGTACTTGTAAGACAACTGCTTTAGGAAGGCACCCTTCCCTCCACACCAGGTGACTCGCCAGCCCTAACTACCACAACAACTCTAGTAGTGAATGGATTCATCAATAACGCATCAGAAGATGAAAAATAAATACGAATACCAAAAAAAGTTCGCTTCCGGTGCGGGGAATCGAACCCCGAGCTGCCGTGTGAGAGACGGCGATGTTAACCATTACACCACACCGGATACGTAAGAAGAGAGCCAGAATTTCGAACTATGCCTCAGGCAGGTTGTTTCTAAGAAGTGTACTGTTTTACTTTGAAACAGTATTCCTACTATAATCAATTTAAAGCACATTGTCCATTTCCGCAATTTGGCAATTTGCAGTCCATATACTCCATACTCCGTATACCTAACAGGGGAACACTGTCTTGACGTCAATGTCCTGCTTAAATCGAATATTTTTGCCAGCTCTGCCAGACTCGCATTTCCCCGAAGAGGCCGGTGCTGATCGGGCCACAGTCTCGTCCATGCGGGCCGTCGATCTGTGGTGCTCGGCCAGCTCTCGTCCAACGAGATTGTCGCCGAGTTACGTGACCCAAGCATTCATGATACCACCGACTTAGGACCTTTTCTTGTCGCCGAAACCCGAAGACTCACCGCGCGTCCACGGGTTGTTTTCGTATGACACCCCAGGTGTTGACCCCAAGTGTGAATTAGGGCTATTCACCTCCCGAAGCTGTACTTGAGATATAATGGTCCTATGCCAATGGTATGCTCCTGTGATTTAACTTTTATTATGGATATCATTCGACTGCGATCGTCTCTCATCTAGATAGTTTCGTCTATCACAACAACAAACCCAGACTATACGGTGTATACCGGTACAATGATCGGCTGTGATCCTCGTATTGTGAATTGATCGTCGAGATCTCGCAATCAAGTGACCCGCCCTCTATCTCCATATTTATATTAACCTCCTTTGTGAAGACGGCCGCCATTTGGCGCATGCACAGGCCAAGCTTTCTTAATTGTTGACGCAGCCGGCCCTCCTGCTAATAGGCCCGGGCCCGCAAGTCATTCATGATGCCATTGTCTGGGGCTGTGACACAACTTGGGTGATCTGCAGCTTGGACCCTGCTCCACGAATTGAGCTCTGCTATAACTATCCGGCCACCCGGCCGTGCTGCAGCTGCGAACTCAGGACTGCCTTCGATTTCCTCCATTCGCGCCCAGAATGATGTTCATCCTCCCCCTGGTGCTCCTTTGGGGCCTCGCGGCCGCAAGGCCCAATATTCTATTCATCCTCACTGATGATCAAGGAAAATACATGGGAGGCCTGGATCATATGCCCCGTCTGCAGGTATGCCCATAACACCGGCCTCTGTATAATATCTCAGAGTAGCTAATGACTGCAGGAACTTGTCGTCAAAAAAGGCACAACATATGAAAGCCACTTCTGCTCCACAGCTGTCTGCTGCCCGTCTCGGGCCAACATCTGGACAGGCAAGATGCCGCACAACACCAACATCACCGACGTGGGCATGCCATACGGAGGCTACCAACGAGTCGTCGAAGCTGGCTGGAACGACAACTACCTGCCGCTCTGGATGCAGGAGGCCGGCTATGCTTCGTATTATGTCGGCAAGCTCTGGAACGCCCACACCCCGGATAACTACAACAAGCCCTATGCCAGGGGTTTCAACGGATCTGAGTTCCTGCTCGACCCATTCACTTACCGTTACTGGTTCCCCAAGCTGACCCGGAACGGGAACCCACCGGTTGATTATAGCGGGAACTACTCGACTGATCTGCTCACGCAGAAGGCTCTTGGGTTCTTGGATGATGCTTTGGAGACCCCTGACCAGCCCTGGATGTTGACCGTTGCGCCGAATGCACCGCATTCCAATGGTTCGAGTACCGCTGCTGGTGTGCATTGGTTTGGTGACCCCGAGTACCCTGACCGTCACGCGGATCTGTTCAAGGACTACAAGATTCCCAGAGACAAGAGCTTCAACACTGCCATTGAAGGCGCGGTAAGCTGGGTCAAGGATTTGAAACCGCTCGGATCGAAGCAGGTTGACTACATTGATGAATACCAGCGCCGTCGACTCCGTGCTCTGCAGTCGGTGGATGAGATGGTGGACAAACTCATCGCGAGACTAGAGAAAGCTGGTGTCCTTGATAATACTTATATCTTTTACTCCACCGACAACGGATACCACGTTGGACAGCATGCTATGCAGCCCGGGAAGAACTGTGGATATGGTGAGTCCCGCTCTTTTAGTAGTAAAAGTGTATTGCAGGTGCTAACAGAACAGACACGGATACAAACGTTCCCTTGATCATTCGAGGACCCGGTATCGACGAGGGCGCCACTGTAGATGTTGTCACAAGTCATACCGACCTTGCCCCGACGTTCCTCTCCATTGCTGGGGCTGCAGACCGAAAGGGCTTGGATGGAAAGTCTGTCCTTAACTTGGACACAACCGCAAAGAACAAGACGGAGCACGCTGCAATTGAATATTGGGGCTGGGTATGTCTGAATCCTTAACATCTGACTGTATACTAACAATATCCAGGCCATCCCAGAGGGTATCTACGGATACATCAGCAACCAGACCGACCAGGATGGTAACGGGTACAAGGGGAACACCTACAAGGGCCTGCGTTTAATCTCGGACAACTACAGTTTCTACTACGCAGTATACTGCAATAACGCACGAGAGTTCTACGACCTCAAGGTACACCTCCCATGCCATTAACAGAAAGACACTTACTCACAAACGTACAGGCCGACCCCCACCAAACCGTCAACCTGGCCGCACAACCCGCCAAGCACCAGGACTACAAAATCGCCAACAGACCCCTGCAGCAGGTCTTCCAGCGAGCAAACGCTCTCATGATGGTGCTGAAATCCTGCACAGAAGACGCCTGCCGAGACCCCTGGGCCCAGCTGCACCCCAAGGGCGCCGTGCACAACATCGTCGATGCACTGGACAAGGGGTTCGACAAGTTCTACGCCAACCAGCCCCGCGTCTCCTTTACGGAATGCTCGCTGGGATACCATATTTGGGCCGAGGGGCCGCAGAAATTCAACGTCTACGGCCAGGCGAACCGTGTTGATGCGAGGGATAGTGATGAAGATGAGGGCTCGTCGGGCCCTCTTGTGAGTTACTCGGATATGTGAGTCGCCAATCTACCTCCCAGTATGCCCTCTGTAAAATGATGGATGCTGACCACGAATAGCACGCTTTTCACGAGTATGGCATTGGCGGTGTATGTGCTCTTTGCAGGCGTATAGAGACCGAGGAAGGTGCTGCTGAGTGTGTTGGTTAATGTTAATATTGATGTACCTTCCACATACATTATTACCCATAGCGCCTTCCTTTTATGAACAATGAATGAATGATTTAATCACATTTCCCACTTCTTCAGTTCATTCTCCAGCGAAAGCTGACCTACTGCAAACTGTTACTCACCTCACGTTCGTTTGATAAACATATCTAATTACTTACGTCTCTAATATCGACACTCCATTCTTTACCAACACTCGCTAAGTAACGAATCAGTCCAATTCCACGTATCAACATGGCCAAGAGGAGGAAATCGGGCGAATCTCACGATCCCCCCAGCGGTTTCTTCGCCCGGCTCAGGGGAAGGACTGTTGATCCCCGGCAAAGACCGGATCCATCCACGCTTGTAGGAAACGACAGGCTAACAGGAAGCTTCCTGTCTGAACAAACTACCGGTGTTACGACCGCGCCTTCAAATTCAAATGTCACATCGATAGCCGCAAGAGAGGACCAAGGCTGGCAGCTAGCTCATGTGCGACACCGAAGCGATAGCGGTCTTGGTCTGGGTGATTTCCTGCATCACACGGCGTATGGAGGTGGTAGTGCTGGTGCCCAGGCTGGTAGCACATCGGTCAATACAGCGGCCCCAACCAGTGTTCCGGGCTCAACTGGGGTTAGAAATCCTGTAATAGTCGAGTCGCCGCCGAGTAATGCGGATAGTGGAGATAGCACGCAGTCAGCGCAAACTGGACAAGCTGAATCCGGTGAAGGCTCGACCGCTCAGGGCCGTATTCTTTCAGGCGGAAGAACCGTTCGTTTCTCGACGACCAATGCCGTTATTACGTCGGACACCATTGATGCTCGCATTGAGGCCTCGCAGGGCGTGAGCGAGACTATGCGAGAGAGTTCGGGCCCTACTTCTGAGCCGTCGGATGAACTACCTCTGGGCGGGCAGGATCCTGGGAATACGGGAATAGGCCAGTCAGAAGTACCTCCAGAGCAACCTGGTGATCATGACGCGAGGGAAATGCCATCTGGGACCGGAGCTCACCAGCAAGGTCAAGAACACTCGCAAGAAGGGGGGCAATCGGGACAATCTAGCGCTTCTCAACAGCAGGGGGAGGGAGGACCAGGTGGCGAGGGAGGCCAGGATGGAGAAAGACAACGAGACGATGACCCGCGGCAGCTGCGTCAAGAAGGAAGCTCACAACAACCCCCTCCCAGGAGATACCCCTTTTATCATACTCAGGTGATATCCAACCAAGCACATCCATCGCCATTACTCAAAGGAACACGCAGAGCTCATACAACTCTTGCTTACACGACTGCCGGTGTAACGGCACGAATTTGGATATCTAAGGACGACGTTCCTTTTGTTTTCCCTGTATGTGGGCTGTCCTCAACTCTAGTCCTCGCTGCTCACAATAACAGGACGAGACACTGTCGCGTTTCAAAGATTTACGACATCCGGAAGACCTGGATTGGCCAGAGTTGTCGGTGATCCATCTGAAGTCAGGGGATAATGGAGGTGTGGGTATTATGAGTCTAGACGGCCTGTTGGAGTCGTTATGCTTTGAGGAATGCCGCCATAGAAAGGCCTATGTGGAAATTAAGGTGCGATGACCCTTCACAATCGTCTATCGTCCGTAGATAACTGACAAGAGGAATCTCAGTCGAGGCGTCCCCCAGACAAAGTTGCCGAATTTATCTCGCAGGCGCTGAGCACAATTTCGCGGCCTGAAGGCTGGATGGCCCGTATAGTCATTTGTCTATCGGACGTGGACCAAGCCAATGCTTTCGGGATTCCGTTTGCCGGTTACAGGATGGTGCTAAACTGCCACAGGAATTTAAAGATGGCAAAGAGGGTTTATGACCTTCACAATCTCCTACAGTTCAGATTCAACGCCAAGGTGCTCGCTGCCAAAGACTGGTCGGAGTTCTTGGATAGGGCGAAAAGGGAAGGCAGAGACGTGTACATCGAGACCGACAACACGGACCATATGAAATCGTGCATCCGAACTGGAGTTACAGGGATAGTGACTGACCACACTCGAGTGCTTGACGGGCTATGCTGGGAATCTATAAACTCCAGCCCAGGCTGGATGAACCCGCAGCGAAGTCGAAGGCTTTTGGCAAACTTGAAATTGGACTGGTTAGGTAACAGATGGGGCAGTCGGCCTTTGTGGTAAGCTGGATAGTGGTTATGGATGTATTTAGATTCGTTATGACTGAGAGGCAGAGGGAGTTGATGAGCAAAACAACCTTGATTAGACTAGTTAGGACAGACATCCTTAAGATTCTGGAACACAGTTGTGTGGGAATCACCACTGATCAGTTTGAATAGATATATTGTAACACAAGTACACTCTAATCGGCTGCAATAGCGCCCAGCTGCCGAGCTAAATACCAAACAATCAAACATTATGCGTGGTCGGCTATACCGATATATATATATGCATACGGATATTCAACCAAGCAAGCAGCAAGTTCAAAACGATACCAAGAAGCGACATTGTGCACGCAATGGAAAACGCACAGCAACCCATAATGAAATGTATGTATAGTGGAGCAAATAATAAGCAAAAGTGAACTTTGCTGTCCAAGCAAATCAAATCAAAATGTCCAGTCAGAAGTGAAGGTATGTGTAAATATATACGGACAAGAAAGGAAGATAATCCAGCCAAACCAAGCCAAACCGGGTATAAACAATAAACAGCAAATCAGATCAGGCCGATTTTTTGTCCGCAAAGGAAAGGAACGGAAGAGCATGAGTTCGTTCCAGAGACATAGACGGACGGACTCATGAGTGGAAATCAGAAAGAAAGACGTGGTGACAGGTGACACATGCAACGATATGATAATACAATAGTGCGAGGTAAGGAAAAAAAGCCTCCAATCTAGCGCCTGTATTTGGAATCCGGAAAGCAAATAATAGTTAGAAAAGACGGGACGTTCATATCATCATCAATTTGGTTGTTCGACGCTCAGGGAAGCGGCGCGGGCCTGGTGGTGGGCCGAGGTGGCTAGGGTTGGGGCCTGGAGAAGGTGGAGGGCGTGGGTATGGTCCTCGTCCTGGCATGGGGCCGGGTCCGTAGCCGCCGAATGAGCCTGGTGGTGGGCGGGGACGGCCACGGCCACGGCCGGGGTAGCCTGGGGGAGGGGGTCGTCCGCGGCCTGGAGGAGGCATCATGCCGGGAGGAGCGAGAGGGGAGGAGGGCATGGTTGGACTGCGGAAGCGATTCGGGGAGACTGAGGCGGCGGCGCGGCGGGCGTCGCGCTCGCAGTAGACGAAGCCGTTCCATTCGAAGTATTCGCCGTGGAGATCGACGTTGCATGTGCGGCAGCGCAGGCAGTCGAGGTGGAACTTCTGTCGGTCACCGGGGTTAGGCCCGGTGCGTTCGTTTGTTTCGAGATATTCGCCTTCGATTCCGGAGCGACAGCCGGCGCAGAGGGAGCCGTTGTTTTCGTGGTAATGTTGCGCGCAGTAAGGGCGATCGCGGAGGACATAGAAGTCGCTCGTTGTGAATGCGGAGCCGCACTGGAAGCAGACGAAGCATCCACGGTGATAGCGGCCTGTGAGACGGCCATCGGCCGACGAGATGGACTTGCCCAGAATTACCTCGCCGCAGCCTCGACAAGGTCCTCTTGGCTTTCCTCCCTGGGGACGGGAAGATTGTGTTTCGGATCGTGCTAGTGGTTTGACCTCGTCCCTATCTTCGGAGTCATTAGGCACTTCCGGAATAAGAGATAGCCCACCCTTTCCAAGGGTTGGGTCTGTTGGAGAGTCGGGGCTCTGGAAAGCCTCTGGTATACGAGGGGGTTCGAGAGTCATGGGACTTTCCGTGTGATGGGCTTCATCCAGGAAATGTTCTGATCTCTCGGGTGATTCTTTCAAGGGCTCTTCAACGACTGGGCCAAGAGGGCTCAGATCGGAGGGTTTTCGCCTGGACGAACTCACGTCCGATTGAACACTAGATAACGAGGTGCCGCTTCTAGTCTCTGACGGTGAAGAATCAGAAGACGCCGTTGAATCCTCCACAGGATCTTCAGATATATCAAGACCAAGGGCACGAGCAAAATTGGACACTGAGATGGCACTTTCGCTACTAGCATCCGATTTCTTCCTAGGAATGTCCTGTTGTTCATTCTGTTCTGGCAGCGTTGGTTGTAAATAGTCCGACGCTGAGGGCTTGAAAACCTTGTAGTCGGTTTTGTTAGATCCCGTTGGTGATACTGATCGTTCCGCCTCATTAGCTAAATCCACTGGAGGCCCATAGGTACTCTCCGCGGGGCTGTGATAAAATAGGTCGCCGGATCCACGAGAACCGCTAAATCGTTCCGAGTCCGCATTTGATGATGCGCGTAAAGGACTCGCTGCGGGTTTGTCGAGATACCCTTGTCCAAAATCGAAACCACTGTGAACGTCGTTTTTGCCTTCCCGTCTGAAGGACGTGTCCGACATCGACGAATCCGAGAAAACTGACTGGTGGAACGGGTTTGGAGTAGACTGCGGAATAGGAGGTATATCTTCCTCATATCTATACCCAGCCAACGCCACACTTCCAAACGACCGGCTTGAGATTGCCGTTGATCTTTTCGAGTTTCGATCGCCGTATCGAGTGCTCGCCAGAGATGTTCTATAACTGCTTTTACTCTCAATTGAAAAGCTGTGTTGATGGGAATATGCGTTATCCTTCGGTAATGGTGGTGGTGGTTGGTCCTTGAATGGCAAATGTGCACTATGGGGAGGCTGATCAGCATCCCTGTACATTGCATCTGCATATGCAGGAGAAGTCTCTAATGGTGCAGAAATGGTATCCTTCAACGTCATCCCGTTAACCCGCCGCCCGGACATTGATCGAGGCAAGGGGAAACTAGGGAAACTCCCGCCGTTGCTGCTTGCTGGACTAGGGGGTTGAGGGAGTGGCGAAGTGCGCAGCGGTGACCGCGACCCTGGTGAAGGCGAAAGAGGAGATGGGAAAAGTGTATTATTGCCGCCTTGTCCGCCATTAGGTTGGAGAAAAGGCTGGTCTACACAGATTGGTTATCAAATGAACCGAAACGATGCCTAGAGGAAAACATACTAGCTCTGAAAGGATCAATATGTGACGGCGGCCCTGCTCGCCCGTTTTTGTCAGGCCATGCATCCTCTGCTCCCAGTGTTGGTCTCCGAAACCCCGACTTGGGAGGAGGCGGGGGAGGAGACGGCGATGTACCTGTGCGCGGGGAGCATTAGCATCATCGCTGTGATCGAGGGGCTTGGGACTATGTACCCGTTGGAGATTTGGCGCAGACATGGTCTCCCATCGCAAGGATATCTACATTGCTCCCGCAGTCGGAGCACTTTATCATGGGCAAGTCGCCCATACCTCCTCCTGCCATCTTGACAGATGCGCCGCTCTCCAGAGTGGTCAATCCCCCTTCGTTAGAAAATCATCCGATTCGAGAGAATGAAACTAAATTCAATCATGGGTCGTGCATTCGTCAAGAAAATGGCTCGTCAGGCGGCGCAGTGCGTAAATTCCCTGTTTCCCCCCGATAAACAGTCTCAGTTATGGAAGACTGAGGTTGTGATGATTGAAGTGGATGGTTGTTGATGTCGAAGAGCGACGGAGTGAAGTTACCAGAGCGAGAAAGGCTACCCGGGGGATCATACCAACGATATTAATTAATCTTCTGACAGAGTGACCAATGGTAAGAGGCAACCAAAATAACAAGAAATCGATAATCACAATAATTATAGCGACGGTGGGCCGGGGCCAACGACAGCCCTCGTGCGGTTGAAGTTCAAGAAGACAAGAACCATCCGAGCAACACGCGTTCCCAACGTCAGCCTTCCCATCCCAATCTCTCTCCCGACAGTCTCCTACTCTGCCTGGTAGGTAATCGTCTTCATGAAGACGTTGTTCTCTCCCCATCTGTCTCTATATTCTCTGCAAACAAATTATTCTGACTGACCAGCAAGCCTCCCAGGGACGACACTCTCATGGTTGTCGGCCTCGCTTCCCCTTTTCCAGTTCCACCCCCAAGCCCTCTCCCCCACCACTATCCTGAGTAGCCAACCATTTCTGTGCAGAGATCCGGATGGAGTCAAGGTGCGATTCTCTTGAAAAGGCTAGTCGGGCGACTAGCCCCTGAGCACCCACTCATTGAGCCGTCTATCCCTCTGCAGATCTCTCAGGGGCCGACCACCACTCCACCACTGACAATGCAGTCAAGACACCACAGCCACCAACCGAGCTTTGCTCATTTGAACCCCTCTATTGTATCACTTCATCTCATCAGCACCTTGGATCCTGTCTGCATTTTTGCCTTCAGTCGACGCACATCCTTTCAGATTTGCGACTAGCCTGCACGAGCTTCTCCGACGCGAACCTCCAGAACCCACCAGGGACCACGCTGTCACATTGCTTTTCCTTCCTCCGAACGCCAAACGACATTAAAATCCAAACCCCAAAGTATATATCGAGTCATTACCCTTGGGTCTCTTTCACCATCTTTCCTTCGGGTTCCTGACCCTACCCCACGGACATGCTTTAGAAGTTTGGTCCGTACACTACTACTGTGCACACCGTACATAATACCGAAAATGATGGTATGGGGTCCGATAATTGTTGGTTTACGAACCCGCGACGAACTCGTCAAGCTTGGTTCCTTGGCTGATGGGAGTGCGACTCACACTTGACGTTCTTGGGCAGGGTAAGATTTTAGAGAACTCTGGCCACAGAATGAACCGTCATGGTTATCTCACGGACTGGCCGAATCCGTCAGCTACGCACGGATTCCAAGACTTTATCCCACTGTCAACCAGTGCCACCAAGGAATAGGTTTCAGCTTATCCCCTAATTATCGGGACAAGCCAGCGGAATCAGAGGCCTCCAGTCAGCCACAAATTTACCCTTCCAGTCCCATTTCTTTATCCTAGCTTGAAGCTCCGCAGTCAAGGCGAGGGGTGTGAGGGCATTTCTCCCATGAAAAGCAGAACCCCGGCCTTATTGAACTTTCTTGAGGAGATATCTCATTTTCTGTTCACCGCGACCCCTTCGACTCGGAGTAGACTCGTCACGAGAGCTATTGCCAACTGCGCAACTGGCAGTGATAGCATGGACTTCATGTGAATCCACCTGTAGATCAATCGATATGTCTGGCGAGACTGGCGGCCTGGCTCTGGACTCTGGTTTCTACCTTAAAATACCCGTAGAGTGAGTCAGTATCATCCATTATTATGTCTCATTGGGTCGAAGGACGAAAGTTTCGAGATGGCCGATCAACCCACACTTGATCGATCTGCGATGGTCAGTGATTATCTAATTTTGGAAAATGCCAAAGTCGCTGCGAGGTCGCGACACCCCCTGAATCTATGCCCAGTACGGATACTAAACATGACTCCATTTAGTAGTGAAGTCATCGATCCGACGTCATGAAAACCTCCCATCGATCATGGTATTTGAGACATTGGTCTTCTGCATCACGATGCAACGCTCACATGTCAATTACCCATGTCGGTTAGACTCAGCCTTGAAAGGAAAAGCGCGCCTAAACCCCCTGTCAGCAGCAGGAACGAGCGAGGAATGCAGCTCCACTGGGCTTTGGCGAGAAGGCGCCGAAGCGCTCGCTTGGATCATCAGGGGCTGGTGTTCTTCAGAGACCAGGGGACCAGCGTCGCAGAGAGATAATTATGGAAGAACAGTAGCCAACATGAATGACGATTTCTTCAATTGAAGTAAAAATGCCCCGGTTGAAGTTTTTCGCATCGCCGCGTGCGGCAGCTTTCAGGGGTTGCAGCATCCAGGAAGAATCAAAGCCATGGAACCCCATCCGAGCTTTCCGCCGCAACGCACAAACCACTCCCAAACTTTCGTGGCAGAAATCGGAGGCACGCACCTTGCAGCTGAAATAGTGATGCCTAACCATCTTCTTATGCACCGTCAAGAACCGCATTAGTTTCGTCCATTATTCAGATTTACCCGATGAGGCCGTTTTTTGTGGTGCTCGGCCCTCAGTCACATTTGCAGCTTCCGATTCCGGCCCCTTGGTTGTGGTGATGCGAGCGGAGCCCTGTCAGCGTCTGATTGCGGGTCATCTCCAGACCGTGGACTTGCGGAGTGCTTGGAAAAAAATGTTGGGGATTGGATAGCGCACACGAAAGCTCTTGCCTGGCCAGCGTTCGACATCTGTTCAGCACCACTTATCGTCGTTAACCTTTACCATTAGATACAATCTTCGACCCTAGAATTATATCGTGACAGCTGGCTGTGCCGTAAAGGCAGTGAGAAGCAAACAAGGTACCTAAGCGGGCCCCGACCTTTGGTGGATCGCCGAACCACAGGAGCTCAACAGCATCGAGCCGAGGTGTACGGAGTAGTAAACTAGGGATGGCACGTAAAGCACAGTATTGGGCAGGAGTGAGAAGCTGGAAACCCCGGGGATCGTCCTACGATGTGACAACAAAGAAAATAATGGCTTGTGAGCCAGCAGGCGGTTATCGGGCATTTGTGGTAGCAAACTCTCGGTATGAGGGGTAACGGTGGTGACTGATAGCGATAGTTAATCCATCGAAATTCGACAACACTTCAACGCCTCTTCAGTCTTCACCGCAACTCCTCGCCCAGTTTTCAGGTAATGTCGTGTCGAGATGCCCCGCCACTGAAGAAGGCGAGAGTCTGGCCCAATTGGCTGCATACGGTGCCTTGTTGGAGGGGTGTCCGCCCAAAGGAACGATGGTGTGTTTTTTTCGGGTCCCGCTGACGGATAAGATAAACGTGACCCGGACTCGAGTGTCCCGCTATAAAGTGACCCTCCCCTCTTTCCGTTTTCTTCCTTCTCTCCTTCTCTCCACCCCAAAACACTCCATTGACCTCAGTTCAAGCTTTTACAATTGCTGTTATCTAAGGTCCTTTGATCACACTCTTCTCCGAGGCGTGATCGCTCAACACCGTCAAGATTTTCTCCACACATCTTAACTCGTGAGTCTCACCTCTTGTGTTCTCTGCAGAGCACCACCCCACGGTCTCAAGCCATTGAGATGCGAGACAATGCTATCTAGGCATGTTCTCTGCATTTTTGACCATGTGAGAAGCTGATTGCTAACTTTTTCGTTCTCTAGGCGGCACCACCCGTTCAACGGCCGGCGCTCATCCAACCGTGGCGGAGCACCAGCCAGTATATTATACCCCCACTAAGTAACCACTGCGTTAATCGAACATCCTCAACACCGCCATATACGTCAATAATCGTTCCTGAATTACTCCCCAAATTCTGAACACAATGGCTCCCCACGCAAATTCGGATGTTGCTGCCAATGGCGCCGTGAACGGGTCCGCCCATGCTGCTCGCGCCCCTCTGTTTACCGTCAACTCGCCCAATGTCGAGTACACCGACAATGAAATCAAGAGTAGCTATGCTTATCATACTACCGATATCACCCGCGCCGCGGATGGTAAGCTTGTCGCCACCCCCAAGGCGGCCAACTATCAGTTCAAGGTCGACCGTCAGGTCGGCAAAGTTGGTCTGATGATGGTCGGCTGGGGTGGTAACAACGGTTCCACCGTGACTGCTGGTATTATCGCCAACCGCCAGAACCTTACTTGGGAGACCAAGGAAGGTCCGCGTGCTGCCAATTACTATGGTTCTCTTGTCATGAGCTCTACTATCAAGCTTGGAACCGACTCCAAGACCGGCGAGGAGATCAACATTCCCTTCAATGACATGCTGCCCATGGTCCACCCCAATGATCTTGTCATTGGCGGCTGGGACATCAGCAGCATGAACCTTGCTGACTCCATGGACCGTGCCCAGGTCCTTGAGCCTACTCTCAAGCAGCTTGTTCGCAAGCAGATGGCCGAGTTGAAGCCCCTGCCCAGTATCTACTACCCTGACTTCATCGCTTCCAACCAGGAGGACCGTGCCGACAACGTCCTCGAGGGTTCTAAGGCTACCTGGGCTCACGTGGAGAAGATCCAGGCCGACATTCGGTAAGTTTCGCTGAGCTCCATTCAGAGAGCGATCCGTACTAATTAAAACAGCAACTTCAAGGCTGAAAATAATCTCGACAAAGTGATTGTCATGTGGACTGCCAATACTGAGCGTTACGCCGACATCGTCCCTGGTGTCAACGACACCGCTGACAACCTTGTGAACTCCATCAAGACTGGTCACGCTGAGGTCTCCCCCTCGACTGTCTTCGCGGTTGCCTGTATCTTGGACAAGACTCCTTTCATCAATGGATCCCCTCAGAACACCTTTGTTCCCGGTGCTCTTGACCTCGCTGAGAAGCACAATGCCTTCATTGGTGGTGACGATTTCAAGTCTGGCCAGACCAAGATGAAGTCTGCTCTAGTTGACTTTCTGATCAACGCTGGTATCAAACTTACTTCGATTGCCAGCTACAACCACCTTGGTAACAATGACGGCAAGAACTTGAGCTCTCAGAAGCAGTTCCGTTCCAAGGAGATCTCCAAATCCAATGTTGTCGATGACATGGTTGCTGCCAACCACATCCTGTACGAGAAGGATGAGCACCCCGACCACTGTGTTGTGATCAAGTACATGCCTGGTGTTGGTGACAACAAGCGTGCTCTGGATGAGTACTACGCGGAGATTTTCATGGGCGGCCACCAGACCATCAGCCTGTTCAACATCTGCGAGGATTCTCTGCTTGCCTCTCCTCTCATCATCGACTTGGTTGTTCTTGCCGAGATGATGACTCGTATCAGCTGGAAGGCGGATGACGCCGCTGAATACAAGGGCTTCCACAGCGTCCTCAGCGTGCTGAGCTACATGCTCAAGGCTCCCTTGACTCCTCCTGGCACCCCAGTTGTCAACTCCTTAGCCAAGCAGCGCAGCGCTCTGACCAACATCTTCCGTGCCTGTGTTGGCTTGCAGCCTGAATCCGACATGACTCTTGAGCACAAGCTGTTCTAGAGCCGCACCCGGAACTCTTTTTGCGGGATAATTCCACGCAAATTGTGCCCTTCCGTTCGCCAACTATAGCCACTCGTTGAAATGCATTGAACACAACCAGATTGATCTACGTGATTACAGATGTTCCCGTCTAGTTTTGTAGATCTTCCTTCGTAACCGTAGGCTCAATAACTTTACCGCTGGCTGCGGGGACGAGTATCCCTACAACATGACTGCAGAGGAGGATCCTCCTTGGAGTTTTATCAACGGAATTGAGAGTTCTGCACTCCGGGCACATCTTCTTTCTCTTCAAAACGTACCAGGAACTAACAATCAACCCCCGGGGTTCCTCTTAGCCCACTTGATTCCGCATCCTAGTCGTAATATCCACCATTTCTTAACCAAAAGGAAGATGAGAGCGACGAGAGGAGGTAGTCGTTGACCTCCAGCATGGGTCGTTCCTTCCATTTTGGACAACTTGGGTTCTTCCTCGACTCGGTCGTTACTCATCAGGCAAGAGCGCTTCAGCAACTACTCGAATATGAAGCACCGTGGACACCCTTTAAATTCATTCTCCTGGGTTTGTTCAACGCTATTGCCTAAAAAGTGCCTACCTTCTAGGTTAGATGGCCCCAGACATCCAAGGACCGATACAATCTTTGTAGCTTTTGGTTATGATCGAGGATACAAGCTTCGAAAGCCTCTTGGTTTACCGGCACTGCAACCCTTCCCTCGAGGCAGACATGCACGTTCAAAGAGGAACAGCAACCTAACTAGCGACGAAGTAAGTAGTACTTACTATCCGAGCTCCACCACATCGCGCGACGGTATCGCCTCCTCATTAAGTATGACTTATTTCGCAGCGTAGGGTCACTCTCTTGATCAGAGCTTTCACGAAACAGACTCGAGCCTCCCCCGAGCTCGCTACCACATCAGCAAACTCGTGTGTATACTCTGTGTTGTCGAAAATTGGAGTGGATTTCTTCCTCCATTTCGGATCCTTAATATCCGTTCCCGTCCCAAGATCTAGCCATTTGGTGACCATCGCTGCCTTTCCATCCTTGCCACAGTCGTGGAGGGCGATCTCAAATTCAACACCGCAAGCCAAGCATTGAATACACCCTGCAGTGGCAGACAGCTCATCCAGACAGAAACCCCGCTGTCGAATAGCAGATCGAATCCCGTCCATTATCTCCGGAGTGCCCAATGTATGCGAGCCGCAAATATGCTGATTCTGGAGCACCCAAACTGTTACCTTAGCGTCCCAGTCAGAAGCGATATCAACATCATGGAATAGCATCCATTGCTGTATCTGCAGGACCAGAGATGGCGTCGGGCAAGCTCCACCAGCCGGTGTGCAGACCCGTCCTTCCACTGACAACAACGTCGTTCTTGCAGGATCATGGGATAATCTACTACTTCAGTGTAGGCCAAGGTCTCGGCATTGATTCCGTAGCGGCTGCCGCAATAGTAGTTCCGCAGCGCGGCGATTAGGTGGTAGTGGTGGAACGTGTAACAGCTAGGGAGTCTGTGGACAGATACTTACCACCGAAGCGAAGGCAACGGTCCGCTTTCTCGGTACCGCAGTCCCAGATCCGGGCATTGCTGGTGGACAATGCCCTCGGTACATGCTGGATGGCAGACGTCGGTGATACGATGTAGCTTGGCGCAGTAGTGGCAGCAAACCATCCGAGGGAGGTCTCGCATCAGTCTGGCAAGGATGGAAAGAGCTAGCGATTTGTCACGGAGTTTCTTGAACTCGTAGAGATTTGTTGTGGAATATTTCAGCGTTCGGCTGCATAGGCTTACACAGATGATGTCGGTGGTTGTCAGGAAATTTGTGATGAGGAGTAATAGTTCAAGCGGTAGCAGCTCCAGGTTAGAAAGTGGCACCTTGCGTGGACTGCGTGAGAAGATTTGAGGCCTCCGAGGAATCCATTCTAGTAGGCCCATCTTGATATTGTGGGTTAGCAGTATGAAGAAAACGAAAAGCTCACTTGAAAGTTGAGAGTTGGTTGTAGAACGTCGTCATTACTCCTTAGTCAGAACACAAATGGTTTACCAAAGTTCACGAAGGCAACAACCGTTATTTTATCACTTATATTACTATGGAAGGTGTCCCACCATCGGTTTCTATCTGAACCTATCCTCAAACCCATTTCTTTCCTGGCCTCCAAAAGTACGTATACCTGTCGTCCACATGGGCTTAGGGTTGAAGCCCCCGGATAAACAGCGGAGGAGCAACACAAGGTCAAGCGCTATGCAAACGTAGCCATTAAACCATTGACATTGACAGCATCTAAAGGCTCAGTACCATGGCTGGCAAGCCCGATCTCGGCCGCATTCTCTCTCTTGATATGATCCCCGTCTACATCCGTAAACCCTAATCCTTCATGCTTCGATCTATTCCTAGCTAGGCAGCTAGTACTAACTAGGTAAAGTAATCAAAATGCCCATTTTAGTTGTTTAGACAAATGCTCCTCGAGAGTAATCAAGATTAGAGACAGGCTAGTAAAGGCACCTCCCTCCACCCCATCAGAGGTGGCACCTATACAAGCAAGTCTTCGTTACTGCTTACATTTTGATCCCCTAAGTTATTTCCATTGCCCTATCCGCATATAAACGCCACTAAGTAGTTGACTCGGTATTCCTCCCCAGGAGTTCAGGTATAGAGACACACGGACGGTTCGGTAGCAAACCCGGTCGGACCCGGACCCGATCCCGTCCCCTCACTCAATCTCCAGGTGGACACAGTCACTCACTCTTATAACCTCTTTCATTTCGGCTTGTGCGGAGAAGAAGAATAAAGTAAGGTATGGATACTTTGGAGTGTCTCCGATTTTGTGGGCTGGATTTTAGAATGCGTAGAAACGGTAACTGCAGGTATAGATCGACTAAATATATATCTGGTTTGAAGTGCTCAGGCAAGTTAATGTTGTTAGTATATCCGTGGACGCGCACCTTGCTTCCCAGCGAGATAAGCATAAATACTCTACATTTATGGACCTAGCAGCTCGTTGGAAAGAATGGAAGAGAGGGGACCTGAGGAGAGGCCTGAGGGGTAAGGTCCGGTGGGGACGGGGCTGGAGGTGCAGCTCCGATATCCTAAAATAACCCCACGATACCACAAGTTTGGAACTAAGGAACATTGGAGGAAAAGAAGCGGCTTAGTGCGGTTTTTGGCTTATTGACCTGGGCTATGGAGTTGGTTGGTGGTCACTTTGATTACGCTTATATATCGTCGACCGAGCCCAGTTTGGGAACGACTTTAGCTGCTTGTATTGATTGTCGAAGTGGCTTCCCACACCGGGGAATAAAATATATTCAACTCGGCCGGCCGGATGTTGGTCACGCGTTCTTGGTACCCTGTGAGTAGTAGTACTACCGGTTATAGAAGGAGTAATGTCGGTGTGCTTTGGGTTGAGGACCTTGAGAGCATTACGTCGGCCATATATATTTACTTCGTAGCCAGCTTGTCTCCCGAATCTCGCAAAATCTTGTGTACCATTTCGAAGACCATAAAAAAACATCCAAAAATGATGACATTTATTGTTATTTAACTTTTCATATCTCATTTCAAACTACATACACATAACATGGCTTTATATGACTTATGACAGATCAACGACGCAGCGGATGCAGTCGCCGGCCTTCATCTGCTCGAAGGCGGTGTTAATGTTGGACAGAGGCTCACGGTGGGTGATGAATTCGTCCACCTTGAGGTTGCCCTCGAGGTAGTCGTCTACGAGACCGGGGAGCTGAGTGCGACCCTTGATACCACCGAAGGCGCAACCCTTCCATACACGGCCGGTAACGAGTTGGAATGCTGGGGATTGGTAAGTAAATGAAGAATTCAGAATGCCTGGGAACAAAAGTTAACTTACGTCGAGTGGAGATCTCCTGGCCAGCAGCAGCAACACCAATGACAATACTCTCACCCCAGCCCTTGTGGCAGGCCTCGAGAGCGGCGCGCATGACACCGACGTTACCCGTGCAGTCGAAGGTGTAGTCGCAACCGCCGTCAGTCATCTCGATCAGCTTCTCCTGGATAGTCTGGCCGTTGAGCTTAGTGGGGTTGACAAAGTCGGTGGCACCGAACTTGCGGGACCATTCCTCCTTGGTGTCGTTGACATCGACGGCAATGATCTTGCCAGCCTTGTTCTTAACAGCACCCTGCATGACGGAAAGACCGACACATCCAGCACCGAAAACAGCAACGTTGGAGCCCTCCTCAACCTTGGCGGTGACCACGGCAGCACCGTAACCGGTTGTAATACCGCAGCCGAGCAGGCAGGATCGGTCGGTAGGGATCTTGGGGGTAACAGCGACGACGGAGATGTCGGCGACAACAGTGTACTGGGAGAAGGTGGAGGTACCCATGAAGTGGAGGATGTCCTTGCCGCGGGCCTTGAAACGAGAGGTGCCGTCGGGCATCACACCCTTGCCTTGAGTGGCACGGATCTTGCCGCAGAGGTTAGTCTTGCCAGACTTGCAGAACTTGCATTCCCGGCACTCGGGGGTGCTGCAGAAAAGTTAGACAATTGCTCTTTACGCCTACTGTCCGGCAAAATCCAAAAACATACTAAAGAGCAACGACATAGTCGCCAGGCTTCACGGAGGTGACACCCTCGCCGACGGACTCGACGATACCGGCACCCTCGTGGCCGAGGACAATGGGGAAAGCACCCTCGGGGTCCTTTCCGGAGAGAGTGTAGGCATCTGTGGCCGTCAGAAAAATTCAGCTCAGTTGAACGCACTTAAAAACCGACCTGTGTGGCAGACACCGGTGTGGTGAACCTGAATGCGAACCTCGTTGGCTCTGGGAGGTGCGACCTCAACGTCTTCGATGGAGAGGGGCTCTCCGGCGGCCCACGCAATTGCGGCCTAAACAAATGTCAGTTGGTACACAAACTCGGAACCCCATTGTTTATCCAATTTTTTCCCGCGAAAGATTGGTATTCTTACCTTGCAGGTGATAGTCTGCAGAAATTAGTATCACTGCCAGTAGAAGTGGATGATTGTAGGAAGTAGAGACTTACCTGGCCTACGGTGCTAGCCATGATGACGATGTGGATGGAAGCTTCGGAAGCTGGAGAGATGGGAGATGAGAAGGGAAGAGATGGAAAAGAAGAAGAAAGATGACGGAAGATAGAAAGAGCTGGAAGCTGTTATCAAGGATCGGGAAACTAGAGGGAATCCGCCGGAAAGTGAAAAGAGACAGCAGAAGAAATGACGCAGTGGTGAGGGGGAGGAGGGGGTGGGGTTCTCGATGAGGGGCTCTTGTTACCGCGACCGCGTCTCTCAACTTTTACCCGCTGCCAGCTCCCTGCAAATCGAGCGGAATCAGCCCATCTTGGAGTGTCCCCTCATTCTCCGCATGCCGATTGACTCATTGGTAACTGCGTTGGAGAACTTGGTGGGTTGCAACTTACAAGTTCACAGCCAATGCCGGCTTGTTGGCACCTGCATATCACGGCCTTCACAAGGAAGTGGGTTATAAACCCCAGAGCCTGGACAAGCAGCTCCTATCGCCAATGAATCGTGAATCTATCTCTTCTTGGAGATACGTCTGCTTCTCTCAAAATGGTCAAAATTTCCGAACCTCCTTCCGATTTTGGCCCGTGCACGCCAAGCTCTTGGATAGCGTCATACGTACTACGGCATTTTCCTATAACTCAAGGTGGGAAAATTGACAGCCGGCCTTTCATATAACGATAATTAGATAAATTCGTAAGTATCTTTTATTATACTCAACAGTTCCACTAGGACTTCTTTCTCCTTCGGCGCTTTGACCGAATTCCACTTCATACACACCGCCGCAACTCCAATAAAAAACGTTCTCGTAACTGCAGAAAAACGCCCACGATAGCCGCCCTCCGATCATTCAACAAATGCCTCAAGAACTTGTCAGAAACCCAAAGCCCATAGCCATTATGCTGGACCTCAGAAGCATCAACGGGGTATAGCAATCGATTGTGGAGACGATGAAGCCTGAGCTGATCGCGGCTACGGAGAGTTTGACAATCGAGGGGAGGAGCATCCGGCCTGATTCGGCGGCAATGATGCCTTTTTTTTGGCCTGGGACCATGTGAGGAGCTTGGAATTCAAGCACATGCCAGTCAGCCTATCAGGACTTGGGGTCTAGACAATGAACGCACGAAGCAGTCAATGTCATTGAAGGCCGCTGAAGAGCAGAAGGCAAACAGCAGACACAGTCCGACTGTTCTATTGAAAACAACAGCCCTTGGGATCATCGCCTCGTCTTTGCGGAGTAGCCGATCACGAGCACCCACTTCACTCGGAACTGCTGGTACGGTTTGCCAAAGAGGAACAGCGAGCAGGTATTCGGAGCTGTACCAGCCTATACTGGGGAGCGAGTGGGATTTATTGGTGAGTGTTGGGGTTGCGGTGCCAACGCTGGTGTTGTCTTGGGTGGATGGTTAGTAGATAAGATACCAAATACGTAGAGTGTAAGCAGGGTGGATGGTAGAGGGTGCATACAAGATCTAAGATGAAGATGCCCGGGCCCATTGCGATGAAAACTGGAAATCTGCATCTGCGATTGGTTCTGCATTATCCACCTGCAGGCACAGTATCCAACAGAGCTGTCCTAAATTATTATATATTTTATGCTCGACAAAATATAATCACATAAGCTAGTCAGGGCAAGAAACGCCACATTTATGAAGTACATGAAGCTCCCCTACTAAAACTTCAACTCCTCAACACCAACAAGCCTCGCCTCCTTATTCAAATTCTCAATCTCCACCTCCGTAAACGGAATCCCCTCTTCCAGTCTCTTCTCCCTCATAATCTGCTCAATCTCCCCAGGATAGTAAATCCGGTCCACACCCTCCATCTTATCACTCCCAACAACCCGCTGATACAGATAATCCATGCGCTCCTTAAACTCATCAAGACTAACAAACAAATCCGGCTTGATGGCCATCAAGAAGTGGCCCACATCCGACGGTTTCGACGGGTCATACGGTCCCGTAACATGCCCAGCAAATGCTGATCCAGAAAAGACACCGGAGAACACATCCATCATAACCGAGAGAGCAGAGCCCTTGGGGCCTCCCATTGGCAGCATCACACCCTCAAGTGCACGCGCAGGGTCATCGGTAATATTCCCCTCAGCATCAAGCGCCCAGTCCGTAGGTATTTTCTCCCCGCGACGGAGCGCCTTGTAGATCTTCCCGCGCGCCGCAACAGACGGCGCCATATCAAGGATGAACGGCCGTTCCTTGCCAGCGGGAGCCCCGCAAGCAATTGGGGACACGCCCATGAGCTTAGACTTCCCGCCCCAAACCGGGAGAGCAGGGGAGGAGTTCGTGAAGACAAGGGCCATCATCCCCGCGTCGATTGCCTGTTGCACAATCCAGGCGGACATGCCGAAGTGATTTGAGTGCTTGACGGAGACGAGACCGAGGCCGAATTCCTGCGCCATTTCGACGGCGCGCTGCATGCCTTGTTGTGCGGAGACGAAGCCGAATGTGTTTTTGCCGTCGACTTGCGCGGCGATTGGTGTGATTTGGTGTAGTTCTGGGGTTGCTGATGGGTCTAGGACTTTTTGGCGGATGCGTTGCATGTATGAGGGGATGCGGTTGGAGCCGTGCGTGTCTACGCCGCGAAGATCTGCCTGCACGAGGCAACTGGAAACTGTGGCAGCGTGGCTTTGGGGGACATTGTTGGCGACGAGTACGCGGTGGACGAAGCTTTCCAGATCGGCGGGTTTAATATGGTGGATCTGCTGTGTTGTAGCTGATGGTTCAGACATTGTGACAGAATTAATAAAATTCTGATATCTGATATTATAGATATTTGAATGCTGAGGCTTTGAACCAGATTCTCGGGTTATTCCGGTATATTTGTAGAATGGCCGGGGTAGATGAAGCTTTTATGGTTCAAGATCCAAAGTGCGTTGACGGTTGGCATCCGCGCGGAGGTGAATCTTTCGGGAAGACTCCGCCGCGGGGAACGCCGAGTCTTACCAGTACAGGAAGACCGCAACATTCACCGAAACAACTACTGACGGTACTCGGAGTCCAGTCTCATTCGGCCCGATCCCGTCAGCAACGTACCGTAGTGGCTGTTAATTGATTCAGCTGCTCTCTGAACCGGAAATTTCTATAGCTTCAAGTCTAAAACTAGAGTAGGATATCATTGCGGGCCGTTGTTGAATATATCCCACATGAGGCCATCAATATCAGACATTCCGCTCCAACCCGGGAAATCTCCTTGTAGAAAGTCATCAAACAAATTTGAGAATTCAGAGGCAGGCGCTTCGAAGCTCGCCTGTGCGTTGCCGGTAGGCCACATTTCTGGTAGGACCTGCACGGGTCCCTCTGCAGTGACCTCACCATTGCTTCTATCAACTTGATACTGGTGTTGAGACCGGCCAGGTGCTAACCGTTGATTGTCAGTGGCTTGATAATGCGACTCTGACTGAGCCGGCTGGGACTTTAAGAGCCGTTGGATGGTCATTGTCGATAATTCTTTAACACAATCTCGCGCTCGGGTAGCCTCTGACCAGTGTTCTCCGATGCTACTAAGAATATTCTGTGAGGTATTGAACTTCGAGATAAGATCGTCCACAGGAATCCTTGCTGCGGCCCGTGGTAGCTTCCATATACAGTTCAGCATGACCAATGTACCGAGAAAGATTGAATGCACGACTAGTCGATTATAGAGGAGATTCCCTGTGGCATATAAAGCGCTGAACTCCTGAAGCAACATGAGGGCATGGTTGAAGCATTCACCAAGGATCTCATCCGAGGGATTTGGAATTCCCGGACTCGGCCGCAACAGCAAGATCATCGTCTCGTGATACTTTGCTTTGCACAGCAGCACTATTTCAGTTTCCTCTCTGCGTGGCTGGTGGGGGATATTTTGGAACCAATTGTCGAGAGACTTCATCATGTCTTGTTGCCAAGTCAAAATGTTTCTGACAGCAGGCAAAGCGTAAGCGGGAGCATTTCGGTTTATGCTGTGCATGATATATTTTATTTCCGAATTCAACTGAGCCAATTTGAACAGGTGGATGGAATATGAGATGTGAGATGTTGACTTGTCGTAGTTCTGATAGTCAGGCGAAATCTTGCTAAGATCATGATCTGATATAGGTAGAGGAAACTGGATGAAACTAATTAGTTTATGATAATGCAACGTATCATTGAACTTACACGTATATCGCATGCCTCGTCTCTAATGCCAATTGGCCGTCCCATCATGGTGCAGACTGTTCGATCGAATGTATACACAACCCAGAATATACGGGTTCTCATTTCCTGATCAAACACCGAAATGTGAAGCGACGATGATGCCCGGACATCTCGCTGAAGTCCCAAATCAATTACACTCGCAAGACATTGGTAGTTCAAATTCCAGATGTTGATGTTGCACGACGGGTTGTACAATGCATACACCATTAAGAGGAGTAGGCATTGGAGGGAAGTAACCGAGCCATGGTTGCAGACAAAGTCGACATGCTTCATCGCCGACGCGTAATAACCCTCCACTGGTAGATGTACCTTGCACTGGCGTGAAAGGTTCAATGACGCAATTGCTAAAACCATATAAACTTGGAAGGTCTCTAGAGGGTTCTGTTCGTGCGAGGCGTAAACCCTGTCGATAGTCTCAATATGTGCTTGTTCATGCAAAAATGGGTATAGAAGATGGACCGTCCGAAAATACTTGGTCGTCAGTTCTATTGTGCTCTGCTTCTGTGCTGGCATTACCGCAGGCGTGTTTAGCAACTCGAGAGACAGGTGTGCTGAATCCCAAGAGGCACTGGTTGATGCTTTGGGCATTCCACGGCAGCCGGCACTTGTTAAAATGCGTTTCGCAAAGAAATAACCACTGGAAGGGCCGATATATCGAGGGTCGCCGCCGGGTGATAAAGACACGAGACCGATCTCGTGCGCTTGTTGAGGTTCTTCATTGATCCCGGTTGCCGGCGGTGGTTCTTGCGAGACTTCCTGGTCCTGGGAGACTATAATCCTTGGGCTAGCCTCAACCTGAGGTTCTCGTCTTTCCTGAGTATGGTCAGGCAATCCATCGTAATTCACATGAGCCCCTGTCTCGTCCGGCGTTCCAGGCCGCAGTTCCTCAACCAGGGTCTCCTGTAGTCCTTCTGGTCGGCTGAGATCAATGTCGGAGCATCGATCTCGTATAATTGACTCGAGCCATTTTATTCGATTTTCTGTGCTCGCGATGTATCTTTCAAGTCATCAGTATTACCAATCACCCAAATAGAGTCCAATGAGACTCACGAGCGATGAACCTCCTGCTTGCCATCATTGATGCAGGAGACCCCGGCCTTCCGACAAGAGCCGCAAGACGGTATATTGCCGTCGCACTGCCAGACTGATAAGCTTCTAGTTTCTTTGGCGATCACACTTGGGTTAGACATACGCGGATTTTCCGTCGCTGGCATCGCTTGCAGGCGGCCCGATTCCGGGTTCTTCTCGGAGAGTCCATTTGCGTTCTTACATGAAACGAAATGAAGCGAATATGCAATGGAAGGTCGAGTTAACTGATGAATATCAATGCCCTCGTATTAACAATCCATAATAAAGTGATGCTCTGATGCTTTTGCCGGGAAGTGCGCATCTTTGGTAGGTGGAAGAAGATTTGTGGAGAAGAAAAGATCTCGCGGAAGGTCCGCTGGGCAAGCGGGACATTCCCGTGTCCTGTGTAACATTGATGTCAAACTCGACGGACTGATTGTATAGTCCATAAAATTGTCTAAGATAAAAATTCTCGGGTTATGTCCCAATAATCTAGGCTAATAAAGGAAATTGGCACATGTATTCATCCTCAGCATCCACCTCAAAGTCAAACCGGACCAGGTCTTCTCTGTAGGGAATGAAGTACGTAGAAGTCACGCTACACCTCAAAATTAGCTGGAAAGCAGGCCATATAATGGGGCGCCAATAAGCAATTCCTTACCGGTGATGCTCTTCACTTGCTTGATATTCCGCCAGAGCCGCCAAATCCTCATGATAACTCACAAGAGCAATCTGGAAACCCTTACTGCGTTCAATGGGGTCTGTAACACTGGGACTCCCAACAATGAGGCGTCCGTCTTTGACAGAAGAGAGGTTTTTCAGTTTCTTGAGTTCTTGGATGAATGCACTCTTCTGCTCCTCGCTGATTCCGGGGCGGAATTTAAACAGCACTAGACTATGAGTTCAGCGTAGATGGTTGATAATGTGGAATTAGACTAACCAATATGAATTAGAGTCATCGTGATGGAGGTATGGCGTAGTGGGTGTGTATCCGAGGATAGGACTGTATACACTACAAAGACACTAGAGAAAGAGCGTTGAAGTGATATCAAACTTGGATAGCCAGGGAATTGGCTCCCTCATCCCTCTTATAAAGTAACAGCCAGGAATATAACTACCTTGAAGCGGCGATTCCCGACACAACGGACAGGTTCCGAATAATCGAGTGCGGTCATCCGCGGATGCGGTCCGTCGACCCTTGCAACCAGAAAACAGACCAGAGAATGATAATGGAAGTATTAACGAGCCACCGGTTCTAGAAATGTAATCTTGAAAACTAGAGGTAGTATTAAGCCAACCCTTCCCCTGGTAGATGTTAACCTCGGCCGCGTAAGACATAGCTATATATTCTGGCTGAGCCCAAGGAAGGTGAATCATAGAAGCCGTGTATTGGACCGCAACACTTCCCATGCCCGATGAGTTTTATACATCTTGATCAATTTCCGGCCGAAGGAAGCTATGCCAGGAAGTCATCCAGTTACCAGGCCAAATCCGCGAAAGAGCGTCCCTGATCTCCCCGTCTCGAATGTCATCCTCTCCAGCTTCCACATCCACACCTGTAAGCCCCAGGTATTTTTTAACCCGTCTGCGTCGTTGATCCTCGCCAATCGCAGTTATTTCCAATGAATTGGGTCCTTGGGAATCAAGTCGCTTAACAAGTAGTGATTTACCGATGGTGAAAAGAACACAATTCAAGGTATCGGTATAAAAGGGTTGCCCAAATGGTGTACAACGTAGATTTCTCAGTTCTTTGCCGATCTTATGAGAAGTAATAGTATCCCATATGGTCATTGTCAGCGCCTCATCAGTTGCCGCATTCCTGAAAATCTGCTCATACGGGGGATCGGCATCAATATCAAGTGGCTGTTGTCGAGGGTCGCATTGTAGATCAATGAAAAGGGTGTGGAGAGAGGGAAAGTCACCCAAAGCTCTATAAGCGTCATATTCATCAGTGCCACCTGTTGACCGCGTGATTTGTACGCGTAATTCTGCGATTTTTGGGCACAGACGTGCCAATTCACGAATCCGCTGGCAATCGAGTGGAGGGAACCTATAGCCTCCATCACCTCTATTGTGAGCCTTGAACGAGGTACCGCTAGGCTCTATGATTAAACTCTCCAAATATCTCCCATGGTGTAGAAGGATAGTATGGAGGGCGTCGAAGCTTCTGGTCACCTGGATTCGAAGATCCTTTAGTGGCCTGAATGACAGGATTGCTTCGACCACACGACTCTCATCATGAAAGATTTGTAGATCTTCTTCCGGATCTTCTTGACATCGTGTCACAGACAGGCGCTCTACGTTAAGTAAGATTGGGGCTACTTCACCTAGGAGGGCGATATCCTCTGTCAGGGGTATATCCAATGATCGAAGGCGAGAAAGGTCGAAGATGCTCGATATTTTGAGGAGAATGCGCTCGTATGGCTGGTAACGCCCACCGAAAAACACAAGAGACTCAAGGATCGAAGCTGAGACTCCCCGATCAAGATGATCGAAGGTTAGTTTCGTCTCCGGCTCGGGCCTAGCAATGACTTCCAAGATGCCAGCATTCCAAATCCGGAGATGCTTCAAATTTGAGGCTCGAGCGAGGGCTAAGAAATAATCGTCGTGCACATATCCTGAGGATGCCCCTTGGATTTTCCAGGGATAGTACAGTGTGAAACTTTCAAGAGTCGGGAAGTCAAGTATGGATATTTGGAAAGGCTCTCTATATCTGATCCACTCGAAACCCATCGGGGGTCTTGAATCATGTTCGTCGAGGGCCAAAAACTGGTTTCCCAAGAGATTCAATTTGCAAAATGGATGGTACTCTTTAATGGAATCAAAAATTCCCTTCGGAAACGAGTTTCTCAGATGGATGTAGCTCCGAAAAAGCTTTCTCGGAGACATAATCACTGTCATGATCCCAATGCACGATAAGATTCCGGTAAAATATCGGTGCAGCGATCGAAAATAGTCTCCGGCTTGCCTGGCTCAAGGATGAAAGGTCATGGAAGGAGTCATCTCGAACCTACTCGTGCTTAGCATGGTCTACAGAGGCATGGGCAAATGATGACAATAACCAGAACCAAGGCTATCGAAATACATACGAAGAGGCAAATATGGTGTAAGATCTCCGTAGGAAGGTGTTCCAGCTCCATTTCTAAGTCATTCAGATGCGAGTGTCTGCAAGGGTTGGCGAGAATACTACTTCAGACGCGTATTTAGGGATTGAGTAAAGAAAAGTTGGAAGAAGCTGCTTATCACACAGAGTGGAAAGAGAGGAAGAAACAGAGAGAGATGGGGGAAGAGCTGTTGATGTGAGAATATGTTTCACACATGGACAAGCAATGCCCTCCTTCCAAATCAATATTGCCGCTTAAAGAAACACTGGTAGCACTGAAACATGTCTCCATGGAGGGACTGTTGTTTTGTGATTTTAGTTCCACCCAGCACAATAGATTCTAGTATCACCTAGATATGCAGGGATCGGTTCTAATATTGCTGCGTTTCGGCCTAACTGCTAGGTTTTTTTTTATAGCCTACGATGTCTATCTGGCCCAATGGCTAGGAGGAAGTCAACTGAAGCGTTCACCTCGTTAGGGGAAGAACCATAAAATGGGCAGGTTGAGACGGCTATAGCAAAGTTCTACCAAGAGAAAGTGCGAAATGAAAATCGGAAAGATCCGACCCGTCGGGTTTCTACCTACACTTATCTATAAATAGACATAACGAAGGCATGGAGAGTATAAAGAAAATACAGATCCTTGTAAACGCCAGTACAACAGAATCAGATTCCAGCCGAAGGAAAATAAACAGAAAAGATAAATGGGAAACAACACCATACACCCGACCCCTCGAGCTAGAGAACACCCTCCAAAACCAAGTGACGAAAAACCCACAGTGAACGAGTGGGAACCGCCCTCACAGAAATGGCAAAATGCACCAAAGAGCACAATGGGGACAAATCACGAGAAGACCACATGATATGTACATCCGTCAAGTCGTATCCATCGATAACAGTCGGAAGGTAGCGAATTGGCAGATAAAAAAATTGCGTGGAGAACGGGAAAGGACAATTATGCGAGTGCTGACAAAAGGCCTATAAATTAGTAAATCGGAGAAGCAGTTTAAAAAACTTCATGATTTCGCCATTTGAAATTGTCCTAGGACTCCGCCTGTAGCTCCAGGTGTCAGCGCACCAGGTGTGTGATGTTGAGGGGTTCGAACGCCAGCATTTGGGGTGCTCGGCGTACCAGCAGCTGAGTATATTGTGGCGCCGTTGAGGTTTGGTGTTTGATGCGGGTTAATATGGTATGTCAAGGCTGGCATTTGGCCATTCAAGCCCCATATTTGCCCAGAGTATTTGGAATCGTCGATCTTGCCGTTGAAGACCAGTTGGCGCATTTTCCAGTAGATCTCGCCCGTTACGAGGGAGTCAGAGCCGGCCTGGTGTGCGATGCCGACCCGCTTCACTCCAAGCTCATCTGCAATGTCCTGAAGCCCGGACTTTTGGCCGAGGTTCGTGAGGATCTGGGCGGCCGCTGGTGTTAATGGGGAGTCGTTGACCGCTTGGTTGCGTCCTGCATGTTTCATCAAATACTTTATATCGTATAATGATGGGAAGAAGATGTTAAGAAGCTTATGGAATTCCTCTTCGTTCTCAGGAAGTGCTTGGCAAAGCATGATCTTCATCAAGTATCCAAAGTCATATCCGGAATGGAACGAAACCCAGTGAACATCATCCAGTAATACCAATCCGGAACTTATCAGCAAAGCTCCAAATTCAAGCGGGTCGATACCGTTCTTGTCGTGTGTAGAAAAGTCGATACCCGCCTTGGCCAACATGGCCGTTGACTCTTGGGCGTACATGTCTTCCTCCAGCGAGAATCGGAAGTTGAACTGCCACGTGCAAGGGGCCGGTACTAAACCATTGCCCAAGGGTTGTCCGTTCGCATCGGTGGCATCCGGCGGTGGAACCTCGCCCTTGGGTGAGAAGAGTGTAATTCCGAGTTGTATCATCTTCAACAAATCGACATTGCATCTTAAAGTTTGGTAGTGGTAGTCTGCCTTGTTCGTAAACGCTCCAATCGGACGGGCGACTATACCGGGGAACTCTGTGTCCTGTGGGAATCATAGTCTTAGTAACTACCGCCGCCATCGTAGCAAAATATCATATGAATATAAGTTTGCTTCCGTTTCTCGAAACATACCATGCTGATGTAGGGATATTTCTCGACAAACTGTCTCAAAACGGCCATCTCCTGTGCCAGATTGTGCTTCCAAACATCACGTATCCGCGTCTTCACACCACCAGCTTTTCCTTCAAGCGTGAAACGCCCGTCATGCGCTTGGTGTAATTGCTGCTGTTGCATCTGCGCGCCTCTCGCAAATCCCATTTGAGCTGCGTGGCTCGCGAGTCCTGTTCCTCCACCATCGGCGGCGCCTCCGAATCCCGCAACGGACATTCCATTACCAACACCGGCGCCAGATAGCGTGAAAGGATTGATATTCGTGTTCGGATTCCCCGTTGCGAAGCCTGGATGGCCGCCAAGGGAAGGCGGCGGCAAAGCTGTGTTGCTCGACTGAGCGTGTGGCGGGTGATGCTGCGGTTGCTGCTGTTGCTGGAGGTGGGCTTGCTGTGCTAGATGCGAATAGGGCCCGGTTAGACCGGTAGGCCCGTATCTGCCGACGGGAGGGGGCATGGTATTCGAATCGGGATCAACTGCGACTCGAGGGGCTGGTCATACATCTGAGGATTGGTGGGATTCGATGGGATGAAGACAGAGAAGACGATGGATAATGCCGCCTCCATAGGCTGAATGGGGAAGGCGGAAAGGTCGTATAAATCTGTTTTTGGTTAGTCTGCCAAGAATTGAGTTTCTCCAGGGTCGAACTGACGACCTCAGCATTCACCCGGCGAGTTGTGACTGTCTGCACGCTGTTCTTCGCTTCCTTTGTGTCCGGAATACGGTGGGATCTGCTGCCAAACCTCTTACCGTCGCTCCTTATCACCAATTGACCCCCTACCAGCCACGCAATCCCCATCGACACCATGCCTTCCAACAACCCCACCGGTTTCAACATCAACGAGTTCAAGGCCGCCGCTTCGCCTCGGTCGGTTTACGCTAAGAGGGACCCCTGGGCCCGATAGTACGATATTTCTATCCTTGTTTGTACGGTCTGGGTGAACTAACTGGCTCTGCAGTGAGGCATGGAGATACACCGGCCCCTTCAGCCGAATGAACCGATTCAAGAACATCTTCCCCGGCTTCGGTATCGCAACTGTCGCTTTCGCCGGCTACTGTGCCTACGAGCACTTCTTCCTGAAAGACGACCACCACCACGGCGATGCTCACCACGGTGAAGGCCACCACTAAGCGTTTCTCGACGAAGGCGGAAGAGAAAACACGGTTCGGATAGAATAGGAAGCGCGCTGGGAACGAAAGATACCCTGGGTTTTCACCGGCAGGGATTCTGCAATATTTTCTTTTGAAGGCAGAAATCGCTCCTGAGACAATATGCGTGGAGGCTATGAGATATTATAGAAGGGCTGTTTGACCGGGAATTGTCTGGTTATCCCGCGGGCATGACCCCTAGCTCTACACACGGCGTTTGACTTGTCACTGTACATAGCATTGTTTTTGTGTATCAAAACTACCGTTTCCTTTGTGACACAAGTAGATTTTACCAGTTCTCCAGATTATGGCACCCAAGGGGTGGAGTAGATGGATATATATCCCAACCAATCCTGATGGTTGTATTATATATAATATATGAATTGGGACATCATCATTTGTCTATGTACGCATTAACCAAACCCACAAATGCAAGAGTACCTTATTCTTCAAAAACCAATGAAATGCCATCATCGCCGGCTGTGACAACCCTCTTTCCATCAAAACCCTGAACAAAGCCCATGATTCCACCGGCCTGTTCCCCATCTTCGTTCTCTGTGAGACCCAAGTGGCCCCTCCATTCGTTCAGCATTCCTTGACCAGCCGCAGTGGTTCCACCACGAGCATCCCAGCGCCTGACGACGCCATCAATGCCAACGGAGGTGAGGAGGAATGATCGGTGGGCTGTAGTACCGGATGCCAAGGGGCTAGGGCGGACTGAAGGGGCAGCCGCTGAGCGACTCTGTAGGAATTCGACCTTAACGACAGCGCCCTCATGGGCCTCCTTGATGTGCCGGCGGACAGCGAACCGGTGTGCAGTGTCAAACAGGGCAATTGAGCCATCAACCGAGCCAGCCGCGAGGAGTGTCAATGGAGGCGCAGAGAACGAGAGGGTCTCGACGCCGTCGGATTGCGGCTGGAGCGATGCGAGAAGCATACCCGCTGTCGCGGCAGATGTCTGTGCAGCCGACCGGCCCTTTGCCTTTGATGATGCACCAGCACCGGCACCGGGGCCAGCTGAACCACTAGATCCGAGACGAGGAAGACCGACAATCTTGATGTGTCCCTCAGCACCACCAACAGCTGCGAAGCCACCGCCCGGCGCAATCGCAACGGAATACAGACCACCATCGACAGCAAATCGTTGATCCTCAGCCGTCATCCCAACAACAGCACTCGTTCCAGCAGAGTATGACACTCCCGCCGCGGCCGCAGCCCCAAACACATCGTAAACATAGAAGCTCCCGTCCTCGGACACCGTCGCAAGCAAGTTCCCATCAGGCGTCCACGCACCAGCCGTACAAGGAGCCGTATGCTGGAAGAAACTCTGTACAATCGAAACAGGCTCCGACGCATCCTTGTGGTTAATCCGGAACACCCACGCACTGCCATCATTTCCACCAAGCGCGACAACATTCTCCTTCTCCTCGTCACCAGAACCGGCGGGACAAACAGCAACCCAGTTAATCTCCTCCACCTCCTGCACTTCACCTACAAACCCCCACGCCGTACCATCCAGTTTCTTCGTCGTATCCCTCCAAGCCCTCAACTTCCCATCCAGCCCCGCCGTAGCCACATACTCCCCGCGCGGCTCCGTAAACGCAACCGCATTCACACTATCGCTATGCCCATCCATCTTCACCAACGGCTTTAGCGGGCCACGCTCCTTGCGCGGCTGCGGGTCACTCTCGTAGCTCGCTGGCAACACTGGCCGCTCCGAGTTCGGCGTCGAGTCAAATAAGTACGCAGTGTCATCACCCGAGCCCGTCACGACAATGGTGTTGTGAATTGGGTGCTGCGCGATGCAGAAGATCGAATCGTTGTGGCTGTCAAAGTGCGCGGCGGAGTCGTTCTGCAGTTCAATTTCTTCTTGCTCGTAGTTCATTTCCTGGTCGCCGTCCGCGCCGCCTTCGTCGTCTGAGTCCATCGGGTGGTCCTCATCGCCGCTGATGACCTCCTCTGCTTCGTCGGCGCCAATGTAGGCGTCCTCTTCTTCGTTGCGGTGGTTGGGGTTTGAGGAGGACATTGTAGAGGGGGAGGAGGGGCTTCGTAAATGTGGAAAATATTAAAGAATGGGATATGAAGGTGTAAAAAGCTTGAAAAGCTTCAAATCTTTTTTGTCAAGCCAAGCTGGGTTATTAAATTTTTAGATCACCCCGCTTAGAAATTCATTTCTTCCCCGCGCTTCCATCAAACACTGCAAACAGCGAAAGTAGGCATAAAAAACTATTAATCAGCGCCGAGTGCGCATTTCCGCAGCGGAAATTCTATGTATAACCTGCATAAATATATACACGCAAAAACGCATCCAGATCAAAAGAAACCTCCAAAAATCCAATTGCCTCGCCCCTTCACATGCATGGATTTACAGCTTGGCGCCAGCCTGTCTGCGCATCGCCGCCTCCTGGTCTCTAATGAGTCGGCGCAAGATCTTCCCACTGGGGCTCTTCGGGACAGCGTCGATAAACCGCACGCCACCCTTCAACCACTTGTGTCGCGCCTTGTGGTCCTGTACGTATTTGATAATGGACTTGATTGTTGCCTCGTCGTCTGAACCTGCCTCGGGTGATTTCGCCACGACAGCCTTGGGGATTTCACCCGCGGAATCATCGGGGATGGCGATGACAGCGCAGTCGGCCACAGCTGGGTGGGTGAGAAGGTGAGCTTCAAGCTCGGCTGGTGCGACTTGGTGGCCCTGGGAAGAAAAAGGATTAGTCAATGCGGTAGGTAACATGTTTTATCTGGCTACAAACCTTAACCTTGATCAATTCCTTGATGCGGTCGACAATGTACACGTGCTCGACGCCCTTGGGGCTCTTCCGGATGATGGCTTCGTCACCAGTGTGCATCCATCCGTCGGTGAAAGTCTCCTTCGTGGCCTTCTCATTGTTGAGATAGCCCAAGACGACACTCGGGCTTCGGATCCAAAGCTCACCGGGTGTGTCGTAAGTAGTCACTTCCTCACCATCCGGGGTCACGATACGGGCCTCAGCCCCGGGCACAAGCCAGCCAGAAGAGCCAAAAACGATATCATCAAAGTGTGTAGCAGTAGCGACAGTTGCGGTCTCAGTAAGACCTAGCGATCATGTTAGTACGAACAGAGCGTACCCCCGGAGAAAGTCACCCACCATATGCCTGTCGGATTGCGACATTCGGATATGCCTTCTGGAAGTCGAGAGCAGTTTCTTTACCGAGGGGTGCCGCGCCAGTGAAAAGCGACCGCGCGGAGCTAAAGTCGTATTGGCCGCAGACTTCCGGAGTCCGAAGCATGTTGATAATGATTGGTGGCACCTACAGCTGGTTAGAACTGGAACGTACATTGGAAACCCGGCTGTGCTTACCACAAACAAAGTCGAGATCTTGAAGTTCTGAACGGCCGCCATATACGTCCGTAGCTCGAATTTGGGAAGGACTATAACCTGATCACCCCTGAATGGACCGGCATGGCACATAACGATCAATCCGTAGATGTGACTCTGCGGAAGAAGGCCGAGCAAGACATCGGTATAGTAGTTGCCGTCGGCAGTCTTCTGCTTGTCGCGCCACGTTTTCTCAAGGGCTGTGATCTGCAGAACGTTCGCGATGACATTCCGGTGAGAGATCATCACCCCTTTCTTCAGCCACATTGTCAGCCCAATTCGAATATCCGCATCCGCCGCGGTGTCGTCGTCGGTTTAAGCACTCACCGGCAACCCGGACGTTCCACTAGAGTAGCACAAAAACGCAGTCCGACGCGCTGCCTCCCCGGCACGCCAGCTGACCTTCTCCACCTTCGGCAGCGATTTCCCAGCCTCAACAAGTTGTGAGAGCGTTTTGTACTCCGTCGGAATCTTCCCGCTCTCTGGTAGAACATCGATCAAGTAGATGCGCTCTTTGGGGAAACCCGCCGCGGAGGCCGCTTCCAACGCCGTGGAAAGAAGCGGGACGCAAGTAAACAAGGCCTTCGGCTTTGCGTCCAAGATCTGGTGTCGCAGTTCCGCTACAGAATACGCTGCGTTAGCGGGGGAGACGAGGCCGCCCAGCGAGTGGGTCGCCCACGCAAGGGGTAATGTGTCAATCTAACGTAAGGAACATTCCTAGTAAGCTGGCTGTCAAAGGTTTCGAGATAAGAGGTCGGCTACGTACCGTGTTCAAACTGAAAACGCAAAGTGTCTTGTCCCATTCGGTGCCGCTGTTGGGCTGCCAGCCAAGTAGCTTCGCGAGCGCGCGTGACAGGTAATCCACCCGTTCCTTGACTTCAAGCGTGGAGTATGTTTTCCCAGTGAGTCCGCAGGTAAATGGGTGTCTCGCCTTGGGCAAGGAGTAGCGGCCATTGCCTTCTGTGAGCATGAACTCGCTGATGGGGATGTTGTCCGGGATTGGAGGCAGTGTGCCAGCAACGGCAGCGGGTTTGAAGACCATGGTTGCGACAGGTATGAGTTCAGTCGGTCGCTGAAAGGTTCAGAAGCTGAAGAAGAGACGAGAGGAGGGGAGGGAAGATGAGGGTATAAAACAAAGTCTTGTTGAGGAACCGCAGAGCAAAGAGCGCTGGAATAGATTCGGCTAAGGAGAAGCCAAACTAACCGGGGACAGCGTACTGCGGGGGAAGCTCCAGCGCACTAGGATCAATCAGGTATGCCGAATTTCTGGATTTCTGAGCTGCCTTCGCCCCTCTTTCCGAGGCTGTTCCCTTCCTGTCCACTGCCCAGTCGGCACCTCGCACCTCTTACCAAGGCACTTCGTCGCTTTCTCCGATCCTGGTCGGCATTCCATCCGTGTCCACCCTTCGTGCCGACTCCAAGATCCGCATTCCCGCGTGGGCAAGCAGCAACTATCGTGGAGATCAGATCTCCGACCACAGATATGTAATCTACCGAGTATTGAGTAACTACGATTTACGGCTGAGAGTCGATAACTTTCTGGGGAACTCCCCGGGCTTTGCGATATTGCTCGCCGCTCTTTCCCGATAATTTATCTCTCAGCACACCCGCCCGTTTGCCTCTGTTCCTACCAAGCACAACCTACTCCGCGGTTGTCCCCCGAGCGGCCGAGGCAGACGCCCAGGGCAAAGTTCAGACTTTGTTCCGTTGCGGCCTGAGTGGCCGTCCCTTTTACGCCGAACCGTGTTTCGGTGGTGGTGGTGGCGGTAGAATTGTCCCGAAAGCGGGCCGCTCGCACCCTTATTGACGAGACGATGCCGAGGGGCTAGGAAGGACTTCAGCATACGGACCAATATAAAGGATCAAGCCTGATGCTCTTTGGTCGGGAATCAGAAATGTGGGCAAGCGCCTTTAAATGTTCTATAAGATAAGGTCAAAAGTAGCATGAAACGGAGCGATGGGATGGATAATTACGCCTGCTAGCTATCGTCGAGATAGAGATTATCCAGGGTTTCTATCGATGGCTTCGTGGATTCCCAAATAGGTAAGCTAGATACTGACCCTTACAGTGTCTTATTTTGGCATTTCTAGTAAGAGTCACTATCATCATGGATTCGGAATGGAGCTCCGAAGCAGGAAGATTACCAATAGAGTTATAGTTGAATTGTGACATTCAATCACCTCCGTGAAGAATAATCATGATGCTCGTATTTAATTTTCAATACGACTAACCCGGTGGCCATATTGTTAACTGTCGCACAAGAAGTTGATACGGCCATCGAACTGCGCGTCTGCACTCTGCAGCTTATATGCAACCTTGGAAGCCACCCGACATGCCTTGTTCTGACCGCAGGTTTAGTGAGGGGCATCTCACTCCCGTCGTACACGTAAAACTCTCCTTCTCTCTTGCTCACTTTAGTATTCTACATTGAAGCCTTAACCTATCGAACACGTAACCCCAAATATGACTTCAACGCCAAATCCCGGCCAACTCTCATCTCTCCCCGGCGTGAATCGCTACATCACCGGCCACAACGCCTCTGGGAAAGCAATCGTCCAAGTTGAAAACCCGGCGGAATGGTCGTCATTCGAGAACAATTCCATGGCCTTCACCGTGGCCTACACCACCTCTGAATTCCCCGCCGATCTCAACGGCGATGCCGATCTGAAAGCACACGAGCGCGTCGCAGCCTCGGGTACCCTGGGTTTGGTTAAAAAGGGTGGAACCGTGGTGCGCGAGGTCGACTTTGCGCCAAAGTCTGCACCGCTTATGCACCGGACGCAGAGTTTGGATTATGGGGTTGTTCTTGAGGGGGAGATTGAAATGATTCTTGACTCTGGCGAGACGAGGGTGTTGAAGAGGGGTGATGTTGCTGTGCAGAGGGCCACCATGCATGGCTGGCGCAATCCGCAGGAAAAGGAGTGGACAAGGATGTTGTTTGTGCTGCAGGATTGCAAGCCTTTGGTCGTTGGGGGGCAGGAATTGGGTGAGGACCTTACCCAGGCCAAGGGTGATGGTGTCCTGAATAGTTCTTAAGGATCCTTCCAGACATAACAAGACGATGATTGGTTCAGTATGGAAGAATTGTCATTATTTCATATCTGGATATAGGGCCATTATGTAGTCTTGATAACAACTTTACCAAAATGCGAGCCGTTGGCCAGGAACTTGAAAGCCTCTGGTGCCTCCTTGAACGAGAAAACCCGGTTTACCACAGGTTTGATGTTGTGCTTCTCGTAAAACGCATTCATTTCCTCAAACCGATCCCTGGGACCATTGATGATTCCCTTCAGTGTTACATTGCGACGTAGGGCCAGAAGATTCACGTTTGTCCTATCTTCAGGCGCGTCCACTTTTCCAGACAGGTATCCAATGCAATCAATCAACCCGCCCCAGGCGATGCAGTCGAAGCTCTTCTTGAGTGTCTGCGCTCCACCTGTTTCCAGGATAATATCTGCTCCATGCTGGTCCGTCAAGCGCATTACGTCCTCCTCCCAGTTCGGGTTCGTGCGGTAGTTGATGGTGTAGTCGGCGCCTAGCTTCTTCGCCATCTCCAGCTTTTCATCCGACGAAGACGTAATAATCACTAAATATGAAATTAATATAAGCACCAACAAGGAAGAAAAATAAAAGATGGGACAAACCCTTCGCCCCAGAAGCCTTCCCAATCTGCAGTCCCGAAACGGCCACACCCCCGGTCCCCTGGAGAAGCACATACTCCCCCTTTCCACCAGGCGCCCCCATTGGCCTCATCCCATTAATCGACATCCAAGCCGTCACCGCCGCAATCGGAAGCGTACTCGCCTCCTCATCAGACAGATAGTTCGGGGCCCTTACAAGCGCATGCTCCGGGAAAGCGCGGTGCGTCGCCAGAACACCAGACTGCGGAAGACCCATCCCTGTCGCCATCATCTTCTCAGTTACCTGACCAGTCTGGTGGTCTGGCAGGAACGTGGAAAGTACGCGGTCGCCCTTTTTCCAGCTTGTGACCCCGTCCCCAACTTCCGCGATAACCCCGCACATATCTGAGCAGGGGACGAGAGAGGCTTTGTCCTGGCTGACGGAGCGGTGGTGGTTGTATTCTCCGCTGCATACTGTTATTAATAGCAAGTGCCTGGTTAGCGCGTGTATCTCCCTTTTTTTTAAGGCTTTTTCTGGGACGGTGTACCTTCGAAATCGCGGTAATTTAGAGAGACGGCCCGAATCTCGACGAGGACCTCGCCTTTGCCTGCGGTGGGTTTTGGAGCTTCGCTCAATTGAAGGGTATCCAAGCCCTGAAGGGAGGTAGTCCACTGCTTGATTGAAGACATGCTGCAGTCAATTATTGCTTATACTTGAGCAAAAAAATAGTGTGAATATGTGTTCAATTGCAAAGCATAAGAAAAATATTGAGGGGAACCGGGTAGGTATGACCTCACTTTATACTGCAGAGCTATCAATTATTAAGCCCGACTGTTGAGCTGGAACGCCCCACTGAACAGCCCAATCTGAGGCCCAAAGGACTCTGCAGAAGGTTCCATAGGTAATACCTTATAGGTTTTAATCTGCCGTAGGGTGGATCATGGATAGAAGAATTATTTCGATACAACCTCCTCATTAATGAAGTAGGTCTTTTCAAAAATTTTTTTTTTTTTTATTTTTGTTTCCCACATAACAACTTGCAAGATACAATCATATTAAAATAAACGAAACAAAAAATGACGCAGATACTACTCAAAACACTGTACCGCTGCCTCCTGAAACCTCATCACTCCACATCAACATCGTCTTCCGGCACTTCATCGTCATCAACATCCATCTGATCGATGCCCATCCCGTCATCACTACTATAGTATTCCTCCTCCTCGTCTGCCGCACTGAACTGGAGCGACTCTAGTCCAGGTGCTTTCGCCCCGCCTGACCTGGGCGCTCTCGACGAGAAGAAAGGATGGTCACTGCGCAGTGGCCAGTCTTGACAGATATACCCCATTGGAGTATCAGTGATATCCTGTCCCTGGCGACGGATTGACAACCATTCTTGCAGGAAATTTAGACGGTTCTTGGCGACTGCCAAAAGTCTTGACGATTCCGTCTCCTCAGTTGGGTTTCCGGAGAGCGAGTATAGCCGACTAAGTAAGTCCTCGTACTCCGAAAAAGAGAAATAAAGTCTGCCAGCGAGGACACCAAGCTCGAAAGGAAGCCAGGGTGGAGGTGTCCATCCATCAGGGAGTTCTGGAATGGAATAATACAAAAGTGTATCGAAATGGAGCATCGACTTGGTCCATGGCGCTGCGTAGAGGATAAGGTGGGTGTTCAATGGAATAGAGGCGCGCATAATTGGAATCAACATTTCGGCCTCTTCGGGAATAACCACCAGTGCAGTTTCCGTGACAGTGTTATACAGTATCCAATTGACTGGACGAATGTAGGTTCCATCCACGACCGACTTTTTCTGCTTGATTGTCTTGGTGAACTCCTCGGACACGTAGATATGAGGTACTAATGAGGAGCCATCGATTTTGTACTTCTCTCCAATATGGGAGGTCTCCAACATTTCCGATGCCGTACATATACTAGACGACCCCAGGAGGTTCCCTTTAGCAAAACTTAACACTGATTCATGCAGGCCTGGGAATTTGTGAGCCTTGGGGCGACGGGGACGTTGGATCTCCCTTTCTTCTTCAATCTCATAGGCTACCTCGCGTTCCTGCTCAACCTCTTCCAGAGCCGAACTAATAACTGACTCAAAAGCTTGAGAATCTTGTCGCCGTTGTTGAAGCGCCTTTATCAACCGCTCTACCCGCCCCCCACAAGCGGCCAGGGCACTGGATTCTGGCGAGGGAGCGGTGACTTCAACATACGTCGGCTCGTACAGCTGCTCCAACGTTTGTTGTTCGGGCTGTTGTAAAACCTTGAGATAAGCCTTTCTGTGATCTGAACTCGAAAGGAATTTCCTGTGTGCTGTAGCAGCCCGCATTCGTTGGCAATAATCTTTGCCTTGTGCAAAGTACAAAGGTTGCAACTCCTTGTTTGTCGCGCATGTTTGGTCGAGGAGCCACGAAACGACGTCCGAGGAATCCAATTTGTCCCAGGAGGTTTTGTTGCACACGTCCAAAATACTTTGATGGACTTCAGGAGGCGCTATGAAAGTTACTGATTGTGTCGTGCCGAGCTGACGCAGTCTCATCGCAGCTATAGATTCATGAGCATACTATGACATGAGACGCAATTTGGACGCGATATAACAACTCACCTTGAACCGTATGATCCTTCGTCTGACCCAGACCAAGGGTAAGCGCCCCTACAGCTTCTGGAGGCAGTTTCAGGTCCGTTCCCCTTGTGTGACTTTCGTCAATATAAACCACACATCCGCGCATATCGTCTGCAAATGGACTGGCAAAAAGTGGAACTCTTTTGAAGTTCCGATACATCACCCAGGGTTTGTTGTCCTCATCAAAGTAAACTGCGCCCTTGGCGGAAAAATCTGTTTGTATCCAAGCGCGTGCAACTGCCATATTGTTCATCTCCATGATAAAAGCGCCGGCGTCGATGAGAACACGAATATTCTGTTTGTGAAGGTAGTCTAGCAGTTCTATTTCTGCCAACCGTTTTCCATTCACATTAGTTGCGACACGATACCGCCGATTTCTTGTCTGTAATAGGTACGTGAGTACTTCAGCATTCGTGTGAGACAAGCCCGGCAAATCGAACTGTTCAATGGTAAGTGGAAGCAGCGCGCGGTTATCATTTGTACCACTGAATCCGGTTGTGACCCCTGGGTGGATCCATTCGGCATCATTATTTTGAGCATTCAAAAGAACATCCCAGCCAGAAGCCTGGAGTTTGGTTGCAAACTGTTTGGCGTGTAGAGGGAAGACGAAGTTACTGAGGAAATGGTTGATGACAACGGGTGTGAAGCGTAGGTGTCTCCATATCTCTGCAACTAACCCGGCATCATCCACAGTTAGAGCGTTCCAATGTCGTAGACCTTCAGGCAGTGTATTGGAGTTTTGGATCCACTTATCGTATTCCGTGGCAGGGTGGTCCGACTTCAAAACTGACTCCAGGCTTATCTTCAGCTGCTGTTGGCTCAAGCCTTCATAGTAGAACGCGAGACACGTAAACAAAAGAGCCACATCAGGGTGGCCCCATTCAGCCTGATCTGATGGAACTCCCTTTGCGTGGAACGGAACGGCAATGGGATCTCGACCATGGTGCAGCCCATATTGAACGTTCCACCTTTTTTTCAAACACAGAATCAATATCCCGTGTACCAGCAATCCTCGCAGTAAATACACAATCTTGCGCGCTTTGGGGTTGTCAGGGAAGAGCTTGGTGATACGCTTAGTGATAGACTTTTCGACCTTTTCTTCAGTAATAAAGACTCGGATTGCATCTTTAGCCTTTTCGTTGCACTCCCCTAATGGCAACAACGATGTCCGTTTCTCGCAGATATCCTGGGCGATTTTCCGCACCAGCGCTTCTTCGACATCCCTTCGGAGTAAATGGGTGACGGGAAAATCTGTGCAATTGCGTTCAAGTATATCAATACTCTTGGGATATTCCCGAGCCAGATCATTGAGATGGTGGCCAACGAGACCAAGAACTGTCATTGCAACCTCCCACCTATCAGGATGTCCGTCAAGTATATGCTGCGAACCACCGGGATATATCAGCTGCGTCTTCACCGCCAATGTGAAGTCACATTCGTCAAGGACATCACGACTGACTTCGTCTAGCCATTTCTGGGTTTCGACCATCTGGACCGCCTCAGTCAGTTTCGAATCTGCAAGCCGCTGCAGTCCATTAAGTTTGAACGACAGTATGTGTTCAGGGATCCCTAGTATTACGCCTGCGGTCTCTAACATGTCCGAATGCAGTCCACGGTAATCTTCGATAAGGCTTACGGGTGTTTGGGTTCGGCGCGAAAATGGGATGTGAATGAGCTCGCGTCCTAGGAGTCCTCCAAGACGTGACTGTAAAATCAGGGCGGCCTGTGTTAATAGCGCCTTCGGTACTAGGAGCCTGTTAAGCATTTGTCCATTCGCCAAAACGGCTGCGACCATGGGCATGATGACGGAAGTTTTCCCTTGTCCCATGTTCATTTGTAGGACGGAATTCGAACCAGAAGTAGGAGAGATCATTTCGAAAGCGACGGTGATTTGGTCTTGTCTTATTCGGATATTCGCATCAATCTCCAGTAATACCCAGTCGGGGAAATCGCTCGGGTCCCAGTTGACATGGCCAGGGTCTATACGCTCCTGATGTAGCTTCGTCTCATCTCGTTTCACAGTAGCTTCTCTCAACCTTAAGAACTTCTGCAATTCGGTAATTGCCAGAGCGTATGATATAAACATTTGACTCATTCCTGGACCAAGATCATGCAGTGATATTGACCGCAACTGTTGTAGTAGTGTGGTTGGGGTCAAACGGGGCCAAAGGCCGCCTTTGGATAACCACCTAAAACTTGTATCGTGCACAGACAGAGATTTAACGATGAGATGATGGTACATGTCCACCCTTTCACGGGATGCCTTAACATCGCCATCAAGCTTAAGTCTTTCCTTGGTTGTGTTGAGTTGAGGAGTGTGTCCGTGATCTAGCTCTTGCTTGACTGACTTGAGTGCTGTGATGCTTTGTTGCAAATTATGGGAATACCTATTTCTCACTGAACAGTCAGACTGGCCAAATCTAGAGACAAGTCTCTCGAGATCAACGATTTCGCGGGTCGGGGATTGCGGCGTCTCTGTCTTAGAATCACTAGGAACAGCCAGTGCTCCAGCATGCGGTGTAATGATATTCTCCCCGAGAGTACCTGAATATTTGGCAAAATCGAGTGCCTCTTTCCCTACGAGGTCCTCCCCTAGGCGTGGATAGAAGAAATAGGGTTTTGGCCGAGTACCTAGTATATCCTTTTGAGAGCGATTCAAATAAGCCGGCAGTACGGGCACGTCGTTTGCGACTGCGTAATGGTGATTCAGAATTGTTTGGACCCTGACGAGATGGCGCTGTAGTTGGGCATTCCGATACATACGTTGCCACTCTGGTAGTAGGGCTTTCATGGCCTCGTGGAGGTCCACGGTGTTTGGCTCGAACCCTTCAACGGACGGTTCTGGACAAGGCCATTGCAGGGCCAAAAATTCTGCCAATGCCACTCCCTCTTTTTCGCAATTAACATCGTACCCGAATCTCCTGTTTTCATGAGGAACACTACCTTTTCGCTTTTTCGAAATCTTCGACGGTCTCTGTAGTTGGTATGATATCCTTATGATCGGTAGCAGGTTGTCGGTGGTAGGCAACTCGCCTTCGCGGAAACCCACGAAAGATGGGTATTGTGGTAGCTCCAAGACTTTAAGCTCGCGAATGATGAAGAAGGATACAATGATCCGTAGTGCCGTCATATCGACCCGTTCTCCGAACGCTATTATGCCCAGCTGGAACATAAGACTGTACACCTCTTCAGCCTTCGACTCTCGGCACAGATTAATCAGGCCACCCCATTCCCCAGCAAGGTCAGCATTCAAGTAGTTTCCAATGTCATGAAGAGTAGATGTGTTCATATAACCGCCGATTAATTCCCACTTTTCGAGCAGGCCGACAATATCACGCGTAGTGTGTATGGAAGCCGGTTGTTTGCGGAGCAATGTCACGATTTCACGCAAGTTACGTACTTTCTCAGGCGCAGCCCAACCATCCCGTGAAACATATGGAGTATCCTTAGGCTGGACAGGCTTCTCAGATAAAGTGTCAGAAGATTCGAATAGTGATCGTCGCCATTGTGCCCTTTCGCAGAGATGAACAGTATTTTTCGGTATCTCAGGCAGTATGGAATTTGGCACATCTCCACTAAACTGACTCAATCTCTGAGACTTCTTGATAATGACCTCAACGGCAACTTGAAATCCCTCGTGTTGGATATTCGCTGTCAAATGTGAGTCCCATGATACGATCTGCTGGCACCGCTTGTCCTTGGGGTAATACTTTCTGCGTGGTGTAAGTTCAGCAATCGACACTAAAATGCTAATGGGATCGGGCCTAAGAGGTTGCCATGGCTGGCAGTATCCGGACTGTAAACAGGCAAGAGCTTCTTGAGTTCCAGTTCGGCCTGTCAGTGGATCTGGTAGTAAGTGAGATGTGAGCGCGTGCAAGTAAGCCTTTGAATACAGAAGTTGCGGATCAGCTGGACACTCGAGACGTTGAAGCACTGTATTGATGGTGTATCTCATGTAGTTGCCTGTGTGTTCAATTTCAAGGAGCACATGGCTGCGATGACGCCGATAACGGGCTTTTCCGAGGGGGATGATGATGCTGCGCTGAGACCAGTCGTTGATGTCCTTCAACACGAGCATACTTTGGAGGCCATACAAAGTTCCTGGGTCTTGATTACGATCAACAATGGCTCCAAGCTGCTGGCATTTGAGCTGACCCGCTCTTGTAACAAAGAAAGTCAAGTCCATTCGCTTCAGATCGACAGAGATGCCATTTGAACTCTGCTGAATGGTAAGACGGGCAGGATGTTCAAAGTGAAGGAAAATTCGAGAGATCATTTGTGCTAGTTGTGAGAATGGGTCAATTAAGCTCAGTGTATCTCGCTGCGCATTCGTTCGGTGGGCCTTTCTGGCTCGGATATCGATACTCCAGTTACCATCTCTTCTTTTCCAGATACGTGGCTTAGGCCTGATTTCAACTCTACCGGTACTCAGGTCGGCCCAGTGAATGCAATCAGAAATGAGGGAATATGGAAGGTCAAACGCAGGGCCATCTCCGAATACCTCCCGTGGTACCAGCTCCAGCACAGTTCTAAACGCACGAGCCTGTATGACCAGCTTCCCGGCCCTGTAGCCCAGATGAATTTGGTGTTCGTCTGCACGATTCAGGAGGACATGGTCCATGCCGGGAAGGTTGGACGGGAGAGCAAACAGGCGCTGATTGCCAAAAAGCTCCTTGAGAATATGCGAATCGCGGATATCAGCCGGAAGCTTCCCAATTGTCTTCCCATCAACAACCAAATGGCCCTCGAGAATATGGAAATATAGAGTTTGTGGTCGACTTCCCTCTAAGGGAATAGTTATTGACATGGCCCAGTCCTCATGCGGGGCGAGTAAAAGCCTCCATGAGTTGTAAGCCCTCCCCTTGCCATCCGCTCCAGGCCAGGCGGCGTCAATAGCGGCTCCGATGCTCATGGGGTATTTCATAACCCCTGTTCGCAGTAGCACTGACATACGAGCCACCATCTTAATATCGCGAATAAGCATGTTACGTGTTATGGTGCTGAATTTGCTCAAGTCTACAACCAAGCTCTCTTGCATGGCCAAAGATGCCTCGAAGAAACATTTCATGCTTTCCAAGTCGAGGGATGTCTGGCTAGTAAGCCAAGGGAAGAAGGTCCTGCGACATAGAAGTGCTGAAAGAAAGCAGTACCTCGCAGCCCTATCTGACTGTGTGATATCCTCGGCTTGTCGTGTTTCACTTCGTAGCAGGGTGACCCAATTCAGAGTTATTTGCCGAATCCTCAAGACGAGCTTCTTTGAATCAATACGAGATTCTAAATGGCCGATTAAAAACAGTCGAAGAGACAGTGTCAATAAAGTCTCCATGTAGCTCGTCTCTCGCCAATTCGTGGCTATCGATTCAACATGCCGACAAATCTGTTCTGACAATCTTTTGCAAAATGCACGATCCCTGAACATAGAGTGGACGGCTCGCATGCTATCATGCTCTAGCCTAGGGCCTGCCTGTAATACAAGGTGGTGGAAAAGAACCATGGTATCTTGTAAGCTAAAGTTAATATTCGAAGACCCAAGTTCGGCCAGAATAGACAACCATCGTCTGTTTCTTCCGCCCATCAGACCCTGGTGGGCCATGTACTCATGAACAGTTAGTTCCGACGGACACTGCCCGATACTTGCCACCACCTCGTAAGAGGAGGGCCCGTCTCCGTCAGCAGCAAATAGAGAGGAAGAGTATAGTGCTGAAAATGGAAACTCTTTGGGGATGCTAAAAGCAAAATGGTGGACGAGGGTAAGCTGCATTGGGTAGTCACTGAACCACAGATGGCGCTCTGAATCATAGTATGAGTATCTCAGACCGTGCGGAAGTAAGACATCAGTGGCAGAAGCAGGAAGCCCTCGATGGCTGTAATGTGTTCCTAAAAAGGATTTTGTACGTGACGCTAGGCAGAAGCTTGCAGAAACTGGGTTACGATAGTAAGATTTGAGTTGGGAGTACTGAGCAAGCAAGACTTCTGGTCTATCCGCGCTCGAAGAATCGGGCATGGAGCATAATGCGTTGACTATATCCCAGGTGGCCTGACGATACGCAGAAAATGCCCTCGGTGTTCGTAGCTCAAAGACAACAGCCTTCTGCTGGGCGAGCCTTTCGTGCCCGACCGGAAGGAAGTCTTCATGAACATGGACCTCAAGGCGCCGTCGAGACCGCATATAGTAACAATGATTACACCCGCGAATGTCATGTGTCCCATCTTCGTTCCTCAATAAAGTGCAAGAAGTTAGTCTAAGCTTCTCAGTCAGACTATCGAATTGGTCATTGATCGATCGCAATTCACTTTTCTTCTTCTCATTCGAGTTCTCTGAGTCCATTAAAATTTGTAGCTGCAGTGCTTGGAGATTGAGGGCATCGGCAGTTTCAAAATACATCTCAGCGAAGCATCCCGGTGCTGGATTCGCGAAGATGGTCATTTTACCTCGCTTAGCCTGGATACAGCGCGTGTGAATATGGGACTGTATAGTATGCACACGCTTCATATGCTTCCAGCGCTCTAGAAGTAAGACGTCGAGAATCTCTGGTTCAAACCATGGATGATAGTCTTTGAGCAGGGGATAAGCTTCCAAGGCGCATCTGTCCATTTTCTCCCATATGGTGAATACGTTCATAATGAACATGCTCATCTGCTCAGAGTTTCCATCGTATTTGTCTCCAACAGCACTAATATAGTCCGATATTGTATTTGCGAGTTCGATGCATTCGGTCTTACAACCCTCGATCGTGGATGGAATTTCAGAAGGCATCAACCCTATGACGGCCTCTCGAGCTGCAAGCGATGAATAGATTTCTATAAGATCTGCGAACTGTTTACTGGTGCTTTTCATCGCAATTTCTCTGAGATTATTCGGATCTATCCCTTTTGCCGGCGCGGGTTCGAGTTGGCGAGGCTTTAGGATCCCTCTGAAGTACCCGATGCTACTTGGGAGGGTCAGCTTAGTGTCGTCCGGAGAAGCAGATGAAGGCAGCCTTGGGACCCGGCGTTGAAAGTCTTGTTTCCAGGCCTTCCATTCTCTCTCTTCGTCCGCGGTGGCAAGGTCAATTGATTTGGTGCAATGAGGTTCAATCACTCCGAGAGCATGCTTGTACGCCTGGGCAGCTTGACGTGTGCCGCTCAGGTAACCCTTTTCGGAGTCGAGTTTTGCGAGGCGTCGGCATAGTTTCACCTTCAATAGATGATACTTTTCTGAGTTCAGCTCGCTCATACTGTCATTGAGCAAATTCGCCAAAAACAAGCACATGAGGGCCTTGTATTGTATGCGTCCAACCGCGCTACCAAGATGTAGATATAGCAAGCGTTGGACACACACTCTTAAGACAAGCCAGAAAGGACTGCGACGCCAGGGAGTCTTAGCCGAGTCCCAGCAGACATCATCGTTGACGCGCTTTCGCAATACTGGTAAACAAAGACGCTCGCCGTTTACTTCCAGTAGAGTGATCAAAAACTGAGTAATGATGGATGGATCTGAAGTATCACGAGTCTCGGACACCTCCACCCCGGCTTTCCGTACCTTGGTAACAAACAAGTCCAAGTACTCGACGCTCGCTTTTTCAATGAACGCGGCGAGGCTTTCTTGGAAAACGCGATCCTCGAAGACGACGGCGGGAACCGAAACCGCAACCCCGGGAAAATCCCATTGCAGGGCGCCTTTGGCGGCGAGAGTTTGTTCGGCAGAGGGAGACGTCTCGAACGCTTCGAAAATGAAACTTGTTTCGTCACCGCTTCGTACACCAGAAGTGCTAGCCGTCATGTACTGTCAGAAAAAATAGCAGGAAGTCGACAAGAATAGCTCACCTCTCTCTGCGGATGAGAAGGCCTGCATTTTGCTCTCGGACGCGAAGAATAAGAGCGCTCTCTGGGGAAAGCTTCTTAAACTCTCTGATAAGCACTGACTTGTTGCATATCCCATCCTCATTTGAAAGAGATGATGTTTTCAGTGTGTTTTCGATCATCTGCCAAGTGGATAACAAGTCGTCTTCAGACTTGGTTTTCATAACCGTCACTGCAGCCATCAAACGGCAAATCAACTCCTTCTCGACAGTATCACTTTGTGCATCTGCTTTTCCAGGTAGTTCAGGAGGGAGCACAACATGATTGAAAATGGAGAGCAGAGTGCTTCGCGTAGCCATGACGAGCAGATTTGACTGTGGTTTGAATCGCTCAGCGGGGAGAAACGAGTCAGAAGGGAGGGAAAAGAGCGAGCTCGTGGTATACAGCGAAAGAAAAATGAAGTTTGGATGAGATAGATGAAGGAAGGAAGTAGATGGTGCGAGGAAGGAATTCCAGGATAAGCTGGAAGGATGTGTTGTGGGAAGGAGGGTGGGAGCAAACGAAGTGCCTCAAGATGTGAGCCCACAAAGAAAACAGAAAAGTCTCTGAGAGCTCACTGAGAATTATTTTTTAATAAACTAAAGGCTCAGCAGTCGAGTCAGCCTTATCAGGCAGTTTATATATTGAAATAGGCTGCGATTTCTGTGGCGTGAATGCGGCACAAGGTGCGGCACAGTTTGTTGGATAGCAAAATGGTCAGGCTTTTCTAGAAGACATCCTGTGTATACAAGTGTTTACTTTGGAAACAGTGGCAGTAGTCTTATAGACGGCCTGAATTAGGGATTTGGATTCCCTGTGAGCGTAATTATACTCCTTGTACCAATGGAATAGCGATGTATGGGATGTACTCATTGAGAGGCTGACATGGTCACAAAGTAATCAGGGGTTATATTCAATCTGCAGCCACCGACTAGAGCCACCAATGATGAAGAACAGGCAGTATCAACTGTGAGACTGAGTCTTCGCAAGTTGAAAAAGTATGAGATTCGGTTCGATTGGAGGCCCGGGGCACATCCGGTGGCTTGGAAATTCGGGGTTGTTTCGAGATCACCATATGGACGTCCATGAGCCGGCCATGCCGCGCCGCCAATAGGTAGGTACTAGTAAGAGGAGCCCCTAGTATTCAAGACAGCAAAAGGGATTCACTTTCTATATATACTGAAGTTTTGGGCCCCGAAAGATGCTGTTTTGCTGCTAGCCGAGAGGGGGTTGAAACTCCTGGTATCCCACCCTCTGGCCACCATACCTTATTCCCCCGTGGCTTCTGGGTAGACTGTCATGTCAAGCAGATTCTCTTCAATGACATCCCATGCTCGAGGCAGGAGCTTGCCCATAAGCCAGTAATTCTCTGCCTTGTCTTTCCCCAGCATCCAAAAACAGTTAAATCCCTTGTAATCATTGTGGAGAAACTCATAATAATAATTAGCCATTGCTCCCAGAGGATTCTTCCGCATCTCAGTCTTTTCGCCTTGGGTAATAACTGCCGGGCCAAATTTGGCTGCCTGCATCAACTCCGCTTTGATTAGATTGTTGAAGAGCAGGCAAATGCTATCGGATTTCCCGAACAAGATCCTCGGAGACCGATCTGCTTCGATATCTGCCATCATCGACTTTAAGGATTTCCGGCTTTGCTGTTCTGTTCCTTGCTCAGCTACATATCGACGATGTTCGACTGCAATAGGCCCGGCTGGACCCCTAGCAACCTTTGGGGAAAGCAATGCGAATGACCCCAAGATCATATTCTGGAGAAAAACTCCGGTTGAACGAAGCAGTAATGGTATCTTGAAGCGAAGGTTGAATAAATTCAGAACAACAACAGAGCGCGAATTCGGCTCGGAGAGTGCAATAGCACGTGTCGCCCACGCTGTAAGAATGTCGGTCTCGCTAACGAAGGGGACAGGCTTAGTCTCTGGGGTGTTTGCGATAATATCCTGCAGTGTCCGAGCCTTGATTTCCTCGTAGATAGATTTGGGAATGAATATGGCTCGACGTTCTCTAGGGCCATCCATCACCATGTCCCACAAAAATCGCACCTTAAAAATGAGCAAGCTGAGGCCGGTCAGTCGAATCTTCTCAAGAACAAACTCCTCCTCATCATCAGCTGTAATAGAAGGATGCTGCAGAATATCCTCGCGTGCGCCAACAACATTCGGTACCTCGTCTTCTCGACCAGCCAAAACCGAGGACCATGCAGCGAGGAGGGCTTGACCACCCAGAGCATCCATCAGCACATGAGGCCAGACTAAAGATACGATAGTCGCGTCACAGAAGGAAGTGACATGCAAGAATAACGGGGCAATATCCTCTTTCGTAAGCTCTTCGAATTTGGGAAACTTCGTTTTGGCAGCAAACTGTCGGAATTCATTCAAGATCGGTTGAGTTGATGGACCATCACTCTGCTTTGGGAGATGCCTCGCAATAGAATGATCTTGAATTGCCATATCATGATAATCATGTGAGAAAGAGATATTCTCTGTCTTGGTGGGTGATCTTTGAACATGAATCTCCCATTTGTTCTTGCCCTGTATAAAAGGTCAGCGCTTGATGTCCAAGGCGTTGAGGGCATGTTCAACTCATGCAAACCTTGCATCGTATCCGACCACCGAGTTTCCGCCAGTCGCCAATTTCTAACAGCCTGGATAGGGAATCATTCAACTTTTGAGCATCAAGCACGTCGTTAAACCGCATAACCCAAGCCACCCACTCGGGGTTGTTATCCAAAGCGTGCAAAGGGTAGATATCTTCATTCGCGAAGACTGGCTTCTCTCCATCTTCCATGATGAAAAGTGGGTGCTTACAATTTTCCACCTAAGACAAGTCGGAGCCTCGGTTGTAGATATAATTCATTTGACAAAACACAGATGAGTTTGCAAAAGGGGGCCATCGAGGGGTACCCGGGGGTCTTATTTTACTTAACTAATCAAATCTAGTTGCCGAATACATTAACATACATACGTGCCCCTTGCATAAGCTATAATAGTGCATTGTAAGAAATTTTACCCCTGTTTACATCCCGCTACTAGTTGTATGGCAGGCACGAACGCTTACGTTCGTGTTCCATACAAAACAGTACTATAGGATCAAAGCGCGCGCTGAATCATTAATCTGAGATAGGAATGGTGGTAGCCTACCTCCTCCTGAATTCGACACAAGTCTGAACCGGAACAACTTACAAGAAGCATATAAGATCTATCAATTGTCGGCACCAGTGACACATCAGCTCAGGAATCGAGCGCCAACCATTCACCATCAGCAAAGTGGGGCAAGATCGGCCCCGATCGCGCGATTCCTAAATCGGAATAGACGCCTGTTGATGGATCCATCAGATTGTCGGTTCTCCTTATTCAAAGGGGCGGCTTGTTCACGTTTCATAATAAGGGAGGTACACCAGGCGGCACTTCAGAAGAAAGCCGCGTCATGTACAATGTAGCGCTTATGATCACCCAGAATCAGTGTGGTTTTGTTCCGGCCTCTTCTGGCAAGTACCCTCTGTAAATACAGCACTGGGGGGTTTCTTCGATTGGATAATTTTCCGAGATCGTAATTATTGTATATTTTGTATACTGGGCCTTAATCAATTCAATAGATCGATTGTTGGGGACTCTACGGGCGTTGTATGCCTTTTCCCAGCGCGTATATATTGGACTCAGCTATTCTAGCACCTAGTCCAACCTTCACAGCTGCATTTAATGCTCCACCAACGTCTTGGCTATCAGTCGTCGTAGGGTGCTGCTAGCCTGAGCTAGTAGGCGCATCTGTTCGCGTCTCAGTGGCTGCTAGATCAGAGGATGTTGAAGCCGTAAGCGCGCTCAAATTTCTTGTCAAATCAAAACAGCTAGATGGCACAGTAACCCTGCCAGATGATCCCTTCTGAGTAGTTCCAATCTGTACGAAGTATTAAGCGAACATCAATTTCAACTTCTCCGGCGCAATAAGACTAATGTAACGAAAGGAGAAGCTTCGTAAATCTTGAAAGGCTTAACGAAGTCCTGACTTCCCTAGATAGATTCATGGGACGTGGTATCCCCAAGTCACCATCTTGTTTTATGCAGGATCTCTTCTGGCAAGTATCTATGGATACAGCACTGGACAGTTGTTGGTCAAATGGCCAGCGTCGCTTTCTTCTAACGCAGTTGGAGCGAGGCTCAGTAATAGAATGGACATTGAAAAATTCCGTCGAAGATTGAACCGCTCTGCATCCAAGGCAACCTGGGCAAGGACCAGCTGCTACAGTGGTATATTAAAACGTAACGACTTCAGTTGTGTTTGGTATTTGAGGAAAATGCTGTGATTTAAATCGTCCAGGGTCTGGCCACGCGTGGCCTCTGATGCTTTCGCTGCAAGACAGTTGGTACGGAGAAGTATTATGCTCGAATAGGAAATTTATGAATTATAATCAACCCTGCTCGCAACTTCACCTCAAATTCCATGAACCCGCAGTATGTCTCTGGGCCCCGTCCAGTGCTGTATTGTCATGTTGTATGACAGAAAACGTCAATGCTTTGTCAGGCGGTAGAACGGTACGTCGAGTGCGGAATCCGACCATTTTAAGCCCAGGACTCCCTTCCGGGTGGTGGTCGCTTCTCAAGGAGATCGTCTACGGAGGAAGAGAGAAAACCCCTTTCTAGTTGCCAGTTGTTACCCATGATTCAAGGTGGATTGACCCAGCTGTTTTCCTGACGCCCTGAGGCTGAGATTGGCCCCTTACAACCCAGCCAATTCGGGTTGTAAAAGTGGGGGGCTGGAGGTCAGCGCAGCTCCTTAGGTCTTACCAGAGACAGGATGTCATCAATGAGATTGCTCGAGAATTACTGGGGACGGCCCATCGTGGGTGGCCTCGGTGAGGCCGGCGCCGCGAGTCATCATGGAGCACCAAGTGGAACGCGGAGAACGCACTAAGAAGGTTGGAAGGCAGAAAGAAAAGCGAAGAATAAGATTGGAGCCAGGAATGGCAGCCCGCCTCGCTCCGCACGCACCATTTGCTCGCAGGCGGTTGGACCCGTCATCCCGTGCACAGCCCTGCCATCAGCGCTTGCGAGTTTCAACCTGTTGTCTTCTCCGAGGGGGAAGCAATTCTCATGTGCGGTTGACACTCCTTAATTTCGGTCATGAAGCCACAATTGATAACTAATACATGGGTTCAATGTCAGAAGACCATACAAAGACCGAATCAGAATATAGTACAAAATCCCGAAGCCGTCACTGCCTCACTGGAAGCGAGAACTCCGCAGGGTGCCAGTGGGCAGTGCACGAACCAACTCAAACGTGGTAATGGAGACAACCCAAGCAGTCTGTTTCCAATACCCATGGCACCTGCATGCCTGGATATACACCAATTTGGCGTCACTGATCCACCAGGCCGTCGCCAGCAGCCTGCTGCCCAACAATTACCACTGCAACCGCCATCTAACCAGCCAAACAAACTCCGGTCAGAAACACGCTCGCTAAGCATAAATGGAACAGATCAGGTCTCAACTCACTAGAGCTAAGTCCACGCCCCTCGCAACCCTAACCCTCCACATAGGCCGAAACCGAAACGGTGGTTTCTGGCCCTGCGCCAACTCCCCCGGATCGGTGACTCGGTCAATATTCGCAACCTGCTGACCATCTACAACAGCAACTTGAGCAAAGTTGTCCACGTCCAGCGAGTAAATCTCCATGGTTGTTTCAGGGTCGACGGTGGACGGCCGCATCAGGGTATCCGTTAGCGTCTTTTTGCTCTTATATTTCTGCGTGGGTCTTCTCGCATTTAGTGGTATGCATGAATTGCGGAACCGAAGCACAGCCCTAGGCGCTTGGACTGCTACGCGACATTTTGCTGATAGTAGCGTTTCACTGGTTGCTGCCCCGCCGGGGAGCTTGAGCTCGAGCGTAGACGAGTCATACCACCGACTCCGTAGTTCGAATAGAGGGAGGCCCGATGCATCGCGGAAGATGCGGCGTTGCGCAAGACCCCATGGATTTCCGTTGACTGTGAATAGGGTTGCTCCGTTCTCGTGGGCGACAGTGTAGTCGAGTGGATGCCATGGCTCGGGACTGTTGCGGACTGTGATGACCGTCTCTGGCTCGGCTGTCGTGATGGTCTCATTCCGGATTGCTAAGGGCCATCGTGGTTGCACTGGAGCTTGTTGCTGGAGGGAGAGCGCCATGCATGACTTGTTGGTGTTGACATTGGGTTTACTGCAATGTATTGGGGATATGGGAAAAGACAAGGCATATATAACCCTCCCTTTTCCACGACAGGGCTCATACTACGATAGTGCTTAGCGTTTCAGTGGAGATGCGCGGCATTGCACTGGGAACAGCATAGAGAGGACCCAGGCTGACGCTGGGTCTGCCTTGTTGGCGATGTTGGGGGAGATGGCCTCTTGATTGGTCCGGCCCGCTCCTTCGCCCCCAAAGCGTCCACGCTCAGGGGATCCCTACGGTAAAGCAAATAAGGCTGTGTGAGTAATCCAATCCCGAAAGTAGGCTTGAGAATCAGTATTTATCATTTTTTTCGTGCTGCAGGTATGTCCATGGGTCTTCCAACGGTGCGAGATTACGACTTGGTCTCGGCTTATATTGCCCTACCAGTACGCTGCCCAGCGGCTGTTGTTTCCTGAAACGAGATTGACAAATTCTCTCCCGATAACCTTGTCAACACGCTCAGAAGGATGCAGCTCATCAAACCAAAGAAAGGCTTCCTCGTTCGGAAGCCGCTCGCAGTCCCCAGTAGCCTCATCGCAGTGCTTGACGTATCCAGTGACGTTGCTTGGCGAAGCTAGATATTCGGTTGGGTTATGCCAAATATCGGAGATCTACACTGTCAGCGAATCCCTGAAATGTCGAAACTAACCAAGGTGATGGAAGGTGGGGTAGAAGGAAAAGGAAGCAAACAAAAAAAAAGGAACATACCAAGCCATACATATCCATCACCGCAAGCTGCGCCCCCGGGTACCGATTTGCAATTTTCGACTCATACGCTGTCTTGTAATGGAACACATCGTTGGCTGTAACCACAGTCTCCCACATCCGATAGCTAATCTCCGTGATGTTGGCCCCTTTATCTGGGTATCCGCTTGTTGAATTCAGCCCACCGTTCTCAGGAGTCGCATACTGTGGAGCCAGCTGCAACGGCGCCAGGTTCATGATCACAAAGTGTCGGCCCCCATTGGCGTAGACCGCGTCAAGGGCTTCATAGACACACTCGATGAAGTCGGGAATAACGGCCCCTTTGACCTGAGAATCCGTGAGAAAAGCATTGTTACCCACGTCATTCGTTCCAATCCATATAGCATAGACGGTCTCATTCGGCCCGATATTGATAAAATCGTCCCCATTTGGCTCTGTATGTTTGCTATCCGCAAGAAATGCAGGAATCTCATATTCCAAAACCGAAGGGAACGGGGCATTGATGGTGTCGAATGTCCGCGGTGAAATCTCGTTCGAACACACAGCCCCCGAGACGGCATAATTGTAACGAGTCAAATTCGCGATTTGCGACGCAAAGTGTCCCCAGGTATACCCTCCAGACGCCGAGTCATTGCTCTTTGAGATGGTTAGCGCTCTTGTGAAACTCAGGTGGTGGTGGTGGTGGCGGCGAGACTTACAACGGGCTGTTTCCAACCGACCGGTGGTGCCGTCCCATTATTACTCGCGAAATACCCAAGCCGGGAATCGTCGGTGTAGCTATTTCCAAATGTTACGAGCCCCTTCCACTCACTTGGGCCCCATTGATGAGCCTTCTCAGCATTTGCTGCGATGAGGGCTGAAAGCAAAACTGCGAGAGTTCTCGGAAGCGCAACCATTCTAGTAATCAATCCTTCAAATCTTATCGCATGGCAAGAAAAATCACTTATAGCCAGGCGGTTGTCCACTGAATTTATTCAAGTTTCCCCACTCGCTTGGGTGACGAACTGGTGATTGATCTGCCACGGTCCAACTTCCGGAGAGTCGATCTCGTGCCGGAGCGGGCGACCGGAATCGGCTGAATGCAGGGGTTGTCTCTTCGCTAATTTGTTGGAGCATCGTTCTCCTCGTTCTCGGGTCAATTGGATATTTCCTCCAGGCTGGCTTTGTTTCTGCGAGTGCTCGGTGGAATTCCTGATTGGCCAATTGAAATTGGAGCTGCCAAATAAAGATCGTCGTCGACTCGGCTCTGATCCGCTTTTCCCAAAAGTTCATTCAGGGGTGTTATCTGTGATGGTTCCTTGCGCCAGCACAGAGCATGATGAAAGAGGATTTTCATTTGCTGGCGAAGCCCAAGTCGTCGACTCTTTATGATTTGCCTCTGGGCACAAGCTCTCCCCCCAAGGCATCGCAATGGGCGGCGATTCATTTAAGGTGCCTACTTCTGTGCCTACCCATCTACTCGGTTTCAAGCCCATTCATTGTCAGTTGCTGCCCCTGCGATTCCCCCGGCATGCCTTGGTTCATCCGCCCTTCTTGCGGTCTCTCCAAAGCTTGCACCCACCCTTAGAGATGCCTTGCTCCCTTTTCCACGCCAGGAACCCTCCATCTCATTCATAAATTTTCGCACTTAGAACCTCGGGCCATGTTGATGATGTCAGCCAGTCTATCCTGGTGCGCAAAAGAGAATGGAACACACTGCACTAACTGCTAACCTACCAGCCGCACCGGGCCAGGTTGCTCCGCCCACAACCACCTTAGATTTCTGTGGCTTTTCGCCACGTGAAGAAACAACAAGTACCTGGTGTCTAGAGCTCAGTGCCAATGGACCTTTGGGTGGAAACAATCAAAAAATGATTTAGGCGGCACCAGTTTTGCATGTAGCGGAGTCCTACGCAGAACTATACCGGCTAAACAGCGGAATTGCGGCTATATTCTCCAGCACGGATTGTGGGTTACCAGTGTTACTTGCCTCCCGAACCTTGCCTAGCTCTAGGGCCCAATGATCCTATCGCATCTCAAAGTTGTACAAGGGAGTTTCTCTTGATGATCGCTGCCTGTGTATAGTGCCACAGTCCGCCAAGAGTTCTTCCTTCAATTCTAATGGACATTATTCCAGATTGTTCAAACGAGAACTCATTTTCTGTTTCCGCGTTTCCTATCTCTCGACGAGTATAGGAGATCTATCACACTTTTAAACCAATATCAGACCGATTGGTAAGCGGATACCCGCGTTGTGCTCTCAGCCGAAGAGTGAATTGGCATCTCATCAGTGCTCCTCTTTCGACGCGAGGGATAACGACCGTACGGTGTGATCTAATTTGCAACGTCACCTTCTCTTTGGTCGATGCCTTATTTCCCATGTAAATTGTCAAGCCGGGTTAGGAGAAACGGAGAAACGGAGAAACCCTGAAGCATTTTTCGATTGCCTGAGGGCGCTAGACACGATGACTTTTGGACTAGCAAGACCTCTCATAGCTATGTGCGATCGGATATCTTATAGCTTGTAAGCTTAGGTCGGTAATACCGCTGGACGACCTCAGATGCGGACTTGATCATGGGAGCGTGCACCCCCGAAAGAGAATCCGGGGAAGTCGGAGAACGGCGCAAGGCCAACCACTCTTGGACAGAGGATCCGTGCCGCGAATCAGCGAAATTCGGAAGCAGGTGCGGATGCTGTCTCGACAATTACCAAGATAGTCAAGTTGGAGCTGTGGTGAGTGGTTTCAACTGCTGTTTGGGGAACGAGAACACGAGGTGGCACGCTAGCCCCGATTTGGCCAAGAAATCCGAGCGCCAGGTGCATCTTATCGGACTCGTTTCTTATCGGTTGTTACACTGGCAGCTCAGGATGCAGCAGTTTCCAACTTATAAACCACCCCTCTTCCCCTCACTGAAAGTCTTTGTTTCATTTAGGATCATACAGTTGTCTCTCTCTTCCGTGCTCCTCTGACATTGCGGTGTCGACGTGACTTTGTCGACCACTTCCCTTCACTCTCCACCTTATCACACTACTCATATACTTCCCCGCCCTCATATATACAACGAACGGATACGACAATGGTCCTCGACCGTCTTCAGCAACTGACCATGCAGGTCAGCGCCTCGGCGCCTCCTCCACATCCTTTGGATCCCCTTACAACTACTGAAATCGAAGCTGCTGTTGATATTGTTCGCAAAGAACATGGAAAGCTTAATTTCAACGGCGTTACACTCTACGAGCCCCGCAAGGAGCAAATGATGGCCTGGCTGGCAAATACCGAGGGCACTCCTCGCCCCACTCGTGCTGCTGACGTTGTTGCCATTGCTCCAGGTGGGAAAATATACGATGGTGTCGTCGACCTTGACGCAAAGAAAATCATTCAATGGAAGCACACGCCTGGCGTACAGCCTCTGATCACTATGGAGGATTTGCAGGAGGTAGAGCACATTGCCCGCAAGGACCCTAAGGTCATAGAGCAGTGTGGAATCCTTGGTATTCCTCCACAAGATATGGATAAGGTTTACTGTGATCGTAAGTCGGGTCTCAATAATAACCTATTTTGCTTCTCTAACGAGAGCCATAGCTTGGACAATCGGATACGACGAGCGCTTCGGCACGGATATCCGTCTACAACAAGCTCTCATGTACTACCGACCTCACGTTGATGACTCCCAGTACACCTATCCCTTGGACTTCTGCCCTATCTATAATGCGGAGACTAAGCAAATCATCCACATCGATGTCCCGCCTGTGCGACGCCCTCTTAGCAAGGCTCCTCCCAACAACTACCACGTCGAGTCCGTTGAGAAAGAGGGCGGCTACAGGACCGACCTGAAACCAATCCATATCACACAGCCGGAAGGTGTCTCTTTCACTGTGAATGGACGGAGCATCAGTTGGCAGAACTGGAACATCCACGTTGGCTTCAACTACCGCGAGGGTCTCGTCCTTGACAACATCACCTACAACGACAAAGGCAACGTCCGCCCCGTTTTCTACCGACTGTCTCTAGCCGAGATGGTTGTTCCATACGGTAACCCTGATCACCCCCACCAGCGAAAGCACGCTTTCGACTTGGGAGAGTACGGTGGTGGCTATATGACCAACAGCCTGTCTCTTGGCTGCGACTGCAAGGGCGCAATCCACTATATGGATGCGGCATTTGTCAACCGTGCCGGTGCCAGCACGATCGTGAAGAACGCAATCTGTATCCACGAAGAAGATGCTGGTATCCTCTACAAGCATACCGATTTCCGTGACGAGTCCATGATTGTCACCCGCGGTCGTAAACTGATCCTCTCACACATCTTTACCGCTGCTAACTATGAATACTGCGTCTACTGGATCTTCCATCAGGATGGCACTATCCAGCTGGACATTAAGTTGACCGGTATCCTGAACACCTTCGCCATGAACCCCGGCGAGGACACCCACGGCTGGGGCACCGAAGTCTACCCAGGAGTCAATGCCCACAACCACCAACACTTATTCTGTCTCCGTGTCGACGCCAACGTCGACGGCCCACACAATACCGTCTTCCAAGTCGACGCGACTCAAGG